TCTCATGATGCCTCATCTTGGCGGCATGCTGGTGTTGAGCCAAGAAAGCCTCTCCTGGACCTAACTCCGAAATCCTGAAGTTTGGCCTTAGTGGACGTCGTGGGGGTGGTGGGCAACAGGGAAAAAGAAAATGAGTAGAGACAACGGATGGACTTGGCGCGAATCGCTACAGGGCTCCCGTGTTGATGTTGGTGACTTCTGAGAGCTTACCTGTACGGTAGGCTGGGGCTGAAAGACGGAGAAATATCGATGTGTGAAAGCTTCAGTGGCAGTGATGTCGAGAATCAAGCATCCCGAACGCTTTTATGGATCGGTATCCTTGTTTCCGATAAGCGCGTGGCATCCCCACGGGCCACATGTCTCCAAGAGCACATGTCTCACGACCGGATATTCGAGAAGAATTCTTCACACTGATGAGGTGTGCTTCTGAGGAGTTTGGGGATGAAGCATCGCACATCGAGAACAATGATCGTTGCACTGACTGAATGATGTTCCTTCCACTTGGATACAATGGAAGAATGCAGCTGCAGATGCTCGATTGACACAATGGCAACTGCCAGTTTCGGATGAAAGAGAAGTCTGGTTGGCGCCTTCCAATCAATGAGAATCAATGACAATTACGCAAAGTTGAGCCCCACCGCAGCAGGGGTTATACCGGGACGTTTTAAGAAGGTACGTACCGTCGGAGCGCGCAGGGAGCTATCTGGCCATCAAGGTTCTCAACCATCAAGGTGCCCTCAGTGCTGAGACAAGCTTAGGACCCGTACCACGCCCCGTTGCGCCAGGAAAGGCAGCTCACCCATTGGCTGAGAGCCGTCTTTACCAAGAAATCGACTCCACCGCCTGCAAAAACTACTTGTCCTGCTGCTTTTCCCTCTTCCGTGGCCGCCGCCAGCCTCTGCTCGGTGTGTGTCCGTGTCTGCTCGTGCTCCCCTCCCTCACGTGGGCCGTTTGGAAAACTGGACATCTTGAATCTGTCAATTTCTCCCAATCTCCGTTCTCCCTCGCCTTCCCATTGTTGTGTTCGCGAACCTCTTTTCGCCAATTCCCAATTCCAATTCGTCTCTGCAGGGCTCGCTCGGCACATCCCGCGCCCCTCGCCGCCAAGTCCCCAATTCGACATCCCCAAAAGTGGAATTGGCGCGTCACTCACTCCGTCCCGTCTGAAGCTTCCGAGACACTCAACCTGGATCCACCACCACGAGCTTGGCCTACCTTTACGACCCCGACGACCGTTACAACTTGGAGCCTTGTACATCCACGCCCCTCGATCATATACCAATTAGGCAATTCGACCGAAGCAGTAGACGTCTCAAACCACACGGCAATCTTCATCGCGACATTGTTCATCAGCCAATCTCACCCTTCACTTCACTCCCGCAAGTCAACCCACTCACTTGAGCCTCCAGCCTCGCTACTTAAGAGTTGTCACGCCTTCAGCCTATACTTCCCTCATCCCTCACTGAGAGAAGGACATCCTAGCCTGGTCTACTCACGCAACCCATCAGCTACTCTTACGATATCCGGCAGCCTCCAAACGAGAATAGCCTCTCTTCAGCTCACACTATATCATCTCAACCTCTAGGCTTCACGCAGCCTATACTTCTCTCGGTGGCCCTTGACCTCCGGGGCTACCGGTATCCCTAATCTCATCATGGCTCGCCTACTCCCCTCAGACAGGAAATCTATCCTTCAGTATGCCGTGACGGCGCTCCTTCTTCAGTCCACCTCCGCCTCTCAGATACAACACAGAGCGCCCCAGGTCACAGCTGCTCCCACCGCAACCACCGCCCCAGCCACCGTTCCCACCGCCATTTCGGGCTGTCACTTGCACGATACAGAAGTGTAAGTGCCTTGATATCAGTCCTTTGTGTGTCACTGGATTACTGACCTGGCCGCTACAGATTGTGCCTGGCTGGTGAAACCGAGTACTCTATTCACACTACAGCCACTGCTACCTCTGAGCTTCCCGCTCAGTTTACAGGATGCCACTCTCACGACGATGCGCTGTACGTCTTGTTGCCACCACCTTGCTTGTCTCGTGGCCCATATTGACTGGAAGCAGATTCTGTGTAACACCAAGTGGAGATGATGTGGAGATCTCACTAATAGCCAAGGAATCTGAAGAAGGTCACGATGATCACGACCATGATGAACATGAAGCGACGTCCTCTACCAGCGAAAAGATATGCCACTTCCACGCTGGTATCGAACAATGCACTGGTGGTGATGAGCATGAGGCGGTGAGTGCAACATGCGAGAGGACGGACCGGAACTACAACATCCGTCTCAGAGTCGGTCTCCTATTCGCCATGTTGGCAACCAGCTCCATTGGTGTCTTCGGTCCCATTTTGCTCTCGAGCTTTGTCTCGCCAAACAATGTCTTCATCACCATCTTGAGGCAATTCGGCACTGGCGTCGTCATCGCGACTGCGTTTATCCACCTCTTTAGTGAAGCTCAACAAATGTTTGCCAGCGAATGTCTGGGAGAACTTAGTTACGAGAGCACAGCAGCTGCCATCTCCATGGCCGGCATGTTCATTTCGTTCCTTGCAGAGTATCTCGGCGTTCGTGTCTTGCAGTGGCACGCCGCCAAGACGGAGGCACGCAACATCGAGAACGGTGGAGAGAAGGGAGACTCGGCTCAGAGGACCGAGATGGTCAACATCATGGTCTTGGAGTGCGGTGTTGTCTTCCATTCTATGCGTAAGTTACACCGGTCCTACTACCCTTCCTGTTGGACCACCGCTGATCAAGTATCACAGTGGTTGGCATTACCCTGGTTGTTGCTGGCGACACCTTCTTCCTCACCCTTTTCGCAGTAATTGTATTCCATCAAATGTTTGAGGGCATTGCCCTTGGTTCTCGCATCGCGGCCCTCGGAACTCTCCCACCGATCAACGCGGCCTCCTCGGTCCACAGTCATTCGCACCACGGTCACAGCCACCACGGCCACAGTCACAGTCACGCCCATGAGGTTAAGCGCCCAAGCCTGCCTACTGAACCCACATCGCCAACGGGTACGGACCATGGAGTGGTCTCTGAAGACGAGTCCGTGGGACTCACCGTCATCAAGCCTGTCTCGCTCAAGAAGAAGCTCCTCCTGGCTTCCGGTTTCGCCTTGGTCACTCCTATCGGCATGGCCATAGGTATTGGCGTACTCAAGCAGTTCAACGGCAACGATCCTTCGACCATCATTGCTATCGGCACTCTCGACGCCGTTTCGGCTGGCATCCTTATGTGGGTTGGCATCGTCGAAATGTGGGCTCATGACTGGATGTTGGGCGGCGAGATGACCACTTCCGGTCCTCTGCGGACACTTGCTGGCCTTACTGCCCTTATCGCGGGTCTGGCTTTGATGAGCTTGCTTGGAAAGTGGGCTTGAGAGACTTGCACGTCGCACACTCTTCTTTCTGGGATACCTATTTGCTTTTTTTTTTTTTTTTTTTTTTTTTTTTTTGGATTCGCCGGCGTTTCTCCAAAAATATCGGGTTACGGTTATTGGGCATAGCGATTGGAAAATTTTGCTTGGATGGCGTTGATCACACAAAAAGTTAATGGGTTTGCATATGGCGCAAAAGATACCTAATGAAGCATATCTTGACATGACAGCATGACATGGAAAGCATTCGAATTTTCGAGAGCAAGCAAGTTGACGCATATTGGTAGAAGAGAGACAAAGTTTAGATGACCAAACCAACAATTCATGATCTTGGTACACTTATTTCATTGTTCAAACGTGACAATGGGGCACAACATCAGACAGCATATCCTGCATTTGGCAGTAAGGAGGGGTCCGAGTCTTGTGCAACTTCGAGGTCGCATCTGTCGTTGATCACCAAGCAGTGTTAGGCGAGGACGACATGGAATCTCGCACGTAGGGTCTTGTACGATGGCTGGCCTCAACACATGATAGACAGCTGTTCATTGTTAACACTTGATGATTCTAGTGTACAATGAAGCATACATGCTCCAATGGATGATCTCCTTCTCTCCAGAAGCAAGTCAAAGGACTCACTCTTTCCTATTCGCCTCTTTGGTTCGATACAATCTCCATTGTAGAAAAATGAGATCGGGACTTCGACTGGTGAAAAAGATGCCTAGGTGGCTAAGCTAGCTCTCTCAATTGGCATTGTCCATGCACTTCTTTGTCACCATGGCAAAGGAACACGACCTTTTCTGTGGATTTGTTCAAGCTTTGTTTCATGGCCCAAAAGAGGAAGCGGTACATCGCTAGCCAGGAACAATGCATGTGTTGCGACATTGCACATTGTGCATCGTACATGCATACACAGAACAGAAGAACACGAAATGATTCACAACAAAAACGAAAGAAGCCAAACATTGATAACAGTAAGGAGGCAATCGAGGATGAGGACAAAATAACAAAAAGTGGAAAAAGAAATGCCCAATAACAGGATTGAACTGTTGACCTTCGCATGGACTTGATATCAGAAGAATCCGATATTAGTACGACGCTCTAACCAGCTGAGCTAATCGGGCTGGTGCTGATTGTTGAAGACAGGGGGCCTGCCAAGGCCTTATCAGCAAGGAAAAGCACGGATGTTGGGTTCGTGCCGTGATGACCCCCGATGCTTGGTGGACACTCCGCGATATCTCCGGAATACTGCGCAAGTCACTCGAGATATTGATTCAGGAGGAAGGGGATTCACTTTACTAAGGCCTGGGTTGAATTTAGTTGCATCAATTTGCTATTCAAACGACTATCAAAAAACTGATCAATTTCTGCTACGTAACATCTTTTCTAGTCCTGCCTTGAGGCGTCTGTCTAGAACCGTACACCTTTGTAAGGCGAGGAACTCCAGAAAACCACAACTAACGCTGATATAAAGGAATTTCCACCTATTGGGCACAAACTGGTAGGCCCTTCATGCAAGTTAATGGACTGGACTGGTCAACTTAAGCAAAGTCTCAACCCCAATCTTCTCCATCATTCATTCATTCATCTCCAAAGTGGCGGGAGTATTCTCCCTTCTTTCACTTTTCGAAACAACAACCCGCAAAACTCGGACTCTTGTCCCATGATTAGATATTTCCCACGAACTCCAACCGTATTCGGCTTCGGGCCAATCTTCTGACCAATCTTCCTTCTGGTCAGCATGCTTCCCCCGAAACTCGTCGAGACCTTGCTAGGAGATGTAAGACATACCGGACTCAGAAGGCGCGGAGTACGTAGAGCCAGCGACTGACATAACAGTACTCGAGTCGTTACCTTGGTCTTCAAATTCCGGGAGGGGGGTGACGACCCCGGGCTCGCCGGCTAGCTGGAAGTTGAAGTCGTTAATAAACTCAGCAAAAGCCAGACCACCCTCATCCCAAGGGAACCATTGGTGCAGCATGGGCTGGGCTGGGGTCCCAGGGTCAACCGGGCTAACTACATCCAAGCTGTGCCGATTGTCCACACAAGTAAGGGGCGGGACCCCCTTGGGGAACTTAGCCACGCGTGCGTACGGCTGTTCGGGGAACCAGTATGGATCGAGGCGCAGGGACCGCGGGTTGGCATTGACGCCGATGGTGCGGAGGTTCCGCAGCGTGGTCTTGGCTCTGTCTCGGGTTTCAGGGCTTCTAGCAAGGCGGAGAAAGCTGTGGAGGCACTGGATGGTCTCGAAGTGGTAATAGTCGTAGGACCCGACGGCTTCAGTGACCGGCACGAGCTGGTTTCCACCATCGATCACCGTTCTCCCATTGGAGGTTTGCGGGATGTCGATCAGTTGCGGGCGGCGGAAGACGAAGGTGAGGTGGCGGAGGTTGGGGAAATGGAAGAGGAAGGCAAAAGGGTTGGTCGCACCAGGGCTGGTCCAGTCGTAGCCACCGGGACGCAGGTTCTCGACGCGGTCGAGCTGGAGCTCGATTCGGTGGACCCGGCTTAGCAGGGCGGTAGGCGTCGGGACAGTGAAGGTGGGGAAACCCGATCCCTGCCAGGGTGAAGAGTCGTACATGGCATCGGAGCTGTCAGTTTCGCGGGGCAAGAGGCTCAGTCGGACAGCCAGGGTGTCCGTGTGTGGGTTGAATAGATACGTGGGAAGCTTCCCTGGGGACGAAGGCAGCGGGCTTCCCCAATACTTGAAAGCCAACTCGCGGCTCTCCCTGTTGATTTCGAAGAGTCTGATTCTCTTGTAGTGGTCTCGAGTCCCCAGGAGTGTGTAGTGTGCGGGGACGATGGTCTGGAGCGGCCCTTCGTAGTTGCTTAGTGTCACCGAATTGCTGACCAGACCTTCATGGGCTGAAAGGTAACCGATGACCATAACTGGGTCAACCGACATTTTCCATATCATGATTCGGAGCTCTTTCGGTAGCATTTCAAAGCGGCAAAACCGCTCGTAGAGCTTTCCCTTTCCGGTCGAGTTGGCAGTACCGGACGGTCGGTTTGTGCGATTTAACCACCGGACATTGGATGCAGTAAGGGAGGGAACAGATTGCCCCCTGCTAGTTCCACGAGTGTTAGCCATGAATAAGATAGATAACCAAAGGGACGCTCCGAATTTCTGACTTACGCTTGACTCTCCTCAGGACGACATCGCACAAGATCGATGCAATCGTTGATGATGCCCTTGTGGTCGGGCCTGTCCGTAAGAATACGGTGCTCTAATGATGTCGGTGGCATGGTGAATTGTGATGGTGATAGAGATCTCGATGACTGTGGGTGTTGTTGACTTGTATCGTGATTATAGTGATCGTGATGATGGTGGCAAAGAGTTGTCGGTTTTCAGAGGGAGAAAGAATGTGCGTGTGGGATACAAAACAGGTGGGAAAAAATACCAGTAGGTCAAGGGTTAATAATATGTGAGGACCAATACAGGTTTTCTATACAGTATCTGCACCCTCCGCAGGTTTCGGTGCGAGTGAATGGTCTGCATGAACAACCTGCAGAACCTTGAGAAGCATCAGAAGCACTGAGCCTTTGCCACTGCATGGTGAATGAGACGGATCAAGGTCCTGCGTATTAGATGGCTGCCAGCATGAGATGGAACACTAGCCCAGGCATGTTGATGCCGTGATGGAGGCAAGGCTTTAGCCAAAACCTTGGGTAGAAACTGACTTCTTCCAAGAAGCCAGCCCTCAACACGCCGCCCACGGTGCCTTGATGACCCTTCATCGTAACTTGAGGAGTCAATCACGAGCACCCTGGCATCATCATCTTACACGGGCATTGAGAGATATTTTTCAGTTGCGGAGTCCGAAAGCAACCGGTAGCACCAGATATGGGGCAGATGGATACTGATTTTAAGTTCATGGTGCATCCTGCCATTTCAAATCGCCAGTGTGCTTCATACTCTAGAGCCACCTTACTAGGTCGTCGTTTATATGAGCCCATATGACATGAGAGCTTTGGACGATTTGCGAGCACAGGGCTCGAGCGCTTGCTCAGGACGACTGCTTGTACCAACACAACTGGATGAACAACAAGCACTGCTTGTTGGATAGCAACATCGATTCCATCGGAAACTCTGAACAGATACTTTGGGGACTGCCTGTGATGTCAGTAGGTTTGTCCATGCCTCAGGGAACTAGCTCGCTTAATCCCACCTGGCTGTGTCCCTAAACCAGACGGATGTAATAGTAGCCGCAGGTGGATATCTGTTGATGATGCACGATATAGTAGTTCGGCCCTGATGATCAACAAGCCAAATTGAACACCAAATACCACGAAAATGTGTTGTTGTATCAGATGCCACATCCGAGTTGAACTAGGCGTTAGCGGGGGCACATGTCGCGTCGAGGCATATTGTCTCTGTCATTTGGATGTCCTTGTGTTCTTGGGTCATCGCCCGCAGTTTTGGGGTTTCTCGGCCGCCTTACGCACCATCTTATACTAGCACAGATCCTGGGATTTTGCTTCATTGTCAAAAGCTCTTTTGTGATCCTGAATGTCCTCGTCAGTCTTGGCTCCTCAGCGTGTGAAGGGAACGATACTTCTATTCATTCTTCTCCCTTGCCATCCTATATTTGATCGACCGCTGCGTTGACGATAGTGAATAGCACTGCCACCCGGCTATTGATGTTAACAAACCGAAATGTTCTGGTAAAGTCGAGGGCCGTCGGGCACTCTGGCCTGATATCATAGGTCCAAGGTTGCAGCCAAGCCGGATTGAGGACCGACCACCAGCAGTTTATTGGGTAACGATTGCAAGCCTTCCAACATTCCAGCCTTCTAGAAACGTGCTCCCAATTGCAAGAGCGAGGAGTGAGGTTGAGGTTGCCTTTTTGGGGCTGAGCTTAACTCGCATGATCGCCATGTGACCCCACCTCAGCGACCCGGGGCGTTTGGTTGCTGCCTGTTCGCTATCATTCGAGCAGTGCTGGGCAGAGCAATTCAAGCCACAAGCCACTTGAGAGGAGGAGAGAGATGCACCTGTCCCTAAACGCCACCGAGGCTTATTGTCGGTGTCGAATTGGGAAAGAGCTTACCGAGTCCGTTTGTGGTTAGTTCAAAGGACCTAAAGGTACCCCGCCCCCTTGTGGCCGTACGGTGTGGGTCAAAGCGGCAGAGTGGAGTCTGGGGTAGAGCATGCTGTAACGTCCACTGTTAGCTTCAACGTCAACTTCCCAAGCCACTATAAAATGCTTCTTTCACGCCCACGAACGAAGCGACGCGCATCTTGCTGTGCCGATGATACATTGAATCGTTCTGGAATAAAAGTCAACCTTTCAACCGACCTTCGACCTGACTGACGAGATCAAGTGCTCGGGGGATTCTACCATTCTCTTTGAACGGACAGAACCCATTCCAACATGTCTCGACGCTCTTCCATTTTCGGGAGGCTTGGCCGCCGAACCTCATCGGCGACGGCAAGCATTGCAACCAGCAACGAGAAAGACGGACAGGGAAACGACGACAAGCTCGCACCGCCCCCGGCCTACACCACCGTCGACGAGTCGGCCACGGCGGACTTGACAGCGGCCTTTGACCAACTGAGCCTTTCCAGCGCCGCTTCCGACCCAACTGTCGATACATGTCTTGCCCACTTGAAGCTGTTGTTCGCCATCCAGTCCATGAAGGAAGAGGTCGGCTATACAGATGGCCTTTGGGGACTGTGGGACTCCCGTGCCGGGCCTCTCGACCACCTTGAACACACATATGTCAATAAGAAGAAGACCCCTTCTGATTCCAAGAAGCCCCTTGGCGATGACCTACTGGAAGACGACGACAAGGTTGCCAAGAAGACACTCGAGAATCTGAGCAAGATCCGCGAGAAGCGATGGGCCTTGTACCTTGCGAGAGCTACCCAGAGATACGAGGCGTGGTGGAAATCGCTGCCTGGCGGTCAACCATTGACGGAAAAGGACATGGAGGAAGACACATCCTTTGGATACGAGAAATTTCCTACGGATGACAGCGCTACCTTTGATTGCAGCGAGGACAAGTTACCTCCTCTTGGTATGTCACAGACCCTCCTCCAAAAATCTGCTGGGATTAGCTATTTTCTGTTAACACTGATTCTGCACAGATGTACTGATGGTCTGGCATACCCACATGCTCAACCCCCGTGCCTTCCTTGAAGATGCCATGCTAGCTGGATTGAGAGGCTTCTGGAATAGAGGACTCCCGTGGCATTTGGTCAACGCGGCCATCGACTCCGACTTCAGCTACAATGTAACGGATCAGTGCAAGGCCCAATGGACGAACCAGACCGGCCTCTCTTGGGACAATCAATCTGATCCACTCGTCAAAGACTTGCAATGCCCCAAATGCAACACACAATTGTCAATCCCCTGGACAACATGCTCTCGGCCTGAAGACTTCTATGATGAAACCGAACCCCTGGACCTGACTGGCACTGGCTTTGGTGACGGCAACCTTAAGCATTTGTGCGAAAGATGTGGTATTACTATTTGTAAGGAATCGCTTTGTGCTTTCAAGTTTGTCAAAGACGTCGAGGCTCTACTTGGGCCTGCAAACCGGCCGATCCCAGGCACCGTACTAGAACCCACAACTGGGAGACCCGCGACAGTGCCGCCCGAGCCTGAAAGGTCCATCTACCCTCGCACCTTTCCCAACCGTCTTCTTAAAAGTGGATGCAACTCTATTCGCACAAAGGTGACCACGCTCATGACGTCCAAGCCGAACCCTACCATGCAAGACATTCGTGTCGAAATCGAAGCCATTCTTGGGAACAGCACATGGCTGAGGGAGATCAACAAGTATTTGAGCCCCAGGGGCGCGGCATACAGGGTTGGTCGTGCCAGTAAGCTCAGCATACGCAAAATGATGGCCCATTACTGGGAGAACTTCAGCCCCTTTGCTCTTGACCTGGCTGGCGCTGTTGTGCGCCAGGGCATCTTCATCGAAAAGATGTACAAGATTGACTGGCTTCATAGCCCTTCGGCAACTGACACCATGAAGCGCCTCCTGCTCAAATATGTCCGTTTTTTTGCCATCATGCAGAAGAATCCGACCAAGATGGCAGTCCCTACGCTTGATATCGACCTGGCTTGGCACACACACCAGTTGAGCCCAAGCAAGTACTACGAATACAGTATCGGCAAAACCGACAAGTTCATCGATCATGATGACAAGGTCGAGGAGGGCAGATTGAGCGAGCAATTCGAATGGACCAGCAAGGAGTATCAGGATACCTATGGTGAAGTGTACAGCGAGTGCACGTGCTGGTATTGCGAGTGTAAGTTGGACCCGCCATCAGTCGTCCGAGCTCCTCGTTTTTGATGCTGACCACAACGTCCGTCTTGTAGCTATTCGAACCTCACACGTGAACTCACTCGGTCAAGTGCTGGGTGTTTCCAAGTCAGAGAAAAGTAAGTATCTCCGTGTTTCATGGTCTGGCCACCCAAACACAGTTTGGAACCTCACTAACCAACTTCCTTGCCAGTTGCCGAATCCTTCCACGCCTCCGGAAAAGCCAAGTTCTGCCCACCCGACAGGTCCGCCCATATCTCTTCCCACAACGCCGTGATGTTACACGTCGATCCTTCACAGCCTGACCTAACCACTCAGAACCGTGTGCGCATGCAACTCGCCGCCCTTCACCAGAAGAGACTGGATGCTGCATACGCAAAAGCCAAGAAACGCGCAGAGAAGAAGGGCAGAACGATCCCGCCCCGGGATTCGACGTACTACGACCACTGGGGATACCCGTACTACATGGCTGGACCCTACATGTATCCCATCTGGTTCGCACCGGGCTTGTACTACGGTTGGAATCCGGGATACATTGCCGGCTGTGGCACCGGAGCGAATGGAGCTTGTGCAGCGGGCACATGCGGAGGAGGTGTTGCTGCTGGTGGTTGTGGTGGTGCTGGGGTAAGCTATCCTTAGTCCTATGACAATGGTGGATATGATGCTAACATGACTTCCTCTAGGGATGTGGCGGGGTAAGTTATTTTACATGCGCGACAACCAGTGCAGGAAGAAGGTCCACTTGTCCATTACTTGATGCAAATGCTGACGGATTTTCTTTGCTTAGGGATGCGGCAGCGGTGCTGGCGGTAGTGCCTGCGGCGGCGGCGGGTGCGGAGGGGGTGGTGGCTGCGGAGGCGGAGGCGGAGGAGGAGGAGGAGGTTGTGGTGGCGGTAAGTAAACCCTCAATGACATTCTTGAAGGCTGATTAAGATACTGACATTTGTGGTATGAAGGCGGTGGATGCTAGGATTCCCAATACCCCGGATTTATATGTCACGATGGTTTCTTTAATGGGAAATGCTTGCTTGAATATCATAACCGTCATTATCAATTCGTCTTCTTTCGTTTTTCACGATCGATCCTGTTGTTTGTTCTATCTAGAGTTATTTGAACTGACCAGAATGAAATACCAACACACTTTCATTGATACCCGTTTTGCGCGCGATCTGCCTTATTGTGGCTTGGAGGATATCGCCGTCATCATAAGCGCACGAAGGATCAATAGTTACTGGCCCGTTAGGCGCCAAGATATTGGCTTGTAACACTCAAAAGAATAAAGAGGGGGCATTACCCACTATTCGACAATCTGGTCTGACACTGCCACTTTCACAATTGAGATCAGGCACCAACACACCATTGAAAGTCGTTAATCGCGGCATTGGCATTGCAGCTAATTCTACTCGTTGCTCATTAATACATCAATCGCGGTACGCGTCGAAGTCATACTCATTTCTAACTGTGCTAACTTTGTAGACCATATACGCCTACAGAACAACCTCATATGAGCTACTTCCCGCAAGCCATACATGCATGCTGAAGCCCGACCGACATCCGTGACGAATTCTTCTTCAAGATGGCAACAACAAAAACTGGGAACAAGCAAAGTCATGATGAGTTTCATGTATGCGAGCTTCGAAAATACCCAGTCGGACCACCTCAACAGCCGCTAGCCTTGTTAGAGCTCTCGCTAGCTACATCCAAGCAACTACTTTCCAGGACCTTCGACTTCGAACCCAAATACTCCGGCGAAGACCTCTTAAATCAAGTAAAGCAGCTCGACGCATGGACAGGAGATCAACTAGGATTCCTCGATGAAGCCCTCGACAAGTTCCTCTTCAAAGTCCTTGTCCACGACACAGACACAGACACAGACACAGACACAGACACAGACACAGACACAGACACAGACACAGACACAGACACTACTACCAAACCGTCCAACCCTACACGGCTAATAAAAGAAGAGGAGAAGAGCAGCAATTTAGTACCAGAGACTCAGACTATCAAGTCGTTCGTCGCACTCAGTTACTGCTGGCACTACCCCAACTGGTCCGTAGCCCTCGGCCTCCAACATGGTGTCGATCCAACCACCATCCCCGACAGTCCCCTGGCACCCGCCATGTTCGCAGCCTTTCTTGCCGAGCGCTCCAGTCCCGAGGAGCCAGTCTGGTTAGACCAGTGGTGCATCGACCAAACCAACGACGAAGAGAAGATAGTCGCCATAGGCGCCATGGACGCGCTCTACTACAGTGCTCGTGTAGTGGTGGTTTGTCTGGAGGATGTCCGTCTTAGTCCCGATGACGCGGCGATTATACTCAAGTTTGCCGAGTTTGTTGAAAGGAAAGAGAAGCCGGAGTGGAAGGAGGATAAGGAACAAGTACGTTTGTGGACGGCTGTCGAGCGGATCTTTGCGGCGAGGTGGTTTATAAGGGCTTGGTGCGCGCATGAGTATTGGATGGCGAGGCAGGTGGTGTTTTTGGCGCCTGTTACTTCTGATCCCGAGGCATTGCCTGGAGAGGTTGGGGAGGTGGAGATTGTGAGGTTTGATAATCGGTTTTTGCAGTTGGTGCATTCTGTTGCTTCGAACTGGTTCTCGGGAGAGAATGCGGAGACGTTTAGGAGACGGGAGAGATATCGAAGGGAAGCTTTTGAGGGGGAGGAGGCTTATTATTGGGGTGGTCGGGTGCCTGAGTCTAACGAGGAGGATGCAGAGTCGTTCACCAAGAGGAGGGCATTTGGTATTGCGAACAATCAACATCAAATGGGCGACCCTGAAGCAAAGCTGTTACCGCAAATCAGTTCCTTCGCTGTCATCCAGAGTCTCGCTGCGGGGTTTGAGAGGGACAAACTTTCTGTTTGGCTGAATGCATCGCGCACCCGCCTCTTTATCAAACATAACAATCCCCTTTCGGAAGCGGAAAGGTCATGGATAGCGACCGTCGTCTCCCTAGCATCAGGAGACGCCACGGTGCTGGCGGCCGTCGGTCCAACTCTCGCCGATCGGGATAGTCAGCACGGCCAAGTCGGGAATAAAACCCCCAGAGAAACAGGTTGGGCATGCGTGCCAGAGGTGGATGACTACGTCCACCTCGGCTCAAGCCCTATCTATCCCGCGCTGGATGGCAACCCATCTCTCTCCTCTGATGGACTCGCGCTGGACGCTATCATACTTGATACCTCGTCTGGTATGCAGAGTCCCCACCATACCAGCATGGCGGCAGCTAAAGGGGCGTTGAAATGGTATAGCGAACAGCGAAGCAAGTTTCCCTCCTCAACAGAAACAGAATTAGGCGGATGGGAAGACATCGACACCATCACCCCGCTCTACACTCTTCACCTCACAGAAGCCCTCGCCATCCTCTTGGAACTGAGTGATCCCCCTTCCTTCACTTGGACGCGTCTCTGTCTTTCTCAAGCGTTTCCTAGGCCAGGGTCAAAGTACGCGAAGCTTTTGAGTCATCAGTCTTGTGTTTCTTTTTTGGAAGTTGGCTTTCTCTCGTTGAGCGGTGCTAGGTCTTCTTTGAAGGCTGTCGTCGATGGCGAGAATGATGATGATGCGAACCTGCGAGCGGTGGAAGGTTACCTCAACACCTTCCACTCTCAAAACCCCGATATAACATTCAAAGGCGTCACCGCCTTCCTAGCGATAGCCGAGGGAATCGTCCGTACTGTCTGCGGCGGAGCGAGCTATTATCGCACAGGGAAAGTCAACGAGACGTATCAACTACAAGTCAGCGATGCGATTCCTCACGGTTTAATCGTCTTTGCTCCTCCTGCTTCTCAATTTCAGCAAACCAAGTATACCATCGCCTGCCCGTTGGCGCTGAGTCAATTGAGGGAGGTGCAGGTTAGTTATATGCACCGGGGGTGGATTCTTGAACAGGAGGAAGGGAACGAGACAGTTCAGGAGCATCCGGAGGGCAGAAAGATTCCAAGATACAGCCTCATAGGCAAAAACGCCTTGTTCATGCCGGTGGGAGGAAGTATCATCAAGCATCCGGAGACTGGGGGTTTGTGTAGGATGGGGGATCCCGTGAGGTTTGCGGCTTCGGGGGTTAATAGGGATGGGGAAAGGAGGATGGTGAGGAGGATTGTCGTTGGCGGCGGCGGAGGAGGAGAAGAGGAGACGGGGGAGGTGAGTGATGGAAGGGAGGTGAGAGAGTGGCAGGAGAGAAGAAATGGAAGGGAGGTGAGAGAGTGGGAGGAGAGAATAAATGGAAGGGACGTGAGGTTGGTGCCTAAGATGGAGATGGGGATTTTGGGATGGGCGATGACAGTGATGATAGGGTTGGGGGCGATGCTATGGGGATTTTTGGGTAAGTGAACTCTTACATGGTGTTTGGGTTTGTCGGGTTTGTCGGATTGAAAAAGGTCATTGAATCGGAGAGGGTTAAAGTGGTCTTTGTGATCGATCACATACGGTGCAAAAGATGACGATACAAAGAACAGAAAGAGACACGAGTGAAGCAAAATACCGAAGGAGCCACCTTGCTGGTCGTTCTTTACTGCTCAAATTATTGATGAGTGTCTCGCAAGTGCCGACTTTGGCAGTCGTGACATTCGTGCCTGCCTCAAACAAAATGGTAATGAAGACGAAGTTAGTTCTGGACCTTCGGAAGGAGCACTGGGCCAATGTAACTGCAGAAGATTAGAGGTATCTTCCATGGGAAGAAATTGTTCAATCTGGAGAGACCGTTTTTCGGTTCTTCTCTCACAATTAAGACCTCGAGTTAATCTCTTCACCACTGCATCGAACCACGTCGAGAAACACCACACACCGGCAGGACCTGCATCACGAACACCGGACGAACCACGGAGTGGGTCCCGTCCCTGAGTCCATCCACTCAAACCCAGGGACTTACAGCGCTTCAAGCACCTGTAAGTTCAAGCTCGGTTTCCATCCACTTCTCTCAACTGCAGTCAAGGCAATCATCGCCGGCACGGCTTCATCCTGTTTTCTTCTCCCCAATACCAGAGGCTCCCGTCGGTTCGCTCAGATTGCTTCGGACAGTGTGTGTCACTTTCATTTTCATTTCCGTTTCAAGCGGCCCGTGATGCCATCTTTCCGCTTTCAACCGTTATCGAACTTCGAGCAGCCATATATGCCGGCGCAAACCGGCGAGAGTCAGTGGGTTTGGTAGCGAGAGGATGAACAATACCATCACAGCAGGTAATCTGAAGGACGCGCAGCCATCCCACTCCGGTATCCACTCGTCCGTCCCGTCGTCTTCGATGCACTCAAGCACCAGCAAGGAAGCAACTTCATTTGTGGTTCTGGTCGGTCGTCCATCAGGAAATTCACCGTTTCATCTACCACCCTGCGTCTTCTGGTCTATTCTCAGGCCCGTCAACGGATATACCCCGGGAATGTCGAAGCATATCTCCATCGGGAGTATAAGTAATCTCCAGGCCTCCATTTAATGGGGTCTGAGGGTACCGCTTTTTTTCATTCGATTTGGATTCGTTCTAGCCAGCTGTAGTCTAGTACTGCCCACTTTTCCAAGCCGATCGCAAGCAAGACCCGCCCAGAGTGGGTATTTGAACGTGGTGGCAGGGGGTAAACCAGCTGGCTGGCACTCGCTTATATGCCCAGATAGGGTATGGCGGCCCGCTATACCCTTTCTGAGCGAATCCAAATCGAATGAAAAAAGCGGTATTTATCTCATCTGCTCATCCAACGGGTTTGGGATGATCATGACCGTTATGAGAATTTGATCGGCCGGAGTCGGCCGGAGTCGGGCGAGAGGCCGGTGGATGGGATGCGCGGGTTTTCGAAGGAAAAACCGCTTGAAAGGGATGTTGAATGGATTCCAATTGCTAACATGCTGAAAAGGAATTTTGCGGATCCACGGCCATCGGATTGTGGAAATGTTGTGAAGTGGAAGACTGACCTTGACGATGACCAGGTTTCGATGAAGCAACACAGCCCACACAGCAGCAAAGGTCCACATTTACCCGTGCCGAGCGCTGCCTACTTGTATGTATTTGTGCACACCTTGCGTCACCGCACCTCACCGACCTCACCGTGCCTTACCGTGTCTGACCTACCGCGCAGTAGCTTGCCGAGCCGGGTCCGGGTCCGGGTGCAGTTCCCGAACTCCGCTTTTTTCTTACCAGCTGGCCCGCTGCGCCCGAGTGGCCCGGTGCTGGGTCCGATTCCCCGTTCAGCGCTTACGTGACACCAATGGCAGCAACAACACAATAAATCATGTGAGGATCACACCACCATGGAATGAACATGAGCGTCATAATCGCAAGCATGTGAGCATGGTCACCATTCACCATTTACCAGTTTGAGCAGATGATATGCTTGCAAGAAAGGCAAACACCGGGTGCAGCTCCCGTATCATTTTCGGGATTTCTTCCTATATGAATACTCGGGTTTCCCTGCTGCCCTGATCCAGACACTTCAAGACAAGGAAGATTTGAAGCGTTTGAGCACCAGGGCAGGGCAGTCTCAGCTGGACAAAATGCAAACAACAGACCGCTCGCTCGGTTTCGAGTGCAGTTCCCGTATCGAAACCTACCTGCCTCACCTCCTGTCTCGAGTCTCGAGTCTCATGTGCTACCGGCGTAGATAATGTCCGAAGTTGTCCAGTCCCTCGGGACGTCCAAACGGGACTCCCGTGAGCCGTCGTTCCGCTGCAGCATCAGATTGTTGGGCAAACATATGGCTCTCGGACTCGCTTGCACTGTGACAAACATCTCTCCCACTGCTTCCGCTTTCTCACTGTTTCTGAGGCTTTGACAGCTTCCAGGACTTCCAAGGACTGACTGCCTGTCTTACGGTGAAGTTTTCCATCTTTTGACAAAATCCGAAGTAAGGTCCTGATTCTAACCATGAAAGCACCTTGAAGGCATCGATACTAGGCTACTACGTCTGATAAAAAAAAAAAAAAAAAAAACGACCGAACGCCTTCCCAAAACAGGACAGAACGGATTAACAAAACCGGACCAATTCCGCACTTCCCTCTTTTCACCGTCCACATATAGAATAGTACTTCGCAATCGCACATAGGTTGCCACACTGACCGGTCAAAACTGGATGATGATGACCTGTATCACTTCGTTGAATCGAATCCCTCCGAGAGTCCGAGTCCGGGTGCACCTCCCGAAGCAGTTTTCTGTCCCGAGCCTTGTAGCACCCAGCACGCATCCAACAAATCACTTCACCTTCTCGTTAACACTGTAACAAACACCTCTCTCTCCCAGTCCTCCCACCCACCTTTCCGCTCTCAAGCTCTTACCTTTCCGCTCTCAGTCTCAGCTCTTACCTTTCCGCTCTCAGCACTCAGTCATGCTCACCTCAGTCATGCTCACCTCTCATACCCTTGAGATTTCAATACCCCTGCTCCCTTGATACCCATCCTTGATTTCTACCACGAGTTACATATGCAGGACTAAGCCCACCAACACCAACAAGGACTATCGATTACCTGAAAAAAGGCTTCTGGAACACCACCATTGCCACCGGACACATCGAGAAAGAATTATGCCTTACCTCTACTGCGCACGGTCTTTCCTGCTCGAGTGCTGAGTTATGCCTTGCTAAGCAGACGCTAATCCCAAGCAGTCAGTCCTCTTCAGACTCTCTTCCTATCCCATGTCCACGGTGTCCACGGTGTCCTTTGGCCCCCATCTGTGCGTCCTGTGCCCTGTTGCCATGTGCTGTGAAGAGTTGGAAGGGTGTGCACTTCCAACTGAACGAAGTTACCATGCCGTGCCGTCCGTTGTTGTTTGCTCGCCGGTCAACATGGGTTGCAGGATGTGTGGCGGTTTTAAGATTTCTCATTCAGTCCATTCATTCAGTGTCCATTCTGGCAGTGCGCGAAAGTTGTTCACCGCTCTATGCGCCCTTTGAAGCCTCTTTTTCGCTTGTGTGCGAATGCTATTGGTCTTGTTTTCGATGTGCTCAATTTGATTGTATGTACTGTACAAGGCTCATTTTACTTTACAACGAACGTCTCACGTTTTAAATGCACAACAGATTAACCAGTTTGTCGGGTTTTTGCATTTTCGATTTTCATGACGATAGATGCCAATGCTAAATTTCCTTGATTAACCGTATACCAACGAATGCCCATCTAAGACAGTGTGTTGAGTTTGTAGAAGAGGATATGTTGTGGATGACGAGGATGATGACGATGAACGAGCGCAGGCTAGCGTGCGTGCGAACAAGTGAGCAAGCAAGCAAGCGAGTGAGTACACGAGCGATTTCAAGATATACACAGTAATTTTCTCGCTAGGCTAGAACCATACAAAATGCGAGAAATGGGGTATCCGTTGTGATAAAACAATACAAAAAGAAGTCAACGTAAAACGAGTCGGTGTGTGTACAAAAAGTGTTGTATGAGTGATTGTGTGAGTTTGCTTAGTGCCAAATGCATTATGATGCGGCACAGAAACTGTCGTGTTGGTCATCGCTTTGTACGGATCCGAACAGACGAAACTTCCCAAAACCCCGTTCCCGTGTATTGGGGGGCAATGGTGTTTGGTGGCCCATGATGGCCGAAGTGCGTGAAGACATCCTGTCGTTCGTTCGGCTGCCTGGTCGAATGAGTTAGGCCCGGCCTAATGCAGGATGATTTTTGATGTCGGGTTCCGTTATAACCTGCCCATGATTGAGACGACGATCCGCAGAGCTGATGCTGGGTTTCGATGAACCTCGGTATCCAATTCCGCCATCGTACTTCAAAGGGCAGGCGTGAGTCGAAGATGGAAGTAGCGGTAACACTCGATCCAGTTTCCCCGTTGCTGCTTCCTCCCCTTGCTCACTTTCTCGGTGGTGGTGGTCTGCGTCGACAATTTCCTTCCCTTCAACCAGTCCAGACTTGATGCGGCGGATATTGCGGATATTGCGAATATTCTGGTACGGGTGGGTGTGGTGATGCCCTCGGCGTATTCTTTGCCTTCTTGCGACTTTGCGGCGGAGCACTGGAACGCATACGGGTGCGCTTGTTGAGACGCGGCCTGCTGAGCTCCATTTGGTGACGTTGTTCCCTCCTGTGTCATGGGTCAGTTTCAATCTACCCATTAAATGAACCATTGTTCTCAAAACATACACTGCCTTCTTCAATTGCTCCTCATCAAACGCGGCCTGATCCTTAATGGGCACGGATGCCTTGTCGTTCTCGGGGGTCGCTTGTCTCTTCTCGAGAACAGTTGCAAGCCAATCGCGAGTCTGGCTGGGTTGAACGAGTTGACTGGGTTGAGGTATCGATTGCTCTTCAATCTTGCTCGTCTCCTCCGCAACCGGTTCAATTTCGGTAACCACTGGTCGGCTGTCGTCGATTTTGGGGAACTCGTCGGGGATTTCGGGTAGGGCTGCTTCGGACAAAACACTGAGGGCGGGCGAACCAGGACCGGAGCCTGGACATGGGATGTAGTCGACATATGCTTCCTCCCGCACCATGTACAGATCGGAACTCAAAGGAACTGCGACATGTTCGTATCGCTCTGGCGTCTTCACAAATGCGTCCAAAACTGAAAGTGATCCGAGGCTCCATAGAAGTTCTCCGGAAAGGGGCGTCCTGGAATTGGAGGAATCATTGCTGTGACAGATGCCGTGGAACTGAAATGGTTCTCGTGAAACGGTAGGGCTTAATGGCGGCGTCGAATCGGATAGCGGTCGTTGTTGCCAGATGGATGAGAAACTTTGTGTAACACTGGTGGCCGTCATGTCAATGTCAGCTGCCATGTGGCCCAAGGTCGGACACACTTGTTCTACTGACCTCTCATCATCATGCTCGGTTGGGTTGAAGTCATCGAAGAGACTCGGCTCGCCGTCGTAGGCGTCGTAAAAAATGTCGAGGTTGCGGCGAAGGACAAGGCCGCAATACCTGAAGTCGAGCAGGTTGAGGGCCTCCATTGTGGAACTCTCGAGGGGAAGGTTGTTGAATTGTGTGAGGATGATACTTGTAACTTGTAAGGCTGATGATGCCAGGGGACTAGGGTCGAGAGGACGGGAGGGAGTCGTTTGGTTTTGATGGAAAGAGAAACCAAGATGGAGCTTGGATGGAGACCAGATGGTGGACACCCAAGAAGGTATGGGGATGGCAATCCTCTAGTAAGGAGGCCCTGACTCCACACCCATCAATGAGCAGGCGAGGATGCTGGGCGACTGGACGAGGATGGAGGCGATACTAGTAGGTGCTAGCCCAGCGCATTCTCGGGACCCTTCCCCAGACCCGGACAGCTTTAATTCGCAAGCGGAGCGTTGGCTGATCACCAGGAAGTGAGAAGCCGCCAGCGCTTGTTGGATTGGTGTCCGGTGCTAGCGGGGGAGTGTGGGATTTGGGTTTCTTGATCAATAGAAGCGGACCCGAGACTCTTGACCCAAGAAAGCGGAACTGGGTGGAACTGGAACAACAGGCTCGGTACTGGGATGATGGATGATGACTGGGCCTGGCTTGTGGGAGCTATTGTGCTGCCGATGCAGACAAGTGGATGATACAGATGGGATGGATGCCAGGTGGTTATTGCCGTGCTTGGGCCCGAGCAAAAGGTATGGTAGGTTGGGGGCAGCGACCCAGTTCCCCGGGATAAGGGGGTGAGCGAGGTGAAGGGCGTGTGTCTTGTGTCTGTGAGACAACGGCCGACGGGCAGCTGCTGCTGGCGACACGGACAAAGAGACACTGGAGGGAGAGATGGAATTGGATTCCGATTGTTGGGTTCGGACGACGAGTGGGGGAGACAGTAAAACAACATTCAAAGGGGGAGGAAGGCATGCAAAAGAGTAATGCAAAGGCGAAAACGGGCGGACTGCTGGTGGGATGGACTCGATCAGAAGTGTTAAAACCGGCACTGCGCACACTGGCTTGGCTGGTTTTGAAAACTGCCAGACAGCCAGACACTACCACCTCAGGGCGTCAGGCAGTCGGACCAAGTGGGAGAGGAAGGATTGGGAACTGCGAATCGGAAACAAAATGGACGAATCCATCCGTGCCATGTTCCCTTGACTGCTTTGGCCTTTTTCCCCGCGGCGCGCAACAAAACAGAAGAGATCCCAAAAAGAGGCAGTCGAGTGAAGCGGCGGAGAGTTGCCAAAACCCGTCGTAGTACCAGGTAGCTGGTAGTGTGCGAATGCGTGCGAATGGGCAGGCCAATGGGCAGATGTATTACCAAGCAACCTCAAAACGACTGCTGCTTTGGCTGCTTTGGCTGCTTTGGGCCCCTGGTCGTCCAGTGTTTCAGGAAAGAAGAAAAGAGACCCAGAAACAGCTGCCAACAGCGCCCCAACAAGCGAGTGCACCACGGCAACGCGAACGATACTGTGCCAGACGTCTGTTGTTCACAGAAATGTGACAAAAATAAAAGAGAGAGAAATGAGAACAAATAAGGTAGCCAAAGAGACCAGGGGACGACCAGCATTAACCCCAAACGGGTAAGGTGTGTATGCACAATTCTCCATTCTGAGTGGTCATGTCGCGCAAACGCTAGCTGGGTAGATTCAAAATGCTCCCTGGGTAGACTAAACTTACTTTTATCGCTGAGTAAGCCTAGCCGCCCAGCCCAGCCGCCAGTATATCGTATGCAATTGAGGTTATATAAATAATACCTGCGCATTACTCGATTTACGTCGTTGGTGTTATTTTTTACGTAAAGTTATTTAGAATTATTAATCTAGTCAATTGTCTATTGCTAAGAGGGTTGATATTGCGGTTGCTAGTAATATTGCTATCCTTTATATTAGCCCTATGATAATTATATATATTGTATTTATTATATATACTGCCTAGAGTATACGTGCCTACCCTAATTTTAATACCTACAGTATAAATATTGCCTAGAGTATTAGAAAGCTCCTATATTCTAGGAGTAAAGTATTAGAGGTAGTCCTATTTGCGTTGTTAGTATAATTTAGCCTTGTAAATTTCCTTACTATTGATTAAAAGGGGGAGGGAGATTCTAATCTAGTTGGGAGGGTATTAGTATTAATTGTTTAATGGGCGTTGGTATTCTATAATTAAATTGGTTAGAGTTAATAGGAGTTAGTATATAGTTATAAGACGGCTATTATTAAATTAACGGCTATTATTAGACTTAAGGATAGGGAGATAGGAAGGGCGCTAGAGCTCTCTATAAGGGAGTTAGAGGGTAAAAAGGCGAAGGCGAGGGAATTAAAACTCTAAACATTAAGGGAATTAGAATTCCTTATGGGGGCGTTAGAGAAAGCGCTAGTATAAATTGAATTATAGCTTCTATAATAGCGTTATTTAAATCTTTTTATATAATTTGGCTTACTTATTATTAAATCCCTCCTCCTTTAATATAAGACTATTTTTAGCAGGCTAGCGCCCTCCCTCCTCTCTAAATATTTCATTATATTATTCGGCGGGGAGGCACACGGAGCATCTTGAACACCGAGAACGCTTTCTGAGGGGCCCGGATTTTCGGATTTATTGGAACCAGGGTGCAACACACACTCCAACACACACTTGACAGGGGTCCAAAAGGCCCTGGAGATGCTCAAAAGGGCACCCAGTACAGTGCTCTTCCGGCCTCCGGGGCGCTAGGAAGATAAAAGACAAAAGTCGAGACCAAAAACCATCAAAAGGGCCCGGCTCCGGCTTCGGGTCCGTCCAATTGTCGTGTTTTTTTTTTCTTTCCTTCCTCGATGATGTAAAAAAAGATGCAAGGAGGAGCAAGACATTTCATTTCTTCCGGTTGTCATTTTCCGCCTCTACTCTTTTGTTTCCTCCTTCCCAAGACCGGCGTGAAACGGCAAGCACTGCAGGCAGAGGCGGACCAGCCGACATGCGCCTGCCATTTTCTGTTGGGCAGTTTGGGCACTGAAAAGGCAGGCGAGGCAGGCGCTGCGGTCCTGGCAGCAAAAGCACTTGCCCCATTCTGATTGACAGGCCAACAGGCTTCAGGAATGAAGACAAGGGGATTGACACATTTCCACGTTGTCGACAGATCGGGACACCCGGCGACAAGAGAACTAACAGAACTGACAGACCGACCACAAAAGATTGGTCATTTGCACAAGCGCGAGACCTCAGACACGGCTAGGAGTCTAGGACTGTCTGGAGCACACGGGGCGACTGGAAGCGCTCCCGAAAATGATGAGCGCAGGCTTTGAGGGGGAGGTCCGAAAGATATCGGGAATTAATAACGGTCTTAGGGGTCTCTTTTGTTGGCAGGGTCGTCGCAAGTGGTCGGACCATAATGACGCACGTTGCAGGAGTTCGCAGTCGATCTATCTCACAGGGGGGAGACCGGGGAGGGCAGCGACGACTCGGATGTCTTCCCACTGTGTCCACTGTAGACGCTGCACCTTGTGCATATTGGAAGGCTCCATCCAGACCTCCTTCCCCCGCGGCGGCGGAACAAACACACGACCTTCCGCGCCTCTAGCGTGCTAGCTTACATAAGTGCCCGCACTGGGGCTATAGACAGGGGGGCTATAGTGCAGACAGGGGGTGTCTCGCCAAGTCGAACTTTGGCTTCTTTTCGTGGAAGCGCCTGCCACTTTGGGGCTAACCTTTTACGACATGACTCGATCTCCAGCGCGTCGTTGCCCGTCGTCTTGCATTTTGATCCTTCCCTTCCCTTCGACAAAGCAATGGAGTGCTCGATCGCTCGATACTCGAGAGACAGCGAGATCACCATCAACCACCACGGCACCGCAACGTGCGAACAATCCCGGGAGTGCGGCACTCTTTATACCTTCAGGTTGGCCCTGAATGTCTGGGCTGTGTTGGGACACGGAAACGGACGGAGACGAGACCACACGGGACCACCCCCCCAATTTGTGCAAATTTGCCAGATGCACATCACAAAATCCCGGGCGGGCAAGTGCAACAGGCGGGCACAGCAGGCACAGCAGCAGGCACACTCTCGAAAACGGAAAGAATGTTACACGACGTTACATCCGATTTGCACCTATCAAGTGACCAGGGCGCTTTCCAGATAATGCATCACCGTTCATGCAACACAACGAGGAGGAGGTCCCAAGCCAGGGAGGCTGGCACTCTTCAAACACTGACACACAATGGAAACCACCGAAAAATCTCTTCCCATCCTGATGGCTCCATAAGGGTACGGCGCCCGATCGGAAAATCGTTCAAAACAGCAATACCCTCCGTCATCATCACCATGATCCTCGACCTCGACTCACAAAACCTTGATCCCAATCCCAAACAGCACCTCAACAAGTCAACAACATGTCCGACTCATCTTCGTCCACCATCTCCCTACCCCCCGCCAAGGCCTAGGCTTGACCTCATGATCCACGGACGCCATGCCATGATGCAAGGAGAAGGTGCTCCGCGCATGGTCTGTTCGGCTATCGTAACCGTTTACTCCGGCACACCGTCACGGCTTTGAGAGCATCCTCCAGCTTGTCCAGGCACAGTCCTTTCTTACTAGTCTCCGACGCCTCCGAGATAACGCCCAGTCGCGCTTGTTTAGTCGGGGCTGACCAAGCCATGTTGTCATGCCTCCTTCGGCCGAGTTTGGACCGTTGAGAAATCGTCTTCAAAATCGTATCGTCGTTCCAACATCATCCGAGGCGTCCAGGGCATCCAGATCTAGATCCTGTTGGTTCTTCGTCAGCGAGGCTATGCTCGTACCAGGCTCCAGGGAAACTACTTACCGGTTTTCTTTCTTCTCATCACCTCGGCAACGTGTTCGAAGGTAGCTTCCTCGGCAGTCGTTGATTACTATAGCAAGGTAAGTTCGTTAGCATGACACCTCATCATCACTTTTATGCATATCGGACATTAGTATCACTTATTCACGTTGCACAAGAGGGTCAGTTCATGTTGGAGAAAGCTATCGGTGTTTTGTTTCAATGTCTGGCACTCGTAGCTAACTCCTATTTCCCAATTCCAAAGCACTTCCCGTCCAAAAAACCTTCCCGTCCAAGATGCTCCTCCGTGAAAACTCAGTTAACCGCTCAAGCACCACTGTGCTCCCTGTTGGTCCTTCGAATCGTCCATCTCTCAGATCTTCCTCCTACATTCTTTAGGTTGTGGCGCTCCGACCATCCGTGATATCCTTTTGTGACTCTTTTTATGGCGTCCACTTTCCGGTTCTTCGTAAAGTATCGTCGGTCGCGCTTCTTTATTGGTTCAGAGTCCCAGCTTCATATAGTGAGATTTAGAAGAACTCGTCTTCCTCAAGCTCTACGATGGTGTTGATAGGTCGAGCGTCATGGCGCCAGCTGAGGAACCAGCGGAGCTCCCGTGCGTCCAGGGGCCTGTACTCAGGCCCGGCAAGGCGGAAGTACCACATGTCGTCACTTCCACGAACGTACTCAGCGAAGTGGTAGTTCTCGCCGGGGCACGGGATGTGTTCGATGACGAACCAGTTGGGGGGCATCTCTTCCGCCTTCCACCACTTCTCATCAGGTTGATCTGAGTTGATGATGTCCTCCGCAACTTCCGCAGCGACATTTGTGGTGTTGATCTCGGTGATGTCCTTCGTGATGCTCGTGTTGGTGTTCTCGTCAGTTTGATCCTCGGGCATAGGCTCGAGCTCTGGGTTTACAACCTCTGGCTCATCCCATGGGACCCACGGCAGTGGGAGCTCCTCCTCATGGTTGACCTCAAGCACGGTCTCCGGCTCACCGGCACTATCCCACGGCACCCACGGCAGTGGGAGTTCTTCTTCTTTATTCTCAGCCTCAATGCCCATGGTTTCCTAACCCACGGTCGCAATTGGCTCTTTCTCGTTCTGTAGCTTGGCCGCTTCGTGTAGAGCGGTTTGATGAAGTTTAGCGGGCAGAGAGGCCACATCCCCGACAATGAAGGCAATGAGCTCTCTGTATTCTGGCCAGCTCAGCTCATCAAGTGTGCCGTCGTCATTCAACCAGTACCAGTTTCCGCAGCTCATCTTGGCATATCTCCCTCCCTCTGGGCGCTCCAAGATTGCGAGCATCTCCAACTCGCCCCGATAGTTGGTGAAGTCGTAAGGGGTGCTCATGTCTTCCGAGCCGTTGGATGATGTGAACTGGTTGCTGCTTTGGCTGCGGCAGCGCGCAGGAGAAGGCGAAGGGGTTTCTTCTTTGAGCAACCTTCTGTCGTAGTGGATATCATCGCCAGGTTGGGCGATGGGATCAAACTCGATCCTGGTGGACTTCTTGGCGGAGAGGCAGACCGTGAAGCCGGTCATGGCCTGGTATTCATATACATTGTCGGGGCTCGAGTACTGCGTCGCTGGAGAATCGGGCGCGGTGGCAGTCGTCTTGCTGTTGTCGGTTTCATCGCTAGTGTTTGTTCTATGAAGAGTTAGTAAAGGTCTTTCAAGTGATAGTGAGTTGGTGAGGATGACTTACTCGTTGGACACTTTGCGAGTGTGTGAGAAAGACTCTCCAACGGGGGAGGCGAAGATAGGCTTTAAGGCGCGAGGGCCGATTGGAGTTTGAGGAGGCGCGGCCTCGGGGGTACAGGCGGGAGGGCGGATTGGAGTACGTGGATCCGGGGAGTTGTCCGGAGTTTCGATGAGGAATCCGGAAGCAGTGAAGCGGGCCGCGGGGCCCTCCGGGGTGCGGGCTGGAGAAGCGGCGCGGGCGGGAGACTCGGGCGGGCTGGGCCGTGTGGTGGCTTCGATATGCTTTGCTAGGGCAATGGCGTCTTCCTCGCTGTCTGAGAAGGTCTCCAGATCCTCCTCATCCCATTGTTGGAATGTGGCCTCGATGTCTCGGGCGAGGGCAATGGTGTGCTCCACGGGGTCAGAAAAGCGCTCGACTTTGTCAAGTTCGTCGCAAAGTCTGTGGACCTTCTTAACGAAGGCAATGATATTTTCCTCGGTGTCGCTGAAGTCCTCGAGGTCGTTGAAGCTGCTGTCGGCTTTGTCGGCTTCGTCGCAGGATCGTGGGAGCTCAACGTCCTCTTCCTCGTCCTCCTCGTAAATCGTGGAGAGTTTGCCGTCCACGATCGGAATGTTGACTATGTCGATGTTAGCTTTGATCTCTTTGTTGTCGGATCTGATCTTGACTTACCATTCTTGGGATCGGGACGGGCCGCTTCGACGATCTTTGTCGTCTGAACAATGGGAGCCGCCTTGAGCTCAGTGGTGGTGATAGACGGGTTTGGGATGGGCAAGTGCACAAGGTACATCTTGTCCTCCTTGAGGTGCTTCTCGAACGTCTTGTGGTCGAACTTGTCGGATGCGATGGCGCCGAAGGAATCGTCGTCGTTGTTGGTTGTGGCTGTAGTGCCGCCATTGGTGGTAGTAGTGGGTGCGACGACCTCGGTGATGTCGACGGTGGGACGAATGTGATGGTAAATTCGGACCTTCTCGTCGGCAGGAACAATGAGTGAGGAAGGCTCATTGTCGTTGTGAGCGTCCTGGCTGGGAGTAGAGGTGAGGGTAGCGTCGACATTGGTAGGGGTGTCGAGGGACTCCGAGCTGGTGGTGTTATCCGCGATAGTGGCAGCATCGGTAGGGGCGGCGATCTTGGGGGTGAGGAGGGCCTCGATATTGGTGATCGTAGGTTGGGTGACCTCGGGTGTGGTGATCCTGAGGACGACAATGAGGAAAATGGCGCTGAGGGCGGCCAGGATAGTGTTGCCAGTGACAGTAGAGATGAGGATCATGGCGATGACCACGTTGAAGGTGGTGTCGATGTCGGCAGAATCGCTGAGACCGGTGTTGTTGTCGCTCGCGGGGCGAGCGTCGTCCATGTTGTTGTTGAAGAGAGTGTCGACAATGTTGGTCGTCTTGTCGATGATGCGCGCGAGCGCGGAAGATTGGATAGAAGAAGCCATCATGGCGAAAGATGGAGTGAGGTGAGAAGAGAGATGAGGAGAGGAAGATGAGAAGAGGTAATTGAGGTAATAGTCGCGCTGCGAGGCTTGACTGGTGATAGTTGGGGGAAGATGTTGCGGCTGAGCGGCAAGATCTTGATGGTCGATAGAAGAGTTGAAGGTCGATTGTTAGATGCCGCGAGGCGAGAGTTGTATGTGCGTAAGGACGTTTGGTTGACTTGGTCAAAGATAGCAGGTATGCTTGTGCTTGCGCAATAATGTGATTCTCCGAAGTGAGATGGTGAGAGAAGGATTCAGTTCCAGTTCTGGCATCAGAAGGTGTGCTCTTATACTCTCCCAGGCTGGGCCCGTGCTACTGCGTTGCTGGGTGAATCAAGGTCCGTTTAGATGACCTGTTCACGGTTTAGTAGGGTAGAACTACATGTTTGCTTCGAGTGTCGCCGTCGAAGTGGGCGGAAGGTGGTGGTGACGACGAGGTTGGTGATGCTGCTGACAAGCGACCGTTGGTGTTTTGGTTGTCATGAGCAACCCGGCGACAGGGTATTACACCTGATTGGTCGAGACGGGTAGAGAGTGTCCGGACAGGGAAGGTGGTCCGTGAACAGGCGTGAACAGCTGTTCCTGAGGGGTTGAACAGTGACGAACAGGGCTGGATGCTGATGGACAGTCTTCTGGGCATGGTAACGGGGGAAGGGAATGGAAGACCGGTTGCTCCGTCGACGGCGTTGAGTGCTGGTACGAAGTATTCGATATGATATGTCTGGCGAGTGGCGACAGTCAATTTTGCAGCTGTTGCCAGCCAAGCTGATGGCCCTTGAGTTTACTGAACAGCCTCCAGAGTCACAAGAGTACAAGAAGCATGGAAGCTGGTATCCCTGGTAACCGGCTATATTGAAACATTCGAGTGTCACTTCAGCGACAGTCAAATCTCTAGCTGTCACCGACCAAACCAACGGCCCTCCAGTTCACCGAACAGTCTTCACAGCCACAGAAGCTGGAAGCTCATGGAAGACTGGAGTTGAACTTACAGAGGACTGTTCACACCAGAACATCAGGGCCGTCATGGCTGGCGACAGTCAAATAGACAGCTGTTGCCGGTCATAATGACGTTGATCGAGTTCACTGAACAGTTGTCACCAGTCGTAGAAGTTATAAGACCATGGAAAACGGATTTTTGCCTGGCGACGAGAGGATCGGGGTGAATCTTCGATGAACAATGGGATGCGCTGGGTGAGACCGTGGGATGGCCGCACGAAGTGCATAGATATCGTGGGAGACACTCGGCGATAACACCGCTGAATCGCAATCTCATACCGCGATGAGTATTGATGTCGGTGCTTGAATGTGTGAATTACTACAAGAAAGATAATGTTGATTATTTATTTGCGATGCGTGGTGGTGAAGGAGAATGGTGAGGTAGGGTAGAAATGTGCGCGAGGGCCTCGCCAAATGCATTATTGAGTGGTTCGTGCTCATGTCAATGTTGTCGTTCTCGCTCTCGGTCTTGGGTTTTTTTTGTCACGATAGCACAATCGATTGTGCGTCCCTTTTTGTGTTCGTTTCCATGCCCAAGCTTGTTGTAAATCAATTGTCCGCTCTACTCCTCACGTCCATTCGCAAACATTGTTGTTGAAATATATGTTTCTGTCGAGTGCCCCTGGTGGTTGACAATGCGGATCCGGATGTTTACGGCAAGTGGTTTTCAGGAGACAATGGCCAATTGTTAGTGAAATAAGGAGTCTATGGCAGCTACAGGGGCTTTGCACTAACACTATGTCAGCGCGGGAGAGCGCACAGCATCCTTAGTGGTGGGACAGCGCGCAACCAGAGGAACTACTACACACTAACAAACCACAATACACTTTCAGAGGCCTATTGTTAGCTTTGCGATAGGGGCCCGCAACCTACTATTCTACCGCCTGGGGACATCACTGGATGCAGAAGGGAGCAATGGAACAGATCAGAAAATTATTTCAGTCAAGCACGCACGCAGTCATATCAAATAAGCACTCGTACAGTCATTTCAATCAATCATTGAGGTGGTCAATAGAAGTCATTGTCACAAGTCATGATGGTGGTCAAGTTTCGCTCGCAGCAGTTTATTGTGCTATTCTCAGTGTTATCCGTTCCCCAATCCTTCCTTGCCCTTCGTCCCATACCCCAAGTCCTGATCCCCTCCCGGTGCTTGACCCGGGCCGTACCCCGCAAAGTCAATTCCAACGTCAATCCTTCGTTCCTTCCCTCCGTCTCGGGAGATCTACCACCAAAGCTCATCCTCCTCCCGAACATCCTCCTCATCCTCTTCCTCAATACTTTCCATCTCCAAACTCCAAGCACACCACTTATTCGTCTTCCTCCTCTTACCCAGCACCGCGCGCACCCAAGTCTTCGGCTCCCTCTTTGGCTCAGGCTCATCAAAAGCGTGTTCATCTCCATCTCTCCAGCGATTGAACTGGTCCAGCTCGTGAGCGTTAAGAAGCCGGAACATCCCCTCGTACATCCAGTACACCTGCTCATCGTTGCCCATCACGAACTGCTTCTGGCCGTCGGGGTGGTGGAAGAGGCCGACTACGCCCCAGTCTTCGCCAATGTCCGAGGGGTCTTTCCAGGTGGCGAGGGTGGCTTCCCAGGCGGCGATGGGGTCGGAGGAGTTGTAATCTTCCTCGTCGGCGAGGTCGGTGTAGTCGAGGAGTTCGATACCGGCTTGCGGCTGGTCGAGGGTCGTCAAGAGGTGGTCGGTGGATTCGCGATCAATGAGCTCGATGGGGCGGTTGTCAGAATTATCCTCTTCGTCGGATCCCTAATCCTCGGAAGCGACAGTGATGTCCTGCTCGACCAAATCGGCTTGTTGCTCATTGCCTGACTTGTCATCGTCGTCCTCAAGACTCTCAATGATGGCAATCGCGTTGCTGGTAATGATTCCCTGCTCCGCGTCCGCTTGTTGCTTCTTGTCGAAATCCTCGCGGGTGATGACGGGGGTTTGGCTGGTCCACTCGATAAACTCCTGGTACTCGGCCTTTGACATTTGGCGGATCTCGTCGTCGTCTTCGAGGGCGTACCAATAGCCGCAAGTCATTTGGACGTATCGGCGGTTGGGGTCGAGGCGTTCCATGATGAGGGTGACTTCGAGTTCGGAGGGTGGGAGGTGCGAGTAGTTGTACATGTTGTCGAAAGAGGAGGCGTCGGGAGTGGTGGGAGGCGACTGGCTCTCTTCGGCTTGCTTGGGCTGATTGTTGCTTGACAGTGCAGCTTCGTCAAACTTACTGTCGATTACGCTGGTGTCGGGGGTGGAGTACTCTGTGTTGGGGGTATCCGGAGTGGTGGCGTTGCTCGCATCGCTATCGGTAGTGTTGTCCGTCTCGGTTGAGGAGTTGGTACTGCGCATAAAGTTAGCAACTGTGCTGTGAGTATGAGGTAGGATTTGGTTGAATGACTTACTCATTAGACAATCTGCGAGCGTGGTGAACGATGTCGACTTCGGTGTCGACCATCTTCTCTTCGGAGCTGATGCTCTCCTTCTTGTTGTCGGTCGAAGGCGTGATGTCGGCAGCGATGGCCTTGCGGTCTTGAGTGCTCGACTTGGTGACCTTGATGGCTTGCTTCTTGGTCTGTGGGGACGTGATGCATAGCTCGGGCTGGCTGGCGACGGCGTGCACCCACTGCATCTTGTCTTCCTTTAGGAAGCGCTCGAAGTGGTGGCCGATGCTTGAGGCGGAGGCTCCCATGTCGTCGACATCGGCGACGTCGGTGATTGTGGAAGCCATGGACTTGTTGACCTCGATGATGTCGATGGTGGGGAGGACATGGGAGTAGGTGTGCTTCTCATTCTCCTCAATGGTGAAGAGCTCGTTGACCTCGTTAATCTCAATGGCGGGGCGGGCATGGTAATAGGTGTGCTTCTCATTCTCCTCAATGGTGAAACGCTCCTTCTTGGCAATGGATGAAGTGTCGTCGCGATGGTCGTCGGTGATGATGTCGACATTCTGGATGAGCTTGACTTGCTGAGGGACTTCGGCAACTTCAGCAGAGTTGATGTCCTCGATGAGGAGAGGCGCGGTAGCTTGAGCGTCGGTCGACTGGGTGGTATCCTTACAATTGTCGACGATGTTGGACTCGTGAGTCGTCTTGTTGACCTCGGTGGGGGTGACATCCTTGATGATGGTATCGATGATGGCTTTCATGTGCCGAGCTTTCTTGATGTTGCCGACCCGGCCGACTTCTTGAGACGAATCAATGAGGGACATTGTTTGGAATTCTGGAGGAGTGTTGAGGATGTTGGCGATCTCAAAGGCCTCTGTGGAAATGGGCACTAAAATGGCATGGTTAGACTTGACCAGATACTCGACTGGAAGCTGCGACTATTGTGGACGACTTACCATGAGCGACGCTTGATGCGGCAAAGGCTGCGATGGTCATTTCCTTAATGACGGCAATGGAGGGGAACGCGAGGCGTTGGGTATGTGCCGTGAAGGCGGAGGGCCAGAATGAGATAGCCATTGCGATGAAGGGAAGAATGAAGAAGTTATATCACGATGGTGATGAAGTAAGATGATGAAGGATGGTGAGGCTTCTTTGCGTTGGAGTTGCAATGATGCGTGGGGTGTTCTGATGTTTTTGATGGAGGAGGAAGGATTCCGGTTCAGGATCTGGGGCAGGAAGGGAATTCTTCTACCGTCCCCATGAGGGAACGTGCTTTCGACTGTCGCTGGCGACTGTCGACAGGTTTAGGTGGTTTGTTGACATGGTGATGGTGTTGAGGTTGATACAGCGAACGGATGTACAACACCTGATTGGTCGGTTCAAGGACCTGGAGTCCGAATAGGGGAGGTGAGGACTGAACAGCGCTGAACAGAAGCCTGGTGCTACGAACAACACTCCACGCCCGTCGTATTGTGTTTTCCATAAGCTTCCAAGCAGAAGTACCGAGGACTGTTTACTTCTATGATGTTGTGTGACTGTTTCCAGACAGAGAAGGTGAGCACTGAACAGCGCTGAACAGCAGCCTAGTGCTACGAAAAACACTTCACTCCGACGGTGACCGTCGAATCCTAAATCCATGATGTTCTCTGTGATAGTATCGAGAGCGATTTGCTACAGCGTTGCTATGAGGGTTGACTGTCACGGAGCTTTCGGCTTTCCCATGTGCCAAGACATCAACAGACAGGGATGGAAAGAGGACGACTGCTGCATTGATATGGCCGAGGACACTCGGAGATAGCACCAGCACATTTTGTTCAGTTGTGAGAAAAGTAATGTGAGTTGGTATAAAGGCCACGGGAGATATGATATACGAAGCTTTGAGGTCAAGCCATGTATTAAACGCAGTAAGATATCACGGTTATGGCAGAACAGGTTGGAAGTTGCTGTGCAAATGAGGCTTCACTCCACGATCATCAGATCCACCACCGGTAGTTCAGTGAGATTTGTACACAAGGGGGAAGAAAAAGTAAGTACAAGAGCAGTGCATATGTAGTCAGTAAACAGAATAGGAGTCACTTGTGAAATTTTTCATCCATGTCAATCGGTACGTTCAGCGAAGCAGTGAGATTATCTGGCGAGCTGGTAAGTTTCATGTCACGTCACGAGTCTCTTGGATATGGGACAATGTTAGGTATCTTATCAACTTTCATTCATCTCCTCAGCCCAAATATCTTTTTAACGTCCTCCATCCCTCCTTCATGAACCAGTTCGTTGCAAATCCTCACATTCTGAACCAGATCTTTATCCTCAAGTCCAGTAAGCTCATCATATGAATACTTTATAGTCCTCATCGTCCTCATTATCCTCCTTAAAAGCCTCCAGTCCCCAGACCCTCTCATGGCCTTGGTGATCCTCCACCTCCTCCACTTCGCCAATCTCCTCACATGCCTCCTCATCCTCCTCGTCGATGACATCGAGACCCCAGACCGTCGCCAAACCATTGCGATCGTCAACTTCCTTGATTTCCTTGACTTCGCAGACCTCCTCATCAATCTCTTCGTCCTCCTCCTGAATGGTACCGAGTCCGCAAACGCTCAACGAACCCTTCTCCTCCTCAACCTCCCCGTTCCAGTGCAAAACCGCTGCCGGATCAATACTGCGCCAGTAGTTAAACTCCTCCAGCTCCTCATCAAGAAGCAGCATGAAAGCCCCCTCATATTCCCAGTACCAGCGTTCGTCAGATCCCAGGACATAAGACTTGTTGCCATCAGGGTGCTCATACCATCCAAGCACCTCCCAATTCTCGCCCATGTCTTTCTCCTCCTTCCAGCAGAAAAATTCGGCGAGCGGGTGTCTCGGCTCTTCCTCAGTGTCGGATTCGTCGTCAGAGTAGTAAGTGACCATCTCCACTCCGCGGGAAGTCGCAACGGCCTTGACTTTGGGCTCCCTCTCTTTCTTCCCATTGTTCTCATCATCGTCAAGCCTTTGCTGCGTAGTCGCATCCACAACCTCAGAATCCTACTCCTCAGTGTTGGTGGCGGGCTTCGCATCAGGGTCGTTCATCCAGGCCAAGAAATCCTCATGTTCGTCAGGCAGCATGCGGCTGATCTTGCGGCGGTCGTGGTAGATGTACCATTTGCTGTTGGTGAGGAGGACGTATTGCAGGCCGTACTTGGGGCGGTCGAGGGTGTGGATGGCTGCGAGGTCGTCTAGTTCGTCTTTGGTTGAGTCATTGTCGCTATGGTAGTCGTCATCGCTGGCATAGACGACGCTGGAGTAGTCGTCGGCGTCGCTGTCGCAGGCGAGATCGGATGGTGTGGGCGAGGGGGTGCCGCGTGAGAAAGGCGCATTCGGGAGAGTGGGGAAGGATTGGTAGTTGGTGGGACCGCGGGTTTCATCCTGAACTGGAGAGCCATTGTCGCGGGAAAAACCGCTTTCGTCGCAATGTTCAGGGGTCTTGATTTGACTGCGCTTGTCCTGTGTGTGGGCGATGTCCGATTGAGAGTACTCCGTGTCTTGGGTGTTGGCAGTGTTCTTGCTGAAGTTGCTGTTGACAGTGGAATTGGAGTTGTTCGAAGAAGTGGTGCTGAAGAAGGTTAGTATCGGATTATTCACATGCAATGCAGATGCAAATGGATGCGGATGACTTACTCGGTAGAAACCTTGCGACCGCGATGGCACTTGTCGGTCGAAGCGACGTCTGCATCCTTGGACGAAGCTTGAGCGTCGAGGACGGGGAAAGAGAAGTAGTCGGTCGGAGCGACACTGATGGAAGCGGAGGTAAGTTTGTCGTCATGCTCGTCGGTGTTGTCCATGCTCATGGTATCGTCGACGTCGGAAATGTTGATGTTTTCCTCGACATTGGCCTTGGGGATAGGTCCGACCTGCTCAGGGAAGTTAGCGATATGCGAGAGATTGAGATGCGCGATGTTATGGTATAGTACTTACCTTGTTGGTAGGATCCTGTGCGGAAATCATGGCAATGGGAGCCTCGAAAGACCCGTTGATGATCGCCTTGATGATGGCGGAGTTGGGGAGGGGCAGGCGGTAAGCATGGACGGCAACGCCCGAGGACCAGAGAGAAGAAGACATGGTGATGTTCGTGACGGTTGAAAGGGAAGAGGATGAGTTAATGTTGCGACAATATGTCTTTGCAGTGTGCGAGATGCTTGTGGTTTGAGTTGCGAGTCGATATGTTGACGGTGCAGTTGGGTGTCCAGTTTTTAAGGATGTGGGAGGAAGAAGTTTTGGGACAGAGCTTGGAATGGGGGCGCAATATTATACCCTTGGACAGGTTGGCTGTCGCTGACACCCTGAAGCTATCCCCACTTGCGATCATGGGCGAACTGTTTGGCTGTTCATGTCATGAATAGGCTATTCGGGCAGTGAGATGTCGTTGCGCGGGCAACGAGCGAGGTTATGGATGCCCGTAGATTCCTGGAGACGTAAACAGAACAGGCAAATCCATGTTCAGGTCTTGAACAGTGGTGCTGTTTGAGGATGACACCTAACTGTCCTGAACAGTCTTGTGAACAGTGGGACAGTGGTTGGAAGCTATTCAGATACAATGCCGGCACTGGGACACTCTATGTTCATGTGCTGTACGATGAACAAGATTTCGGACGTGCGCGATGTATTGATAGGGCAATGTCACATCGTGTAGAAAAGGACGAATGGAAATATTCATAAGGAATTGGACAGTAATAACAGGTATGCAGATTTACATTGTCGCCGACGGAGGGGATAACTTTCTGACATGGGTATGGCAGTACTTGGCATGGTATGTGTTTACGTCTTACCTCGAGACGGTACAACAGGCCAACAATGATATACGAGGTTGATGATATGACAATTAGGAGGCCTCTTCAGTCAAAAGGTCATAGAGCACGATGAGGGGGCATTCTGGTCAGGACCTTCCCCGCCCATAGATTAGAGGGCGAGTGCTTGACTACGCAGAAGTACACACCTAGAGGCAGTCATTGCTGGACAGGTAGCAAAGCAAATCACAATGGAACAATTACAATATTAGCATATAACAATCACTAATCAGTCACAGAGTAGCTCAGGTAGCAGTTTATAGCTTTCCATTTCTTAATTGCTCCTTCATATCATACCGCATCCCAATGATCATATGGCTTAATCCATCTATGACTCCTGTCCTTCAATCCTGTCACCGGTGATTTCCTGACCAATTTCCTTGAATCATGACCCCGCCCCAGGCTTTGACACTCCTCTCACTCAAGACTCCTTCTCCTCCTCCTCAGTGATGGTGTCGAGTCCCCAACGGTTCGCGACCGGCTGCTCCTCAATTGCATCGATCAAAGCCGAGCCATCCTCCCTCCGGCGGTTGAGGAGATCCATCTCATATTCCATTAGACGGCGGAATTTCCCCTTGTACTCGAAGTACCATCTGTTATCGTTGGCCAGCGCGTACTTCCTGTCGGCGTAGTCTGGGTGGTTGAGTGACTTTAAAATACCCCAACCTCTGCCTAGCTCATATCGTTTCTTCCAGCGAAGAAGTTCGGCCCAGTCCTCCTCCTCTTCTTCTTCTTGAGCAATATCGTCGTCCTCTTTGGGATACTCCTCCAGGATCTCCAGACCGTTGGAGTTCTAGTCCGCGGGCTTGGGAGTCCATTTGGTGTTCAGATGCTTGGGACGATCGTTCTTGTCGACGTCTGGCTCGTTGTTGTCCGGCTCGTTGTTGTGCATGGCCGCAGTACCGACGGCGTTGGCCTCGCTGATCCATTGCACAAACTCCTCGTACTCGTGCACGACCATTATGCGCACGTTTTTCTTGTCTTCGAGGATATACCAGAACCCACAGTTTAGCCTGGCATACTCGGTGGCGTATCCGGGTCGTTGAAGGATGGTCATGATCCAGAGGTCGTCAAAATCCTCTTGAGTGAATTTGGGGGCCGAATAGTCGTAGAGAGCGGCAAAAGGTGGTAGTGATTCTGTAGTAGGGATGCCGCTTTCGGGTTGGAGAGCCGACATGATATCCGCCGTGTCCTCGGGCGAGATCTCGCTGGGCTCGGTAAGCGCAATCTCCGGAATGGCGGGTGGTTGAGTACCGCACTCCGTTTCGGGGGCGACATCGGCGCTCAAGTCCGGGGAGGTGGGAACAGTCTCGGCAGACTTGTCGGTGTCGACAGTCTGGCAACTTTCTCTGGACACATCGGTGCTATTAAAAAGTTAGTTTCTCGTCTTGCAAAACAAGGGGAGCTGTGATGGACGGGATGACTTACTCAGTGGATAAGTTTCTTTCGCGCTGGGAGATGATGTCATCCGGCTGCAGAGGGTCGGACGAAATGCATGCGTTGACGGCTCCTTCCGGCGCATTGGCAATTGCGACACTAGCGCCGGTTGCAACTTTCTTGCTATCTTCCTCATCCGACTTCTCCTTCAGAACGAATTGTTTCTTCCCGACGATCTTGGTAGAAGAAATCGAAGGTTTGCGCGTGGCTGGGCGATGAATCCCCCACATCCGATCCTCGTCAAGGAAGCGCTCGAATTCGTTGTAGTTGACGCTTGAAGCAGACGCGCTAAGAACCTCGGCAGGCTCGACGAGATTGTTGGGAGCGGGAGTATTATTGATCTCGACGATTTCTACGAGCGAAGCGACATGAGGGTAGGAGTGGGCTTCAGCGTTGGGAGCGCAGGTGTTGTTGATTTCGACGATGTCCATGATCGGAGCGACATGATGATATGAGTGGACCTCAGGATTGGAAGAGAAGATCGGAGAGTCGTCGTGGTCAGTGGTGACGGAAATGGTGGGTTCAGTCTCTTCAATGGTGGTGGCGGCAAGTGTGGTGTCAACACTGGTGGCCTCTTCGACGACACGGGTCGGTTCAGCGTCTTTGATTGTCTCCTTCGCGACATCGAGCGAGAAGGTGGTTTTGATGTTGTGTGCCTCATCAATTACCTGGATATGGTTAGTGTCGACATTTTCATCGTTGGAAGAGGGCAGCTTACCTTAAGAATTGACGAGGTCCGCGCAAAGGCAGCATCCGCAATGTCCATCACGTCGGCGATGGTTGGGATGGAGAGCCGGTACTTATGGGCACCGAAACCCGAGGACCAGAGAAAAGAAGACATCGTTTTGTTGATGATGATGGTAAAGATAATGGAAGAAGGATGAGATATTCGTAATGAGAGTGGTCAAGGGCGCTGTTGAGAGTCCTGATTGTGGATGCGGGAGGAGGAACTTCTGGGAGAGATTTGGGAATGAAGGCCGCCATATTATACCTTCTATCAGGTTGGCTGTCGCTGCGACCATAAAGCCATTTGCGACTCTCAACCTTAGTGAATTCTGTTTGTTTGTTCACATCTCAATGGTGTTGATGCTCGTTACTCGGTCAACTGTCGACGAACAGCAAAGGTGGGCCTCGAGCAGTGATGCTGTTCATAAATGATACTTAATTTCCTGAACAGTTTTCTGAACAGTGGAACATGGGGTTGAGGCTCTTTAGATATCATGACGGCACTAGGATGCTGTTCAAGGAGGACTGTAGTCGTATGTGGCCAACATACTGGCAGGGCAATGTCATATCACCTAGCCTGTGGCATCAAATACAGTGGATGAGAAATTCGTATATAGAATTCAATGGAAACAAAGAACATCCCAATATTTGCATTGTCGCTGACGGGCGCATCAGGTTTATGTCTCCATCCTGTGTGAATACAAGCTACCTCGGCGAGGTTGAACGATACAAAAACGACATATTATATTCAAGACAAGTCCAATGGTAGATCGGAGTTGTTGGTAGGCTACGAAGAGAAAGTAGACATCATCTCCTAGGCTGGTGCCATTAATAGGTCACGTAGGCGGAAGGAGAAGGAACAATTTATGGTCACCGAGCGAACCGGAGAAATTGGTATACATAGCAATATAGAGGTAGTCATAGGTGCAGCAACATCACAATAGTGTAGCAAATTTGGGCAGTCAGAACTCGTATCAGATAAGAACTCGAGGAAGCTTTCCATACGTGAGTTCAACCATAAAGATCCTCGATGTATATATTCCCGCTCCTAAGTCCAACTACTCCGAAGCTAACCCGTTCGTAACCACCATGCCCTTATTTGGCTACTGCTAAGCCCTGCCACTAATAATCCTGCGTCTGCTTCCTTCGAGCTATGTGTCCTCCTTATGATCTACTGCTCCTCGAGCTCAACACTCATCCTCGTCATCCTCCTCACAAATATCCGGGAGCCCCCACTTACTAACTCGAACTGGCTTCTCAACTTCCTCAATCGCTTCGCCCAGAGTCGAGCCCTCCTCCTCCCTCCGGCGGTTGAGTAAATCAAGCTCGTCTTCCATGAGCTGGCGGTACTTCCCCTTGTACTCGAAGTACCATTTGTCATCGTTCCCCAAAGCGTACTTCCTATCGGTGAAGTCTGGGTGGTTGAATGACTTGACGACGCCCCAACCTCTGCCTAGTTCATAACGCTTCTTCCAGCGAAGAAGTTCTGCCCAGTCCTCCTCTTCTTCTTCTTCAGCGACATCGTCCAGGCCGTTGGATTCCTACTCCTTGGGCCTGGGAGTCCAGATTGGGCTGAGTAGCGAGTGGTCCAAGGTGGGCTGATCGCTGTTGTTCTTGTTGAAGTTGGAGGGGGTGAGGTTGACCGCGTCGATCCAGTTCAAGAAGATCTCGTACTCATCTTCCACCATCTGCCGGACATTGTCGTCATCCTCAAGCCAGTACCAGTAGCCACAAGTGAGCATGGCATACTGATTGCCGCTGATTGGGTCGGTAAGTATTGTAACGAAGTCCAGATCTTTCAGATCCTCCCCGGTCAAGTTCTGGCTGGCGTAGTCGTAGGTATGGTTATAGGCTGGGAGAGAGGCCCTGGTTGGAATGCGGGAGTTGGGCTCGGCTGCGAGGGAGGAACGAATATGGTCCGCGTCTTCGTCGGCAATCTCGGTGGGAGGAGTTAGTATAATTTCCGGGATGGCGGGAAGAGCCGACCTCTCGTCCGATTCGGTATCGACGTTGTCGGGCGACGTGTCAGCTGTATCCGGTGCATCGGGCGCAGTGTCGGCGATCTCTGTGCTGACTATCTGTGTGGTGGCGCTTGATGAATTAGTTCTATGAGAAGTGGAAGTTAGTAAACGCTCAATTGGAAAAGTGTAAGTGAGAGGAAGAGCTTACTCGGTAGAAACTTTTCTGGTACGCTGAACCGTGCTGTCGTCCGACTGCGTGACATGGGATGGAACGTGCTTGCCATCTGCACCTCCTCTCACGTGGGTGGGGCGGGCCGCATTTGCATATTGACCAACAACTGCCTTCTTCCCAAACATGCGCTTTGCCGGGCGCGGAATCCACATCATTCGATCATCGTCAAGAAAGCGCTCAAAATCGTTGTAGTGACTGCTGGAAGCGGAAGCAGCCGAGTCGTCAAGGTCGTCAACGGTGGAAAGGTTGACCTCCAGGATATCCATGACGGGCAGGGCATAAGTATAGACGTGAGCTTCGATCTCGGGGTTGATGGAATCCAGGTCTTGGAGGATCATCGGGGCGCTGTCGACAATGTCGATGTTTGAGGCTTCTTCGCGGGTGTCATTGCCAGGGAGGGGACTGTCGATGTCCTTGGTGAACTTGGTGATAGTGGCGCCAGTGACTGAAATGATGATGGCCGGATTGATGAAGAGGTTCGTGGTGGCTTCTTCGGCTGCCTCGCAGGCGCAGGTCGCTTCGGAACCCCTGGTGGTCTGGTCGGCGACATCGCCGGGCAGGGTGGTGTCAATGCTTTGCATCGCCTCTGGGATCTGGATAATGTTAGTATCAGTCGGCATGCTGGATTGAGGGAGAGAAGATATTTACCTTGTCCGTGGTAGTGACGCGCTTAGAATGATTGTTCATCAGCGCGAGCGCCGCGAAGGAAGCATCGCCGAGGAGGATAATGTCGGCGATGGTCGGCAAGGAAAGTCGGTAGGCGTGGGAGCCCAAGTGCCATAGAAAGGAGGCGGCGATGTTGATGATTGGGTTCATTGCGGGAATGAGAGAGTAGATGTTGTTAAGTTGGTGACTTTTAAGTTTGAGAGTGCCTGTCAGTATGGTTGACGGTACAATTGGGTATCCAGTTTTGGAATGCAGAAGGAAGAGATTCTGGAACGGGATCTCGAAACGAGGCGCTCATATTATACCCCTCTAGCAGGTTGACTGTCGCTGTCTGGACCTTGGTGAATTGTGGTCGTTTAATTGTGTTCATGCCCGTTGCTCGGTTAACCGTCAACGATGAACGATGCTCATGGAATCACCAAGGCGAAAACAGCACCGGTGGGCCCTGAACAGTGGTGCTGTCCTCGGACAGTGTCCAGCTGTCGTGAGCAGTATTCTAGGTCCAGGTATCTCAGGCTGTCCATACGCTTCTGCGTTAAGACTTGTACTACAAAACTGGTCCTGAGTAGGGCCCGCGGGATTGCTAGGTGAGCGTCACGGCGTAAGGGGAAGCCTCAGGTATTGGCGCTTGTAGAGGGAGACGGGCATAAGAGCAGACTGGGGCTTGTGGTTACGAATCCCAATAATATTGTGTGTTGGGTATTAGTAGTCCTTCAAATGATGAACCAACCGTAGGTACATAGGGATCACAAGCTGAGGGAGGACAAATCGGGTTGTAAGACTATGAGGGCTGCAAGTCAGAAGACACTCCTTGATAAAACGACAACAAATATATCTACAAAATGAAAAAAGGGAGAAGGTGACAAATCTACATCGCTAAATATCTTTACGGAAGTTTTATTATGAGTTACCACATAATGTTATCGCAGTAGGCGAGCGTCAAGTTCAAGTTTGAGATGCTCCCTGCGAAAACTTCAGGTCACCAGGCCCCACTGCCAGAACAAGTCTCATTAGTGGAGAGTAAAGAGTACGGAAAGCAAGTATAAAAAGAAAGCTCATCCATATCAGTCATTTGGAGCAATGTAGTAGTCACTTTGAAGTCAAATTATAGCAGTGTCAGCAGTCAAATTGATATGTAGACCGTTCTACGAAAAAACTGACCGCAAATAGTGACCATGCCTAATTCCATCCTCTGCCACCTGCCTCCTTTCGATCGTGCTCCACCCTGCAAAAATCCTCGACTTGGCTTTTTGCCAATCCCTTCTCTCACCACCACAGATCTGCATAGTCCTCTTGGTCCTCTCCGCCCTCCTCCTCGATGGTGTAAAGACCCCACTTGTTCCATTTCTTGGGGATGTACTCCTCCGCTGCCTCCGCTGCCATCTCGGCCTCCTCTTCATCCTCCTCAAAGATGGCATCCAAGTCCGGGGCCTTCCACTTGGGCTCCTTTCCCTCAGGTCTCTTCAACTGCTTGATGGGCCCATAGAGGGCAGTCTTGTCCCCATCCCTCCATCGATTGAATTGGTCCAGTTCGTCTTCGTCAAGGAGACAGAACATCGCGCCAATTAGCCAGTAGACGGCATCGTCATTGCCAATGGCGTATTGTTTGTCGCCGTCTGGGTGATCGATCAGGCCGACGATGTTGAAGCTGGTGCCGATACACTCGGCCTCCTGCGACTGCTCGAGCTCGGAAAGGTCATGCGCGTTGTTGAGGTGGTTGGCGTCTGTGAATTTGTCGTCGTACGAGAAGAGCTCGATTCCCTTGATTTCCTGGCCGAGCTTGTCCTCCTCTTGCTCCAGTCTCTCATCCTCTTCAGCTTGCTTCTCTTGGAGCCAGAAGACGAACTCCTCGTACTCGTCTTCGCTCATGAGTCTGGCGGTCGTAGTGTCCTCGTTCAGGTAGTGCCAGTGGCCATTGGTGAGAAGGACATACTTGACTCCGCATGCAGGACGATCCTGAAGATCCAAAACTTGGGACTCCTAGTCCACAATGGCAATGGTCTTCTCGGCCCGGCTGTCACAGTCATCGGGCTGGTCGACAAAGCTGGTCTCGTTATCTTCTTCGGCGAGGCGTTCGTTTCCCTCCTCATCCGTAACGAGGACGACAGGAAGTGGAAGCTTGATCTCCTCCTCTTTGGTCTTAAAGCTGTCAAACCACGCCAACAGGTCCTCATACTCCGATTGGCTCATCATCAGAGGGTTTTCTTCTTCGTCCAAGCGGTAACAGAAACCGCATGTTAGCTGGGTATAGCTGATCCCAGTGTCCGGGCGCTCGATGATAATGATGGTGTCTAGATTGGCCATCTCCTCGACCGACAAGTGGGAGAAGTCGTACCACTTAGATCGGGTATTGTCGCGAGAAGTGGTATTGGCGGCAGCGGTGGCAGTGAGCGCATTTTCCTCGTGGTTCTCATCCTCCTCAGAGGCCTTGGCGCCAGAAGGGGTGAGCTGGTCGATGAAGTCAATATTTGGGACGGAGTAGAGCGTATCTTGGGTGTCGGGGGTAGTGGCCGACAAGTCGCTGTTGGCAGTTTGCTGGCTCTCGGTAGAGAAGTTGGTCCTGTGATGAATTAGTATTTCGCTACTGTAGAAGAGGGATTGCTTTGGGGTCACTAACGCAGTAGAATCTTTGCGAGTATGATTGAGAATGGCTTCTTCAGCCTTGGGAGCAGCGTCACTTGAGACTGTGCTCTCTTGCTCGTTGACAAGTGCAGCCGTGTTGTTGTTACTCTGGATAGGCGAAGCGATCACCGTCGCTTGCTTGGAGGGAGCCTCGACAACCTCGATGATGTCCACAGCCGGGAAGGAGTGGTAGTAAGAGCGGGTTGTCGCTTGCTTGGAAGGAACTTCCACGACTTCGATGATGTTGACAGCCGGGAAGGAATGGCGGTACGAGCGGACTCCATTCGATGAGTTAATAGCTGGCTTCTCGTCGTTGACGATGGGAGTAGCATGAGTCGAGGTAACAATCTCAGGAGCGTTGTTGAGCTCAGCGGGGCAAGCTTTCTTGGTGTCAGTGCCGATCTCCGTGCTGTCGGCGCCTTGGATGACGGTGTTGTCGTCGGCAATTTCGACGTCCTTGGTGAGGTCGACATCCTTGGGGGCGACGATGAGCTCAGTGGTGTGAGAAGCCTTGTCGTTGTTGATGCTTGTGGTGATGGTATGGTCCATAGGAGTGGCAGACTCGATGCGCCGGGATTGTTTAGCGCCCTGAGCAGACTGGGTAAGGTTATTAGCATTGACGTCGTCAGTAGAGGTAGCGAGGCTTTCCTGACATACCTTGTCATCAATGCGATGATGCTTATGATCGTGGCCGGCCTGCGAGGGCGCGACCGTGTTGAGTAGCATCTTGACCGACAGCGCGGCGAGCGAAGCGATGGCGATAGCCTTGACAACGTTGCTGCTCGGGAAGGTGAGAGAGAGAGGGGCAAAGCCCAAAGAGAAGAGAGGGAAAGACATTGTGTCAAAGATGGTTGTTAAGGTAGAAGATGTTAGGAGGTGATGAGGTGCTTTGAGATCTGGATTGAGATCGCTTGTGTGCAAAGTTGCTTGAGCGATGCTTGTCCGAAAGTTGGATGCGGAAGGAAGAAGTTCTGGGACGGATTCTGGGTGAGGGGAGGAATTCTTATACTACCAGTTCTGGGCCTCAGGTTGACTGTCGCTTAAGGCTCTGGATGTGTTGTTGACATGGTGATCAATGAACAGAATGGTTTGTTTACATGGTGATCACTGAACAGGTGTTGTGTTGGTGATAGTTTGGTGGTGGTGACAGGTAAGGATGTCGGTCCGTGCGTCCAGCGACCGTGGATGTATTACATGTGATTGGTCAGATCCGCTCGTTTCGTCCGAACAGGGCAAGTGTCCAGAGACCAGTTCCTTGAACAATCATCCGAACTGCTATCTGAACAGCCATCCGAACAGTCCCGACGATGTTCATGTTTTCTGAACAGCCTCAAAGTGTTCGGCATACCAGTTTACCATCATTGCCAGAGTAACCTGATCTCTAGTAGATTTTTTGGGCCCCATGCCAAGAGGCGACCGTGGAAGGTTTGGAGTGAATGTCGAGCCCAAAGGTGTACCATTGCCGGCGGCTGCCAAGGCCGCTTTGGCACTTGTAGCGCTGTACAGCAGACAAAGAGGGGCCCGAGTCAACGGCATCAATACCCGCTCTCTTTGTCTTGACGGCGCTGGGTCGCATCTTCGAGTAGGAGGTTTAGTTGATGCCGATCACCTGGCACGGTCTGTTCACCGGCCCGGGCCGTACCGAGGATGCGAGTTTCCATCTCCTTGTTTTGTGGCATCTATCCCTGTCCCGGACCCGGCTGTGACATCGGCGCCATCTGTGGCATTGACGGCATCGGCGGCATCGGCTGCGGAGCCATCGATTGCAGTGGCATCATATGAGGTAGCAGCTAAGCGAAACTGTGCATGACCTGGTGATGGGCTTGAGAAACCGGAATGGATGTTCAATTTCCTCGGCGCTCTACCGCTGACTGGTCGTTGCGAAGTCAACACGACCTGCCGCATGCCTAGGACACCAGGACGCCTAGGATCAAGGAATCAACTCGAGCCAGTAGCAAATTGTGTACGGAAATAGATCTTGTCGTATAGGAAGGATCACAACTAGCTGAGTCAACCCATTGAAACAGTCCATGAATTATGATGATGCGGCGGCCATACCTTTTGTCAACTTCTTGCCGAGCAATTTGCCATGAACTACACGAGATGCGAGGAAGTCTTTTAGCATGGTGTCTCAGTATCTTCCTTCTATGAGAGATTGGTGTAATGATTAACTATAGATAAACAAATGAGAGGAAAGATGCGTAACAAATTGTTAAATGTTCAAGAGCTTGATGCTTACCCGGATAACCTCCCAAACCGTAGACAAAAACGCCCGGACCCAAAGCCTCTGCTCGAGTCTCCAACTCCCATTTCCAGCTCGCAGAAACCCGGGCCGTTCGTCTTCGGCTAACTAACAGAATATGTGCGCAAGCTGTGGGCTTCAGCAATGGCAATACAAAGACGTAACTTGGGTGCCTTAGGGTTTGGGTTGGGGAGAGATTCGAACAGTCTGTGATACTAGAGGTGCCCATGCTTGTGCTGAGGCGATGAAGAACGGGAGTTTCTGTGGTACAAACTGTTCCTCAAGGTACTGCCAAGTCTCCTCCTCATCCATTGCGAGGCGCTTGAGCAGCCGTTCCACCAACCAGGCGCGCACACGCTCATGTTTCCGCAATGCTTTCGAACGCTCAGCTTCTGGTATATCTGCTATGGCATATACTAAAAGGAGGGATATTGCCCTCTCCGTGACTAGTGCCAGCAGCTTGCGGACGACAGACTTGTATTCCTCTACTCTCTCGATTTGCGAGGGGGATAGTTTCTTGTTACTGTCGTGGTTTGCCTCGTGGCTCGGCAGGGAAGTCTCGTTCGCGTCGCTAGCACCAACGAGTTTGGTTACTAAAGGGTGGGGTGGTAAAGGTGTACTAGATGGGCCACTAGATGAGTTAGCACATCTGCCAAAAGGGAGACTGATATCACCTCTTTAAAAAGGGACTTACTTGATAACAAAAGTACCGGCGGGCCAACGAAGAATTGTGTCCTCCTCCAGTTTGGCATCGAGAGCGTCCTGTATTGCGTCCAAGACCAATTTTATGATACCAGTTACCGACACGGTGTTGTCGACGTGGGCCTCTCCCTTGTCTTGCCCGAGCACCTTCCTGAGCATGGCCTCAAGAATCTTCTTCTCTGCCCGTTTCTTGATCATGATCTTATAAAGTTTGGTTATGATTGCGTGTTCAAGAACGGTACGCTCCGAGGTTGGAGTACGCGGTTGAGAAAAGAGCCAATTGTCGTCCAACAAGAGTCTCTCGAAGTCTTTGCTGAGGACGCTCGAAGAGAAAGCTCCAGCCTCGTTGATGACTTTGAGCTGGATGTGGACAAACCTAAGTTCCCTCAGGATATGTCCTGCTTGAGGGCTGAACAGATTGCTGGATGCCTCCACCCCAATGGTGTCGTGAGGTTCGTGGACCCTGTGATTGGCCTGCCCGTTGGATGTTTTGAACGCGGCGCCTTCTCGGTCAACTTTGCTTGGGCTGTTGGCCATGATGATAGTGGGAAACCAGTCGTGTGGTGTGGACGGGTAGCTGTTGGGTTTAGTTGAAAAGACCAGTGATTCACACAAATCAAATGCTAATAAAGCAAAGCAAATCTACCCCCAGCGTGACAAATCAAATCTGTGTAAAAAATCAGTCAAATTAATTGAAATCTAGGCGCAGATTTGCTTTGTTAGCTTTATATATTTGTTTTATTATAGCTATGAGATTTTTGTAGCAATATACCTCTCCGATGCGTATGGTGTGACTTTTGCTGCAGACGGTCGAGTGCAAATGTAGGCGTATTAATGAGAAAATTGTCGTATTTTGGCTAGGAAACGAGGGATTATAGTGATTTTTAATACTTTTAATATAGGATTTTGGTGTTGTTGGGCGTCTCCTCTCCTCCCCTTGCCTTTTATTGCTTCCCCTATTAATTAAATCGTTAGTATTTTAATTTATTAAATTAATTCTAATAGTAATACGTATTAAACCGCTATTTACTATATCCTAATTTAGCTAAATAAGTTCTACTATTGCGCTAACTAAAGCTAATATAATTTTGTTGTCTTTATTACTTAGTAAAGTATTAGAATCTCCTTAGTAATCGTTTAGCGCGTTTATTGAACTTTGTAATCCGTTCGGGCGCCCTATTTTTCGATTATTAAAGATATATATTGCCGATTTGAAGAAGGTCGACCCCAATAAATTTATTGGCTAATTATAATTAATATAGCCGTACGTAGAATATAGACATTGGAAATATATATTATAGTCGTGGACGTATATTAAACGAATTAATAAATTGTAAATAAATAATTATTGTTATAGGATATTCCAGGCAGGTGCCTGAATGCCCCACTATATCTTGGCATATACTCTATTAAACGTAGGACTACTCTATCGAGCAGGATATATTATATAAGAGTACTCTCCTTATCAACCTCCGTTAAGGTTAATTAAATCATCAATTCATATTATATCAACCTAACGTCTATCTTACTTATACTCTATAAAATCGTATATAAAGTCCTAAATTAAAGCTCTTGATAATACTTATCTTCAATTTCCTTTAATAAGACTATTGTTAACCGTTACGTACTATTACTCTATCTAATAACCAATTACCTACTTTATTATTCTATATTAGTATTATTTATAAAATATCGCTTCGCGTAATAAATAGAACCCACAATTCAATTTTAAACCGACCTTATTATTCTTTATATTCTTCTTCGTCTCTTCCTTTCGTAAAGGGGAAGATTTTATCTTCGTTTCGTTAATTTTAATAATAATTTATTAAACTTATTACTACTTATTCAATTTACCCTCTTAGACTAAGTATTTACCTATCCCGTAAATTTTGAACCCCCTTTCTTTATAATTCTTTTATTATCCCCTTAAATTTCAAAACTAACCTTTATAATATTAAACGGTAACGTTATTCCCTAAAGAACTTTTAACCTCTAGAACGATAATTTAACACATAAAGTACGTCAAATTTTTAAATTTATAGTAATCTAATCTTAATTTTACTACGAAGAACGTTTTACCCCTCCGGCCGCCGAGCTTTTTATTAAAGCCGCTAAGCTTCGTTTTAATATAGAAACCGGCCAAATTAAAAAAATAAAAATTATTAAAAAAGTCCGAATTACCGCTAAAATAAATAACTTAAATACTATTTCTAATATTATTACAACTACCCTTAAAAAATATAAACGTTTTTTAGAGAGCTCTAACCTCTCTTAAAGAAAAATAATAGAGTAATTAAAAGTAGAATTATTAAATATACGCTAAGAATTTATCGAATTTTAAAAACCTCGTATCCGCTACACTCCTCTATCGGCGTTTATTATACGTATATACTATGCTAATATTATATTTAATATTATTCCTCTTTATAGCGTTCGTTTTAATAATATATTACCTCGTAGTACGCCTAGCTTTACCAATACATTAAATAAATTTAATATATTAGCTACCCATTCTATTAATGGTTTTAGTACTATATTAATTATTCGTTCTCCGCGTCATAATAATATTATAGAGGATTAAAAGTAGGATAACTCTCTATTTAATTGTAAACGTACGCGTCAAGATCCTCCTAAATTTAATAAAAACGATTATAAAAATAATAATAATTTTAATACTCACTCGTCTTATTACGGCTATTACTAAGAATCTCCTCCGTCCTTATTACCTACGCTAACTACTTACTATTATTCGGTTTTCGTATTAAAATATTTTAATTATCTGAAATAACTTTCGGTAGTTAAAGGTTATATAGGATATATAAAAAATAGTTCATTAATAGTAAGGAAAGTAATAATTCTTATTTTCTATTTTATATTTAATAATAATTTTAATAAATAATAAACACTCTTCTTCTTTCGTTAAAAGGGAAATATTATAGGATATTCCAAGTAGGTGCCTAAATACTCTACTCTATTTTAGCACATATTCTATTAAGCGTAGAACTACTCTATCGAATAGGATATATTATATAAGAATATTCTCCCTATTAACCTCGGTTAAAGTTAATTGGATTATCAATTTATATTATATCAACCTAACGTTTATTTTACTTACACTCTATAAAATCGTATACGAAGTCCTAAATTAAGGCTCTTGATAATGTTTATCTTCAATTTCCTTTAATAAGACTATTGTTAACCGTTATACACTATTACTTTGTCCAATAACCAATTACTCACTCTTTTATTCTATATTAATATAACTTATAAAGCATCGCTTCGCGTAACAATTGTAATACGAGGTTATTACAATTAAAAGATAATAACCCTAGTAAGACGGATTCGAAGTGGTTCGCGTGTAACGTGTGTAGTAGATTATACAATTTAAAGGTAATTTTACTGGTATTTAATTATTTAGAATTAATATATTATATATTTTTATTTTAAAAAAGGGTAATTTAATAGGAGGTTTAGACGAATTGTAATAGAAGATATTAGAGTATTAATATATACGTTTCGTTTAAGAGATTTTAAACGTTTTAAATTATTACGAAGGCTACCGGCGATGGTATTAAAGATGCGTTTGTTGATTTTATTGTTTTATTTAATATAGGATTTACTATCGTTAAGAATTTAGAGTTTTGCGACTTACTTCGATCATTGAACCCCTTAGTTGCCGCCGTTATTTTGCCAGATAATTGGATAATAATAGGGAAATAGTTGGAGGATTATTTTAATAAAGAGAAATTTAGAGTATAAAACGAATTTATTAAAATTCCGTGGAGAATTTATTTTTCCTTCGATTTTTAGACTTTATCGAATAGGTACGCGATTTTTACAGTTATTGCGTACTATACGGACGTAATTAGTACTTTGAGAATTCGCTTAATTGTAATACCCTACGTTAAAAGTTACTATAGCGGTGAAAATATTAGTTGGTCTAATTAATCCTATATTAAAATAATTATTAACGATCGCATTTACTAAGTGTTATTATTAATAATATAATTAACGAATATAATATCCGCTTTAAGTTAGGGTTCTTTTAAGTTAATAATACGGATTCGAACAATAAAGTAATTAAATATATTTTTAGTATCAGGGATGAAGTAAGAAATGAAGTAATAGTAAAAGATTATTATATACGTTATTTTAATTATATTTTGAATTTTATAACGAAAGTTTTCTTTGAGGGTAATATATTTAATTTAATTAATCGCGAATTCTACCCTGCTATCCTAGAAGAAGAGGAGGCAATATTATTAAATTATTAGAGGAAGCGTAATGCCTTTAATAAGTTCTATAATATAGTTATCTTTATTCGTCAATCCCTTTAGAGATAAAAGAGCTTCTATAATTTAACGGTTGGTAATGTAATTCCGGAGTAAATTATAGAGTTTGGAAATTTCTACGTTAATAATAATGAGAAGAGTTTTACCTTCTTTTAGGATAATTCGATTCGTTAGAATTTTTGGTATAATATAATCGAGTGCGCTATTCGTTTAAGACTGGTTTTAGATTATTAGTATTTAATATATAATAATTAGTTAAACGAGAAGTAATTAGATAAATTAATAATAAATAATTTGACTACATTAGGTACTATTAATTTTATCCTTTTGAAGTTTAAACAGTTTATAAAGCGGTTTAAGGGTAGGTAATTTAATTTTAGTAATATCCTTCTCGAATTAAAGAAATTAATCGAAGAATTTAAAAGGTAGCGTTCTATATATTATACCCGTTTCGAGGTTGAATTTTTTAGCGGTAGCTCGGATATCTTACCTCGCCGCCCCCCGTTCGTCGAATTTATTAGTTTTTAAATTAATAAAGTCGTTAGCTCTATTCTTCGGCAATTATATTAAACCTATTATATACCCGCCCGGTTTTATAACTATAAGCTTAATTTATTTCGTTTTAGAGAACCCTTATAGAGTTAACCCTACTTTCGTCTAGGATAAGACGAAGTCCTTCGAATAAATTTTAGTTTTGATAGGGATTTATTTATTCGTAATAGTATCGATTTCGCAATAGTTAAGTTGGAGAAGTACGCGGGGTTATTAGAGAATTGTTAACTATATTGGTTAATTATATTATTGTACCTTATTAAATGTAAGCGAGCCTTCTATTTTTATTATGGTGCGGCTAAGGGAGCTGGTTTCTTCGAGATTTTTAGGCAGATCTTTATCGATTAGTATTGCAATTTAGACGACGATAATTACCCTTAATCTCCGGTTCGAATCTATATAGAAAGAGAGGCGCGCTGTCGGGAGTATATATTTAAAGACGATTTCTTTAATTCTTTTAGTAATGAAGTTAATTACTACGTCGGTGAGGTAAATTTGTACCTTTCTATACGTATTATAGAGAAAAATTCATTATTAGAGTATATTATCGATTTAGTGCTATGGTAGTTAGAGTTGAGGTAACGAGATAGATTCCTTAAGTTATTCTTTATAGCCTTCGATATATTAATTATACCCGCGATGTCTTTAGAGGCAGAGAGGGTCTTTAATAAGATTAAATTAATGGTCGGTTAATATAGATATCGTTTATTATACTTTATTATCAAGCGTATCGCTCTATGTAAGAATTGGTAGTAGATTTGGCGTTTTTGGATGCTGGAGGTAGCATTGTATAATTGGATATAGGCACCGGAAGAATAATATATACCGGAAAAACGATATTCTAGGTCAAATCTAAATAAAGCAAATCAAATATTATTGTAAATAAAGTAAATCCGACCTCAAAATCTTGCAAATAAATCAAATCAGATCCCTAATTTGATTTGATTTGATTTGATTTGCGTTGTGTGCATCACTAGGAAAGACTTCTGGCAAAGAAGAAGAAAAGGGGAAAAGGAATATTGAACCGTGACCCAGGGCGAAAGACGGAGCAAAAAGAAAAAGAAAAGGAGGGGCAGTTTGGAGTAGGGGATAATTGGTGCACGGTCTACAGCACCTCGGGCTACAGATGATGCAGTGAAGAGGAATTTCAAGTAAAGACGCTGAAACTCGAGGCGATGGGGAGGGATTATGGGGGAAATGCTTGATCGATGGTTTGTTTGGGGGAAGGAAGAATGGCGGGCCAGGCCAGGTCTAAAAAACTTTTGTGGGGTGCTCTTTCCAAATTTCTCACGCCGCAAAGCCTGCAGAGGAGTTCATGCACAACAGCGAAGAGGAGGGGCACGGAGATATCGGAAAGCCTGCGATAGGTGTTGAAGTGCGAAGTGCATGTTGGTCAACAATTCTGACATGTGAACGAAGACCGTACACTTTCAGGTCAGTCGAGAGAATGAAGGAATAATTGAGTGGGTATAGACAATGAGCTTGTGGACAGGGATAGAAACAATTACACCGACATACTTGACCCTTGTTTCCAACAGAGCATACAACAGCCAACATTGATTCCAAATTTCCTTCCACCATGTCTTCCTCCAAGGACAGTACAGTACTCCTTCGAGACAGCAGCCCTAAGCACCTCCGCCCCTAGCTTACCAAATGGCAGCCAGCATTCTGTTCCTCTCCTCCGCGACCTCCTTCTCCCAGGGCAGGGCCTCATAGTCGGTTGGGTCATCCAACCAACAGACTTTCCCCTCAGGTGTGATGAGCTTCAGATCCGGGGCGCCCCAGAAAGAATCGTCCGTGGGCTTAGGCCAACCGTCCTCGGGAAATGCCACCCAGTTGCACCGGGCCAAAGAGTATTCGGAGTGCCGCGCCCAGGTGTCAATGTGGTCTGTCTTGTCGATAAAACTGTGGTCTGTCCAGTCGCTCTGTGCCAGACGTTCCGAGTGCCATCCGGCCAATGGATGATCGTTTTCCTCTGAAGTCTTGTCTGCGTCGGTCTGGGTGTCGTCTTGCTCGGAGTGGGTGTCGGCGTCTTCTGGGACCCAGTCTTGGTGGCCCCAATCTTCCTCGATGGGAGAGAGGTCTTGAAAATCTTCCATGGTGAGCCATTCAAGATCCTCGCCGGTTAGGGCGTCGAAGAACTCATCGTCGGAGGATGAGTCGGAGGAGTCTTCGATCGAATTCATCGTGTCGGACGGAGTGGACTGCATGATGTAGACCGACGGGAATTGCACTTCGGCTTTGGAGGTAGCCTTCTCCAATGCAGGAGAGAACTGTGCCATCAACGATTAGCTTCGGGTTGGACCAGAGAGTAACAATCAATGCCCACCAGTGACAGATGAAGGTTGGAGTCGATTGGCTCGAGTATGCGGTAAGTGAAACACATCTTGCTTTGGTGGATGGTCCGAAGACGGATAAGTAGAGGTGATTGTTGTAGAGTTGTCGTCGGTATATAAAAGTTGGCGCAGATGAAACCAAGAAGGAAAAAGCAAGAACACCAAAAAAACGCCATCTTGACCGAAGAAATAGGTGGTGCGCGGGACCACAAGGGCCGGCACAAAACCTCACCATTTGCCACCTGACACCTGCCATCGGCCTGCCAGACAGACACAAGAGACCATTTACCAGCAACGGAACCTGAGGGCATTCACCAGAGGGCATTCACCAGAGACCATTCACTTGCACCAGAACCTGGAGGCACTCTTGGCAACCGGCGAGTGAATGGCCTCTCTGTCTGATAACGATAACTGCCCCGCGATGGACGACAGGTTTGCTTCACCTTGGCCAACGGAGCTGGCTCGATTGGTGGGAGTCTTTGGGACACTCCGTCTTGAGACGTAGTGATGACACTAGCTGGTCCCTCGATGGGTTTCATGGCCGTTTCTCCGTACACTTGGGTAAATGGCCAGTTTCTTACAATCACAGCTGAGCGTAATACATTTGCTGCTTTATGCTGAGGCGATTTAAAATAATACTACGGAGAGAGCGTTATATGGACCAATAGCTCCGTAGAAGACCTTATGTAGAAGAAGATGGTGTTCCGTGAGTAAAGGAAATATCAGCCAATTGTGGTAATGCAACTCAAACTATCAAGGATTCTTGTCCGCTTCCGTGGACTCCAAGTGCCCAACAAAATTCATCCGAGCCTCCTGCCTTCTGTCAACCGTGCTGGATGCCAGTCTCTGATGCTCCTCTAAAAACGTAGCAGCTCGTACTTAGGCACCATAGCCTCATTATTCCAGACATATCTCTCCTCCCCCACGATCCATTATGTCACGTCCCCCTTCCACACCTGTGTTCCGTCCTCAGCCTCAAATTCCCGGCAAGGCCCTCTGCGTCGGAAACCGCAAATCCTCCAGCGAGTAATGCCACCCCGCCGGATCCGTCAACACCAGCCTCGGCACCCACGGGTCCTCCCCCGGCGTCGGCACATAACCCTCGGGTTTTGGATAGCGCACCCACTTGCACTCCTGGAGTTTGCGTCGCGGAGGCGTTCTTTTGTTGGCCCAAGTATCGAGAAAGCCCTTTTTGTCAACGACATTAAGCTCAGCCCAGCTCTTATCGGAGATGCGCTGACGAATACGGCGACGGGGGGGCGCTTTTGGCGTTTTATCGACACTCTCTCCTGCCTTGGGTCTCTCCATGTTCTCGTCGGTCAACTCGGGCGCGCCTCCAACGGAGTTGTTGGACACCTCGGGTTCATAATCCGAGGTGCGGTTAACTCTGTTAAAGACGGCCATCGGTGTGGGGCAGGTAAGGCGAAGCCTGATCTTGGATGGCGATGGGGTCTGGGTGTCGGCCTGGGGGTCGACGTTTTCGGTTGATATGATGTTGCGAGGGGGGTTGTTGAAGGCGGTATTGAAAGAGGAGTCCGTCGTGGGAGGGCTGAGAGAGAAGTGAGTTAGCGATCAGTTTATCCTTATGAGGTGGGCGTTTTGAGGATCGAGATACCTTCTGATAAGACGCCTCTTGGGGCTTGGGCTGTGAATCTCGTCAAATAGAGATGCGGCCATCGGTGCCGCCCAGTTCCTCTTCTTGGGGCTGCCAGCAACGGGTTCGTAGTCGGCCGGTGAAGAGGGGGTGTCATATAGAGATGCTTTCACCGGTCCCGCCCACTTCCTTCTCATGCTAGGGCTGCCAGCAATGGGTTCGTAGGTCGGTGAGGAGCTGAGGTCACTGTCAAAGTCGGACGGGTCCGGATTGACCGTGATACAATCGAGGATCATCTCGTCGTCGGAATTGCCAGTCGCAAGCTTTCTGTCCGTTGTCACTTTGCTCTCATCCGACTTGGATGCGCTGACGTCCGCGCCGATATGCGTCGTTTTGGGGTCTTTTTTCTCCTTCTTCACCGCGCCTGTGTCGCTATTTGCGCAACGCTCCTTTTCGCTCGTCATGGTAGAACCGGCAGGCTTGTCGGATTCCGAAGACCCAATGGATGAATCACTCCACGGGTCTTGATATGTGCTGGCGCTTTCCGTGGACGTGGTTTTGGTGCTTTGCTCTGCGCCAAGGATGTTCCGAGCCGAAAGCAATGCCTGGGACCCGAGTACGCCCATGAAGGGTAGAAAGAAATCCATTCTTGCTTGTCGCGGGGGAGTTGGTCGACAATGCGCGGTCGTCTCAATATGGGTAGTCGTCAATTTGGGTCGTTCAATCAAGTTGGCGTGGCCGGGATGTTGAACGAAAGTTGATTTGTGACAAAGGAAAGAATCGGTAAAGTTGGAGGGAGGAAACAGATATTAAAACACCAGAAACAGCATGCGACTGTGGTAATTAACCCGTAGTGGGGTCGCTGGGACAAAACCTTAACCGTCTTATTCTTGGGGCAGGCAACACGAGGAGTGAATTGGAATGGGACACATGGGATGGAATACATAATTGAAAGTGAATGCTGAAATACCAATACCAAGCCGAACCCCTCTTGCTTCCTTCACCCGACCCTCAAAGGCTGGATTATGGACGTCTCCGCAACAGCTCGCTTCTTTCACAAGCTTCAACAGCTCTTACTCATAGAACATGATCATCACAACGGTAGAATGTACCCTCCCTGCCTTACATTACAGTATAGCTAAGGTAGCCTTTGATACCCCTAACTGCCTCGAATCTGGTGATTCTGCCATTCAAGCTGCGGATGGTGAACCCGTCATTTTTAGATGCCCTCCCCATTTCTTCCTATCGTCTACCCCCATGACCAATGAGCCCCGCAGTCACAAGCGGGATCGTGCAAAGAAAAGTTTCCCCCCTCTGGACTCGTCAATACCAGGGCCGGAAATGAGCTGTTGCCCGAAAACTGTTCGATGGATCTGAACTCCGGCACCAGAATCCATGTGCAGCGTTTCGGTCGTCTGTATCCCTTGTGCTTGGTTTGCTTGCAGTTGTCCAGGGTATTCAGTAGACCATTCTCGTCGACAAAACTGTGGTCATCCCACGCCATTTCCTTGGGCCGTTTCCGGTGTGATTTGCCACCTTTGCTCTTCTTGATGCCATTACCTTTCTTGCTATCAATGCCCTTTTTGGCCTCTTTCTCTTCTGAACGAGTAGGCATCTTTGTTGTTTCCTTTCTCATTTGCTTCATCTTTGCGAGAACCTCTTTAATATCCTCCTTAGTCAAGCCTTCGAATATGTTAACAGTCTGAAAAGAGGTCAAGCAAGTAAGTGGAGGCGCTTACCAGCTGATCCTCCCCGCTTCAGCTTGCCCTCAGCGGAAGCAATGACTGCGCCGGTCGTACTGCAATTTCCGGCTTTGTTCGCGACCGCGACTTCTGTGTCTGGTTTCAAGCACGCGCTCGCTTTATTGCCCGTGCTGTGTTTGCTGTCGCTCGTCGCGGCGGAGTTGGTATCTGCGACGACTTTGTTCACTGGGGAATTTGCATGGCATTTTCAATTGTCCTGGCATTGGTGATTCCTCCGTGAGGTTCGATAATTTCAGCTGGCCAGCTTATGCCCATGACGGAGTCCGGGCGTTGAAGAAAGTTTGGCGCAAGGGCGACAAGGAAAGGAAGTTGGTTGCGGAGTTGAGTAAAAGAGGATGGAGAAAGAGGCTGGGAGATAAGATATAGAGTTTGATTTCCAGAACGCATGTACAAGTAGGAAACTCAGAATCGCTTAGAAGCAGGGTTAAATACTTGCCGGGAGTTTGTCGGTCGCTTTACAGGTGTCATAGGCAAATATTTTGACTGCCAGACACCTTTAACCCTTCACCTTGCATCTAAGCGATTTTGAGTTTCCCGAGATTCTTCGGTATTCTCTCCGGAAACTGGGATCCGGAAAGGTCATGCATAGGCACAGATATGTGCTTTTTATGCCCGAGCCTGTACTTAGTAGGTATGCCCGCCAAGTTGGGTGGTGGCAGGGTGTCTCCCTCGCAGAGGTCCGTAAACTCAAATTTTTCTGTAGCAGGAAGTTTGCTTGTAAGTTATCATCATAACCTCTCGACTAACCAGTCAGTCATTCTTCTGTTCGTTTCAGCAAGGGAAGTTGTTGTAGAGTTCATATCTTGCAAATGAATCATTGTATGAATATGCGAAGGGACTAGTTAGTTGGACAGCAAAGCGGACATACGAAGATAACGAGGGGATTCGAAGTGAAGATACCGTAATTTAGCTCGCAAGATCTTTACGCTATAATTCTAGATTATCGCCGAGGGACGGTTTTTCCTTGGAAGGGAACGAGCACTGAGAAGATATCTTGCCTCCTTGGATCACATGCCCCGGTGATACCTCAACCAAAAAGGTTTATATAGACTCCTGTGGTTTATCTCCTCTCCTCAACTCGCCCCGCATCCTCCTTTCTATAACACTCTCCAGGAAGCTAGATAACATACTTTGACCAACTCTATTGGAATTGTGTAACCGGCGCCTGTTCGTTTCCCTTATACAAATTCCTGCCATAGGCTTTATTCTAGCTATTAACCCTTACCTATTCCAATGACTGTCCGCTATTTATTCATAGTCTATTGGGTCATGCAAAGAAAAGTGTTCTCCCTCTGGAATCGTCAAAACCAGGCCCGGCACTGACCCATTGCCCGAAAGCTGCTCGATGGACCTCTCCTCCGACACCGGAATCCATGTGCAGCGATGTGTTAGTCGGTATCCCTCGAACTCTTCGTAGTTGTCCCAGGTATTCAGTAGACCATTCGTGTCGACAAAACTGTGTTCGTACCACGCCATTTTCTCGAGCCGTTTCGGGCGCGATTTGCCCTTTTTGCTCTTCTTACTGCCATTACCCTTCTTGCCGTCGTTGCCCTTCTTGCCGTCAATGCTCTTCTTTCCATCTTCGCTGGCTTTGCCATTTTCGCCCTCTTCCCCTTTTCGATGAGTGGGGACCTTTGTTGTCTTCTTTCTCATTTGCTTCATGTTTGCGAGAGCCTCTTTAATGTCCTCCTTGGTCGAGCTTTGGAGGATATCGACTTTCTTAGAAGATGTTGAGCAAGTAAGGCGCTGACCAGCTGATCCTCCCTGCTTCCGCTTGCCCTCAGCGGCAGCAGTGACTGCCGCGATACTCAAATCAACGGCTTCGGCATATTGCTGATCGTTCAGTTGGCGGGCGTGCGATTCATCCTCCAACTTGTACCAGCATTTGTCATCCAACATGGCGTACTTGATCCCGTTTGTCAACCCTTCAAAAACGCTGACCACCTTGGGTTCCTAGTCCTGAGGACGGTCAACGAATTCGTAGCAAATTGAGGCAGTCTGTTTGCTTGCGGGTTGAATCTTTGTGATCTGAACACCTTGGGGGTCATTGAGGCTCGGCTTGGGGCATGTGATAATGGGTGTGTCAGGTGCGGTCGTTGTTGACGACTCTTTGCTCGAGGTGGTTTTCTTCTTTTTCTTTTTCTTGGTTGTGCTGCAAGACAGTTAGGATGGACTACATGCAACGGGGGGGGGGGAGCTAAGGTTAATTACCTTTTGGCGGCAGGCTTCTTGCGGCATTGGCCGGCGGTATCACCAAGCCTGGCCGTGTTCGCGACCGCGACTTCTTTGTTCGCCTCGTTGTTCGTGCAATTTTCGCTGTCGCTTGTCGCAGATGGGTTGGTATGCCTGACGACTTTGTCTGCTTGGGAAGTTTGGCTCGCATCTTCAAGGGTCGTGGCATTGATACCTCCCTTTTCGCGCTCGATGGTCTCGACCAGAAGCGCCGGTCGGCTTCTGCCCATGCGCTGAATCTTCGAGTATGGAGTCATCGCGATCTGTTGGGAGTCAAAGTCTATAATCCACGCGCGGTCGAATATGGGACGTGGCTGAAGTAGGACGTGCGGTCAAGTAGACGGGTCGGGATGCTGGAGGAAGGTTGGCGCAAAGGCGACGAGGAAAAGAAGTTCGCTGCAGAGTCGCGAAAGAAGGACCGAAAAAGTTAGCGGGGGGGTGAAGCAGAAATATGAACTTCAAAAATGTCCGTAAGACAGTGGAAGAGGCAGGTGAATGGGATGCGGGGCAATTGCCGGGCCGGAGCCTCAGCCGCCAGATTGCCTGGGGCAGGCAACACGACTCAGGCGACAGATGGTAGCAGAACCTGAACATATTTTGGAGGCCTCTCTTCACCAGGCGGTCCTGCTTCTATTTCTTTCTGCACGAGGACTTATCTCTAGTTCGTACTATGCAACTAGAACATGGCGTGGGCATGTGAAGTGCCCAGTAAGTTTGAAGGCAAGGCGGACACACGACAATGACGAATGGGGTAGAGGTGAAAGGACCGTAGTTGAGCTTGTATGACTCTATATAGTTAGATTACAGCTAGAGGACCAGTTTCTTTGTGGAAGGAAACGAGCAACGAGAAAATCTCCTACCATTCATACATTTGACGACAATGCCACCGTGATACCTGAACTAATGTATACCTAATTTAGGCCAATGCCACCAAGAGCTCAGTCATACGGGCTCCTGCCGGTTGCGCTTTATCTCCAAACCGCCCACTTCCTCTGTTCTGTGACGCTTTCCAGGGCTGTATGTGATATGTTCTGGCCAACTCTACTGGGATCATGTAACCGGCGCCTGCTTTGTTCCCTTACGCCCATCCATGTCATGCGTTTTGTTCTGGCCATTGACTCTTGGCAGTTCCAGCAACTTCCTGCTACTCATTCGTAGTCCATAGGATCATGCAAGGAGTACGATCCTCCCTCCGGGCTCGTCATTATCAGGTCGGGTACCGACGAATTAGTGCGGGTTGGCAAAGCAGGTACGCGCAACCAGTTACACTTCCTCCGCAGTCTGCGTCCTGTAGTCTGACGCCTCCTTTGCCGAGTGTCCATTAAGCCATTCTCATCCACCAGGCTATGGTCGGTCCATTTCGGTGTCTTTGGCTGTCTAGCTCGGCGAGACGGGCTCTGCTTGGGCGGGGACGGGGGATTCTGCAGAACGTGTTCTGTCTCCTTCTCGTTGTAGTCTTCCCGAGCTGAATAGATCGCCTGGAGGTCGTCCATGGTGAAGTGTTCCAAGTCTTCGTCCGTCAATGAATCGAGGAGCCAGTCGTCGTCCTGGTCGTCGTCTGTGTCTTCGGTGGTGTCGGGTGTATCTAATGTGACGGGATCAAGGTCGTGATTTGATGGATCTGCGAAGTCGTGATCTTCTGTTTCCACAATGGGTTCTGAACCGCTGGGTTCAGGCGACATCAGAGACGCTATTCTCCAGTTGATGAACTCGCGGTATTCACTGGTGGTCATCTCCCCCAGGCCGCCATCTTCGTCTAGGTGATACCATAGACCGTCGTCCAAATTTGCGTACTTGCGCCCGAGTTGGGGCCTCTCAACAACCTTGATGACATTGAAGACCCTGGGTTCCTAACCCTCGGTGCTGTCAACGGTATTGTTGTAAAGAAAGCACGCATCTGTGGTATCTGTCGTAGTAGGTTCCTCGCGGTCATCACGCTCCGTTTCCGTCATCTCCTTGTTGGCATCGGAAGAGTCGGTGTCTGACGTGTTGGGTCTGTTGTCGACCGACGGATGTCTGGCCCGGGCCGGGGATAGGCCTGGGTCTGTCAGGGCGATGCTGAACAAAGGCACAGGTAAGCATGGGAAGTAACTAAGCAGAGAGAAAAGACATGTGGGATCTGATTTACCTTTTAATTGGATGCCTGCAATGGTGGGCGCCATCACTGTTGCTTGGCTGGAGTCGTTCAAGGCCGTGCTGCTGGTTTGCAGTTGAAGAGTTGGATCTAACGGCTGAAATGTTGTTGTTCTTTGTTGATAAGTTCATGTCTTTTGTATGTATGTTGCTGCCTTGGTCGGCAGATTCATCGGTCATCGCTGGTCTACGATTCTCGGACAAAACAGGCGCGCTGGCCTTGTTCTTTACTTGATGTGTCGTTTTGACGTTGGTCGCAAGGGGCGCCCCAATCCCACCCAAAACAAAGTGGTTCCGGTTGGCCATGGTCGAACAATGTAACGGAGGTGTCGGCACGCACTTATGGCACGACGTCGTCGATGTATGTTATAAGTACGGCAATAGAAAGGGCAAGCGGCGTGGATCTTTCGCGGGAATTTAAGTTGTGTCGTTGACAAAGACCAGTAGTGAGAGGTAGGTAAGTAATGCGCGGGGTTACCGGGGCCGAACTTCGGTGCCCGGCTTCCCGGGGCAGGCAACAAAGGGCCGGCACCGGCAACAAAACTGAACCACAAGTAATTGTGGTAACAGGCATCGTCCGGCTAGTAAAGAACATCATGATGGAAATTAGAAACTTCCTCCCTTGATAATCGGGGAAAGGAATTGACATAAATTTTACTTGTATTTACTGTTGTAACTATAGCACTTCATGCGTTACACTGGCATAGGAGGATCGCGATATCAATATACGATGCAAAGTAAATGGGCGAAGTGTAGGGGTCAAAGTGGAACGCATTTCATGGTTTAATCACGCACGGCAGTGTATCAGAGAAGAATAAACTATCAAAGAGCTTGTAAAACTAAGCTAACTCTCGACCTCTGCCCCATCCTCCCACACAAATCCTCAAAACTTCCTACTCGGCCATAGTAACAATGATCCATGGACCGTCCACCCATACTTCTACAGCTAAGTGCCACTGCGAGTCTCCTAACCACTCCCCCTCGTATCACTTTATCCCTTGTTGCGTCATTTCCTCAGTTCTTGTATGTGTTGGGATCCTCCAGGAAGAACCGGCACCCCTCCGGATCTGTCAACATCACGACGGGGACTGGCTTTTCCATCTCCCGGACATATTGCGCCAGAGAGAAAGGCTTCCGTACTCAGGTGCACCGGTGGTGCAGCCTCTTTCCCATGACCTCGAGCCTGTTCATCTTCGTGTTGGGGCGGCCTTTTTCATCCACGAAGCTGTGGCTGGTCCATGTCTCTCTTTCTTTCTGCTTCTGGGCGCAACGTTTTGCCCGCGACTTGCGCACCGCTTCTTCCGACGGTTGCTTCCTAATTTTGCTGGTGCTGATCATAGTCCTTGCACTGTTGTCGGGCTTATAGGCCGAGCTCTCAGCGGCTCTGACGGGCTCGGGTGCCTAGCCCGAAGCGCCGTCACGCCTCTTGAGGTAGCTCAGCGAAAACTGCGACTCGTGGAGGCGTTGTCTGTACTTCTCAGGTTTGGCGGTGTCGTCTTGCTTTTTGGAGAGCTCGATGAGAGGTGCGCTGGGTGTAGGCAGGGCCTGTGTTCTCGTGGTCGAGATGGTGTGCTTTGGCGTGGCCGTGCTGTGCAATCGTTAGCATCTGAAGAATCACATTTGAGAAGATATTTCAATATTCAACTTACCTATCAGTTCCTCTCCTGAGATAATGGTGACTAAAGCCATTGGTGGGCTGGGCGACGTTTGGCTGGATCTTGAGTGGTGTCGCGAGTCTGGAAAGAAAGCCCTCGCTAAGTGCGGCCGGACGGCGCTTGTTGAACACGTGTGAACCGATATCTTCGCCGAAGTCCCTCGTCTTCTCCTTGTTGGCGCTCATCTGGCTACCGGGGTTATTGGTTGCGCTTGGAGCACGAACGGTGGTATGCGTGTCGAGGTCTGCCAGCCTTTTTGCTTTCGGTGGGCTGTCTCCAAACGCTGGGCGACGGAACGGATGCGCTTCAATCTGCTGGTACGGGCTACGGAGCGGTGTTTCGATACCGTCTTCTTGCTGCTCGCTTGCGCGGGCCAGCGCGCGATGGTGTTGGAGAACCTTAAACATTGTCGAAATCGTCTTGATTAGGTCGAGTCTGTGACAGTGCGACAAGGTGGTTAGTCGGATTGGACGAAGAGTAATTGGCGCTGGGGGCGCGTAAAGGGGAGGAGATACTCACGATTTTGTGTTGCGACAATGGCTAACGAAAGGGTCGACAGGGGGTTATTCGAGAGGTTGCGAGGAGAGGGGTAGAGGAGATGGCTTTGAACATTGATGCGCAATGCGAAGGCTTGATGCGGGCGTGCTGAAGAGCAGGTGCATGTGCGGGTGCAAGTGGGGACCTTCGTTGTGAGACGTGGGAGGAAGAAATTTGGAGAGGGAAAGTTGAAGTGGCCTGACGTTTATATCCTCCCTCGGACGAGAGGCGACTGGCGATGAATTCCTGGCGACATTGGACGATTTTGTTGCGACATCAGATGAACACCCGGCGACAGAACTGAACTTGGTAACTGTTCGACCTGAACAACATGGAGATTTATGAACAACCATGAACAACCTTGAAATTCGAATACAGCCAGTCCTCGTCAGTTGCGCAGCCCTCTCTGTTCAGATTCCAGTGCTTTCCACTCTGCTACTACTGTTCACATCCAAGCAATCGACTTTGGCCGGTCGCCATGTTCTGTAATGTGAACAGTTGGGTGGAGCTGTCCAAAGCAGCGCAAACCGGGCAAAGCATCCGCGGATGACTTTCGGTGCCACTGCTCTACATTCATGAAGTTTCGGAGACTGTCAAATGCCCGTCTGGTTTTGGGTCAACAATCCCGTGTCGCTTATAAGAGCCGGGGGATTTCGCCCAACGCACCCGGTTTCACATTGCGTGCTCCGAAGAGAACGCAGTCTCTTGCAGTAAAGTATCAGGATGGAAATTATGAAGGGAGATAAAAAGACGCACTAGCGAGTCAGATACCGGTATTTGAGTTGCATAGTTTCAAGACACTTAGTAGAAGATTGAACAATCTAGTTTGGCTCGAAGATAATCAAGAACTCTCCGTGTGTTCCATGCCTTCTGCTCCTTCCCGTCCTTCCTTCCCGACTCCGTCTGTACGTCATGCCCTTTCCCTGGCCACCTCTGAACTACTCTTCAATCTCCTGAACGCTCCCCAAATCCTCCACCCTCAAATGCCACACGGTTTGCTGGACCATGCGTACGAACCGCTCCGTCTTCTTCTGTATTTGCTGTCTTCTTATGGAATTGAACTCCTCCAAGTCCTCCATAGTAAAATCTTCGCCATCGTCAACGTCCTCCACAACCCCCTCGGCCTTGTTGACGACATCGGTTGCGATGGGGTTTCGGTCCCACTGGAGATGCTTTGCGCGCGCCTTGAAGATGTTTGGGCGGCGTGGGGGATAGTAGGTGGGCACAGGCGCGGTGCTCGCCACAGTTGTGCAGGGAGGTTCCGGGCCGAGTGTGTTGTTAGATGCAATGATCTGGTTGGAAGTGGATTCCTCGGCTTCAGTCGGCGCAGGGTTTGTGAGGTTGTTCGGTGCTTCGTAGTTCTTGGTATCTGGAGTAGAGGGTTGGATTGTGGCGGAAGACATCGAAGTGCAAACTGCTGAGTCAGCCACGACATTGCTACGCCAAACAGAATGGATTAGCATGTGCTATATCATAGATCGGTACGCTAGAGCGACTTTTCATGAATATCTTACCTTGCCGTAGCAGCTCCGTTGCCGGTATGGCCACCAGCGACATTGCTCTCCTGGTCGTCGATGAACCCAATGTCCGTTGCCATAGCTTTCCCATCTTGTGCCTATACATGCATGTCGTTGTTAGCAAGTGTCATTCCATGTTTTTTGCCAGTCTGAGTTCCCATGCTGAGGTTATTGTCGTTCGTACTTACAGGAAGCGCTTCGGCAGCGGCCGGAAGACGAGACATGCTTCCGATGGCGCGGTCGGAGTTGTGGTCTGCCGGAAACTCCATGCTTGCAATAGCGAGATGCGTGGATGGAAGAATGTTGAAGAAAACCGTGCTCGAATAGGGCGATAGAAGGATGTTGGCGGTTATTTTGGTCGTTGACGATTTTGGTCGTTGGCGTATTTGCGGGTGAAAATTGGGTTCCTCAAATTGAGATGAAGGAGCAACAGGGACAAAGCAAGCGAGGGAATTGTTTACTGGCCTTATGAATGATATCGAATAGCTGGAACCTGAGGCAGTGAAGGCATCTGTCCAAAGCTGAACAGCCTCGAGAACTATGAACAGTCATGAACAGCCATAGGATGATGAACAGCCATGAACAACCCTGATATTCAAGGTACGTACATCGAGCCGTCGTCGGTCGCCCGGTCCCCCTCTGTTCAGGTCTGTAACTGTCAAAGATTCCAGTTCATTCCACTCATCGGCTCCTGTTGACATCCCACCACCCGATTCCCTTGGTGTTCGCCTGTCACCGAGGCCATCTGTCGCGTAGAAAATAGTGCAACTGGCCACAGCTGTCGCAAACCAGTCCCTTAGCTGATGCCTTCCGACTGGCACTGCTGACGAACCTTCATTGAAGACGCGGAGGCTGCTCAGTCTCGTTCCTTGATGCCAGTGAAGTCAGGTATACGAGGATACAATAATTCTGTGGTGTTTCCTGTCGGGTGAGTTTTCTCGGCAGACATGGTCGAAGTTCAGTGTGACAATGAATGGCAAAAAAGGGAATCAGACATGAAGTATGGACAAGATAGTAAACAATAGCTAGGTATTTGAAGAAGGGTATAGGCACACAAAATACATTGCCTCTGGGAGATGGATAGCAAGTGAACACTAATAAATTTCGAGGAAAATGACGTTGGATTGGTTTATTTAGTATGTAGTCACCATACCCTTCCATCACTCCTCCGTTCCTTCCCAAAGTGATTGTAGCGAGAACGGCGCCTTCCTGACCACCTCAGCCTCAGTTTTCAATCTCGAAGACCTCGCCCAGATCTTCAACCCGTCGCTGTTGCCAAGCACTCTGGCGCACCATGTTCATAAACTTCTCTGACGTCTTCATCATCCTCTCCTTTATCTCCGCCTGAAACTCCTCTATGTCGGCCACGGAGAAGCCGTCGGCCGCCTCGAGTTTCTGAGTGGTGTTGACAGCATCAGGCCCAACTTGGCCACGGCCGTATACGGAAGTAGGAAAACACAGGTGCTTCTGGCGCGTCCTGAAAATGTTGGGACGACGAGGGGGGTAAATAGTGGGGACGGGCGAGGTGGATTGGATTGCGGTGCAGGCAGCTTCTGCATTAGGGCTGTCAGAGGTGGTGAGTTAGCAATCGCTGCCCAACTTGAAGACAGAGAGGGCTTTTCAATGTATGACTTACTCTTCCGGAGTGTCAGGGCTAATTTTGCGCGACAAATTCGTGGACGACGTCGACAAAGCTGTCTCGGTCGAGCTAGACAGACCTGTGTTAGCATGCTAGGCGACATGGCAGCAGAGGATGTTTTCAAGGAATGACTTACGAACTTGCTGCATCAGTGGCATCCTTGGGTTGAGTGTCAACCGCCTCGGTGCCCGTCACCATATGGTTTTTGCCTTGTACATATGGCTGGGGGTCGGTGCTGGTAGGAGTCGTCGCATGAAAATCGTCCGTGGCGGTGTGGTCGGCCTCGTGGATTGTCAGGGAAGTCATGGTTGCGACAACGAGATCGGGCCTGGCGGAAGCGTAATTCGACATTTCTTTAGATGGGAGTGTATTAAAGATACTAAAGATCTTGTGGTGATGCAAGAATAATGTTTGTGACTGATGCGACTGATGCTTTTGCAGGTGGGAGATTCAATCTTCGAATTGAGATGCAGGAGGAAGACGGAACAAGGAAGCGAAGCAATTGTTTACTTACCTTCTATACAATATCAGAAGAGAACTTTGATGTGGTGAATTTGGCATCTGTTCAAATCTGAACAGCCTTGAGGATCACGAACAACGGTGCCTGAACAGCCATGGAGTTCAAAGTACAGCCAACCCTTGTCAGTTGCCCAGTCGACCTCTGAGGGACCTTCACTGAGGATCCAGAGACGGCGAGTGTCATGCCAGTGTATCAGGTATACAGCGATGCAAAGTCCAGCTGCCTGGTGCCCTTCGTCCGGTTATGTGTCAACGATAACGTAGGTATGGTCAAAATTGGTTGTAAGCAAGGGAATGACCGTATTTCGTCTCCTTGTATTTACTGAGTCGTTGATCACGCTGTCAAGGGAAAGAAGACGATCTAGTAGGTAGATATAGGGGGCAAGTATAATTTATGATCAGCTACTTGAGAATAATATGAACCCCTATCACACCGGTTCCCTTCCAATTCCAACGTCTTCTCCCTTACTCCCCGTTTCTGACTCCCCCAGCGCCTGTAACACGTACTGTCATGGAAAAGGAAGAAGATATTTCCCTGGGCTCGCTCCCCATTGGCATCAGTACCAGACCGAACCTCTAGTCTTCGATCTCAAAAGCCTCCCCCAAATCCTCCACCACACGCGGCTGCCAGGAATACTGGCTAGCCATGTGCATGAACTTCTCGGTCTTCTTTCCCATCTCCTGCTCTCTTGCCGACTGGAATTCCTGAAAATCTTCGTCATCGAAATCCTCTCCATGGTTGTCGACGTCCTTAGCTGCGTTGGGAGTAATCGTGGCAAGCACTTTTGGGCTCCAGCCAACGTTGCGCTGAGGCGCGCGTTTGCTGAAGATGTTTGGTCGACGGGGTGGGTAGATATGCGGCACGGGCTCGGTGCTTGCGATAGCCCCATCTTCTAGCTTAGGCGCAATGTTGGTCGACGAGTTGGTAGAGCGGATCACGAGGGCTGTTTTGTCGGAGCTAGAGAGGACGGTGAGATTAGCATTTGCTGGAATGTATAATGGTAGAAGGTCTCTTTAGGGTAAACTTACTCTTCTGTTGAGGATTCATGATGAGGAGCGCTAGAGACATGGTTCTGCTGACTGCCAATAGCCTCGCTGTCCGGAGCTACATCCTTTCCGTCTTGTGAAGATGAGCTTCAGTCGATTTGGACAAGTGTTGTTGCGTGCGTGTCGTCCGTCTGAGTTCCCTCGCTGTTCTTGACGGTGTTCATGGTGTTCTGATCGGCCGGGCCAATAAGACCGAGACGCCTCGCCAGTCCGATAACATCAGCGACAGGGAGAGCGTGACGGTAGGAGTGCCTGTTGACTTTTGAAGCGACGGCGACGCCTTGCTTGTTGGCCTTGGCTGCTGGGATAAACTCGTTGGATGGGTCGGGCATGACGACTTTGTTGTCGACTGGAGGAGTGACTGCAAGATCGTTAGTGGTTGTAACAGCGTAGTCGGAGTCGTTATCTGTACCTGAAGGCGATGCCATATCGGGGACAGTAGGATGCTCGTCTGATGTATACTCGGCCATGGTGTATCAGGGCGCGTCGCAGTTGAAGTATGAATGCTAGTTCGGTGCGGAAGGCCGCTCCTTGTATGGTGGTAGATAGATGTTGCGAAAGAGTTGGGTGGTTGACGTTTGCGCGGGTAAAAGTTGGGATCTTCGGATTGAGATTTTAGAGGAAAAGGGAAGCAGGAAGTGCAGCGATTGTTTACCGGCCCTTTAAACAATACCAGAAGAGGACCTGAACAGCCGGTCTATAATGCGATCTTGGAAACCTTGCCGGCGGTGAAGCCATTCTGGCAGCTGTCACGGTCCCAAAACCTTGAACCGTCATCATCTGCCCGGTTGCCGTGGTGATCTCCAGGTTCACAATCGTCCGTTTGTTCAGGTTCTTGAGTCAGCCGCCACGGTAATTCTATGCCCTTCACTTGTCAGCTGACGTGATAGATGCACCAAGGCCTCAGGACATGATGATTGAAGGTGGATGGGAGAAATCGAAGGACAGCACATGGCAAGCTACAAGGTATATAGAGTAGATCCGGAAGAATTCATGAACAGAAAGTATGACGATGATCAGAATGGCACAGTGATAAGAACGCGATAAGTAAGAGTAATTGCAAATAGTTCGCTTGATAACTATGCTTTTAAACCAAGGAAAATTAAGACCAACCCATTAAACTCCATCCCTCAAACGCCTACACCAGATGCTCGTAGTTAACCGGATCATGCAGCCAGAAGCAGAGCCCCTCCGGCGTAGTCACCGTCAGCTTCGGCACCCCCGGTTCGGTTTGCGGGAGTGCCCAGCGATTCGCGACCATCCACCAGTGGCATTCTTGCAGCCGCCTGGTCTGGGCACAGTGCTTCCTCTGCCAGCTATTCCAGGTATCCAGGTTTCCAAGCTCGTCAATAAGGGTTTCGGTTTTGCGCCAACGGCGGGCTTTAACTTCGTTCTCGTTCGGGTGGGCTTTCTCGTCTTCGTCTTCGACTTCTTCGCCGGAGTCCGAGTTCTAGTTGGAGTCTTCGAGTTCAGAGTCGATTTCTTCGATTTCAGAGTGGAGTGCTTCGATTTCAGAGTTGAGTACTTCGAGCGAAGAGTCGGGGGCTTCTTCTGCTGCGTCAAACTCGGCAAGGAGTTCTTCTTCTTCATCTTCCGTTCCTTCCTCGCTTGTAGTGCTTTCCTCCTCCACACCCACCTTCCAGGCGAGGAATTCATTGAATTCCCGGTCCGTCATGTGCTTATAACCGCCGTCTTCTTCCAACAGATACCAAAACCCATTGTCGAGCTTCACGTATTCAGTTCCAAGCTCTGGCCGCTCCAAGATGTGAAGAACCCTCGGCCGCTCCCAATCTGGTCTATATTTCTCCTCTTGGGAGATGTCGAAATAGGCGTAAACTGACGCGGCAGGCCTGCCTCCATCTGGAGGGGCGGCGATGCGACGCTGGGCTTCTGTTAGCCCGGTTGGCCTTTCGTTTCTGAATTGAGTTAGCAAAGAGTTTCCAGGGGAGCTATGGTGAAGACAACTTACTCTTGACTCCACCTACACTCGTAATGGGGTTGGGCCTCGAGCTTGCGCTTGCACATTTCCTTGAAATACGGCGAATAAGACATTTTTGGATTTGGAAGACGGGTTCTTGGTGGTGAAATGAGGTTTTGTGTCGACAAAGTGGCTCAGTTGGTTGCCTGATGAGTGGTTGAGCGGGGGTGAAGTCGGATTGATGAAGGAAGCGAGATGTGAATTGGTGCGGGATGTTGCTTGCACTTGGTTGAGGTGAACTGTCGACTGTTTTCCTTTAAGGGGAGAAAGGCAACAGTTTGTAGAAGAGGTTGTTGCACAAGTCGTCGTGGAGTTTTCGGCCGAGCGGTGCCGGGTCGTCGTCAAGCCTCGCTGTAGAAGATACGGGAAGATATGAGGAAAGAGTACCTATTGGATGATGATGCCGGGGCAGCAGTGATAGGGGGTAGAGCTATAGATTACTTCTAGCTCTGTCGAAAATGGAGATCGTTGTTTTCGCAAGTTGCTTTTGAGATCTTCAAGTCGGATACTGAGTGACAAAAAAAAAGGAAGAGTTGAAGACGATGGTTGGGTCCAGAGGGGAGCGCGAGAATTTGAATTACAATTTTTTTTCCAACGGTGAAAAAATGGTCATCGGAAATCCGCCCTTCCCTGGAAGCTTGCAGATTTGATCGCAGGTTATGTATGACCCAAAGTCATCCGAAGTCAACAGGAAGTCCAGTGAATTGAGTCGACTCCGATGCGTACTGCTTGCCGGGCCGGGCAGGCGGCTTGGTCAGAGGTAGCCCGCGTGTGAACCTGATGCCCAGTCGAACGGAGCCAAAAGAAAGTGAAGATACCCGTACATTAAAATATTATCTGTTGAACATCGGACTGCCGGGTGCGAGGAGCTCGGGCATGCCTCGACGTCCCGGCCCCTTGGAGGTCGGCTGCGGCGAAGGTGCCGGAGTGCTGGGTTGCCAGTGCTGCACGGCCGGCAGGTGAATGGCTCCCGTCTGCGGCCTGCAATGGAGCCAGGCCAAGCAGCGAGCGTCAAGAATGAGCACTGCAGGGACACTCAACGGCACCACAACCTTTGATGTATCCAGAGGGCTTATAAAGGCCGTAGATGTTTGTTCCAGAAGATGGAATCATGATATCGATTTCTCTTCTGCTTGTTTCAGCCTTTAGCCCCCAATCCATGAGCCAGTGTCCCGATCGGGCTGTCTGGGAAGTCACGAACAACCTGGAACTCGCTCTTCCCCGCTCATGGAAGCCCGCTGTAACTCCGCTGTAACTGCGCCGTAACTGCGCTGAACTTTAGCACCCATGCCACTGCAACTTGAACCCGGACACCGCGCAAATCCGCACCCCCTCTATGCATGCCGACCTCCATCCGACGAAGCGCACCGCAGGCAGAAGAAGCTCATGCCCTGCACCAAAAATGCTGGACCGGAGGGAAGAGTGTCTCATATAGGACATCTGCCGCATCAAGACTACGATATAAAATCCCAAAAAAAAATAGTGCATCCCGAAACTGTTTTCCTCCGCTCCGCATGGCGAACACGGCGTAGGTTTGCGCTACCTCACCGAGCAGGCATGCCCGGTTTTCCACCCCATTGGCACACAGAAAATTGCCCTGCCCACACCGTCGCCATCCATAAGGTATTTATATCCATAGCTATGCACACACAAATCCATGCCCATGCCCATGAGCAAGCAGGCTAGCAAAAAAGGGAAACAAATTGACAAAGAGGAATTGGATTCCACCTTGGACAATTATACGTCGCACACATTCATTGGAAACAAGTAAAAAGAAAAAAAAAAAAAAAAAAAAAAAAAAACAAAAAAAAAAACTACCCACCTGAGCGAAAGTGGGTATGATATAATATGTTGACAAGAGTGGGATTCGAACCCACGCCCTTTCGGACCACGGATTTCTTTCTCGGATGAGGAGGATTAAGGGTTAACCTTAACGTGGCGCCTTAGACCGCTCGGCCATCTTGCCTTTTGTGAGCACAAGTGTTGATGAAAATTTTGAGTGGATTGTGTGGGTTATGAGAGGAGTAGTTTGATGGGGTGGTGATGGGGGCATGGGGCAGAGGGCATTGTTTGGGAAGCAGGGGATCCCTTCGTCTGTTTTCCTGGACCCCCTGTTTGGGACCGCCGGAACGGGCAACCACAGATAGTCAAGCGGGATGTATTAGCAAGCTAACTGTAGCCGGGCCAAAAAAGCATACTGTAAGATAACGTGGCATCTAAGTCTCCTCGCTTGTCAAGCATAACCGCTTGCACGCAACACGATGGAACACATCGACATCCCCGTCTGGAACATCAAACGACGATGTCCAGCGCCGGAATCCAAGCCTATGAGCATCTTCATTTCATGTATTGGGTTTGTACTCAATCAATTGCTATCACACCACGTCTTAGCCCATCAACAATCCTACAACCAAATGCTAAACTTCCAAATGTATCCGCTGATGCTGAATGAAAATAATGGGGTATACGCTGCGCTCAACAATGCTTTGATATCCTCTTCCAACACTGCCAAAACAAAAACAAAACTAAACAAACGAGTGACAAGCTACATCCAAACCATCAATCATCAAAATAATAAAACCTCACCCGCCGCCCCTTTCTCGTCCATATGGCGCCATCCAAAGAAGACCGGCGTCGAAGGGCAGCACATTTAGCAACAGTTTACAACGCCTGCTCCTGGTGGATACTCAAAGGCCGCGGCGACGACCGCTGTGGTTGTGTTACATGTTGTCGAGAAATGGTGCGCTCCGATAAAAGCTAACCTTGAGAGGAAGCACCTTGAGCGGCAGCACCTTGAGCGGCAGCTTCGCCCGAAGACGGCCTGAGCCAACACTCCGACAGCGAGGGAGAAGTTACTCCTGCTGCGGAGGCAGCCTGATGACGATCATTCGGGGACCAGCAGCTTCAGCTTGAGTTGTGGCGTCCCCTTGGACAACCGCTTCCTCTGCGGGCTTCTCGGTCTCCTCAAGCTCTTCGGCTTCCTCCTGGACAGTTGGAAGCATCGACGGTGTCGCAATGTTCCCTTCCGAAACGGGGGCCTGCGAAGCGACCTGTTCTCGCTGATCCCCATCTCCCTTGAACGAATCCAACATCTTCTTTTGGTTGGGACTCAAAGACTGTGGCCATTCCTCTGGCTTTGCTGCCTGATGTCCAGAAGTGGAAGCTTTTGTTCGCCAATTCTGGGGCGACACGGCCGCTGGCCTTTCGGGAAGAGCCTCCTGTGTTCGTGGTGCTCTGTGACTAGAGTCCCGAGCCCCTTGTGGCGACAACCCCGACTGATGCGGGACATTATGTGTACTGCTTGGGTTTCTGGGAGTCATGGAGGCCTCGGCCCTTGGGCCCCTTGTTGGACTCAACCCTGGCGGATACGGGCCATTGTATGACGTGCTTGGGTTTTTAGGGTCGTAAAGTTGCCGATGGGTGTTTCCTTGAGGATACATCGGGTGCAAAGCTTGTGGCCCAGGAAATGCATCTTTGTGGACCCATATAGGTTCCCCTTGCGGCATCGGATGTCCTTGAGATGGGTTGAATTGTGGTTGAGTTACATTCGAGCCTAGTTGCGGAGCGTTCAACTGCGGTCGAGGTGCATTCATCTGCTGTTGGGGCGCGTTCATTTGTTCTTGGTAGCCACTTTTATATGGTGATGTCTGGTGGCTGTATGCCGATCCCGATGCCGTCGTAGCTGTAGGCCCTTGAGATGGGTTGAATTGTGGTTGAATTACATTCGGGCCTAGTTGCGGAGCGTTCAACTCCGGTGGAGGTGCATTCATCTGTTGTTGGGACGCGTACATTTGCCCTTGGTAGCCACTTTGATACGGTGATGTTTGGTAGTTGTATGCCGGTCCCGATGCCAGCGTAACTGTAGGCCCTTGAGGCCGTTGTTCTAACTCTCGAGGATCATACTGTCCTGGAGGCGCGCTGGTGCCGATTTGTGGATGCCAAACCTTAGAAACTTCAGCAGGGCTGTGAAAAGGGGCAGAGAATCCGTCATAAAAGTTGACACTGTGAATAGGACAACGGAGAAAGCCGTGTTCCAATCCGCACCGATGGCAACGGAAAGAATCAATCTGAAAGACTGAAAGGCAATAGCAACCTGTAGTATATCGTCAGTATGTATTTAACGCAGAGACTTGCGGTGCGAAAGCTTACGCTTGGGTTTTAATATCCAATTGCAATTGTCGCAAAACACGTTTGCGAAGCTGGCTTCTGTAGGCTGGTTTCCGGAGCCCTGAGGTTGAGCCTGGCCTGGGAGCGTGCTTTGAGGCTTTGCGGGTGGCGTTGATACCCGGTCATCAAATCCAAAAAACAGACTCGAAACCGAAGATAGAGTTGACGGAGGCTGATCCTGCTCGGGTGGATGTCCCCAAGCCGGATGTTCCTCGCCATGATCCTGACTGATGCGTTAAAGGATGCCCACAATGTCCGATGGCTGGAAGAGACTTACCTCACCAACGACTGCCCCTTGACCGCTCAAGTCCACCGCAGAGCGACACTTCCCTTCCTCTTGTCCCTGGATGAGGTTGGGTTGGGCCGGGGACACAGTGATTGGAACCCAGCCAAGAGGCGTTTCGGCCTTCAATTCCGCCCGCACCGCATCAAGCTCCCGCTTCTTCGCATCAAGTTTTCGTTGCGCTTCTGCTACTTCCGTATCTTCGACGCTAACCTGCTTCCCCAGGTCTTCATCAAAAATACTCTTTACTCTCTGAAGCTCTTGCTCTCTGATCATCAGATTGCGGTCCCTTTGATGGATGAGTTCCTTGATCATCTGGTCTTGGCGCCTTGCTTCTTCACCATACTCCTCAGCGCTTTTTAGCATTTCAAGCCTCTTTGCTCTGACTTTGTTGATTCTGAGCAATCCATCCTCGCGCTCTGGTTCCGAGCCGCCAAGATTGGAAATTGGCTGGCCAGCACGAACTCTCTCCTCCCTTTCCTTAATCTGAGGGTTTGTATTCCCACTCTCGAGACTTGGCTTGGCCTTTTGAACTTCCGAATTTTCATCGTCGGGCCCATTTTTCTCAACCGTTTCACGTTCCATCATTTCACGGGTGAGTTTTTCGGCCGCGAGGTTGTGCCGCTTGAGTTCTTCATGTTCGAGCGTTTCGCGTGCGAGTTCTTCAGCTTTGAGTTTTTCTTGCTTCAATCTCTCGCGTTCGGCTACTTCACGCTCGGCTTTCTCGCGCTCAGATTTCTCACGTTCGTCCTTCTCGTGCGCAAGCCGTTCTTTTTCGATCTTTGCGCGATCAAGTCTTTCACGTTCAGCCTTTTCACGTTTGGCCTTTTCACGTTCGGCCTCTTCACGTTCGGCCTTGTCACGTTCAGCTTTCTCGCGTGCAACCCGCTCCTGCTCGGCCTGCTCACGTTTGGCCTTTTCACGTTCGGCCTCTTCACGTTCGGCCTCTTCAAGTTCGGCCTTTTTGCGTTCGGCCTTGTCACGCGCGACGCGCTCTTGCTCAGCCTTCTCAAGCTCGGCTTTCTCACGCTCAGCTTTTTCTTCCTTCGCTTTCTCACGCACCTTCTCACGTGCGACCCGCTTACGCTCAGTTCTCTTACGATTAGCCTTTTCCCGTTTTGCCCTCTCGTGTTCAGCCTTCTCGCGTGCGATGCGCTCCTGCTCAGCCTTTTCTTGCTCAGCTTTCTCGCGCGCCTTCTCAAGTGCGACCCGTTCACGCTCAGCTTGCTCATGCTCAGCCTTTTCACGCTCAGCTTTTACGGCCTGCTCGCGTGCGATGCGCTCCTGCTCAGCCTTTTCTTGCTCAGCTTTCTCGCGCGCCTTCTCACGTTCGACTCGCTCCTGTTCGGCTTTTTCGCGTTCAGCTTTTTCTTCCTCCGCTTTCTCACGCGCCTTCTCAAGTGCGACCCGTTCACGCGCAGCTTTTACGGCCTTCTCGCGTGCGATGCGCTCCTGCTCAGTCTTTTCTTGCTCAGCTTTTTCGCGCGCCTTCTCACATTCAACCCGCTCCTGTTCGGCTTTTTCCTGGAAGTCCATGACACGCTCCTCGGCAACGTGTGCGGTAACCGGGGCGCTTCGCTCAATCTCACGGGCCTTGCGTTCCGCAGCGGCCATCCGCTCCTTGTACTGAGGGTGGCTCTTGTCGATCGTCGTGGTATAGATTTTCTCATCATAGTCGGTCTTCTTGAGACCGAAGAGGCGCTCATTCGCAGCGAACTGATCCCAGGTACCAGAAGTATTGGTCTTCTCCAAGCTATCATCAAGCCCATCGGTAGAATCGGGCACCCAGCGTTGCAGAGTCCGCTCATTTCCGAAGCGAGAGTTGGAGATGGCGGCGCCCTCAGCCTTTTCGCACTCAGCTTTTTCACGCTCAGCTTTATTATGATCAGCCTTTTCACGCTCAGCTTTTTCGGCCTTCTCGCGTGTGATGCGCTCCTGCTCGGCTTTCTCGCGCTCAATCTTTTCAGCCTCGAGTTTCTGGGCCTCAAGCTGCTCTTCCTTTTCCTTGGCATCGAACAGTTTTCGAAGCTGTGGAATGATGTATGGTGTCTCCTCCTGCACCTCGTTCTTTTTCTCCCCAGACATAGATGAGGATTGAGAATTTCCTTGCGCACTTCCTCCAGATATAGCGGTATTCAAAGCATCGAGCCTTTCTAGGGGTGACAGAATCTCGGAATATTTCTTGGTAGAAGTTGCCGGGGTTTGTACTTGGACTGGAGCCTTAGGCTTATTCGTAAGTTGGACTAACCGAGATGGAGATAAAGGTTCAGGCTTCTTCTGAGCTGGAGACTGTGTCTTCTCCTCAGCTGGAGCTTGAAGCTTCTCCTGAGCTGGAGCTTGAAGCTTCTCCTGAGCTGGAGCTTGAAGCTTCTCCTGAGCTGGAGCTTGAAGCTTCTCCTGAGCTGGAGCTTGAAGATTCTCCTGAGCTGGAGCTTGAAGATTCTCCTGAGCTGGAGCTTGATGCTTCTGTTGGGGTGGAGGCTGTGGCTTCTCCTCAGCTGGAGCTTGAAGCTTCTCCTGAGCTGGAATGGGATGCTCCTTTGGCACCGGGTCTTTGATCTTCTTCTGAGATTGAACCTGAGTGTTTTCCGCAGCTGGAACTTGAGCCTGCTTCTTAGCCTTCTTCTGTGGCTTTGCCTGCACTGGAGCCTGAATCTTCCCCTGGTCCTTCTCCTCCGGTTTCGGTTGAGTCGACGCTTGCTGCGGCTTCTGAGCCGGGGATTGAGGCTTTTGCTGCGGGTTTGCCTTAGGGGAGCTCTGAGGCTTCTCTTTAGGCGGGGCAATCTTGACAATCTGGGGAACTTTGACTGGTGGAGGGGCATTTCCCAGACCTTCAATCTTTCTCTGTTGTGATGGAGATGGCAAATTGGGCCATGCCTCTTTCTCCTTCGCCTGCTGAGTAGAAGCAGTTTTGGCGTTGGCATGCATTTGCTTCCTTTTGGCCTCTTCCTCCATCCGCTTCCTTTTAGCTTCCTCGTCTTTTTCCTTCTGTTTAGCCTCCTCCTGTCTAACCTCCTCGTCCCTTTGCTTCTTTTTGGCCTCATAGAAGTTCCTCTGTTTCTCTGCCTCTGTTAGAGGTTTGGGATCACTCGCTTCAGGGGTTTTGGGTACGGTCGGTTCAGAAGAGTTGGGAACGTTCGCTTTGGGAGGCTTGGAAATATTAGCTTCAGGGGGTTTGGGAATGCTCTGTTCAGGAGTCTTGGCAACGCTCGCTGCAGGAGTCTTGGGAACGGTTGGTTCAGAAGTCTTCACAACGCCCGGTTGCTGATTCTCCTTCTTGATCTCCTTGCGCTTTTCAGCCCCAGCAGCCTCGAGTTCCCGGCGCTTCTCAGCTCCGGCCGCTACGTGCTTGCGACTGGTGTCTTTGGCTGCTCCGCTTCTTGATTCAGCGATATTCGAAATCTTTCCGAGTGGTCTAAACTTGTTGTCTCTTGTCCTTGATGCACCGCCTTTTGATGCAGCAGCAGTCGTCCATTTCCCGCCTGGTGTAAGCGTCTTGCCTCTTGTTTCAGCAACAGACGTGATTTTCCCGCCCGGCGTAAAAGTCTTTGGGGGTTCCTCGACGGTGGTTTTAGCCATACTAGCTTTCTCTGCCTCGCGAATGATCCTGCGTCTTTCAGCTGCGGCGGCCCGGGGGTTCACGGCAACGTTCCAGTTCCCAAGCTCAGCAGCCTTGGCCTTCTCCGCTTTGACGGCGTCCTGCCTCGCAATTTCGAGAAGTCTGAGGTTTTCACGCGCTTTGTTTTCTTCCTCTTCATACATCTTGACCTTTTCAGACGCTTGTTCTTCCGCGATTGAAGCATTGTCGGCCGTTGCGAGTGCTTTGCGCTTCTTGTCTTCATGTGATTCAGCAACTTTGGTTTTGCCCTCTCGCACGGCTTTGCGTCTTATCGCTTCGAGAGCCTCGGCTTTTTTGCGGGCTAGGTCCATCTCAGCTCTGGCCGTTTTGGCCTTTTCTTTTTCGCTGTCCTTGAGCCTTTCAGCCTCCGCAACTTTAGCCTTTGCCTGTCCGAGTTCCTTGAGCATCTCAGCCTCAACGGCCTTGGCCCGCTCTCTTAGGGCCTTGGCCTTTTCAGCCTCGGTAGATTTGGCTAAATCTTCAGCTTCTTCTACCTTTTTGCTCTCTGCATCCTCGGAAGCTTTTGCGGCCTCTTCTTCTTGGGCTTTGGCGATCTGCTGTGCTAGTTTGCGATCCTTTTCTTCTTGCTCAGATTTTTGCTGCTCGTCCAGTGTTCTGGGCTTGGCGTCCTCGGCCCTCTTTGTGGTTTCGTCTCCCTCGGCTTTGGCAATCTGCTCTGCAAGCTTGCGGTCCGCATCTTCCTGCTCGACTTTGCGCCTTTCTTCTGCGGGCGTCTTGTACTCCGAGGCTTGGTCTCTCCTTGCCTCGACGACCTTTGGCTTCTCGGGCTCATCCTGGTTGGCTTGCAGATTCTCAGCCTTTGTTTCCGCTTCAGCAACCTCTTTCTGAGCGTTTTCGGGGTTTCCCAATATGTCATCAATTGCTTTATCAAAGGCTCTCCCAGCTTCAAGTAATTCCTCTTCTTCCTTGAGATGTTTCTTTAGAATATCACGGGCTTGATTTTTAGCGTTAAACCACATCTTGCTCTTATCTGCATCGGATATCTGAGCTTTGATCGGGTCATACTCTTCATCGTCGTCTTGAATGGTTGCATTTTCCATCTCTGAAGCTTGAGTGGTAACGCCTGGTTGACTTTCAGCGTCGCGCACATTTGTTTGAACCTCTGTGCGCTTGTTGTCCTTGTGACGTTGTCTTTTCGCCTTTTTCCTGGCCTTTTCCTTCTCGCGTTTGATTTGCTCGGCCTTTTCTTCTTCGGTTGGCTCTCTCTCTGAGTGGGCTTTCTCTTGCTCAATCTCGTCGTTGACTGAGATTTGCTCATTGCCAGCTTCAGAGACATTTCCTGACGGAGGGTGGCTTGCTTGCTCTTGCTTCATGAGAGGTTCCGCGAAGTTGCTGATGTTGTCTTCTGAATTTTCCAGCTCTTCGAGTGATTCCGACGACATTCTAATATAATCTCTCCTAATGTTCAATTCGAAGATGATATCGAATCTGCCCCCAGTTTCGAGCGACTTCATCCGCATATCAAGTTTCTCTTTCCGTTCCTTTCCCTTTTTGGAAATCCCCGACAGGCTTTTAAGGAACGTGTCCTTGTCGAATGAGCTAGTTAATGTGGGAAGAACGTAGTTGGCAGCGGCCGTCGGTCCTGTGAGTCTATCGTCGAACCGCCAGGTATCTTTGGACGCAGGTGCGTTAGAAGCAATCTCGGAAGAAGGAGCGTAATCGAACATAGAGGCCATCGTACCCATAGGAGGCTCTGGAAGTCCCCGGAATTCGTCTTGTAACCGTCTTTGAAACGGGTCCTGGAGTTCGTCTTCCAAATGGCTTCCAATAACCGTTGGTGCATCCGATAAATTATCGTACGAGGAGTTGGATGAGCGAGGTGAGCGATGAACATGACATAACGCGGGAATATCAGGGGACTCGGCTGCGGGAGAGTTACAAACGTCAGCTTCAAGATCTTCAGGTTTTTGGCTATGCATGGTTCGGTACATACCTTCGTTATCGGGCTCAACATGGGTTGTGAGTTCAGCTTCTCCTCTTGCCCAGGCCTCGATGTTCTGCCGTTCCCCATCTCCCAGTTTCCTCCAGCTGCCGTCAGCATCGAGATACTAATCATCGTTGCCGATGACAATTTGACCGTCGCCTTCACTCTCGTCATCCGCTAAATCCTCTTGGGCGGGTTCTGGAACGGTATGTCCGTGACTCTCTGTTTCAACAGACGGTCCCTCACCAGCAGATAATGGCGTAACACCACCGGATGGGCCTGGGTCAAGTAACCTAGTCAGCTGACATGTGACTTGGAAGGGGGTATTGTTGCTTACCGGGAATTGTAGCAAGCCCAGTTCTGTCTGGAGTGACATATAAAGGCGGGAAGCTTTCAGGCCCAAGCTGAGGTGGGCTGGAATCTGTAGGCATTTCAGGAGCAGTAGGATCCTCTGGAAACATTTGTGATGATTCCTCTTGTAGCCCAGTTGATTGTACGTCATCCTGGTCTCCTCCCTTTGGCTCAACCGGTTCGTCCGGATTGTCAACCAGTATGAGGTTGTCGTGGGAACCTTCTGACTCAGTCTCTTCAGGTATTGGGCTAAGCTTCCTTTTATCATCATCAGAGCCTTGACTCAGAGTACAAGACCCGTCATAATCTTCGACACAAGACTCGTAACCGTCTTCGTGTTCATATTCTGCCAGCTCCGACCCTGGCGACTCCAGCTCTGGGAAATCTGACTCTGGCTGTGCCACATCAGTAGCAGCGGGTATTGCCTCATCTGGTAGCGGAATTGTGGTGACTTGTACGTCGTCTTTCTCAGCGGTATTCTCAATGTCGTCCTCAGCATCTGGTACCGGTACCACGACCGGTGCTGGTTGTTCTTCGCCAAGCTCTTCCTCGACTTCATCGGCCCAAGAAAAGGCAGGTTCCGGAGCGTTGACTTCTCCCTCGGGCTGCTCTGTGTCGTTCGCCGGGGCTGGAAGCACTGGCGAGGTGGTCATGGTAGGCTCGGGGTCCGGAAGTGGGACGGCGTCCGGGAAGAACTGCTCAAAGACGAGCTGCTTGAAGCTGTGGCCGGCCATCTTGGGCAGTTACTGGCGGGGTTTTTGAATAGTGTCTTTGAAAGCTTGAAGCGAGGAAGAATGGAAGACGGGGGACTTGGAGGGCGGGTCGGGGTAGGCTGTAGCAGACGGATTTTTTAGCTTCTGCTTTTTGGTCTCCGACAGCAGGAATGGCAGCAAACGAAGGAGGAGGTAGCAGAGAGCTGGTACATACTTTAGCTGCTCCCACTCTTAGGGCGACGACGGTTGGGAACGAGAGCTGCGCCGTGACACGTCCAATCCGTAGCGAGGGAGGAATTCGGTCGTGATACTGATAACGAATGTGTAGCGATAGCTAACAATTGTAACGACTGCTAGACTAGACTGAAAATGCTACCAAAAAGAGAACCGGCGCGGTGACCTGCGGCGGAAAATAGTATCGATGGTTGGTGATATTAGGACATGGAGACTTCGGAGAGGGTGTTCCTAAAGGCGGGGAGCGCTGCCATCATGTACTGACCCTGGGCTGAACTGGGTTGCCAACCGGTGGCGGGGTAGGCGCGATTGCCCTCGACATTCCGAGAATGGTGATGGAAGCTGCCATCGACGACTTAATGGAGAAGTGCGATTGTTGATTCAACCGACTAGGTAAGGTGGTCGCAAAAGGGACGAGCATGGACCAGACGGAGTTTGGGCGCGAAAGTGCGGGCGGGTTGGTCGCGACCCGGGTCAGGGAAACCCCCGACCCACCCTTTTCGCCGACCCCCTCTCACAACAACATCCATCGCCCTGACATTTTTGATCGAGGAAAAGCAAGAGGATATCTAACCTACTACTACTTGCCTCGTATTCCTCGCACACTACTTCTTGCTTCTCCCTACAACTGAAGCACAGCAGCTTCCCTTCGCCCATCCACCACTAATGTCAAAATTCATTTCACGTCACACTATTGCAAGTGGAATCCAAGATTGTGTTGCTCAGTTTTCATCTTTTTTATGCTGCCTATCATGGTTGTCTACAACCTAATCTGTATGCTGCATGATTGACCTTATATCTGTTTTGATCCTTTTTTTTTGTCTTTCTCTCTCTTTCCATGTTTTCCTTTTCCCCCGGTTCCTCGAGTCTCCCACTTTATATCTGGCTTCAATCCTCTGTAACCAGTTCGGAAACCTGCCTCACTCAGTTCTTCACCCACCCCAGAAGCTTTCGCTTCCTTACCCCATCCATGCCAACATGCCTGTCAATCCGCTCCCCCTACCAATCCTCATCATCATCCAAATCCGCCCAACTCCTCGGCTCATCCAAATAAAACGTGTTCCCCCCCGGCACCGTAACCGTAATCTCCGGCACGCCCTCGGGCTTCTTCTCCAGCGGCGCAAACTTGCTCAACACCCAAGTATCCCTCTGCAACCTGCGCTGTCCCCTCGCCACCTGCTCCCTCTGCTCCTCGTCCGCCACCCGCTTCCACGTATCCAGATGCCCATTCTCATCGATAAAGTTCTGGCTTAGCCACCGCTGGTTCATGCACAGGCGGTTCCAAGGCAGCGGGTCGTCGAGCCAGAACGTGTCGCCCTCAGGGGTGGTGACGGTCAGCTCGGGGACGGGAAGGAAGGGTTGATGACCAGACGAGTCGGCGGGGCCCGGGTAGTGCGTGATGGCCTGCTTGGGTTTGTAGGCTTCGGTGACGCCCTCCCAGTGGCAGCGCTGGAGGCAGTGGCTGCGGCCTTCGTTGGCGTCTTGAAAGCGCTGCCAGGTGTCGAGGTGGCCTGTGGCGTCGATGAAGGCGTGCTCTTCCCAGTTGAAGACGTAGGGCTCGAGGTTGTCCTCCTCTGGGTAGACGGTCTCGGTGTCGCTGATGGGACCTTCCGCCGGCTTTTGGGGTTGTTCGGGGGGGATGGATGTATTGGCGGTGACGTCCTTCTCTTGGTGAGACGACACGTTGACGGGGCTATGGGTGCTGGCTGACTCCAATGCGGTGTTCTCGGTAACTCGGATATTGGTGGCGGGGGTGAGCTCTGGATATTGGCTCATGTTGGCTGTGTTGGCAATGTCGGTGATGTTGGCGGGACTGCTCGGCAGCTGGGAGGATACGATTACCGGCCACTGCAAATCCTGCTCCTGTCCTTCATCCTTTACCTCCTCAGTCTCAAACGGTTCCTCCATCCCGTCCTCAACCTCGCGCTCCTCGCTTCCCATCTGAGCTTCTCCGTCGACCCCCAGACCCTGGTTGTCGGGTTCAAAAGGCGTCGTCACCACGCCGTCGACAAGCTCAGCTGGGCACCCCTCATCCTACTGAGGAATTTGCTCCAGTGAGCTATCGATGCGGTCCGTCTCTTCATGGTCAGAGCGGAAGGCGATGGCCCTGGCCCTGTTGACTGCGTCCTCTTCGTTGTCGGAAAAATTCTCGGCGTCGCTAGGGATATTGTTGGAGGAGCTTTGGGCGGGAGGGGAATACAGCGGAAGGCGAATCTCGGAGAGGTCTGAGGCGCAGAGAGAGGTCGGGAGGGAAAGCTCGGAAAGGTTGGCCGCCAAATGGTCGTCGACGGGAGAGCTAGCGGGGTGAACTTCGACGGAAGTGGTGGAGTTGCCGCCGCTTGAACTAGCCGAGTCCACGCCGTCGCCGTTGCCGTTGGTGAGACCATTGGCGGCGGTCAGGCTGGTAAGGGAGTCGAGTGATTCGCCGAGGTCCAGGGAGGAGATGGTGCTACCAAGATCCAGGGAAGAAACCGAGTTCTCTGAGCGCGGAGAGGTGTTGATATCAGGATTATCAGGATAGTAAGCGCTAGGAGGGAGGTTCACAGCAGTGATGGTGTCCGCTTCCTGGGTCGGCGCTGCGGCGTCAAAAAGAGTAGAGGCTCTGCGCCTGGGAAAGGAGGGACCGGCACCTGAAGGAGGAGGGGAAGGGTACGCGGAGGAGGAGGTGCCCCTGACGAAGGAAGACGTGCGGGTTTGGTCGATTGAGTGCCAGGCCCCCGCCTTGGGCTCTTTGGGCTTGATCCACCAGCGGTCTGCGGGATTGGTGGTCTTGGTACCTCTACCGCTGTACGTCCTGATACCGCTGTAAGAGGTCAGTATTTGTCAACAGATTGCTGAGCGCGGCGAAGTGATAAGAGTCTGAGCGTACCTCAACAAGAAAGATGGTACAAAGGGCTTAACAACCCCAGCAACGTCTTTGACAATCTGGCTAGCAGTAGAAACTGGTGCCTCACGAGCGCTCTTCTTCAGCTTCGTCACCACCTCAATCGACTTGTCGACGACGCGAGAAGTAACGACAATAGGCGCCTTGACGACGGCTTTGATCTGCTTGCCGACGATGTCGACATTGTCGATCACCTTGGTGATGGCAACGACGACGCGATCGCCGTCATGATCGCAGTCGAATTCGGCTTCGATGGGCTGGAAATAGCCGACGGCGTGCGAGATGGCCGGGCGGAGGATGGGGGCGATTATCGGGTAGATGAAGGGGGTAGCGAGGCGTGCGACCGTTTTGGTCAGGAAGAACATTTTGGCTTGTTGTCCTTGGGTGCGATTGATGTTTCGGGGAATGACAATTGAAGTCGTCTGGTGATTGCAGATTGCTGTTGCGTTGAGTTTGTAGTTGCGTGGTTGCAAGATGGGAAAGGCGTTGTGTCAAGTGTTGGTTGACTTTTCGTAAAATGGGGTTTGTGTTTTGTAGTTGGAAGAGGGGAGAAGTTCAATCGACCGACAAGCTTTGACGACAAAACATTAAGAGGCTGAGCGGAGGGGAGGAGAAGGGCAGCATATGCACAGAGGTTGCGTAATGGCGGACTCCGGTGCATGGTGAAAGTGAAGGTTATCAGCTGGCAGCCTACGGCAGGCTGTCGAGGGACCGAGAACCTTGGTGGTGGCATGCAGGCCAGTAATTCAGTTCAGGTGTAAGGCTGCGAGGCTACAAGGCTACAGTATATGCTCCCAAAGGTGAGGGGCAGAAGGGGGAGTGAAGGGTGGTTTGTTTACTTTCAACGTATGACGAAAAAAGGGGGGGTTCAAGTTGGTTGCGCACGGACCATGCACGGCAAAGGTCCGTTGGTTTTGGTGCTGGATCTTTGCCATTCACTCAATGTATTTGCACACGGTATCCATTTGCATGCGATAAAACGGCATGTCCGGTAATTTTTATACCTTCTGGTTGCTTCAATTTTATTTCATATGTATGTCCGTGTTTCTTTGCGGCGGTGTTGCAGTGAAAACGTCCGCACGACAAAAGTGATGAACCCGTTCATCTGCACTCGGCACTCCGGAACTGCAGTTCGCGCGCACTGACCCTGCTGCGGGTGCCCTGATCAGATGAAATTCTTGGCGCATCTTTCAACAAAGCCCGATTAGCTCAGCTGGTTAGAGCGTCGTACTAATATCGGTTCGTCTGATATCAAGTCCATGCGAAGGTCAACAGTTCAATCCTGTTATTGGGCATCTTCATTTTTTACGGTTGTCCCGTTCGCTTTGTTTTTCTCCGTCTCTTCTTTTTCTTTTTGTCCACCGCGATATTTTGTTCAAAACTCAGCTTGCATGAACAAAGCCTCTGTGTGCGCGGGGCGGGATGCAGCAGTTATAGTGCTATAGAACAGACAGGAAACATCCAAAAGCTTTACTGCTTGTTGGCAGAAACTGCTTGGTTGTCTGAACAGCAAAGCAGTGCGATATGCTCATTGACACTGCTATAAAGATGAGCGGCCACATGCTTGGATTTACACCTTTTAGTATGAATGAATTGTTCGGTAGGAATACGATATCATTACTGCTAGTTCACTGACCTGAATAGGTTACCTGAGTTGTGTCCTGGAGGGCAATATAGATCAACCGCCAAGTGGACAAGACCGCCAAAACCATGGAGGTAACGGTATGTCCTTGATCGCCGCCATGAAACGCACTATTTGCGGAACTAACATCATATTCTAAAGCCCCTATACAGCAGGCTCCTGAACATCAGCCATCCGTAATCCATCCCGGCACGAGGGGACGCTCATACCCGACACATGTCGACATCCAGGAGGCGAGGATCGTTCGGAATCGCCGGTTAGAAGAGCTCGTCAACACAGGCCATCCTCCTCCTCCCCCTGACAACCTCAATACTGCGAGTGCAAGCAACACCATACCCACCGGCCCAAGAGCCATGAATCAACGCCGAAACCAGGCCACTCCAGCGACAGCACCGCTTCAACAACAATATTTCTCCAGATATCCCAGCTCCGAGCCCCGTCTGCATCAAAGGACCGGTAGCCTAAGTAAAAGTCCCTACCATATTTCTCAACACCAACAACACCACGGGGCTGGGCAAGGTCCAATCCGTATTCCTTCAGAGTATTCACAATACCCAACCTATAATATACCCCATATTCCCACCACTCATTCTCCCTCTCATCTCTCCTACACAACGCCAACAACACAAACCCCACAATTCATAGATTCGCTCTTCCAAACAGCCTTATCATTCCAAACCTCGGCCCGAACCCCTCGACCAACACATCCACTCCGTCCGGCAACAACACAACTTGAACCCTATTTATCCTCCGCCTATTCCTTAGTACCTTCCTCCTACCCTTTACACTCCAACTCTTTTTTAGCCTTCCGCCCTTTATCCTCCCACCCCTCATCCTCACACGCCTCATCCTCCAACCCCTCATACTCCCACCCCTCATCCTCCAACCCCTTACCCTCCAACCCCTTACCATCCAACCCCCTCGGGCCTCTCCCTTCCTTCCTCCAACGCAACCTAGACCAATGTGCTCCCTACCTTTCGCCTCCCCGCGATGACGATGACGACGAGGAATCCGATCCAGATCCAGACTTTGAAAGGCCTTCTATTGATACGAGGCTCGGACCGGTCGTTTGTAAGCCTGTGCCGGAGTGTTTGATGGGTAGTATGGAGAGGACGGGGAGTGGGAGGGTTTTTTGGATGGTGGAGGGGGCTGGAACTGGGTCCGGGTCCGGGTCGGGATCGGGGGAGGGGCTGGGGCTGGGGCTGGGGAATGGGAGAGGCGCTGGGGGCGGTGAAGGGAGGGAGGCAATGAATGTGGGTAATGGAGGAGGAGGAGGTTGTGGTGAGGGTGAGGGTGATAGGGGTAGAGAGGGTGATACTGGGCGGGGAGAAGAGGGTGCTGGGGGTGACGAGGGGAGGAAATGCCATGGTGAGGAAGAGGAGGGGAAAGGGAAGAGGAAAGGAAAGGGAAAGGGGAAAGGTAAGGGGAAAGAGGAGGGGCAGGGGCAGAGACAGGAAGGGGTCAAAAGAGTGTCGACGGCGAGTTCGCTGAGTTCGATGGTCAGGTCTACGTCGGCTGCATCGTCGCATAGTTCCCGAGGAGGACTGAATCACAGGGCTCCTTCTTATGCTTTTGTTGGTGGCAGTTCTCAGGGTCGGGGGCACTCGGCCGTAGATATGAACAGGTCTAGTACCAGTCCATCACACCTAAGACCTAGTTACTCCCAATCTTCTGTTTACGTTTCTCCTTATTCTCAGCAAGATCAAGCTGGACCTTCTACTTCCCATTCCCATGTTTATAACCACGGGCAGTTCCATTCTCATACTCATCCAGCACCTCAACCACCTCACCACCATCAACAAGGGGTTCAGCAGTCGGAATTCACACCCCTGATAACCGAGTTGATTCCCGGCTATGTCCCCCCTGCACCTGTATCCCCCTCGCGAGCCACATTCTCTTTTCCCTCTTCCTCGCCTAGCCCACCTTCCCCAGCTCAGACTCTTGCTTCCGCTTCTGCTCCGCCCATTATCACCGACCCACCCCAAAGTTCCCGACAACCAGAAACCCTCCAAATCTTCGACTTCGACTCCGCCATCTCTGCCATGCGCTCCTACTTCAGATCCCTCCCCAACAATGCCTCATCCACCGACCCGGCTCTGAGTCCCTACAGCCCATTGGTGCCCTGGAGCATTGTCTTGTGGGACGATGAGAACAGGATGAACTTGAGGGTCAGGTGTTTGGGGCTCTTTGTGGATGGTATGGGTAGGCCTGTGAGCTCGGGGCAGAGAAAGGTGTCGGGAGAGTCAGGGAAGGAGTCAAGTTCGGGGTCGGATACGGTTAAGGCGGGGGAAGCAGGGAAGCAGCCGGAGAAGTCGGCTCCGGAGGTTGGTGAGCAAGGAGAGCGGGGTGGAAAAGAGGGGGGCGGGAGTGGGAAGGGGAAGAGGAAGGGGAAGGGGAAGGAGAGCGGGAATGGTGGTGGAGAGAATAACTCCTCGAGGAAAAACGAAAGGTTGTTTTTTAGGCCTGTCTTAATTGATGGCTTTCCATTGGGATATACCCCACTTGTATACTGGCAACAAGATTCGGAAGAGGTGATGAGGGATCAAGCGGTGAGAGTCAGGATGATGACGTTTATGCCGAGGGCGGGTCAGGGGCAAGTTCAAACGGGATCGGTTATGGGAGGAGGAAGAGGAGGAGACGGAGTGGGAAGGGGAATGATGGTTCCTCAAGCGGGAGAGCAAAGAGACCAAGCTGTGCAGGAATGGCTGGAAGTCGAGGCCATGAGTGTAAGTGAATGGCAGGCGCGGATGAAGAATCCGGAGTGGTGATGAAAGCCGAGAGTTCTAAGATGAGGAGGGACAGGTTGCTTGAGATGTTCTTTTGAGGTGCGGATAGATGGTCGAGACAGTGGACAGATGGAACATAACAATGTGTACGCAACAAACTTGCCAAGCAAGCTAAGACTCGGAATTGAGCAAGTTGATGAGACTACTGCCAAGAATGGAAGAGAAGGAAAAAAGAACCTCGCACGTTGACGTGATGATGTGTAGCAGGAAAGAAATTAGAAGTCTTATACCGAAAAGAGAAAAAAAAAAGTCAAAAACATACAACACCAGGGATTCGCTGGTCGTCACCGACCCAACTACTAGTCTGGCCCTCACTAAGCTTGTGTATGGGAGTGAGAAGGATATCAATCGGGTCTTTTAATCACGTGATAGGGTCAAAAAACTGAACAATCACCTCCCGTATCAAATCGTTCGTTACGGAGGCATTACGGTGAGTGTTGGAGGCGGCGCTAAAGAGATTAATACAATTGGGCAGATTACGAGAAAAATTGACCGTTCTGAAACACCGAAATTGCATTTCCAGGCTGGTCTTACTATTGCTAGCGCAGCCGCCCCTTTATAGAGAATCGATTGGCTGAACGAGCTTCAGTCCCGTTAAGCACACGGCCACACCATCCAGGAGCATGACTGGGCATGACTCCTTGCCCACGGAAGGAAAGTCCATCCATACTAATCCGGTCGTCGTCTGAGTCGAAAACTGGATATTCCCACATCTGGCTGGAGCTTTGCGGATGGCCTCGAAGACAACACTATGATATTTGCTCGGACGATTTCAGACGAAGGTCACCTTGATATATTGAATACCGACGGCGTTTATTATTGTCGGTAGGGCCGACATTGCAGGTGTGCCAAGCCCCTGACATCTGACCCAAACCAGTTCGATTTTAACACCAAGCATTCGAGTCTGAAGAAAAGTTTCGCAACAAAATTGCCCTCCGGGTCTTCCTTTCCTCGATCCCTCCGTCCAGCACGTTCTATCTGGACCTTGAGGGCAAAAGTCTCAGCCGCAATGGAACCCTCACCCTCCTGACGGTACTCGTCCTTCCCGCGTAATTAACAAGCATTGTCGATGTCCAAACCCACGGACTCTGCTTTCACCACTCCCGGCAAGGCGGAAATACCCTCAAAGCCCTCCTCGAGGATCCCTACACTTCCAAATGCTTCTGGGACGTATTCACGAAAAGGCGGACATGTTTGCGCGCGCTCTTGTCGGCTATGCTACGATGGATGCTGAGGCGATGGGCCGGGATACCTTTATTGAGCGAGTTATCGAGGGAGGAAGAAAAAAACGCTACATTACGCTGAACGACACAGGTGGTCAAGCAACGAGGATCAGATTGGATAGGGCGATGTATAGCCAGAAGGCCATCGTAAGTCGCGGAACTACCTGTTATACGACCGAAAACAACAGCGTTGTCAAATTCGCCTGGGCATCGGGTAAACGGACGTCGGAGGTAGAGCACCTAACGCAAGCAAAGAAAATGAAGGTTAAAGGGGTAGCTGAAATAGTAGCGCATCATCGAATCACTACCATTGCAGAAATACGGAAGGGATTGCAATTCTCAAAGCCTCACCCGTTTCTGAACGGGGGGGACGACCCTTCATCGGCTTCAACAAGCACTAATACACCGGGATACAAGCGCAAATCATCGTCCGATGCCACTAACAACACCGTATCCAGATCTAATAAGAAGCAGCGATCCGATAGCCAGAAGGTAATTCGAAAGCTGAGCATCCAGCCGTCGTCGTCAACAAGCAAGATTAAGCCGACCCTATCTACGCCTAGCGAGGAACTGTGGGAAGATCGGATCTATTCCTGCCTCGTCATCTCACCTGCCGGTCGCGTCATCAGTGAGTTTACCGATATCAAGCAACTGCTAGAATCAATGCGAGATGCGATCAAGGCGCACCAATCTCTCTTCGTCACTGGCAATATTCTCCACCGCGATATCTCTCCATCCAGAGCAGCTCTACAGACCTATCATAGCAGCTTATGATGAGGCCATCAGCGAGCTATAGAGATTACAACAGATAGGGAGAAAGGCGATAGAACGGGTGGTTAATTTTGACCTAGACCTTGCTGTCAGAAAGAACCGAGAAGGTGCCTCCGGAGCAAAGGGCATGACCGGCATGCGATCACACTCCATGTCGATACGATACGGAGGAAGCGGAGCACATCATCGGTCATGGGGAGGGTAAAATCGACCAGGACATGGATGATGTGCGTTGGGAATTGAAAGACAAATTGTTTGGCGAGGCGCGGGAGCTTGTGATGGAGAAGACGGAGGAGCAGCAGTCGCAGTTGTGGGCCGACATGCGGGACGACTTGATGGAGGAGATGCGGCGGGAGATCAAGGAGGAACTGATGGCCGAACTGAGACGGGAGTTGGTAGCAGAGGTCAAGACGGAGCTGTTCAAGGACATGGTGCAGGCGATGATGAGGGCGGCGTGCGGTGATGGTGGTGGAAAGTCTGGGACGGGCATGTCACAAAACACATAGAGCACGGATTGTACTCAGTGAGGCACGCCATCGACTGGCCCGATACCCTCATTTCACGATCTCACGAATGAACAGGATCTCTTCCCCCTGCCCCACGGTAAGTTGATTGGCTAAGACTCGTGGCTCGTAACTGGCGTGTGCTTGATGTTTTGACTATAATGGTGTTACGATCCAATCAAGGATCACTCATGTAAGCAGATTAGCTAGCCAATAGGATGGAGGCCGAAACAACGGAGCCGAGGGCCCGGCTCCAGGGCCTCGGCGCCTGGCCGAAGAAAGGGAGCCAAAGGTTCGGCTCCCCTCCGTCGGCCCCGTCTAAAGGTGTCACACGGACATTTGCCCACAGTTCTGGGTTAGGGTTTCCAAGGCTTAACAGAACCTCAACGCTTGGCATCAGCCTTATGAGTGCTTGGTGGCCTCCGGCCGCGAAAATCAACCTCACCTCGGTCAGACTCTTGGCTACTGGCACAACTTACCCGAACCCCTCTCGCGCCATCAAGCTAACCGAGCCAACCCTGGAACTGCCGATGGCGCTGAGCATCATCACGAGGTTCCCCTCGTATCACATTACGCTCGGTATGGAACGTGATGCGCGACATAGATTATCGGTGTTGGATGCCGCTAACGGCTCTGTCTGTTTGCTCCAGCCTTGGGGTTTATGAAAGTTCAAAAACAGGTCGCGCAGCCAAAGTAATAGCCCCAGCGTGTAATAGGGTAACGCCTTGGCGAGTACGACGGCCACGTGACTAGATCGTGCACAGACCATATGTAGATCTGGTTCGCGCAGAGGCCATTCTCGCGAGCACCACGGTTGACAGCTGCTCTGTATTCCACAACCGTATTCTCAAGTGGAGGATCACATGAATGTGTCAAATGACATTCGCGAACTGTTGTATGCGGAGGACCAGCAGGATCTGGAACGCCAGAGGAAGCGTAGAGCCCCTCCGGCGGCCTGTCCGCCTATTAGTATCACTAACGTCCTGCCACCTAAACCCTCAAGCTCGTACCCAGCAGTGCCGGCGACAGGGTCTGCGGAATTGGTGGCATCCAGACCAGTAACCCCTCTTCAAATTCCAGAACCACTGGACACTGCCGTGGAGAGGTACACCAGCTGGCTGTGCTCACGGTTCCGCAGCGTTGCCATCCAATTAGAGTACCAGAAGGCTGGCAACTTAACATTGGCGGAGCGTTTCGACCTGGAGTTAGTGTATAAACAGTAAGATGTTGAATTTTATATTGAGAATGGCATTAAGAGGGGGGTGGTAAAGAGATTTGTCCGTGATATTGCGTTTTGGTTTAAATAGTACGGTGTAGTATGAAAGATATTGTATATGGTTGCCCTATGCTTCCTCAACGGTGATGCCAGCATGTCTGAAGTGACCCTCCGCACTTGACTTCCTGGCTCCTATACATGCCTTCAGCTCACCCAATCTCACCAACCATGTGCATCTCTTCTAGCCTCCTCAACCTGCCTCTACCCTCACTCCTTTAAAAAATGGTCAACCTCTCCACCATCTCCCTCCTGGCTTTCAGCCTCCTCTCTTCCCCAATAAGCAGTATCAACCGTAGCTGTGTGATAATTTTTTTCTGCCAGTTTTTGTTCTTAATCAAGTCCCACGTGGTACAGATAGCGGGACTCGGATCCCGAACACGCAAATCAGCACTGCGAATCTTGTACAATAGGTGCCATAAACACCATCGTGAACGCAATTGATCTATAGAATCGCGTAATGAAAAGATGTCCAGGATGTGCTTGGTTGTGGTCGCCTTCTAGTAGAACAAATCCAACTCCAACAACTCGGACGTTCGCTTCGGAAGCCGATAGTCCGTTTATTGAAGTGTCGGGTGCTCCATAAGGTGTTGAATATTCCCCTTCTAAGTCGTTTAATACGTAGGTACTCCTCGCGTCACCTCCTCGCATCACTTACTCGCACCGACGTGTCTTCTTATCAGTCGTGTCCCTTTTCTCGCGGGCACGTTATCGTCGTCGTGATCTGGATCAAACTCCTCCGCGTCCGCCGCCTCTAGCCAGTCTTCACCAACATCCTACGAGACCCAAGCCTCCGAACGACCTACCTAATCATTGACGTACCTTCAGTACCCATGTCGGTAGTACAAATCCGCATGTTAAACCCCGATCCCCCGCATCTGGATTGGGGAGGACCGTGTAGCTGTGGCAACGCTACTACAAGTGTGTTGGCTCACCCAAGCACCACCAAAGAAGAGACTACTTATCCGGTCGAGGAGAATCAAGGCATCTACCACTGTACCAAGCTTAGCCAGGACTGGTATTACGGGGCGAGAGGGCACCGTTGGGGGGTATGGTAAGATATGCGTTGTTGTGCAAAGGAGAGAAAAGGAGGATGTGTGTAGAGGATTGGCTATATGGGCGAGAGCCCAGATAGGCTAGTCCGTGTGCGCGGATGTGTAGTGCGACAATGTTATAGGCTAACCCGGTGACAACTGGGCAGTCACGCGTTAATCCCGTGGCATCTGGACCGCAAAAGGGATGGAATAGTCTTGCTTCTTCATAATGGAATACGTCATCTTGACAACAGTAGAAGGTACCAGAATTTACAAAATTCCTATAAATTTGCCTATCCTCTCAGACCCTTCTGGTGACACGCTAGAAAAAAGAAATAGAGAAAGAAATTGAGAACGACATGGAATACATTATATATCTTGCGAGAAACCAATAAACCAAACCAGTCCTGATACGGTGCTGATGGATATCATCCGTCCCTGGATATTACATTTAGACGATCGGTAATTCGGTGGCAGCCAGAGTACGTTCTGGCCGTTGCAAGTAATCCAAGACTTATCCTGTCCCAAGCCATAGCCATAGCTCTCTGGATTATCTAGTACAACTTGGCTTTTGGTAGTTTCTGTAACTATTTTAATACGTCCAACGTTGGTATGTAGGTAGCGATTGGTAGGGTCAAATGAGATATCGGTCATCATAGTACTAGTAGGAATCGTTTGGAGGCAGCTCCCCGACGCCGGATCCCAGATCTTGATCGTTCCGTCCCACGAACCGGACGCAAGCCGCTGGCCATCAGGCGAGAATGCCATTGAGTCAACGGACCGGCTATGGCCTTTTAGGGTCTGGAGGCAGCTCCCCGACGCCGGATCCCAGATCTTGATCGTTCTGTCCTCCGAACCAGACGCAAGCCGCTGGCCATCAGGCGAGAATGCTACTGAGCCAACGACATCGCTATGGCCTTCTAGGGTCTGGAGGCAGCTCCCCGACGCCGGATCCCAGATCTTGATCGTGCGGTCCTCCGAACCAGACGCAAGCCGCTGGCCATCAGGCGAGAATGCCACTGAGTCAACGGACCGGCTATGGCCTTTTAGGGTCTGGAGGCAGCTCCCCGACGCCGGATCCCAGATCTTGATCGTGTTGTCGAACGAACCGGACGCAAGCCGCTGGCCATCAGGCGAGAATACCACTGAGAAAACGAAGCTGCTATGGCCTTCTAGGGTCTGGAGGCAGCTCCCCGACGCCGGATCCCAGATCTTGATCGTGTTGTCCTCTGAACTGGACGCAAGCCGTTGACCATCAGGCGAGAAGGCCACTGAGCAAACATAGCGGCTATGGCCTTTTAGGGTCTGGAGGCAGCTCCCCGACGCCGGATCCCAGATCTTGATCGTCTTATCCACCGAACCGGACGCAAGCCGCTGGCCATCAGGCGAGAATGCCACTGAACGAACCCAGTCGCTATGGCCTTCTAGGGTTTGGAGGCAGCTCCCCGACGCCGGATCCCAGATCTTGATCGTGCGGTCATCCGACGAACCGGACGCAAGCCGCTGGCCATCAGGCGAGAAGGCCACTGAGCAAACGTGGCCGCTATGATGGCCTTCTAGGGTCTGGAGGCAGCTCCCCGACACCAGATCCCAGATCTTGATCGTGCGGTCATCCGACGAACCGGACGCAAGCCGCTGGCCATCAGGCGAGAAGGCCACTGAGCAAACGTGGCCGCTATGATGGCCTTCTAGGGTCTGGAGGCAGCTCCCCGACACCGGATCCCAGATCTTGATCGTGCGGTCATCCGACGAACCGGACGCAAGCCGCTGGCCATCAGGCGAGAATGCCACTGAGGTAACGTAGCCGCTATGGCCTTCTAGGATCTGGAGGCAGCTCCCCGACGCCGGATCCCAGATCTTAATCGTGTCGTCCCACGAACCGGACGCAAGCCGCTGGCCATCAGGCGAGAAGGCCACTGAGGTAACGGAGTCGCTATGGCCTTCTAGGGTTTGGAGGCAGCTCCCCGACGCCGGATCCCAGATCTTGATCGTGTTGTCATTTGAACCGGACGCAAGCCGCAGGCCATCAGGCGAGAAGGCCACTGAACGAACCCAGTCGCTATGGCCTTCTAGGGTTTGGAGGCAGCTCCCCGACGCCGGATCCCAGATCTTGATCGTGAAGTCATTTGAACCGGACGCAAGCCGCTGGCCATCAGGCGAGAAGGCCACTGAGGTAACGGAGTAGCTATGGCCTTCTAGGGTTTGGAGGCAGGCATTCCAGTCCAATTCCACAGCCGGCTTCGCTTGAATCCATTCAGGTTCTTCTCCTCTGAAATTTCTCTTTATCAAGCTACCGCTTGGAGCAAATACAAGCGCTGATATGTATGCTTGAAGTGGAGCTTGCTCTATTATTGACTTATAAGATAGAGCAAACCGGTAAGCATCCCAAACAAGCTTTGATAACTGCGACTGATCATTACCTTCCTATATCTTTAGTTAGACCAGGTATCTAGTGCGGAGTTAGACTTGTACTTACTAGCAGGCCCTCGAGCTTTCTAATAGCAACAACGCCCGCAGGCATAGCTTTGAGTAGACTTAGAGCTTCCAGCCAGTAAAGGTACTTCGTCTTGAGGAATGTATAGACAACCCCGTTATCCTGTAAACGATCATGCCGTTTTGTATTCGTGCCAGAAACCGAGTCACACAAGTGATCAACCCAGTAGACGCACGAGTACCGCACCGTCGCTAGCGGGTCCGGATCCGGTACTTGGACCTCGTTGATTGGGAATCCGGGTGCCTCTAAGCCATATATGTCGCGTCGCAAGACCATAGACAACGCATTGAGCGACTTTGAGAATATGATGTGGTCTACATCTTGTGCTCCCAGGGGGAAGACCCAGTTGAAAGCGTTGCGGGAGGCTTGGTGCGCGGCCTTGCCCAGTAGAAAGTCCTTGGCGGATTGGTGGACGAAATAAACAGTCTGATCTCGAAGAGTCAAAAACGAGCCGCAAAGCCCTATAAGCTCTTCCAGGGACTGCGGATCATCTGAGATATCGTCTGACATCCCGACGAGAGTGGTCAGTTCTTGAAGGCTGATGGGTCGGCGAACGATAGAGGAGACGGCAAGAATTTGCCTGCACAGATCCGCATAATCGGACTGAATAATCTGCTCCATCATCCGCGCATACAGGGAATCCAACCCGGGGGGGAATGTCCGTAACTTTGTTAGTGTCTGCCACTTCCGAACGCTCGGGTCCGCAAGTACTTGGCAGACCAAGGCCACCCAGAGAAAAGTCCCATTCGCGTTAGAAGAAAGATAGTCATGTACATCCGCCTGTAATGTGCTGTCGTACTGTTTCTGCTCCGACAAGTGAACGACTTTGTGGCGGATATATGCACTGACGGCAGTGGTGACGGCTTCGGCGTTTAGCTCGAGGCTGAGTTTGGACTGCTGCGCGACGATCGCCAATTGTTCTTCGATCTGCACCCAGTTGCGACTAGATACAAGCCACTTGACGCGAGCAGACACAGATGATATCTGGACGATCAACTTGAGAAGCTGCGGTTGGTCTGTCACACATTCGTCCAGAGCATCAATCACCAGATAGGTGACCTTCAAGTTCGGGTCTTTTAGCATCTCGCATAAAACCTTAGACAGGACGATCCATGCCATTGCATCATCGGAGGGGTATGTGTTCTCCGGTAGATATGAGAGCAGGCGTGGTTGCTGGTGGGCAAGTAGGTAGATTAAGCCTCGTAGCACGGCAATTGCGTTATTAATACGCGAGTCGGTAGCTTGGCAGAAGAAATACGCTAAGTTGCCGCCGTCAGCGATAACACGCCGCTCTAGCTCGTCGATGATACCGCATAGCAACATAGTCTTGCCTTTGCCTGGATCTCCCTTGATCCAGAGCAGGCGACTCTCCCGCAGCTGGCGCCATCGCTTGAAGTCGGGGTTGTCGAAGACCCAGCGGTAAGCATCAGCCAGCAGACCACCCTTTGCCAGCTCGATCCGCTCTTTTTCGACGTGCGGGTCACGCGGGTCTCCGGGCCACAATTTTGCCAGACAGAGGTAATCCTCGTGAACCTTGTCCTGCAGCCGCTTCAATGCTTTCTGCCTTCCTTCGCCGTAGAGAACCGGCATGTGCACATCGAAGATGCCGAATAGAGAGTACACCTTGTCTTCCTCGTATTGTGTGTCACGCTTCTCGATCCATCGCATCCGTTCGGTGACGCTGAAATCAGATAGAGGGACACCTTGGAAGGCTTTTCGCGGAATTCCGGTTATATCGTGGATTTCTTGTTCCAGAGACTCCTTATTTCCCAGGCGCTCGCCCTCTTTAGAGAAGAATTCGACGATCGTTGGGGCAATGAGCTCTTGGAGGGTCCATCCTCGGGAAAACCATCTGCTCTCTCGAAAGGCCGGTTGCCAACCGGGGCCGTCGCCGTGCTGATGGGTTGAGACGTCTGCCAGGTACACGTAACATTTCACCGCGCTGCGGTACCAATGGAACATGGAGTTGAGAGCGTGCTGAAGCTCGGCGCTGTCCGACTTGTCGATGCAGCATGTGTCGACCCAGAAGAATTTCAACCCATCGCGCCAGGCTTGGTCTCCGCAAAAACGAATCTTAGCGTAGCTTGCTTTGTTCTTGCCTGTACCGTCCATCATGTCTCTGAAGAGGACCTCTTCGGGACCCCATGTGTGTGAAAGTATCGCATACGGTGGAATCTTGTTGTTGGGGAGGTTCTCCGTCAGACGGACCCCGCCGGTATCGTCACGCTCCAGGAGTCGCATTGCAGAGTCCGCCAGGCTCAGCTCCTTCGGCAGCTAATCATACAAATGTTCGATGGTGGGAAAAGGCTCGCAGGCTTCGCGAGCGGACGGCTTATGTTGGCGGGACTGTAGGTACAGTAAATCAGCAGTTGAAACTAGGGAAATTGCTTGACAAACGAGAACTACTTACTGTAAGTAACTGACAAAATTCGTAGCGTATATCTCGGTTGGTGTGCTTGGGAGCCTTGAAGGTGGTTGCTGTTGTTGTCTTTGTTTCAAGGCGCTGCCTTTGCCTGGATCACCAATCCCGCAGGACTCAGACTTCCACCATACCCGACGCGAACTGAGTAGAGGTATCGGGCACAACCTCTTCGGCACAACCTCTTCGACACAGCTGTCTTGCAAACAGAAAGACTCGCCAATATCGCGTTGGGTACATCGTTGGGCATAGATGATTGAGAGGCCCAGGGCGCCAAGCCCGAAAAGGGAAGGCGTTGGGACATACATGAGGGGCCTCTTCTCAGCCTTTACTGTAATGGAGAGCTGCTCTTGAGTGGATGGGTAAAGAGGAGAAGGCAATGCAGTGGAAAGATGGTCTTGATTGGATGCTTGCTCGCTCTGATGCCCTCCACATCACGTGGTTGAAAGTCACGGTGAGCTTCAGGGAAGAAGGTACATTCAGGAACGGTGAGGTGAGGAAAGGAAGGTGTGAGCGTAGACGAACTTTCCGAATGTGAAGCCTCAAAACGAAATCCCAAGATTAACACAGCGGGTTAGGGTTACCGGCGAGCACCGAGAGGAAATTTTGCCCAGGAACGTAGAACTGCCGGGCGGCGCGTCATTCTGTTGAGATAATATCGATTATAGCCGTGGCTAGAATTCCCAAAAGAGGCTCTCCATCGCATTTGGTCCTCGCCATCTATTGCTAAAAGATTGAGCGTCCCTAAGTATCTCGGAGACCGACTGAAACGCGATTTTACTGTAAGCGCCGAGAGTCACGAGGGAAACTCACCAAAAAAGGAGCGGGCCCTGGAGATGACGCCTCAACGAAGAGAGTCAGACGCAAGGAACAACAGAGGAAGGCCAACACCATGGAACTTGTACTTAGTATTCGGAGGGGAGGTTGGCCATGGCTTCAGACTAGGCAGTCTATGGGTGTGTTGCAAGCCAACCGCATGGTTATGACATGCCAGGATGGAAGGGAAGAGGTAGGCTGATGCAGGCAGATGAAGGTAGGTTAAGGTAGGTATATGAAGGAGGTCCATCGTGATCCAACAAGACAAGAGCGAGAGACTCCCTTGCCACGCTCTCATCTGCATACACATAACTGGGCCGAGGAGTACGAAGAACCAATCAGGAATGGTCTTCTGACCGAGTGCAATCTTGGTGTTACCCGTGTAAAAGATCTAGCCGCAGTGTCAGGACGGTCTACTTTGCTCATAATCCGCCCAATTATATCAATCATTTTAGCGCCGGCTCCCCACTCACCGTAATGCCTCCGTCCGAACGATATAGATATGGGAGGAGGTTGTTCAGTTTTTTGACCCTACCACGTGATTAAAAGACCCGGTTCATATCCTTCCAACTCCCATACATAAGCTGCCCCTCACTGGCTTATCTATGGGAGAGCGGACGGGATCCCGAGTTTTCCAGTGGGTATGGTCGTATGTGATTGTTCAATGCGCAACATTCGCTTATGAATGGTGCGCACTCTGTTCTTGATTGCATCGTGTGATCGGAGCGTGTGATGACCAAAGCGGAAGTGAGGTGTTGTGGCTGTTGGACACTCGCAAAGAAAAGGTATGAAACAAACCAATCGCCGACAAAGAGCTACGGAAAGGGCTCCCGGGACTCTTCAGGAGGGCCAGATGAACTTTCTTGAGCTGAGAATCATGGTCGTTATTCGTAAGTTCTCTTTGGTCGTTGGTGGTTGTGGATTGCTGGACCGTCATGCGCTGCCACCGAAAGGTACCTCTCACCGTTTGCTTTTCCGTCTTCACCCCATTTCAATTTCCCAGTGTTCGACTGATGAAGTTTGTGGAGAAGCAGAGAAAATTCAAACCTGAAAGGAATGGCTCCGACAGGTCGATGAAATTCTCTACTAGATTCCGATTCTATCGACCAGTTGCTCCTTCCAAAAGTCATCAACCTCTTCCTGTCGTCTTTTTGCTGATGCATTTGGAAGGCAGGCACGAGCGACATGACTGCCGCAGCATTAGGTTGTGGACCATCGCAGTTCGGTAGTTCCTCCCCGTCTGGCGCAGGGGGAAGTCGGTCCGTCTTCTTCCCCTGAAGAGTTGAGGTTACAGTGGCGGCCGGGGGATGCCGAACGGCCCACTGCCCGACGTTCCCCTTGCATCCTGTCAAAACTTGGACACTTCAACCGCGAGTTGCACCTTTCCAAGTCCTCCACAACAAGTCCAGAGTATCAATGGAATGATACGAGATGCCATCGTCGACCTCACCGACTCAATGCATAATGTTCTACGAACTTTGCTACCAACCGAGATTTCCAAGGATGAGAGACGCGATCTCCGACTGGTGCGGATCTCACTGATGCCCGTATGAGGTTGTGCAGCCAAGAAGCTTGGCCCTTTCCCGGTAGTTGGAAATGTAGCATCGAACAACAAAGCCAACTTGTTGAAGAACAAAACCAGCGAAAGCCAGGTGCGTCGATGAGAGTAGTTGAGTGAGCGTCCTCCGAAGGTAGCAGGGACTAAACGTTTAAGCGTGCCAATAGTTGTAGTGAACGAAACCCTGCCCCTATTCCAAGATCCGATAGGCTTGAATGGTGGAATATCTCTTGTTTCAGCAAGGCCAGCCTCCGTCTTCGACGACCACTGCAAGGATTCTCAAACACCGACTTACGGAAATGGAAGCTCGACACTCGATAGAAACCGTCGACGTCCGTGACCGAGCCGCATTGTGGGGCCCCATCGATCCCTTCATTCAGCCTGAATGCAACCTACGGAGCCTCCCCTTCCGCCACGAAAAGCCGGGGTAGAGTAGCGTTATCCCAATCTTGGGTACGGGTAGGTGGCTCCGAAAATGGGGCAAGTAACAGATTTGGTGAAAATTGCACCCATTCCTGTTAGTGACTTGCACATCCCATTTACGGAGCCACCTAACGGGGATCGAACTACCGGTAGGCATGAACTTCTCGTGATGGATACAACCATCTCTGAGACCACCTCCATGGACTCGGTCCTTGGCGAGAGAAGAATGGCAACCTCGAAGGTGACAGGGACGACGCCAATGTAACCCGGAGATACGGTTGGACTGCCTAAACTGGTCCTGTCAATCAAAAGCGACGACAAGGAGTTCGAAAGACGGATATATAAGACCTTCACGATCGTCGTGTTTCGACTTTTGTTTATCCTCTCACCATCACCAGCCATACCATCACCCGCCATCAGCCATCCTCTTCTACCGAGTTTCAGATAAATCAGACACAATGGTCTCCATCAAGTCCCTCCTCCTCGGCGCCGCCGGTGCCCTCGCCGTCCCCTTCAACGCCACCGAGTTCTCCGAGCTCAACGTGCGCGCCGGCACCCCCAGCGGCACCGGCTTCAACAACGGCTTCTACTACTCCTTCTGGACCGACGGCGGCGGCAATGTCAACTACAACAACGGCAACGGCGGCTCTTACTCTGTGAACTGGCAAAACGTCGGCAACTTCGTCGCCGGCAAGGGCTGGAACCCCGGTTCGGCTCGCACCATCACCTACTCGGGTCAATTCAACCCCTCCGGCAACGGCTACCTGTCCGTCTACGGCTGGACCCGCAACCCGCTTGTCGAGTACTACGTCGTCGAGAACTTTGGCACCTACAACCCTTCGTCGGGCGCCCAGCGTCTCGGCTCCGTCACCACCGACGGCTCCACCTACGACATCTACAAGACTACCCGCTACAACCAGCCGTCCATCGACGGCACCAAGACCTTCAACCAGTACTGGTCGGTCCGCCAGCAGAAGCGCACCGGTGGTACCGTCACTATGAGCAACCACTTCAATGCGTGGGCCAAGGCTGGTCTGCAGTTGGGCCAGCACAACTACCAGATTGTGGCGACGGAGGGATACCAGAGCACTGGATCTGCTTCTATCACGGTTCAGGGCCCTTGAGCGATGGATTCAGTTATGTAGAGGAGAGATATCTGTATGGTGTTAGCTTAAGATATGTTGAGGGTGGGCACGATCGGAAGTTGGACATCGGGAAGGAGCGGGGGTGGTAGTCCTTTGACAAGTGCGAGTCGCTCTTTCCGGGCACCCAGGTGTTGAAGGGTTGCGTGATCTCGGTGCAAGTGAGTCCACACTGCTTTGGAAGTTGCGCCCGCGCCGGACTCCTTGTACTACAGTAGACCAGACCTCACAATCAATTTTTACCTTCTCCCAAACTTGCCTTGGGTACTCTGATCAATTTGAAACTCCCTCAGTTACAACTTTTCTCCTGAAAATCCAATCGTCTCCTGTTCTTGTTACACCCTACTCGGCACCGAAGAAGTTGAAGAATCTTGAACCCTTGTAGCATCCCAACAAAACACGCGACTTACACCGTCTTCGAGTTTCAGGCACAAGCTGAACAATGTCAAGATATTGTGCGTGCTTTTGTCCGCCTCAGCACCCCTGGCGGTGAAGGTGATGCACCCAATGCCACTGCCAGGTCGTTACAATCTACATGCAGACGTTCGGATCTCGCGTAGCACAGAGAATAACGTGCAGGCGCCACTTCATATCTGGCATGATCCTATTGACGCCTCTCAGCCCACCGCTATGTCGTGCCTGACGAGATAAATAGCAGCCGTTCCAATCCTGTGAGTTTCTCCCACAATTCCGGATTTTCCCTCGATCCTCTTTCAGCGATTTGCGTTCATGGATAACGCAAGCAACATTATCCGCAGACGCAGTGTTCCTCCGGGCTTGCGGTCAAGGCCTTGACTACCCACAGCTCTCTGCCGGCCACGGCAATCGCCGCGCGACTCACATCCACTCACTCGTATCTGACCATGTCGCCTTGACTTTTTATTCGGCTGCTCACAGTCTTTCACAGTCAACGGAAGAGGATAAGCACTGTTACTCGAAGCCGCTCCTGCTCTCGGGTCAGGTCGTGCCACAGTGGCTTCTTACTTCTCATCCCAAATGGTCGATCTGCTCACGAATCCCAGGAACATCCGGACATGTTCGATCCGTTCCGTCGGAGTCGGTCTAAGAAAACAGCAATAAGCCGGTCCCGCACGAACCCAAAGCATGCGTTGGCAGCCCTATTTGTCAATCCCATTGCCCTGACTGGGTAAGCGCGCTGATTGCAAGCGTCATGCCTCGCATCATGCCCACGCAATTAGAACGAGCGCGATCCGAGCGAGATTCCGATCCGACTGTGGCGTGATTTGGAGGTCTCGGGAGAGGGACCAGGATATCGATGATCGAGGCGATAACATTGAGCGGTCAGGGGGAGTAGCCAGTGGGAGCTCCAGCAGGGAGAATATGGTTCAGTTGCGTCTATTCCCGCGACTCACAGGCGCGGACGACTGGGAGACCGGTACGGTGCTTAGACTACGGACGAGGAGTCAGCATGCTTCCGAATGGACAACGGAAACCCAATAGCTTCACCGAAGAAGAGCATCAACGGAAGACAACAAGCTAGGCTTCAAAAGGGAAGGAATTGCTTTCCGAGCTCTTTACCGCTCTTTCTGGGTTGTCTTCCGTTGTGTTCAACATCAGCATAACCTTGGAAACACACATCACGATCTCCAAGAGCTGTCTTTGGATATTCGTACTACAAAATGGGAGTGGCAGCACCGAGAAAACGAAGCCGTCAAGCAGTGGCACCTCAGCAAATCTCCGACATTCTTCCAGCTCCAAGCCAACGTCAATCCCAGCCCTCTGAGACAAGTTACACGCTTTCTTCTGTGACTGAGACAGCTACCACATTAACAGCGACACCCTTCCTCCCGACGAAGCTACTTGTGAGACTAGAAACTCCAACCAGTTTCTCGTCCCCCGTGTTTGCAGCAACAGCATCATCTTCACACAGTTCTGCCGTAGCACTTGGCATCGTCTTCGGCGTCTTCTTCGGCACAATCATCTTCTCCTTCATCGTCTGGCGTCTCTGCCGTCGCCGTTCAACACCGAAGTCTTCAGCATCAACTTGGCCATCATCAGCCAAAGCCACCACCACCATGCCCGTCAGATACTCGTCAACCATGCGCTACCCGCAGAGGCCAACAATAGCCCGAATCAAAAGCGGTGACCGTAGAGAGCGAGCAGTACCAAGCGAAGAAGCGGAAAAGGTACATACAACAGTCAAGGTGGTCAAGGTCATCCAGTCTGATGCACCCGTGCAAAGCTCTAAACGGGATTCCCGCCCAGTTTCACATGGGACTGGACGGCCACGTCATCACCGTGATCTCTCTGTTTCTCGACATCGAGAGTTCCCGCATCCGGGCCGACAAGCAGTGGTGGACGTATCCAGCCCTACTACCGAAAAACGGGATACTCATGACGTCTATCCACCCTCCGAGAGGTCGAGGCACAAGTACGACCTCGACGACAGGCCAGCGGTCAGGGGCAGAAACCGTCAAGACGATCCTTACCATCATCCACCACCGGTGATATACGTCGCCGGACGAGCAGCCCATGAAAGGAGCAGTCGAAGAAGTCACGAGCAGCGGGTACCACAACACCCACAAGGACACGGGCAGGTAACTCACGAGCGGAGACGGATTAGGAGATCACAAGCTGCTAGCGTGAGCGTTGTTCAAGAGTCAGTACCTGCGGTTCATCATGCCGCCTCTGTCTCAGCACCCGCGGTACCGACATCGACGAGGAGGTATCAGCCGCCGAGGTATGAGTCAACTTCTTCCGCGACAAGTAGCTCAGGCCTGTCGGACAATATTGGCGAAGAGCCACCAAGCGTTCCATCGTCATCGTCGTCTTCATGTTCTTCGGAGGGAAGGGGGAACTGGTCGCGACGACGTTCACGTTCGCAGAGTCCGGCCAGAGTCAGGTTCACGCTCCCTTCTGGGGTGGGACAGTATTTGGATGCTGATTGAGTGATAGCATGATGATATCACAAGCACTTATAGGTTTTGTTTACCTTTGTTCTTCCCTTCTTTACGTTCTTTCTGTACATTTTCTTCATGTATTGTTTTCTGCAACTGCAGCGTGCCCAAGGGCAATCATTAGACGTATTAAAAGAGGGAGTGGTGATGGCTATTTTAGAAGTAGATAGAGGACAGTTACCTACCCAAAGTGAGAAGTTACACCCAAAGCTGTTGATGTCTCTTGTTTTGTGTGCTTTAGGACAATGCTAGATATTTTGAGGATTGCCCAAACTGTAAGGTTTGGAACATCGATGCTCGCTACTTACGAGCTGCAAACAATTTTCGCTGCTTCACTGTGCTTTTCTTTCGGACCAATCCGTCCAGGTAATCCAATATACGGCATCATTTGTCTTTCCATAGTGGACCTCAAATCAACTCAAAGCACTGCCTGTCTTGACAACAACAAAGTTCATGGCCGTGATACTCACCAGACACGGCGTAGTCGCGCTGGAGATTCAACCTTCCTGAAGTTTGCGTGGTATGCGGCATGTGGATCAGGGGCAATGCAAGCTTTTAGCTTCCTGTAGAATCACCATCGTCTTGTCCATCTCAACGCTATTTGGACAGAGAGAAGTGAGCTCTCGTCGTCGTGCTCGCGTGCCGTGCCCTGCCGTTATCCGAACCCCGGATTGGTCTGTGCACCCGTGAGTGAGCCTCCGCGGAGAATTAGACGTGGCATATGTGGGTGATACCTAGCCCGTCTTCTTTAGCGGATTCGATAGCTGTGAACCCTTGTCGGCGATACATATGCAGCGAGCGACACGCAGCGAGTGATCGACACCAATGCCGTATTATACTGTTGTAGTAAGCAATGTCTAGTAGGTATTGATGTTTCAGTCGGGTATCGAGACGGGAAACTTCAGTTGTTTTCCCTGTGAAGTTGATATCGGCTTATACGTAGAGGCAAGATAGGGTTGCACCTAGCCGAGGAGGGAGCTTGGCCTAGGTTAAGATATTGAAAAAACGTTCTGCGGTTTTGAATGAATTAGATGGACCGAACTTGCTCTTGCGGTGGTCGAATTCGATATGGCTAAAGTAACTCCAATTATCCAAGGTAACCATATAATTCATATAATTGCTACCCGACCCGATAGCATCTTTTTCAAAGAGTGACACGTGACAGCTTCCATCACTACTTCGTTCACAATGGGGTTTCTTTCGGGGACCACGGGTGACCTTGAGCCCCTTTTCCGTTGCGCCATGTTTCGTTGCTTAATAATTCTCGGATCTGTTGCCTTGGACGCCCTGACGCCGAGGCGCGATGGAGAACGAGAGTACTTGCGGTGAAAAGGCCGGCGGGAGCTCTGAATGGTCGACCGAGATGGGCTCGAGATAAGTCCGGCATCCAAATTTCGAAGCCACGGGGGAAACGACGGGAGCTGCCTTTTCGATGTGAATAAGGAAAACCTGCTTCCTAATATTCGATGATGGTTGCCGGAGCTCGTGGGTTGATAATGTGCAGTTGAGGCTTGTTGTGCTGACGCAAGATGAGGCGTATTTTGATCTTGCAGATGGATAATAGGTAATATGGTGGTACTGTGGTCGCCGTGTGCCTGGGCATATGAGGCGGTGGTCGTTGTTGGTAAGCTGGAGGGTGTCTGAGATTGTCCCTGGTGATGGTTCACAGGCGTTGGTGGATGTGACGACGGGCGGGAAGTTGCCGGCGCCTTCCGCTGCTGTATCCGTACAGTGGTGATGACGGGAACAATACGTCGGAATAGTTGCGTAGTGGGGACGCCCTGTGGCAGGCACTGTACCGCTTTTTCTCATTCAAACCGGATTTATCCTATCCCCCTTACGGTCTAGTAGATCGGGGAAGCACCTGCAGGCAAGGCGGCCATAAGTTGAACAAACCATTCAGAGCGACTGGCAAGTCTGTCATGCAAGTGACACGCAGCCGATCGAGCGACAGTTCATGCCTTAGACTGCGTTGAGCCTAGTTCCCGCGTTTAGATAAATCCGGTTTGAATGAGAAGATGCGGTATGGTATTTAACGAACCAACAGAGTTCGGATGACCTCACTGTAACAATCGCTAGATTTTTCAGCATCCACCGGGGGGGATTCCGGTGTCTCGTAGCATCCTGCGGTAGGCTCACTTGGGTTCTCGCATTTGGTGATGTCGCTTACACGGTTGACTGCTGCAGTTGGAGATGGGATAGGAAGGCGCAGACGACGATGCAGTGACGAGACGAGACGGAGGAGTGAGTGCGGTAAAGTCTGGTCGCAATAACCCCACTTTGGACTGTGGCTGAGTGGGTAGGCGGGGGCAGAAGAGATGCCCACTGAATGATGAATGGAGCATTCGTCCACGGCACTTTTCACACCCGGACGGTTCTCCATTTCATTCAATCCATTGAATCGTTCCCGTCGACATCTTCACCACTCTTTTTCCACCGCGACACTGCAGCTCTTCGGCAGTTCTCCAACACTGTGTATAGCTGGGCAAATCCATCAACATCGCATACCAGCCTCACCGTCGGCGTCACCGTCGCATCGCGGTTTTTTGTTTACGTATTATATCTACCAGTTATCGGACAATACCTCTCTGCTGGATTTCGCCCGACGCATATCCCTTTAACGGTGCAAATGTGTCGATTTTTTTGCCAAGACAAGATTTGGCCAATCGGAAAACTATCCTGTAGGAAATGGGAGCCTGCTATTAGTCAAATCCTGTCATGGCAAAAAATGACATATTTGCACCGTTAAAGGGATAGGAGTTGTCATGTTACACAACAGGAGCGGCCCGCAACGTTGTCAACGTCGACGAATGAAGCTACACTGCTATGTATCACACGCCCACGCGATGCTGATCCTGAAGATTAGCTAAGCATACCCGTCATCTGGTCGATCGATATCGATTACCAGAAGCATGTCGAGTCCATGTCAACCATGACCCCCCCAACAAGAGCCAACATAGCGCTTACCAAGTGGAAGGGACGGGGAGCCGGAAGCCCTCTCAAGATGGAGAACAGTTGCAACGACACAAAGGGTCCAAAAGGTCCTCCGGAGCCATCGATAGGCTCTCGTTCATTGCTACCACCCGGCAGCCCACGTCGGCGAGTGTTTGGCCGCAGAGGTGTAGAGGACCTTTTCTGGCGGGTCCAATAGTACCCCCCAGTCTAGCCCAAACAAGTAGCATCTCGGCCTATCATGGAAACCAGACCCCCCTTTTGATCCACCAGCCCGGCCGTCCTAAACGACGAGGCGGGCTATAGACAGACTACCCCTTCTCCCTATATCTAGACTACTTAACCGCATTGAGCAAAGCTTTTACATAAAATTAATAAATCCTATATTTTATGACTTCTCAATCGCCAAGCCTCCCCAAGCCTCCCCACACTCCCATAATTGACCGCTAGAGTCAACTGTACACCTCAAACAATGCTGTAACTTGCTAGAGTTATAATATAATTCGCTCTATAAAATGCACAGTATTTTCACAGTCGCTAGCGTATATATTAGTAAATTAATCGCGTACTGTACAATTAATTTGAATCATTGTATTTGAGCCAGCCTAGACTACCCTTTCTACAAGGTACTTAAGTACCCTACAAGGCACCTATAGCTATAGTTACACTACCCCTAGACGATAACGACGATTATATATTCAATACCCTTATCGCTGCTAACTAGACCGTTAATAATAATTTCGTCGAACGTATCCTCGAAAACTGACCGATCCTATACAATCCCTAAACTATTGTACTAATCGAATAGACCTTTAGTAGTATTAATAATATATAGCGCTTCCTACTAATTTTTAGCGAAGATAATAGCTTTGCCGCGACGATTATTTCCTCCTCCGCCCGCTGTATTTACTATACGTACGCGAAGTCTAGGACCTTTAAGGTAAAGGGTATTAGAATTAGGAAGACTAATACTGCTGAATACGATTGTCCCTTTAGAGCGGTTATTAAGATAAAGAAAAATAGTCCTATTACGCTGGAATTTATTAACCTTTATTATAATTACCCGCCGTAGACTAAAGTATTTGCCTACTCCTTTATACGTAAGTTCACTTTAGAAAGGGAGGAGTTTGTATAGTAATTCTATCAATAAGGCTTTACGAATTTGCAAATCCGATTTACCTTCTAAAGTGCTTACCCTAGGGATTACGATTCTATGAAGAATATAAATATTAAGAATAATATTAAACGGTTGGGTTAAGAGTACGCCGCTAGTTTAATTAATACCCAAAAGTTGTTAAGGGAGTTGGAGACCCTTAATCTCTAGTATATTTATGTTTTCGACTGCGTTGGCCGTTTTAAGTTCTTAATCTTTATATTCCTTTGGTATTTACAAATGTAGTAAAGAAATCCGACGGTTTTAAGTATCGATTGTATTTACAACGTGAGTTTCCCTGCGTCTCTCCCTGCGTTTCCCTTCCTTTTTTAGTTTATTTAATTAATTCGGTTCTCCCTTTCTAGATTTTATATTTTAAATTGAAGATGTTTACGATTACGAGCATTAGTTTTGTGAATACTACCTTCTTAGTAGCTTTCGGTTTTGGTTATAAAGAAAATAATAAGTTTACAAATTAGTTATTTAAGTACTTTAGCGATTTTGCCCAACGTGTAGTTATATTTCACCCTGCGGTCTATATTACTAATTACTTTGCGGCGGAGAAGTAAGCCCTTATACGTTACTTTCCCAATAATTAGCCCTAGCTATATATTTAGTATATCCTTAGAAATGTTATTAAGTATATTAATAATAATTAGAACGGTCCCTTAATTAAATACGATTCTTTTGATTCTAAGACCACTGAAGTTAGTACCCTAAATATTATAGAGCTAGTTGAGCCGCCGCTATCGAGACTAATCGTAATTGTTACTATTATTGGGATTAATATTCTAATTCCCTCTAGTACTCTAGCTTCCTTTGGTACTAGACTTTAGTTGCTAAGAGGGAGACCGACTCTCAACGAGGCCGTTAGTTATTTTGAAATTCGCTACCTAAAAGGGGTAATGTACGTTATAAATTCTAGTAATTAGGATTATAGCCCGGGCGGGTTATTATATTTTTTTTAAAGCAATCTACTATATCGATAGGATCGATTATTATGAGTATTTGTAGGATTGTTTAAATAAGACCTTCTCTACTCGCTAGTCCAGTAAATAAAGCCTAAATATAACTAATAGTTACTATCTTAATTACTAGCTAATTTATATATAATTAAAATATAGAATTACTTTTAAAATACGTTCTGGCTTGTCCGTTAACAATAGGCGCGGTCCTATACGAAATGCTATTGTAATTATAGTATTATAAGTACTAATCGGTTAAAGTCCTCCTATGCGGAGTTTCGACACGTCTTTGATAATCTGTATACTTCTCTCTATAATATGTTCGATAAAATACGTATTTTTATCAACAAGAAGTAAAAGGACTATAAGGATAAGGTCGCCCGCGAGAGCTTTACTTTGAAGGACAATTACAAACGTAACCCTCTATTAATAGTTATTATAGAAAAGGTTTTATAGAAAGTATTTACCCTTATTTAGAACTAATATAATTAGGCTAAAATATATATCCTTAGTAAGGTTTAAATTACTTTCTATACGTACGGTTACTCTTAGTAGCTTGGCTTACCTTACTATTACGTATTCGCGGTACGTATAGAATTAATGCGTAATAATAATGGGAGAAAGATGGCGGTAGTTAGGGAGTTACTTATACTAGAGAATATTAACCAATACTAGTATTTGCTAAGGGATTTGGTAATTTATCCCCTTCCTTTGCTATAATAATTCTAGTAGCCGTTGCTAATAAAAATAGGCTTAAATCGATCTTAAACGTTATATTTTAGACCCTAAGATTAGGAAGTGAGCAAATAAAGTTAAGACTAAGGTAATAGATTTGCTTATTCGATTTACTAAACCTAACCCTAGCTAGCCTACCTAACTTAATTTATAACCTAGTTCTAGTCGACCTAGTTTTACCCCCGCTACTAGTAATTAAGTTAGTTAAATAGGCTATATAATTCAATACTAACCCCCTTTAATTATTAGTTAAAAGGCGAGCCTTATTAAAGTATAGAAGGGTATAAAACCTAACGACCGTTTACCCTCTCGCTAGGAGGAGGGATATATTATTAGAGGTTATAGCGGCCTGGTAGTATTTATAATAGAAGCTCCCCATATCTTTAGTATTACTCTACTAATTGATGTCCCACGTGAAGTTATTTATATTCCCTCCTCGCTGCCATTTGTATAGTTGCCAGAATTAGAACTAGAATAGTAGAATATAATTTTACATATATATAAAAGGTAAGTTAGTAAAATTATATAAATTAGAGAGTTCTAGAAAAGACTATAAAAAATATATATTCCTCTCCTCTCTATATTCCTTTCAATACTACGTACGTACTTAGTGATATTGTAGAACGTTTTAGAAGATTTAGAGGGGTATGCATTAATAAATTTAGTATATTAGGTATATAGGGCGAGTCTGCATAGTAAAAGTACTTTTTTTTGCAGGGATTTCAGCTAATATGAATGATAGAGGACCCTTGCCTACCGTACGCACAAAAGTTTTTGATGTGCCAGCTCCCTTGCCCTGTATTGCTGCCCAAATAGGTTAAGTAGTCTAGATATAGGGGAAGGGGGTAGTTTGTCTATAGCCCGCCTCCTAAACGACCCGAGAACCCAGTCCTGGACTTCTGGGTCGCCAGTCTCCTCATTCCCAAGATTTCCCTGGTCTCGGGTATGCGCCTCGATTTTACCCTTCTCGGGGACCTGACCTGGATCCCAAAGGACTTCCCAAGCCCGACTTCAACTGGACCCAACCTGGTCAGAAAAGGGTAAAGACCGGCCAAACTCCACACCCCGCACTTTGCCAACAACTGCGCCTACCAGCTACCAACCAGCTTACCAAAGAACCGACGAATCTGGCTCTCGGCTGCTATTCTGTCCGGCCTAGGCAAGCCACCGCCAGAATCGTCCAGGCAGCCCGGCTTGTGGACAGATTTGGGCTTCAACTACTCGACGACATCAACATCAAAGAGGGCATGACACGGAAAACACAGCTCAGCCAGATGACCCGACGGCAACAACGAGTGCCACCATCAACCTGAAGAAACAACCGCCAAAATGAGTGAGGTCGTGGCTGTCCATCGCTGCCCCGTCTGCTTCAAGACGTACAAGCGTCGGGAGCATTTGCAAAGACACCGCGCTTCACACACGTCGGAACGCCCACACCGCTGCATCCTGTGCAGCGCCTCCTTTCAACGGACAGACGTCTTGAAGCGCCATATTCAGACATGCGACGGCCTGCCTCACGGCTCGTCTGGCCGCCGAAGGGCGTGTGATAGATGCGTCCGCCAGAAAAAAGCTTGCAACTCGGCCCAGCCCTGCCAAAATTGCGCAAAACGCGCAGTCCAGTGCTTGTACTCGAGCGTTAGTTCATCGACGGGCCAAGACGGAGAGCAAACGGGTAGCACCAGTGCTTCCAACTCCGTCGAGAACTTTTCCAACCTGCCCAATACTCAGCAGCAGCAGCAGCAGACTCAGCAGTATCAGCATCAACAGCCCCTTCATCAACAGCCTCGGCAGCTCCACCAGCAGCAGCAGCAGCACCAACAACAGCAACAGCAACAACAACAACAACATCAGCAACACCCGCAGCGGCCGCAACTCCAGCAGCTCCGACCGCAACAACACCAACAACAAACGTACCAGCAGCATCCACACCAGCCGCAACATGATCAGCAGCAGCGCCAGCAGCATAACATCCTCCAGGTTCAGGTTACCCAACCGCTGACTCAGATCCCTCAAATTGCTTCGGTTCCGGTTCCCCAGATACCCCATATTCCCCAGGTCCAGGTTCCCCAGATTCTCCAGCAGTCCCACCAGTCCCACCAGCCTCACCATGCGCCCTTCAACCACCCCGGTGTGGTCCACTTTGACGACCTCGACAACCTCCTCCATGACGCTGCTGGCCAGTTCCCGATGCTTGAGCACAATAACATTCAAATCCCCGACTGGCTTGAGATCGAGTTGCCCATGGGCACCCATGCAATGCATACCCCGGAAGACAACACCACCTCCAGGTCGACTCCTTCTTCAGAGACTCATCGTGGCTACTCTTTTCACTTTCTATATGATTTCACTAGCAGGACTGGTCTCGTCAACTCGTTTGAATGTGGCACATACGCGCAAAGGAGAGCGATCGTGGATGCCTTCTATGCCTCATACGCCGAGCAGCAAAAACACCACCAACAGCTACAGCAGATGCAGCAGCATCAGCAACACCTTCAACAACAGCAACAGATTCAAGGGCAGCTTGAATTCCACCCCATGGTTCCACAACTGCAGAACCCTATGGGCCAGCCCCCCCTTTCACCAGCTTCGTCGTCAGCTGTCTCAACTTCGGCCACGCCGGAAAATTACAGCTATATGCCATGGACTCTTTGGTCCTCTTGGCTCAGTAATCCAATTATTATCAAGCTGCAAGAGATTGTGGTTTCGATAATGAATGTGGTCAGACATAAGCCGTCTAACAGTACTTTGGGTACTCTGACTTGGACTCCCGAGAAAGAGCAGGAATGTCTTCAGTTCTTCTCGCCGCAGAGATTTGCCAAATTCATTGAGCTGTACTGGTCATCATGGCATCCAAATGTGAACTTTATGCATCGCCCTTCCTTCGACCCCACCAGCGCAAAGCCGATTCTGCTGGCCGCCATGGCTTTAATAGGCAAGTAACTTGGGTTCTGCCATTTCGTCATGGAGTCGCCAAATTAACACTCATCCAGGTGCCTCCGTCTCTCCGGATGCGCAAGATAACAAGGATGCGAAAGTGTGGTTTAACTGTGTTGAGGAGATGGTCTTTACCGATGACGACTTTTGCAGTGACACTGAGCCTGGTTCTCCGGCCGACGATGATGCCAATCCTGCTTCGGCTTTGCATTGCAAGCGAAAGCTTCAAGCTTTGCAAGCTTCGTACATCGTCTGTCTTTACCAGAATTGGCAAGGTTCAGACACTAGTAAGAGGAGGATTCGTCGCCATCGCTTCAGCACTGTGGTATCTGTGAGTAGCCTTATGCTTTACGTTTTTTTTTTCTTTTTTTTTTAAAATTTTTTTTTTTTCTTTTTTAATTTTTTTTTTGGTATGGGGAGACACTAACTTTGTATCCCATCACCAGGTGGCGAGAGATATCGGCATTCCTATGGCGAAGCATCTCGAATATGGTCGGCAGCTCAAGCATGAGTTTGACTGGCACGAGTACGTGGTGAGGGAAGAACTCATACGGTAAGCGTACCCGGCCCCTGGGATAAACGAAGAACCGGGTAACTGACGAGTGGGTCTTGTAGCACCTTCCTATGGGTATTCCTTCTCGACACAGCCTTTGTCATCTTCAACAATCTCCCTCACCGCATGGTGATCAAAGAGATGAGGATGCACATGGCTAGTCCGGAAGCGGTCTTCCAAGCTCCGACGGCAGAGAAGTGTCTCGAGGAGATTTACCGGTGGATGCCTTCGCCGAGTCCTATTTGCAACACTCTGCTCCGCGATGTGCTCGAAAACGTTATCGGTACAACCCTTGACGCAGATATGTTGCAGAGACTGGCTCAGCTTGGGCCACTCAATTTGTTTGTTGTTGTTTCCGGTGAGTTTCATTTGCCTTTTTTTATCTCCTCCCTTTTATGGGGTTCCACCTTCCTCCATTATCATAGTGACCGATGCTGACCGTATGTTCCGCTGAGTTTTCCATTATATGATATTCCAGCACCAGAATTTGTTCGGGGTGGAAGGCCAACTTGTACCAATCCGCAACGGCCTGGACAACTGGATAACGATTTGGGAGTTATGGTTCGATAACTGGTCGTCCACGCCGCCCCACTGCATGGCAGACAGCGACAACCTCACACCCGAAAACATGTGGAGGAGGATCGGTTTCGTCCGGTGTTCGGCCGAGTACTGGCTTCTTGGCAGTCTCCTCACGGACCGTATCGCTCGCAAGACATCGGGAGGCGTTAGAGAGGACCAGGGCAAGGGGTCGTCTCCGGAGTGTTACCCCGGCGAGATGGCGGCAAGCGGCAAAGGCAAATCGGCCGAACCAATTCTTATCAAGTACGACCAAACCAGCATGCGGCAGGTCAACGAGTTGATCAGCGACTTTAAGAAGATTCAGATTGACGAAAATGAATGAGAGAAGAGTAACGGGTTGGGTATTTGGGAGGCAAGGAAGGATAACGACAGAGGGGTGATGACATGGGGTATTAGGGCGGCGCAAGCACTTTTGGGTTTGACAATCTTGCAGGGCAAAGGGATACAGCGTGATCAGACACTTTAAGGAATCACCACTCAGTTTCCGAGGACTAAGATCATGAGCTAGTATCCACCGGCAGAGCTACAGTAGCCAGCGTGCCACCCAAAGATCAGACAATTACCTTATCGATAATGTGGCCCGACCGTCTTGGGCTCAGGAAACTGATGTCAGTGCCCAGTACTACGGTGACTGTGGGTAGGTTAAAAGGCGAGATGGTGAGCGTGGGCGTCCTTTCATGGTGTCTTGACATCTGCGGATTCCCACCCGCCCACACCAGAGTCCGCAAAGTCCGCATCAAAGATCACTTGAAGCTATTCCGCCAGCCCCACACACCATCCACATTGTGCTGCGGATCAGTTACACGTGGTTGGATCCCACCTCCATGTCCGCCAACCTGCTCGGAGCGGGCCATCCCATTTCGCCGACACTACCATCCATGTTCATCTTCCCCATCCTTCCCCAAATCCCACTAGTACTCCGATGCCAAGTCGCTTTGGGGACTTGGAGAGCTTGTTGGTCGGTGAAAGAGCATCAATGACGAAGGCAGTGAGTGCGAGGAGCAAATTCCAAAGAGGCCAGAGAGATTGACGAGAGGTGCATCCATCATCTGGACACGAGGGTTGGCGTTGAGACTGACTTGAAGACCTATTAATTCCCCCGAACTTTCCGCCAGAATGTGAAAACTTTTGCTCCAAGGAATTTCCCTCAACTCAAAACAACCACCGAGTCTCGTTGCCGGTTCTTGCTTGGAAGAACAAGAAATGGCCGTCATCACAACATACCTGCCCATTGTGGTGGGCATTGCCCTCCTCATCCGCCTGCTCATGGTCGGACGGAGACCAAAGAACTATCCTCCTGGTCCCCCGACCATTCCCATCCTTGGTAACCTTCACTTGGTATGTGAATCCCTCTCAGTAAAGAGGGTTGGTTGATGGCTAACACTTAGACTTGATAGATGCCAACGAAAGATGCTCACCTTCAATTCGAAAAGTGGGCTCGTGAATATGGCCCCGTCTACAGTCTCATTCTCGGAACCAAGGTCATGATCGTTCTCTCCGGTGACAGGGCCGTCAAGGACCTTCTCGACAAGAAGAGCAACATGTACTCGCACAGAATGGAGATGTACATCGGCCAGACCCTCTGCTCCGGTGACAAGCGCATTCTGATGATGGGCTACACCCCCAAGTGGCGTACCTGCCGCAAGCTCGCCCACGCTCTCCTTAACGTCTCCTCGGCCAAGTCTTACATCCCCTACCAGATGCTCGAGAACAAGCAGATGCTGTACGAGATGATCACCCAACCCGACGAGTTCCTCTACAATATCCGCCGCTATTCCAACGCTCTGACCACCACCATGGTCTACGGCTGGCGCACGCCCACCTACAACGACGAGAAGATGCAGCAGCTCTTCGACGGCTTCTCCGAGTTTGCCGAGATCAACCAGACCGGCATGGCCGCTCTCATCGACTTCTTCCCCATCCTGCGCTACCTTCCGGACTTCCTCCTCCCCGCCCGCAAGAAGGCCAAGGAGCTGCACAAGAAGGAACTCGGTCTCTACAAGGGCCACTGGCTCAAGGCCAAGGCGGACACGCTCAAGGGCACCATCACGCACTGCTTCTGCGAGGACGTGGTGCCCGTGCAAAAGAAGGAAGGATTCACCGACGACGAAGCGGCCTACATCGCCGGCACCCTTCTCGAAGCCGGCTCCGACACCACCTCGTCCACGCTCTACGGTTTCGTCCAAGCCATGCTCCTCTACCCGGAAGTCCAGCGCAAAGCCCAAGAAGAGATCGACCGCGTCGTCGGCCCCGACCGCCTCCCCACCATGGACGACGAGCCCGACCTGCAGTACATCCGCGCCATCGTCAAGGAGTCCCTCCGCTGGATGCCCACCACCATCATGGGCGCCGTCCCGCACGCCACTACTCAAGACGACTACTACGACGGCTACCTGATCCCCTCCAACGCCGGCGTCGTCAACAACGCCTGGGCCATCAACAACGACCCCGTCCGCGCCCCCGAGCCCCGCAAGTTCAAGCCCGAGCGGTACATGGACGACAAGCTCTCGCTCGCCGACTCGGCCGCCAACCCGGACCCTTCCAAGCGCGACCAGTTCACCTTCGGTGCTGGCCGTCGTCTCTGCCCTGGTATTCACATTGCCGAGCGCTCACTTTTCCTTGGTGTTTCTCGCATGCTTTGGGGCTTTAACATTGCGCCTAAGATTGGTGAGGACGGAAGGGAGATCATTCCCGACCAGGAGAGGCTTACACAGGGCTTTGTTTGTATGCCCGAGGAGTACCCCGCGACAATCACGCCCAGGGATGAGAGGAGGAAGAAGATGATGGAGGAGGAGTGGTTCGCTGCTGAGAGGGAGTGTCTCGATCCGGAGACGAAGCAGTGGAAGCAGGGCATGAATTGGGTGCCTAAGTTGACTACTTCTACTAAGGATTAATTTTGGGGGGGGGAGAGTGAGGAAGGGTTGAGGAAAAAATTGTTTTCTATTCTATTGTGCATATTTGCCTGGTATGGCAGTTTTTTTAAAAGTTACTTGTTTATGGGAGAAGAAAAAAAGGGGATGTTATGATGATGATATGTAACCGATATCCACGACACGTACTGGTTCGTTCGGCAAGCAAGCAAGCAGGCAAGCGAGTGGGAATGGGAGTTTTAGTGTACGAGTAGGATAGGAGATACCAAAGACTTTTTAAATATCATCTTTCTACAGTTCTTTTCTTGGTGCAGTGGCATTGCTTTGTCTTTGTCTTGAGAAAAGGTGCACCCTGTACAGTAGAAGGAAGGAAGCCATTAGGTTCACAAGTCGACTGGCTGGTTAAAAGTCTGGTTGGCCACGAGAAGAGGTGTATGTAAACCCACACCAGGGCCCCCCAGACGTTGGGCCAGTCTCTTCTTCTGCAGAATCAATTATTTCACCATAACTTTGAATCTCATAGGTCTTTTGTCGTACCTATACTGATAGTCATCGCGTCAACTTCAATACTTACGAGGAGGGTGTGCGGTTTTGCACTCACACCACCAAAGGAACAATATTTCCCTTCACGTTCGTATCCCATGCTTGTCCGTAAACACATCGATCCCCGCTTCATTCGACCCTGCAGCACTCCATTCAACATCATGAAATACCGCAGTCAGCCGGGGAATCGATATCACCTTTCTCGTTTCTGCACGGTACTCCAAAAATGGTCAAGGTACGTACCAAGTATATCCCACCAGTACTCCGATTTGATGTACCACCTTGTAGACCCTCTTTCTTTTCTCTAACCTCCAATTCCTCCAATCTTGTCGCTGACATTGACACATGAAGACGCACAAGTTCCGCACCCAGGCCCAAACAGCAAAACCTACCGCGGAAAAGCCAAGCGAGAAAGAGCCCCATCATGACATGCCATGCTTCATGATCGCCAGTCATCACAGCACGAGGACTCAACCCTACAAGGTCCTATGTCTCCGGCTTTCGAACTGGGTTTGCTGGTGTCAACTGCCGTTCCCCACAGTTGAAGCTATTAGGTACAAGCTGTGTCCGCTGTGTCAAGCAGGTCCGTCCGGTCTGGGCCCCATTCCCAAAGCTGGATCCAGATGGCGGCGATCTTTCATTCTTGGTGTTTCTGGGCTTTTTAGTTATGAAAACGCTTACCCACCGGTCTGGCACGCCCTGGTTATGGTACACTAGCTTTGAGTCTTGCTCCCAGGCTAGATCGGTCAGTTTCACCGAGGATTAATCCGCCGAGGGAAGGAATGCCGGATGCTACCTTCGTCACCCACCCGGAGTGTCAAAACGAACCGATAATACGGTTGCATTCCGAACCTCGGTCGGTGCCAGGTGGATGGACGACGGACGTGGCCCGCCGCCGGCCGGGCGATGCAACGCAACGACGAAGCTATCACGGCTTCACGGCTTCTTTGCATGCCTCTTTGTCAGAAGTTTATCTGAAGCTGTGATGTTGACAACTTGACGGCCGGCGAGCTTTCTGCTTTGTCTCATCGCCATCGGGCACTGACCGTTCGGTGCAGTTCACAACTTGGGTAAGCACCCCACATGCTCACATGGTATGCGCAGTGATGGAGACAACCGTTTCTCGGCTCCGGAGAGGATTGTCCAGCTGCATGATTGTCGCCCTTGCTCCATTGAACATCATTGCATTCCCTTTCCTTTCCGCACCTGCCAGGGACGGGGACGGGGGACGGCGGGGGTCTGGCCCCCCCTGACCCGCAATATGATGTGGAGACAACCGGCTCCGGCCTGGTCGGTGGACCTCCGTGTTCTTGGATTTGGGGGATCCGGATCCTCTTCTCCTCCTTCTCCAATACTCCTCCAATGATTCCAAGGATACCCCTTAAAGGACCGGTCGTGATGGGTTGGGAAACCCACTGAGACAAAATGCGTGTTGAACGCGGCAAAGATGTAAGAGAGCCACATCCCACCACCACTCCGATACCTCAAATCCGGGGATGTTCTCCAAAAAAAGAGTGCCCCAGACGGACGCGGAATGCGGATGCAGAGAGGGGGAGGCTGGCACGCACAGCTAGGAACAAGGAACTGGGAAACGGTATTTTCGGTTTCCCTTTTCCTTTCTGGTCGGTTCTCCAATCCCAGCTCCCCCAACTCCATCAGCAGCAGCATCTCCATCACCAAACTGTCGGGAACGGGGGTGGGAGACACGGGAGAATATGGGGATCCCGTCCGGATCTTGAATTCCTCCCCGCCGGCTTATTTTGGGACTGTTACAGTTGCCAGATTTGGAAGGGCAGAACGTCATGGTGACAACACCAGAAATCATTGGATATCGTGATTAGACTTTCTGAACGACTGGCCCGATAATGACCACGTTCCCGCGACCCCCTTTTCTGTCGCATGGCATGTAAACAAGGGGAAGTGTTGTGATTTTATGTATTGTTAGACCGCAGTTTGTAGAATTTACTCTATTCATGATTGTTTACCTCTTGTTGTCCCTTTTGAGATACCCATCCTTTTACTGTGCGATATAAACTCATCATTTTCTTTCTCCACAACAACAAACACCCGGACACTCAGACATCTAGATACCCCCAAACACCACAACAACAACAAAGATGGCAACACCCCGCACAACCACCGCCCTTGTCATCCCCGAGCTCAACGGCCAGTTCGAGCTTCAAGAAGTCCAGCTCAACGACATCCAACCAGAAGAAGTCCTCGTCGAGATTGAGGCTTCCGGAATCTGCCACACCGATCTCTCGTGCGCTATCGGCTTGCTGCCATGCAGACCCGGCGCGGTTTTGGGCCATGAAGGTTCGCAATTCTCTACGTCATTGTCATTCACCTCAAAAAAGAAAAAAAGAAAAACATCACAACCGAAATCCCTGTTACCCCAACTGTTGAACCCCAGATTCTCCTCCCTGAGGCCTGAAACCCTGATCCAGACCACCCGGCCACAGGGCCACTACACCCTATGCAACCCCAACCCGAACATGTCAAGACGGGAAAAAAGAACACCAAAAATGCATCACCACCCTCACCGTCCCCAACCACCACCCAAAATGCCAGTACTAACCTAACCCACCCCTTTGTAATCCAGGCGCCGGCAAAGTCCTCTCCGTCGGCACCTCCGTCACCCACCTCTCCCCCGGCGACTCCGTCCTCCTCTCCTTCTCCCACTGCGAGTCCTGCGCCCCCTGTCTCTCCGGCCACCCGTCCTACTGCCACTCCTTCAACGTGCGCAACTTTTCCGGCTGCCGTCCCTTGCCCGTCCTCCCCGACGGCTCCGTCGATTCCTCTTCCCTTTCCCCCGACGGAGTCGACCCAACCGCGGACCCCAGTTTCGCCACTTTCGTAACCAAGGACCCGGGCGGCGGCAAGCCTATCTTCTCGCAATTTTTCGGTCAATCATCCTTTGCAAGGCACACGCTTGTACACAAAAGTACCTGTGTGAAGGTCCCCCCTGACACAAACCTGGCGCTCTTCGCGCCAATGGGGTGCGGCATGCAAACCGGCGCCGGCGCCGTTCTCAACTCGCTGGGCGTCAAGCCAGGGTCAAGCATCGCCGTGTTTGGGGTGGGCAGTGTGGGCATGGCGGCCGTCATGGCTGCTGCGTATATTGCCAAAGCCAAGACTATTATCGCCGTCGACTTGCAGGAGTCCAGACTCGAACTGGCCAAGAAGCTGGGGGCTACGCATGGGGTTTTGGCAGGGACTGTGGCAGCAGATCTGAAGGGGGAGGTGAGGAGGATTTGTCCGCCTGTGGGCGTGGATTATGCGGTTGATTGCACGGGGAGTGTCGCTGCGATTAGGACTATGATTGAGGTGCTGGGAACGAGGGGGAGGGCGGCGACGGTGGGTGCCCCCGGGTTCGGGAAGGAGGTGAAGGTGGATGTTATGGAGCATTTGACGTATGGGAAGGAGTATGTGGGGAGTTGTGAGGGGGATAGTTTGCCTAGGGAGGTGAGTTTTTCTCCGTTGCCCATCGGGTTGGATGCAATGGGGGATGGAGGAGGGTGAAGGGAGAGAAGACAGGATGGGATGTTGATGCTGACTTTCGACAAAAAGTTCATCCCCTTCCTCATCGAGCAACACGCCAAGGGCAACTTCCCCATGGATCAGCTCGTCACTTTCTACGACGTCAAGGACTACAAGCAGGCTTTGGAGGATTCGCACAAGGGCAAGGCCATCAAGGCTGTTTTGAAGTGGTCATAGGGAGGGTGCTACGAGGAAAGCGGCAGTCGGAGATGGGGCTTGGGTACCTTATTCAAAGTACGAGCGATGAGGTTGGACACGAGGATCCGACATATTTTGGGAGGAAGGTAACGGCATCCGTCGTTGGTGTATGATGTACACGAAGTAAACAAGACGCAACTTTTCACCTACTGCCTTCATCTATCGAACAAAGCGAGGTCCCTCCCTCCCCGGATGGGGCCGCCGGAGGCATGCAATGCCCGGTAGGGTGAAAGTGTTGGTTGAAGCTTTGCTTGCACGCTTATATACGACAGGAACTTCCACTTGAGCTTCCCTGAATTTCCGTGGCCTCCCAAGTTTTACTGTCCGGCTGTCAACCAAATGATGGGATGGTCGACTTGCTCCTCGAGCTTCTTCGAGCTGAGAGGCCGTGCGCATCCATCCTAGATCAAACCTCAAAGCTCCCGGTCTCACTACAGTCCAGTTATCTACGACAAAAGCTTCCGGTCCGGTAGATTCTCCCGGCCATGATCAAATCGCAAGTGGCTATCCGCTATCCAACCTGGAACCCGCCAAAACATGTTAGTTGGGAATGGAAGTATGGGAAGTCGGAGAAAGAAAGAGGGGTTAAGCACTCTCACCACATCACTCTGACGTGACTTTGACCTCCCCCCCCTCTCGCCCATGCGTCCTCCTTACCCTCCATATCCCCTCTTCTGGCCAGAAGTGTTATAGGCAACACAAAGGGTCATCATACCCTTTCCACCTCATTTAATCTTGCATCCTGCAATCCAGCAGTGACATTGCTTCCTTGTGTAACCCGATCTCATACACTCGAAACACTACCCTCCAACCCTTACAGACCATACAGACGAAACAGAACGACACAGTACAGTACAAAACATCCAAAATGACCATCCTCACAAAAGCTTCATCTTTGGCTACTGCAGCCGGCGGTGCCCTTCGGCATCATGGCATCAAGGCAGCCTGCTACAAGTCCACCAGCACCCACGTCCCCTTCCCCGCCGGCATAATCGACACCCTCCAAATCTCCCGCCACATCTACGAACAAGAAGGTTTCGTTCCCGAGGAAGTAACCGACTCCTACGCCGTCTCGCCCGCCGAAGCCGCTCTGCGCACCACCGCTCCTCACACCTCCGCCGCCAGCGCCGGCGGCGGTCTCAACCACTACCACGGCCTGTTATGGTCGCACTGGCACCCCGGTCCGACGGCGGGAGTCGAGTACCAAACCCGTCAATTCGCCGGTTCTTTGAGAAAAAATGCGGCGGTCTACGACCCGTCCATCTGGGACTGGGGCGACTTCTCGCATATACAACCGGACCACCCCGTCGCTGCGCGCCCCATCATGCCGGGGGATGAGGACTACGATCCGGTGACGATTAACGACATGCCAACGCACAGCGAGGCGAACGTCAAGGCCGACAGGTCGGATATCGATCCCTTACTCGGCCACGGCCCTTTGTGGTCGCACAGACACAACCACGGTTCGATGGCGGGGTACCAAACCCGGCAATTTTCGTCTTTGGCTTCCTATGTTATTTTCAAACGCCATGCACCGGTGCAGGACCCGTCTGTTTGGGACTGGGGCTTTTTCAGCCACATCCAACCGGACCATCAAATCCCGCCGCGGCCTATCTTGCCGGGGGATCCGCACTATGATCCGGTGACTATCAATGATATGCCGTCGGAGAGCGAAGCGATTGTCAAGGCGGAGAGGGCGAATATTGATCTGTTGCCGATGGGGTTGCACAAGGTCATCCCGTTGCCGGTGGGAGAGGCGATGCCCGAAGCGACGGAGAGCGAGATGGATGTGAAAGCGGATAGGAGCCCGATGGCAGAAGATCCGCTGCACTCGGGGTATGGGTATGTTGAGGCTAGTTACTTCAGCGGGGGAGAGATGGGGGAGGGCATGAAAAAGGAGATTTACATTAGGGAGGAACGGGTGTTTATGGAGGACTTTGGGGAGGAGGATGAGAGTATCGGGACCAGCTTTGGAGAGGGAGAGGGTACGGAGGGATATGAAGGGCAGATGGGGTATTTTGGGGAGGAAGGACCGGCGTTGAGGAGGAGGTATGGGTTGGAAGAGGTGGTAGGGATGGAAAAGAGTGCTGAGGAGATGGAGTTGGAGGATGCCATGTTGCCGCATTTCTACAGGTTTTATTGAGCCGTTAACAGTGTCTGTTGGTTTTGGATGTGTATAATGTGTGCGATTTGAGGTTGTGCTCAGGATGAACCAGGTAGTAAATGAATTCTTGTGTAAACACTTGTAACACTAGCACATAGCTTGAACATGTCCCCCGATAGGAGATGGACCAAAGAGGTTGGATCACAACTCCTTACCTCGAGTCTCACCTTAACACCTCGGTTAGAGTCTCCCTCATCCACACTGATGTCGATCCACGTGGACTCGTGGGATAGGCGTCATATAAAAGGGACAAACGAGTTCTGGGACGATGTTCATAAGAATATTTCCATGATTGCCGCAGCAATCAATTGGAAAGTAACAGACTCTTGTGACCCCTGTCTCTCAAAGACCCGGGTGTTGGCTACCTCTACCCGAGACATCACACGGCATAGACACGCACAAACCAGCGTCGAAGGAAAACGCCCCTTTTACCGCCAGGATGGAAGCGACCGTTTAGGATGGAAGGCTAAGGGTCGTACGAGGCCAGGGACGAAAGTTTAGTGTACCGCGCCTGTGGAATGCCCTGAATGCCAAATGCCGGCGCGGAATGCAGCGTGGATCCCGATCGTCGTTCACAAACGCTCTTGGCCCTGCCAAGGGCGCGCACTGTCAACCACTGAGCCGTCAGTGCCGTCCTGCCGTCCCAACACAGCAGTAAAAAAAAAAGGCATCCATAGATCGGCAGGAGACATATAGTGGTGATCGGCTTTCCCGAAGGGACGTACAAACGCCTGAACCCCTCCCTTGCCAAATGAAGAGAATATCATACCGGGAACATGAAACGCAGCTTGTTTCTGGGCGCTCACCGTCAATTGGACGAGTGTTTCTTTGCTTGCATAGGTACCAGATGTCGTGCAACTGGGTATGGCTAAGTGGGTAAGGGTGACTGGGTGTGGGAAAGATTGTGATGTTGCTGCGTGAAATTGCAATGCCCGTGGTGGCCCTTTCAAGTAGAAGATTTCCGCTGCAGCAATTCTCTCTTTCGAGATTTCAACCTGTGAGCGTACATCGTGGACTTGAAAGTTGCAGGTCAACTTGTTGCAGGCCAACTTGAACGAGCGACGACGTATCGTGAACCACAACACAGCCACCAGCACCATGACGCCGACTGCGACTGTCTTTAGCGTGGCGACCGCCGTTCTCGGGCCGTTGACGACGACATTCACACCACCGCCAGCATGTACGGTAGCAGTAGCTGCGGTTGAAGGGCAGTTCCTTGGATTGGGAGGACATGTTGCCCCCTCCGGCTGGCTCGGTCAGACATGTTCGAAAGGCGGCCCGGTTGACGACACGGCATGCTGGCCACCAACTTCCAGCGGCGCGGAGTCCAGGACAAAAGCGTTGGACGGATGGGGATATTACTCTCCGGGTTTGCACTGTCCAGTTGGGTATGCGACGGCATGCTCGGCGACAGGCGGTGGTGGAAAATCCGACTTTGCTTTTCAGTTCGCACCAGGCGCCAAAGAGACCGCAGTCGGATGTTGTCCAAGGTAGGCCGCCCGTCATAACTGGCCTTATGTTAGCAATGTACTAATACGATATATAGTGGCTATCTGTGCAGCAGCGTTGACAATGGCCAGACATGTGTCATGGCAGCCACGTCGACAGAAGTCGAGTATGTGACGTGCGACAACTCGAACACGGCTGACCTGGCCACCATGACGATACCAAACGAGAAGGCAAAAGTCACAGACTTCCACTTCTATGCCCCGATGATCCAAATCAACTGGCAAAGCTCCGACAGACCGACCGAAACCAAGTTTGCCGGGACGCAAGTGGAATCTCTCTCGGTTGATGTTGCGACCATGTCGACATTGGCCATAGCAGGAGACGCGCCATCAGGCGTGACTTCCAGGGTTGCGTTCCCATCAATATCACCGGGTTCTGAAGACGATAACTCCGGAGCTTCCATGGGCAACCAGGATGGCTCAAATAGCCCTGAACCAGTCAGCCTCGATACTGGTGTCAAAGTCGGCATGGGCGTAGCGGGCGGTGTCTTGGCCGTGGCCCTTGTTGCCATAATCTTCATCTGCGCTTGGAGAAGACGGAAGAACCGGATCGAGGAGGAAGAGTTTGATCGCATGTATGGCATGAAGGACGTGGGATCCAGCACGGCGGACCTGAGGCATGAGGAGATTCCGGGCTGGCACCGGGGACCGGCGAAACGACAGCCGCCGCCGCCGGTTGATCCATTCCGCAATAGTGGTGTTTTCGATTTGATGGCACCACCTGCGCCGTATCATCCGCCACCTGCCTATCGGTAGAGAGTGTTGTTCTCGTCAATCGAGCTGGTCTGGTGTTTGGGCGTGGGCGATGGGTGCTCGAACGGCACGTGGCGATGATTTGATAGTTGTTTGATACCAATTTGTTTATAATGATGCAAATATTCGTACCCTCTCATGATTCAGCCCAAAGACGATGCGAAGAGAAGTTGACGAGGTTGAAGTTGGTTTGATGTCACCAAGACTCCGACTGGGTGTCCGACTGTAGTATTGAAGCACGGGCCACATTCCCTCTGTGGACCTTCTGCTGACAGTGCATTCAGTGCCAAGACTGCAACCCCCCAATCGACTCCATCGCGCGCATGTCATCAGAGGGGAACACTTGTCACAACACCTTGGGCAAGCTATACGTTCGGCCAACAAACAACATACACACACCGAAATGATACCATGTCGACGGAATCGACCCGCCCTTTGTTGCTGCCGCAGAACCGCAAGCTACGCCATCTACGCGGCATCTACCTGAGGAACCTCAACTTCACACACCAACGCGGACGAACAGTTGACGATGCTGCTCTTAACAAGACGGCCGGAAAGCTCGAGGCCTTGCGCCAGAGACCAGACTTACACCATACCCTATCATCAGAGGACCTACGACCTCCGGCTGTCAGACGCAAAAGTACCTTTTCAGGTTTGGCCAACGCCGACCCCGCCACACGACAAAAGACCTTCGAGGATACCTTTGCTAGCAAGCTTGCCGATGCTTTTTTCTCTCTTCATGTCGACGGTCTAGAAGATCCGATATATATCAGCGAGGTTGCTGAACGAGCTACGGTGCGCTTATCATGATAACGTCTCAGATATAGCCAGCGCTAACTATGGACAAGAACTTCAACTTCCGTCTATTCGAACTCGCCGACCTGGACTCGACAATAACCCGATCACCCCAAGTAACAGTCCGAGTATGGACCAAAAGACAAGAAGAATGGAGTCTCCTCCTCGAAGACGAAGTCGATCTTCGCGCCCTCAACTGGCTCGGCACTCTCCAAAACGTCCACTTCCCGCCCAACAGCCTCGTCTTCCACATGATAGACGGCATCTACTCCCTCGAGCTCTCCAACAAATACCCACCGCCCAAGAAAGAAGTCCCCCCTTTACCAACATCCTCCTACAACGTCCTCATGCGTCTCGCAACCCTCAACAACTCAGTCCAAGACGCTCTCGCAACCCGTGACGCCCTCGCCGCGCAAATCAACGACCTCCTCGCCCAGGAAGAAGACAAACAGAAGGAAGCGGGAACCCTCGCCGAAGCCGAAGAGAAAGTCAAGCTAGCCTCCAAGTACCTCACCCTCCAAAAACGGGCCGTGGCCGCCGCCAAGAAGCGCAACGACGACCTGCGCGCCTCCATCGCCGCTCGGAAAGCCGCCATAGAATCCGGCTTGGCCGTACAGCGCAAAGCAGAAGAATACGTCCGGCACGCAGCCGGCGAACCCCTCTCGCAATCCAAAGCCTTGCTGTCCTCCGTGCGCGACCAAATCCGCGGCCAACGCCGACGCATCTGCGAGGACTTATTAACCATCTACCGCATCCAACCGATCCCTCCCCCGACAGACCCGAAAGAGCAGAAAGAGCATGATCCGCTGTCCTTCCAGATCTGCTCTCTGCCGCTCGCTAACACCGTGCTGGACCCAACCACCTCTCACTGTTCTGCTTTCGCAAGATGCGGATATCCAAAAGAAAAATACCCCCACGAAGAAACCCTCTCCGCCTCCCTCGGTCTCGTCGCCCTCCTGGTCCACCACCTCCAACTCTACCTCTCCATCCCGCTCCCCTATCCAATAAAATGGCACGGCTCGCGCTCGACTATCAGAGACGATATCTCCAATTTTCCCGTAAACCCCAACGCCTCTTCGTTCTCTTCTCACGCTTCGCAATCTTCCCGCTCTTATTCATCCAACAACAACCCCTCATCCACCTCGGGAGAAGAAGCAGAAGACCCAAACCGCGAATTCCCCCTCTTCTTACCCAAGGGCGGCAGCACAGCCCAATACCGCTTTGAATACGCCTGGTTCCTACTCAACCGCGACATCGAAGTACTCTGCTGGAGCCAGGGGCTCAAAGTGGTGGACATTAGGCATACACTGCCGAATCTGCAGTGGTTGTTGATGGTTTGTAGTGCGGGGAGGGAAGAGATGCCGGAGAGAAAAAGGGGAGGGGTTAGGGGGTTGTGGTTGGGGAGGATAAGGGGGAAGGTGGTGGGAATGGGGGCTCTGAGGTTTGATGGTGTTGAGGGGGGTTGGGTTGATAGAAATGAAAATGGAAGTCAGGCGGGGAGTGGGAGTGTTGATAGTGTTGATGGGAGTAGTCAAGCAGGAGGAGACGAGAGGAGTAGAGATGATGGAAGTAGTAGAAGGGGAAGCGTGGATAGTGATGCTACCATCACTTCAAATACGCCGGCGCGAGTGAGGATGGGAGGGTTGACCATTGGCAACGCGAATGGTACCAAAACTAACGGAACGGCAACTAGGTCGTCGCTATCTCGCTCGCCCTTGGCCCAGCTGCCGTTCTCGGATGAGGGATCAACGAAGTTGACGTTGAGGACCAAGGGGTTGAGGGAGAGTGCTGCTCGTTGAGCTGTGACTCTCTGGTGTATAATGAGTTTGGTTCGGATGATTGCGGTAAAGGTTGACGAATGGGTCAAGGATGGCTATTGCAAGCGATGCGGTTATGCTTATGGTTATGGTTATAAATATGGGCTATGATAATGAGAACAAGAGCGATGAATTTGGAACAGATTATTTTAACGAAGACCTAACTAAGCACCGGTTAGAGAAAGAATATGGCGAGGAGGAGGTTACCTTGGCGTTTCATGAATGCATACAATACCTTTCACAAAAAAAACGCCCCGTTAACGTTCGTTTTTTCTCCGCACAAAAAGGGCAAAACTCAACTTCCTATTATTATGTTCATCGACGACGACTGAAGGGGATAAATGTGATAAAGACACCTGACTTAAAATGGATCTTGGTTAAACGCCGCCGACTTGAAGAGGAGAGAAGTTGAAGTCAACTAAGTGAGTGTGAAACAATGATGGTTCATTACATACATGTTCACCTCACCACGAAGAATAGAACACAACTTGAACGAAAGGAACAGGCAAGGCATGTATGTTTGAACCATTAAACTTTTCTCTTTATAGGTAAGTCCTAATGTTGATAACTACTTGATGCTTTTTTTCCTCCCAAAGCCATGCTTCCTTCCGTAATGAGTTTTCCGAAACCGTACAAATACAAATGTATGTAAGTAGTAAGTAACCATGAAGAAACTATTTCACTGATTACAAAGCCCCATCTACGTGCTACTAGTGTGAGGTATACTAGCAGTTGTGGTATATCCATCCCTATCCCTTCCTTTTCCAACTTCTTCCAACCAACGAGCGCTCAAAAACACATAACACGCTCTGTTTTTATCCTGGCTTCAAACTTCCACGCTCAAAATCATATATCTCAAAAGAAAAGACCCTTCTTCTTCTTCTTCTGCCCCTCCATCCCCTTCAAAATATCATCAAACGTGCTCCCCCCATTACTGGGCACCGGCGCCGGTTGGGCTACCTGCCTAGGAGGTGACTGCCTCGGCGGTGATTCTCCCCTCCCCAATGGACTAGGACTAACACTCGACCCCGGATGCTGCTGCACCTGTTGACCATTCATACTAGCAATCGATCCCCTAGAAGGATCTCTATACGCCGCCGGCGGGGCGCTGGACCTCCCATCATTATACCCCTGCGACTCGCCAACGCTCAAGTTACCCAGCGCCGCAAGAGTCTGGGCGCTGCCAACGGAACTAGCGCGATGGCCATGAGCGGGTTGGAACCCGTTGGAGTTGGAGGAGTCGGGACGGCCACCTCCGGAGGGGATGTTGGCGGGAGTAGAAAAGACGCGGGAGCTGCGGTCTTGGCCACCTCCGGGAGCGAGAGATTGCATGAATTCTGCCTCTTGTTGAGACGAGGGGCCGTTGGGACCGAATTGGCTGAAGTCGAGGGGTTCGAGGCCCATGGCGATACTAGATCTATAGGCTGAGACACCGCGGTTTGCTGGTGATCCCGTGCGCGGACGGAGGTGGGGGGAAGCGGGCTCGGAACCGGGCGTGCCGCCGCCTACGTAGCTGCTTTGTGGCCTTGAGCCGGAGCGCTGATGGCCCGCGAAGAAGGGGTCGTTGTCTTGGAATACCGGGCGGGGTGGTTCCAGGGGGGTGATGCCCTCGCCCATGGCGGCGGCGGCGGCGTCGAGTGGTTGGTTGATGGCGGCCGCGGCAGATGCTGGGAGAAAAGTGGCCTCCCATTCCTTGGCTGCCAGCCAGCAGTGCGAGCGCATGTAGATGCCTTCGACGGAGAACATGACCACGTCCGCGGACAGCTCGACGATGCCTTGGCCATTGTTGGTCTGGTACCACATCTTGCGGACTTCACCGGCGTCTTCCATCCAGGGCGGGTTGCCCTGGGGCGCTTCGCAGAGGAAGTACTCGACTCCTTCGGTCCAGTGGAGGCCGGGAGCGTCGACGACGAGCATGGGCAGGGACTGCAGAACGACGTAAAGGAAGAGCCAGTAGCCGACGCGCTGGTTGGCAATGTCAGAGGGGTTGACGCCCTTGGCTTCCTTGTGCTCGAACTCCTTGAAGGCTTGGAGGAAGGGGAGCTGTAGCGCGTCGGTGTCGATGTTGCGGGACTTGATAAGCATGAGCAGCAGCTCGTTGGAGGCCAGCTTGCGGTCGAGCTTGGCCCGCTTCTTGGCGTCCAGTTCACGGTAGTTCTCGTGGATGGCGGTCATGGAGGGGATCTTGGGGCAGTCGAAGGGGATGGGCGGTAGGACGGGTGGAGAGGAGTGGTCGAACTCGGAGAGCATAGTGCGCAGGGCGGAGCGCATCAGGAAGAGTTCGTACTCGATCTCGTTGGCGTTCTTGGCCTTCTCCCTCTCAGCTTCGGCTTCCGCGACACCGTCGTCGAACTTCTGGTCGATAACACGGGGAGTGATGGATTCGCGGTCGACGAGCAGGTCGTACAGCGCACAGCAGTCGGAGTAAAGCATCTTTAGGCATTGTCGGTTGAGACCACTCTGGGAGAACTGGTTCTTCTTGCTTCGCGCCTTAGGTGGCCAGTTACCAAAAAGGTCTTTGTAGTAGCTGAGCACAAAAGTGCGCATTTTGCCGAAAGATTTTTGCCATTCCTTGAAGTTGAGGTGCTTGGCCTCCTCACTGGATGTCGAGCTACCAATGCCTGCGAACAGGGAAGGGAACTCAAAGCTCTCGAGACGAAGGTTGGCATTGGCCTGTCTGTTGGTGAGATCCAGATACGCGCGCTCAAGCCTGTTTCTGGTGCTGACTGAAACACTGTTGTAAATGGGTAGCTTGAGATCCTGGATGGACTCGTACTTGCCCACAGCGTGGGTGAAGGCTTCGTTGTAGAGAGTCCATGACCGCATGTGCTCACCCAGGATGATAGCCTGGATGGTCTTCTCGCGGCTGCCTCTCACATCCGAAACGCCAAACTGGTCCAAGAAAGAGTTGAAGGCCGCATCGACCTGTTCGCCAAACGTTGATCCGTCATGGTTTCTGAAGCCCAAGTTCTTGAGCAGGGCAGCCACTTGGAGTAGTGTCGCAAACAATGTCGGGTATGTGTTTGTGGCAATGATGGGCTGGCTGGTCAATAGAGCAAACAAATTCCTTGCTGCGACGAGACTGTCGAGGCTCGTATTTTCAAGCGGGAGGTAGAGGTGTCCATCATTCGGGTTGGCGCCGTAGGCCGATGGCGGTGGTACTGGTCGCCTGTTGGTGGCGTCGTCGACTGTGAGAAGGCTGCCGGCGGCACTAGCTTTCCGGGGGTTGTTGAACCCGGTAATCTCGGACAGCAATCGTTGCGACGAGCTGACGAGGTAATCGTGGACTTTGAATGATGGGCCGCGGCCACTCTCTGGGGAATGAAGGTAGATGAAGAGGTTTCCAGATTCGTTCCAGAGTTCCGGTACCTGTAAGTGGGTAAGGTGAGTATGGGTGACGGAAGACCAAGACGCCGACGGGACAGTCGGGTGCAACGGATGTAACCATAGAGGGGCACGTCATACCTTTTCACCATTCAGGAGGTTCGCAGTGCTGTAATCGGCCTTGCTGTCTGGCGCAACAATCCAGGCGGCATTGCTGTCTCCCTTGTTGACCTCGGAGTTGGACCTTGATCGGCCTCCGAACCAACTCCTCCTCTGCTTGTGCTTCTGTGCTGTCGGGCCACTGTCATCGCTGCCGTTGGAATGTGTTGATGTCGGCCTCGAGTCTACCGAAGTGGAAACGATGCGCGGTGGCTCTGCCGAGGGCGTGCGATGATGTGCTACTGGAGGTTGGCTGGAAGTGCTGCGGCCGCGCGAGTGCCCTGTAGAGGATGTTGGTGAGCTGTTGAGGGGTGGTTGTTGTTGATCTTGTTGTTTCTGGAGACGGTTGGGTGGGATGGCGGCTCCCGGCGGAGGACCTTCGACCGAGACACTGCGGGACCCGGTGCCGATAACGGGCCTTGTTGCGGGGCCGGGAGAGGTGGAGGGGTTCGTCTTTTCTAGGGGCATTGTCGACGCTCGGACTTTGTGTTCTAGGTGGTTTGTTAGAGAGAAAGAGAGAAAGATGGATCGACTTAAGAACCAACCTGTTTGTAGGGACGACAAAGGAGGGGAGCTATTAGTAGGATTCGTACCCAATCCATCGGGTGACGAATACTTCTTATTATGGGCGGCGCTGACACTGGTACTTGGCCGGCCATTGGTGCCATTTGTGGACTTTGCTGGAGTGGTTGCTTGCTGCGCCCCTGGATTGGCGGCAGTGACCGGGGCCATGGAAAGGAGGGGATTGGCAGTCACTGGCCGTTGCTGCTTGTGCAGCTTGGAGGCTCCAGTGGTACCTTTTAGCGCAGTACCCTCCTGCAAAAATGATGGAATCAGCATCGAAAGGCGGGACTTGCGCCGTTCCATTTTTGGCGCCTGGGATCCCTGGTCGACGTCTTTGTTATCCGTTGTTTTACTGTTGACAGCAACACTGGTGTTCGCCGTCGACATGCCGCCTTCTCGGTCGGTGTCTGGAGAGGTCGCCTCGCTGCTGATGATGGTGGGTGTCGTCTCGGAGTCTGGTGTAGGTGGTAGCTGGACCACGGTGGGCTCTTGTATTCCCTTTTCTCTTCCACCAAGAAACGAGGAGAGATGTAGCGAGAGGGTGCTCTTTCGATGGAGGAGCTTGCGCTGGGTTGGACCGGCGTCCATGGCAGCACTCGGAGGGGCCATGTCGGGCAACACAGACGATGAATACTGATAGTGGTAGTGATACTGCGGCGGAGGCACAGCGTAGACGGGAGGACCAAAAGTTCTGCTTCCCATCTTTTCCCGTGGAAAAAGGGCGCCGTCGCCTAGCCTTATACCAAGAGGACGCTATTCCGGCAAAGAATCTCCCACCCCTTATTGCAAGGGGGCCGACACAAACGGGGGACGGCCTGGTCGTGGAGTCGTCGGGGTGCTGCGTTGCCGAGAACCACAATGTAGTTCAAGTGGATCGTGATCGAGATGATATGACGGAGGATTACCGGTAGGAGGAGGATGATCACAAGTTTCTGGAAAAGAAGGAGGAAGGCTATAGACGGAGGTGCGTACATCAAGTATCTTTCAGTTGGCAGTCAAGGCAAAGGCAGTGGGCGGGACACACGGAAAGATATTAGTCCTTAAGTGAAGGGGTGCCTACAGGGACAACATCGGACGGGAAAAGGGACGACAGTGACAGCGACGGGTACAGCTCGACAACATTGCAGGGTCAGTCCTCGTCGAAAGAGACATCGGCATCTGCATGGCTTGACATGCTGCAGCAGGTGTTGACAGACTTCCATGACAGCTACATAGTATCTACATAGTATGTACCTACATACAGTATCCCTACAACGAAGATCTCGAATTTTGTGTTTCAGGACCGACATGTCCAGCTGCCAACGGGGCGATCGGCTTGGGCTGTGGTTTGATGTTCTGGCCATCAACCACTTTAACTTCCCTCGGGCAGGCATATCATGTGTTCCGCCGTATAGCGCCGTATACGCAGTGTTCCGCGTGGCTTTTTCCTTTTTGGGTCTTTGAGAATTCCCATGGCCCGTCCTGACCGTGGCCTCGCATGGGTCGTCAGCGGTTGTCAGTCCTCGTTGGTGACACAGGATGCCGTATCCATAAAGCCACTCGGGGTCCTCCGACATACTCGCTGCCTCATCGAATCCTTGTGGCCTTGCACGCTAGAACTCTGAGTCAGTGTTTGACGCGGCTTTCTCTTGAGCATGAAAGAAACGGGTTCAACGGAAGAGAGGCCGCGTCGGCATGGCTCCGGATAACGTCATCTCTTGAAAGGGTCCGGAGACGGCATTTTTAGCGTCGTCCTCGTCTATCGATAATGGCGGGGTTACGTGCAGAAAGGGTCGCCTTTAGGGGGCAGGGGGTTAGGGATGATGGATGCATGTGGATGCAGGGGTAAACACTTGTCACCCGCACCGGCCGCCCGTCCGCTCGTCCGCTGTTAGGTTGTCACTTGCAGTTGCCGTTGTCGACAGAATGCAACTTTGTCCTTTTTATTTTTTCGCATGTTTCAAACTCTTTTCGGTCTCGCTCTCGATTTGCTCACCGTATCTTTCACAAGGCTCTTGGATCCTCTTGATCTCTTCTGGGCGAAGGAGAAAGTTGGATACTTTGTTCCTTTGCGCAATAATATGGGTACGAGATTATGGGCGCCATCCTTGTCTTGTGCTCCACCGAGATTTATAACTTTCTCCGGTAAAATGACGAAGCCAAAGAAGCCCGAGAGGTTCTCAACACAACGAACCACTGGGCGCCCCATCGCGGCCCTTTCCGTCGTCGTCAACAACATCCGGGGTAAGCTGAAAAGGGACACGACAGTCGGAAGCACTGCCACTGCCACGCCCGTCTGCCACGTCGAAAAGCTTCCCAAAAGAGGAGTATGCTGCTCCTACGCACCAAAGTCAAAGCACCCGATATCCCGAGCCAGCGGATGGGAACCAACCAATTCACCCACACGCAAGCTGTACGTGTAATCCCGCTAGACACTGGCGTGCATTTTCAAACGACATTTCCAGCAATATCTCAGTCCCTGGGTCCGCTTGGTAACGAGATGGCAGCATTTCATTCCCCAATCGTGCAAACCCAAACTCCAGATTGAGAACTTGTGAACCCCGGAGTCTTCGGACCTCACTTCACCTCCATGGCCATGAGCTTTCATTCACATTTCACCCGACACTATGGACCTAAAGAGATCCACCTCGCTACGGCTACCGGCATACGGTGACGCTAGAACAGCTAGAAGGAAGCTAGAGAAAGCTCCCCCTGGGCATTTACGCCTCATTATGCCCCTGTTAGCGCATTCGCGCTCGTCGAACGCCAGCGAGGGACAGGGAGCATGGAGGTGGTAGCGTAGGTCTATTTTTGGGCAACAGGCCGTTGGTTCTTCTGCCTCTTTCACGCGAGACCACGGATGATCACCACCAACAACCAACAACCAACATTAACCCCAAAGCCATCTTGCATATAGCTGCCCCTCTTCCCGTCGCGATCCTGCTCCTCAATAGGAAGGTTGCCGAGAAGCGAGTATCGCATTTGATCCTTCGGCTTTCACTCACCAAGGAAGAAATGGCATGATCGGACTTGCACAGTGAGCTCTGTGTGCGCCCTTGCGAGGTTGTCAAGGGCCAGGAGCTTTTTTTTTTCTCGGAGAGCTTCTCACAACTTACAGAATCCTCCTCTGGAATCTAAGAGGCCGTTCGTTGGGTACATTCAGGCGCCTGGGCCTCAACATTTTCCACAACTCGAGCGGAAGAGCCGGGAGCCAACACAGAACAACACACCGCGGAACCATATTCTGTCTGCACGGGGAATTACAGATCACCAACGACTAATTAGCCATCAGCCAACCACGTGTAACATGGTCAACCATCCAACCCACGGAAACCTCGAAGACTGTCATGAATACCACGCTGCACTTAAACCCAGAGTCTACCCAAGGGGACGGAACCGCCCCAACCGCCCCAACCGCCCTTCTTTGCCCTAGTGTAAAGGGTGACCAAGATCTTGTGGTGGTGTGTAAGTTTAGTCCAAAGTGTAGGTGACTTCATCTTCAACTCCTGCTTTAAATTACCTCTATGCTTCGCCTTACCACCACCGACGGCACAGGCAGGTAGGAGGTAGCCGCCGGGACACAACTTCAGGACCTCAGCCTCTTCCTCCTCAGTCAAAATGCATCATGGAGGCGCGGTTAGCGCTTGGAAGCATGGTGAGGGTGACAAAGCGGGAGGAGGAGGGAAAGCGAGCGGGTGGCGCAGGTGAGTTTGTAAACTCATGACTACCTCTACAGGAAAATGATTTCGAGTTGACGCTGGTTCAAGAAAGAAGAAAAATGACCAGACAGTAAACGCCGAGGTGAAATGTCATTTGATCAGTTAGGTTTTCGACTGTATCGCGGAGCGGAGTAGAGCACTGGTTTAACATCGCCTTACTCATCCGGACGGCTATCCTTCGCCTTTTTGCCTGTAAACTCTATTTATCTTGTCCACTTGCTACAACGAACGGGTGGTGTGACACAGCAGATATCACGGACGAGCCGCAATGGGGAAACTCACCCACCAGATCCCTAACAAACTAACCACCCAAGTATCAGTAACCTGTGTTGCCCATGGCACAAACCAAACAAAACTCTTAAAAACTGAAACTATCAGTGTAAGACAGCATGAAAGTCCCCACCGACAACCTGAATAAGGTAGTAGGCACTCAGTCGTAGGGCAGCCAACCAACTGCAGCAGAAGAAGTGCACATCAGCACAACCAAGTTTCACAAACTACAGACCGCAGACACACAAACCTTAATTCCTGGAACGAAGCTCGTATAAACGTCCAGTTCCATCACACAATCTCCCGGTTTGCTTTCTTGTCGTGGATGCTGTTCCTTTCATCTACCGGGCTACCGCGCTGTTGGGTCCAACTTCATCTTACTCGAAACTCTCCGGTGTCTAGACATGGATGTTTGTTCTGTTGAGTTATGTAGTTGTGATTAGTGATACAGACACTGCACATAACCTCATCAGCCACAGTAGGAGGATATACAGCTATCTTTGTCCTGTTGTTTGCTTAAACAGACGTGCCTATGAACATCTCAAAAACGCCCAACAGACGACAAACCACGTGTTGGGAGGTATACATCGGTAGAGGTAGGTATGCAGTTTGATTACACCTTTCCCACTGCCTACACTGCCATCTGCCGTCCGTTAGGTCACATATTCCTACAATCCTTTTAACGCCAACCATGATTTGCCCAAATCGACGTGTGAGGACAGTCCCTCTATTCTGGGACATGTTGTGGCTGTCAAGCAACACCACCTCAGGGATCTACCTACCTCCTTAATAACCAAAAAAAAAAATAAAAAAAAAAATAAAAAAAAAAAAGCCGAGACCTTATGCCCATCACCCATGCATGGATAGGTCTCAGCTTTTCTGTCATGGGCGAGCCTACCTATGTTCTAGACAGTTCACTAATCAAGTTATCCGATTGTGTTGTCTGCCTTGTGAGAAAAGCCACAACATCAAACCATCAGAGGGAAGGACACAAATCACGCCGACAACCGCTCATCGAAATGGTTCAGTGGATCAGTTCCTCGTCGAGGTATTCTTTGAGGCCCGGAACGATACACCTCTTCGTTGACTTTCAGTCAGCACAGCCTCTTGCGAAAATCTAAACTTGTTAGGTAGTGCTGTAGTTCCCAGATGTTTTAGGTCGTCAATGTGTCGATTCAGCACTGTGAAGTAGAAGGAATAGATACCTTACGCGATGCCTGTCACAGCTTCTTTCTGCCTTAAATGGACAGACCTAAGTTGACTTTCGAACTTCAGCCAGTCAGCCCGGCCACTCCGACATCTCTTCCTCCTAATTCGGAAGCTAGGTAGAGGTAGTCACTCCCGCAATGTCCATGTTGCACAAACATAACTCGTCGAAACCAGTTACACAGCCGGGTAAGGCCATAGAGACTCACAGACTTGCATTGATAAGTCCGAGACCGAGTGTGAGTCTGTCTGAGTGGCGAATTTGGGATGGGATAGGATTAACAGCCAACGAGCCACTCGAGCCTCACAAGCCACATGAACGAGTCGAGTCCGAGTGACGATCCCTCGGTGCCTGTCAGCCTGTCAGCCTGTCCTCGAAAAGCCAATGGGTCAACGGACTACAGGCATGGACTTGAGAGGTTATCAAGACTCAATCAAGATCAAGATTAAAACGGCTCGCTTGGTTGAGCCTCAAATGACCTTTACGTTGCCAGACAAAATTACTACACTATGTCTCTTACGTAGCACTTAGAACTATGTGTCAAAGGGCATAGGTACCTAAAGAGACTGCCAGGAGCTTGTTCAAGATCTCGTATTGTCAAAGTGATCAACGTCTTTCTTACTAAGGGGCTCTCCTACGATCATAGAGTAGGTGACCCCGTACAACCCAACTTCTACCTTTCCGTGTTATCTCATCCAACAAACAACCCCAAGGACGAAAGGAACAAAGGTATCAGGAATCATCATCCATGTCTCGTCCAAGCCCCTGTAACCCCCTGCCTGGTATAGCTGCAATGCTGCCTGCTTTCGCCAACCCCCAAAGTAAACAAAGAAAAAAAGCTGAACGAAAGCAAGACTTGACGACAAATCCTCCCTGATACTACTGTGATACCAAGGGTCAAGGTCATGACGCCAGAATGTGACCCTGACATTAGAGACATGGCAGCCAGTTGAAGCCCCCTCTTCTTCCATTAACGTAGCACGAAGGGCCTTGAGTTGAGTAATGATGCCCCGGAACACAACAACCCCCTTTTCCTTGAACCTCATCTCCCAACCAGACTTACCCAGTTGTCTCTTGATACCCTCAGCAACACCACCACCGCACCAGTTTTCAGTGGCGCCTAGTCCCCTGATCAACGTTTACCACGTTCCTCCCCCACGGGAAGGACGTTCCTTCACCTGTGAGCACATCCAATCCTGCAGAGCCCAGGAAGAAAGCTCGTCGATCTAGAACGTAGGCAGTCATTGTGCCACGGGAGCGTCGATAGTTATACCCAAAAGATCTCAAAACAATAGGGCAGGTCTAGGTGGCAATAGGGTTTGGAAGGGGCATTGGGGTATGTTGCACGTAGGGGGAGGAAGGAAAGTCATCGCAACAGCAAAGGGGCCCAAGCCAGTAACATCAACAACCAATCAATCAAAACATCCTGGTATCTAACCAACCCAGAAACAGAAACGTGAGAAGAACGCCGCAACCCCATGCTTTTCCCGTTATTCATTCACTTTTCACTTTCCCCTTCACCTCCCATTCTAAAACCCCCTATACCCCCCACCCACTCCTCCCGCTCCTCCTCCTCCCCCCGGCCCTCGCGGCCCTCCACCCACCGGCGAATAAGGCTTATACCCCGGATACCCCGCCGCTCCTCCCTCATCCTGTGCTCCCATACCTCCTCCTTGCTGCTGTCCCATCCCCGGTTGCGGCCTGGAATTACCTCCACTACTAAAATCAAACCCACCCCCACCACCACCACTGTTACCCCCCAAAGTATTTTGACCGCCCAATGTATTCTGACCACCCATGGTATTATTCCTCACCGGAGGCTTGGGCAACGGCCCCGTCGGCGCTGGGGAGGGTGTTGAGCGCATCATGTCGCCGTAACTAGCTGCGTTGTTTCCGCCATAACCGTTGTTGTTCCCCCCTCCGTAACTGTTGTTCCCGCCAAAGGTGTTTTGCCTCTGTTGCTGACTGCTGCCCTGGGAGTATGGCTGGTTTGAAAAGCTGTCGTACCCTCCTCCTGTTACTCCGGTCGATTGAGGAGCGGGAGAGTGATATCTCGGCCCACCGAGGAAGGAATCACCGCCTGCCATCGCCTGGTTATTGCTGGATCCCCCATACCCGAGACCATTCAGTTGCTGTTCAGGAGCTGGCGACCGGCGGGTCATTGGATTTTTGGGGTAGGGTATTGTGTTCGTGGCGGCTGGTGGTGAGCGGACGCGGTTAGGTCCCATGCTTCCGGCTGCCATGCCCATACCCGCGGCTGCGCCACCGGCGGCCAGGCCGTAGGGTTGTTGTTGTTGGGAACTGCCGTACCCGCCTTGGTTGCCGGAATTGTAGTTATCGTAGGGTGAGGTATCGTAAGGCGAGGCGGGGCTATTGGTGCTGGCACCGTAGGAATCGTAAGTGTTGTTTCGTGCGGAATCGTAGGTGTTGTTTCGTGTGGGCTCGCCATAGCGGCCGTAGGCATCTTGTTGTTGGTTGCCGTAGCCACCTCCGGGGGCATTATACCCTGCGTTGCCTACGGCGGCGGGGCCCATGGCTGATGCGGCCATGCCGTAGGGTGATGGAGAGGAAGACTGGCCGTAGGGAGAGGCCAGAGGCATCTGGTTGTATCCTTGGGCGTTTTGCTGGCCATAACCACCGTTGTTTCCGTAGAAGCCGTTGTTACCGGCCGGAACACCATACGGGCTCTGCTGGCCCCCTGGTGGTGGACTGGGTCGTGGTGTTGTTCCTCGTCCTGGCCCCGCTGCTGGGATAGCAGCCGCCGCGCCGGACATGACCGCAGCCCCGGCCCCGGCACCGGCACCGGAACTCTGGGTAGTCTTCTCCTCCGGCTTCTTCAACTGATCCAGCTCCACAGCCTCCTCCTCCACCAACACCTTCTTGCTCCCTGCACCCTCCCACTCCGGCATAGCAGGCAGCGAATCGCCCATTGTCTGCCTCTTCTTGTCGACCTCGAACACGGCATATTGGGGTTCGGACGCCTTGGTATTATACGAAGGTTCCGAGTATGATGGCGCTGGACGGCTACCGAAGCCGTGGTCCATAGGCTCCGCAGCCTTGTAGCCCTGATCGGGTGGAACGAAAGGAGCGTCGAGGTACTTGTGTTTGCGAGAGCCAGGAGGATCGCAGCAACCGCAGCAGTTTCCGCAGCATTGAAGGCACCGGAAGCACTCGCAACAGCAAGAGAGACCGCAACAGAGGCATCGGCCTATGCACCAACATACCGCGAAGATGACGACTCCGGCGAAGATCATGAGCCCGATGGCGGTCCATCTGTGAGAAGAAGGTTAGCCCGTGTTATCTCGGCGGCAGCATTGCCTTGTCGGGGAAGAAAGGTTCGGATGGACGTACTTGCAGTAAGCAGCCTGCATACAATTGTCCCAACTCGAAAATGCCGTCTTAACGTCGTTGAATTCCTGGACGACATCTCTTGGTTGGAGAGCGGGTTGCACGCTGCGCACCAGTAAGTTCACAAACCCATCCACGATTCCCCCCTGGACACTCCTCCTCATTGCCACGTCTATTGCAGGCATTTTGTCGGTTCTGTTTATATTCCTTTAAAACTCGGAAGGATATTGTATGTTTCGTCCGCTGGTCGGTGCGGATCTTGGACAGGCCGGAGTGATCGACGACCTGTCCAATCGGTAAAAAATTGGTATCGATGAAAAAATGATTCTATTGCAGTCGCCGCTAATCTCTCATTGTTTTGCGCGTTCTTTTCCGATTGTCGTCCAAGTTAGTGATGTGATGTTGGACTCGTTGTTCTGGTTTTTAGTTGCAAAACCGGCGCGATGGGTATCTTGGAATTCGATGAATCGTTGTCGACAATAAGCTACCAATGGCAAAAGAAAAGACTGTATCTTGCGTGCGAAGCTGAAAGGAATGAACAGCGCGCTTGCGTGCAGAATAATGGGTATCGCAAAAAGAGTGTGTCGTCTGCAGTATACCGATACTGTCTGAATGCGTCGTTCGTTCGAAGATGGCGAAGTCGAAGGCGAAGTCGTCGGTCGTCTGTCGTTAAGCGCGAGCGGCGAGCGGGAGGATGAGCAATCCAAACCCAACCTGAATCAAAACCTGAATGCAATTGGGCAAGGCGACTCGAAGGATGAACAGTACAGTATCATCTAGCCGTGTCGCCAGGTTGGACAAAACGGTCGCACAGGTCGGGAAGGATGTCGCACTGACTGGTCGTCTCAGATTAATGTTGAAACCAGACAGACGCGGCACAGTAACGGTAGCAATAGACAGCGGCCAGAAGTGACAGAGGTGAAGGAAGGGAGAGGACGAGGAGAAACGACTACCGACACCAAAAAGGGGGCAGTGTAGTGTAGTACGAATCCCTCTAGAGGCCAAGAAGCGAACCCGGACCGCGGAACCTGCTAACGATGCTCGGAAGGGAAAGCGAAAAAGATGAAAAGATGGATTTGTGCCTCGCTGGTGTGGGAAGGGGTAAAAAGGCAAAAATGCGGGTGAGTGGTGCCTTCGAATGACCCGCTTGTTCCTGTTCGTCTTCCACAACCCCGGTTCTGCTGCAAGGTACGGACGGGCTTTGATGGGCTAGGAACGGGGCAATGCCAGGGGTGACAGAGGGGACAGAGGGGACAAGGACGGGCAGTGGAACTGTTCTTGGGTGGGATTTGCTCACCAGGGTCCTCACTTTTCGGTGGTGAAATGGTGAAACACCAGGCTAATGCGCCTTGATTTGCGCGATTTGCGCGATTCCCACGGGCAGTTTTGGGGTATCGTGGTCCGCATCCGGTAAAGTGATGCTGGTGACCGGAGATGTCGATGTGATCTGTGATATGCTGTGGTGTTTTCTACGAGGAATGTAGATGTACAACATGCCACAAGAACTCCCAAGAGTCCCACGTGTTGAAGTCGCAATTCGCAATCGCCAGCAAATGCTCGCTACTTACCGAAATAAGAAAGCCGCGAGAAAAAGGACCACGGAGGGCGATGAGCAAAAAGCTCCCTTTGTACACAGCCCTCTTCCCATCTCTTGGCCTCGCCTTGGAGGCACAGTATCAGTCAGATCACCAGCGCAGGATCACAGCACCGAGCCTCGCCAGCGGGCACCTGCGGGCTGATTCGCGCGTGTCATGCTTTCACAGAAACCGGATGAACCTGTTGCCCACTACGCAAGTAGTGTACAAGTCCGTCAAAGCTCACGGCCACGGGCAACGCCGCCGCCGCCTCCGCCTTCGGCCCCTCCCACTCGAGACGCACGGCCGGGGAACAGAGAAACGAGGCTAGAGAGTGGAATCCATCCATCCGCGGACGGGACTCGCGGGAGCTGGAGCTGGAGGCCTGTCGGGACTTTTGCCGCTTCTCGCTTCCCAAGCTTCCAACGGCTGGCTTATCCTAGCCTTGCAGTGATGAGCCTGGCAAGGACTCGCAAGATGGGACTTGTGATCGATGCGAAACTGAGTCAGAAGGGTGCAACGAGCGGGGTGCAAGATTACGATGGACCGATGGACCTTCTTGGAGGCTTGCTTGGGGGAGGAGACATCGTCCGCTTTCTCAGTGCAGGAGGGCAGGGCAAGTGGTGATGTGCGTGCGTGCGTGCGCGCGCGCGACCGAGGGGTAGGTAGGTAGAAAGCTTGTAAAATGTCATATTGTGATGCTGATGCACGTCGATGGGCGGGCAGTGTATGTAAACATTCCCAGAGAAAGGCGATGTTGAAGCTGCGAAAAGACCGCCAGGTGTGTTTGGGTCGCGATATCGCTTGCAGGGATTCGAAACCACCGGAGAGGAGTGAACGCGCGGGCGGGCAAATCATCAGGTGATGCGTCATTGCGATGGGACTGGAGTGCCAGATGCTGTCAGCCAAAGCTCGACGGAGCTCAGCCAAAAAGAGCAGAAGAGAAGCACGGGTTAGGGTTACATATGCCCAGACAAACTGCAGGCCCCCTCACCTGACCTCACCTGACGTTATAAGCTGACCATCCGGTGCAGGTAGTCAACCAACAAACCAGAAATGGTCACGTAGCGGAGTGGTTACCGCGATGCTCTTGTGAGTCTTGACCCCGAAGATACCTTCTCCAAAGTGTTTGTCCCATACTAACACACGCAATTAGATACCTCCAAGCCATTGGAAGTTATGCATAGGTCCTGGGTTCGACCCCCAGCGCGACCACGGTTTCTAATTTTTTGCACCTTTTTCCCCTTCGCTTGATTTCCATTTGTTTCCTTCCTCCTTTTCCATGCATCTCAACCCAAGACCTCCCGCTCCGGTATCTCGACGATTGAGCTCTGGAGTGGACAGCTCCTTATCGTTCGACGTAACCCGCCTTTTTGTCTTATCGCTTCGCTTGGATGGTGTCACTGCCAAGGGTATCCCGGTAGTAGCTCCGTCCTCCCATCCCGATGTCCACGCCGGAGGAGTTGCAACACCCACACTCACGATGTCTGCGATGGAGGTTTATCTTCACATGCATTTGCAATCACTTCAGACACAAATGCATCGTCAATACTAAGCTTGATATTCATCTGTATGTTCATTTCGCTTATCTGGAGAGCCTAATACATTGTATCTCCCAGCTTTTGAGTGCCATCTCTGAGCCGCTCTTGATTCATGCTCTATTACACATCTAGACTCCCCCCGGTTTCGATACAAACCGAACCCAAACTCTCCATTTCGCCATTGATGCGCTGCTTTCCTCCCCGCTTAGTTGTACTGGGCATAGGCCGCAGTAGAGTTGAACTTGAGGTTGCCCTTGATGACCTTGTCCACCGCACTCAAGAAATCCTTCTCCGACGCCACCTTCCTGCGCGCACGAATGGCGAACATGCCCGCCTCTGTGCAAACACTACGCAACTCGGCACCCGTCGCGTTCGGGCACAGGCGAGAAATGAGCTCCCATCGGATATCGCGCTCGACCGACATGCTCTTGGCGTGAATGCGGAGAATGTTGGCACGGCCCTCGAGATCGGGAAGAGAGAACTCGATCTTGCGGTCGATACGTCCGGGACGCATCAGGGCCGGATCCAGCGTGGAAGGACGGTTAGTAGCGAACATAACCTTAATGTTGCCACGGGCATCGAAACCATCCAGCTGTGTAATAAGCTCCAACATGGTACGCTGCACTTCGTTGTCACCACCCGCGCCGTCGTCGAAACGGGCTCCACCAATAGCATCGATTTCGTCAAAGAAGATAATGCAGGCCTTCTTGGTGCGGGCCATCTCGAAAAGCTCGCGGACCATACGAGCACCCTCACCGACGTACTTCTGCACCAGCTCGGAACCAATGACACGGATGAAGGTGGCGTCTGTCCTGTTGGCAACGGCACGAGCGCAAAGCGTCTTACCGGTACCGGGAGGACCGTATAGCAGGGCGCCCTTCGGGGGGTCGATACCGAGGTTGACGAACCGCTCTGGCGACAAGAGAGGCATCTCAACGACCTCGCGTAGCTTCTCGACCTGTTCCTTGCAACCACCGACATCGCCGTATGTGACGTCAGGCTTTTCCTCGACCGTCATCATGGTAACGCTCGCATCGATCTTGGGCGGCAGCGGAAGGAGAATCTGATACTTGTTTCTGTCGACGCCGACGCGCATTCCTTCCTCGATATCTGTCGGGCTGACTCGCTCGCCCAGCTGGACAACGAACTTGGCGATCTGCTTGACGTTGATGACGTACTTGCTCTTCGATTCGTCCTTCTCGTCAGGGATGATCTTGGTGCATCGCGCTACCTGAAGCGGTTGCTCTTCTGACATACGCTGGCGGTCGGCTGCCACATCCCAAAGGTGAGGGGGCGCAAGGCCGGTATCTGATTCCTGTAGACCAAAGTATCGCGGGTCAGCTGGATGCGCTTCGCGGTTTGTAGGGTAGCCATAGGAATGACTAGCATACCTTGACGCCAATCTTCTCATCCACGCTCTGCTGCTTCTCCTTTATTTGCTGTTCTAGCTTCTTGATGGCAGCACCGTAGGGCGCGGCGCCGTATGTCTTGAGGACCTGGATATCCCTTGACGGGGGTTAGACGACTCGTTCGTTGTGGTGGCGGGCGCTTTTTGGGCGGCAACATACTCGTCTGAGAGGGGAGTGATCTTCTTCTCCTCGATTTCATCGTCGCCAAACGTTTTCCTGTACTTCTCCCAGTTTTGACCTGTGGCAGAAGGCTATTCCACGTGTCAGATTTGTAAAGTGGCGGCGGCTTCTGGTAGGGCGACTGCAAGCATACCATGATGACGGCGGGTGGGAATGGCGCTTCCCGTTTGGACTAAGACGAAGAAGGGTGGATTATCGGAGGTCGGGGGTAGATGGATAAAGTCGCGATGGCGCCCGTCGAGAGTTTGTTCGGTGTCGGGTCGTTCGTGGGGTAGAAATCTCGACGCGGGTTTGATGTGGTGTGTCGGGTTGGTTTGATGGTGTTCAGTGCTTGAAGTGATGGAGATGGTTCGTCAAGGTCCAGTAAGGTCAGAGGCACGACTGCCACTGACAGAGGGTCGAAGCTCAACTGTTGCCGTAATCCATGCGCTGCCTTGCGGGCGAGGGAGCTACGGGTGGGTGCCACATTGACAGCGCCTAACCCTATCCGGTTAGACCGCGTAAGTTACAGCGCCGCAGGTACCTTTTCCACCGCCCACCGCTCAGCAGCAGCCGACAAAAAGTTACCACCTGCCAGCCCACCTTTGCGCCCGCGCCAGCACTTTACGGTCCCGCAGTGGAAACATTGGTACGGACGGTGTGTGTTTTTGGCCCATCGATTCCAGACCAGCAAAGAAGGAGAGCTCTGCCTAACAACACAACACCCTGCGCAAGCCGATTCAAACTGTCAACTCGAATTTCCGGCAGTTTCTGACCCATCCGACCTCTACTATCTCCCATAATCCCAAATACCAGATCACAGCTTGCACCATGGCGACCGCACCGGTAGCTACTCACACGACGAGCAATGCGACTTTCAGGGTGCGTCCCGCTTTTTGGAACCTGACCCCTCGATAGGAGTCGGTGCGAAAGCTTCAGGAGGGATGAAGCTGTGGCAAGCCAGTTGCTGATACCCACGATGTAAACAGGACAAGGAGAAGCCCATCGCCGTTCGCTCGTCCAACATTGTCGCCGCCAGAGGTATGCATACATTTTATAAGTAAATGTTGTCTTGTGGTGCTAATACGGACATCCCACCAGCCGTCGCCGATGCCGTCAGAACGTCGCTGGGACCGCGGGGTATGGACAAGATGATCAGGAGTGGAAAGGGGGAGACCATCATCACCAACGACGGCAGCACAATGTTGAACAGCATGTCGGTCATGCACCCCACAGCCAAGATGCTCGTCCAGCTGTCGCACGCCCAAGATGTCGAGGCCGGTGATGGCACAACCTCCGTCGTCGTTCTTTGCGGTAGCTTGCTCGGTGCCGCCGACAGGCTACTAGGCAAGGGCATCCACCCCTCAGTCATCTCCGAAGCTTTCCAAAGAGCCGCCGCCGCTGCGGTAGACGTCCTCCACGACATGTCGCAACCCATCGCCCTCACAGATACCGCCTCCCTCCTCCAGGCCGCCAACACTTCGCTCTCCTCCAAGATCGTGTCACAATACTCCAACCTCCTTGGCCCCATGGCCGTCAACGCAGTCACCAAGACGATAGATCTCAAGACCGCCGAGAACGTTGACCTCAAGAACATTCGCATAGTCAAGAAGGTCGGCGGTACGATCGAGGACAGTGAGCTGGTTGATGGTCTCGTCCTTACACAGCCCGTCATCAAGAGCGCTGGTGGTCCCGTCAGGATGGAGAAGGCCAGGATTGGTCTCATTCAGTTCCAGCTCAGCCCTCCCAAGCCTGATGTGCGTATACCTATTCAACTATTACAAACCTTCTTTGGCTTCCTTGCCATTTGTCCCATTACTAACAACCTGTTTCACAGATGGAGAACACCATCTCCGTAAACGACTACCGCCAGATGGACAAGATCGTCAAGGAAGAGCGCACCTACCTCCTCAACATGGTCAAGAAGATCAAGAAAGCCAAGTGCAACGTCCTCTTCATCCAGAAATCCATCCTCCGCGACGCCGTCAACGACCTGTCCCTGCACTTCCTCCAGCGCCTCGGCATCCTCGCCGTCAAGGACATTGAGCGCGACGAGGTTGAGTTCATTTGCAAGTCGACCGGCTGCAAGCCCATCGCCGACATCGACTCCTTCACCGAGGACAAGCTCGGCAGCGCCGACCTGGTCGAGGAAGTCAACTCCTCCGGTTCCCGCATGGTCAAGGTGACCGGCACCAAGTCCGCCGGCAAGACCGTCTCGGTCGTCGTCCGCGGCGCCAACAGCCTCATCCTCGACGAGGCCGAGCGCTCCCTGCACGACGCCCTCTGCGTCGTCCGCTGCCTGGTCAAGAAGAAGGCGCTCATCGCCGGTGGCGGTGCCGCCGAGATCCAGATCGCCTCGCAGCTGGCCAAGCAGTCGCGTGCCCTGAGCGGCACCGAGGCCATCTGCTGGAAGGCGTTCGCGGACGCCATGGAGGTGATCCCGACGACGCTGGCGGAGAACGCGGGTCTGAACAGCATCAAGGTGGTGACGGACCTGCGCCACAGGCACGAGAACGGCGAGAAGAATGCCGGTGTGAGCATCAAGAGCGGTGGTGTCAACCCGAATATCGCCAAGGAGAATGTTCTGCAGCCGTTGCTGGTCAGCACGAGCGCGATCCAGCTGGCGGCGGAGACGGTGAAGATGATTCTCAGGATTGACGATATTGCTCTTAGCAGGTAGATGTAACTAAGGGTAGGGGAAGACAAAAAAAGAAATGAAAGATGGAGATAAAGAAATATGTGTAACATGTACATATTGTAATTAATGACTCTGGATGAATATTTGTTGCATCACTTTGTGTGTCGTAACTTGTGATCTTATGCTTTAACGAAGTAACTGTAGAAACGTTCTCTGAGAATCAGTGGTTGGTTGGTTGGTTGGCCAACTTGGCCTTGGAGCTCATATTAACAAGCCAAATCACTTTCAAGAACAATTACTACCTTACATAGTACTTGCATTTTCTCTTCTCAAGCATTTATTTATTGCCTTGCTTGGGCCATGCCATGAGATGGGACGGGAGCTGGCAAACAGCCCCTTAGGGCCCTTATGTATGTATGCTCGGTACATTGATCAATCTCTTCACTCACTCAGCTACGAGGCTACCTAGAGGTACCTACCTACCTACAATCTAGTATATTCCATTCCCATGCCCACCATTCTCAAGTCCCATTCTCAATGTTCAAGAGAATGTTTAGAGAGAGGTATAGTAATACTATTACATCCATCTGGTCAGTTGTTCCTAACGAACAGAACAGGTTTGGTTTGGTTCAGTTCAGTTACATACCTAGTCTACTCGTCAGGTAAGGTAGATTTGCCCACCCACATTGATGAATGGATGGATTTGAGTTGATACCGACAGACGTTGTTCAGCAAGTTTGCCGTTTTATGAATGTTAAGTTGTTAACGACGGATGCGGTTTAGTTTAGTTTCTCTTTGATTAGCTGAGTAGATAGCTGAGTAGATAGCTGAGTAGAGAGAGTCAAGAAGGGGACTGACGGAAATAGAGGGGAAGTAAAGAGGGAATAAGAAGGAGAGTGAAGAGATGGCGAAGAGATGGCGAAGAGATAGTGAAAGAGATAGTGAAGAGAGGGAAGTAAAGAGAGGGAAGAGATAGTGAAGAGAGGAAGTGAAAAGGGGAAGTGAAGAGAGGAAGTGAAAAGGGGAAGTGAAGAGAGGAAGTGAAAAGGAGAAGTGAAAAGAGAGAGCAAATAAAGGGTGATATCTCTGTCTTGAAGGGTTGTTCAAAATAGCCAGTTCCCTGTCATTCATCCCGTCTATCTGTTCGCTTGCAATTTAATTTATGGCTAGTGCAAATGTTATTCTAATAATGCCTGTGCAAGTTCATATGTATCCTTTCACGATGGTTGATTCTTCTTTGCTACGACCTCATTGTATTCTCATAGTCGTACTCAAACATACACCATCAGTCTTCTTCCTATATACATACGGGCCTGTCTGTATGAACCTCCAACGCCATATCATGCTAGTGTAGTAGTGCCATCGTCCAACTCTCGTAGAAGTCTAGCGAGACCTCGTTGCCATGGTTTGTTGACCAAGTAACAAACCAATCTCCCCGAATCCATGTCTCACATGCTTCGGGTACTCTACTATTCGTCACTCTTGTCCGCCCCTCACTCACCCTGAGCCTAGCCTACCCTAAGCTTGATCCTGGGGCAGGCAAGATCCTTTGGTTGAGTCCAAGACCAAGCTTTTCCCAAGTGGTGAACTTGCCCCTTTCCTGTGAAGGGAGGCTGTTCGTTCATGGTGACAACTAGTAGCATGCCAGTGGTACCACCGGATCCCTAGCAGTATGTTCTTGTACTTCCAGTACTTGAGTTACTCGAACTCCTCCTCCTCCTCCTCCTTCTCCTTCATCCACCATCATAGGTAGACCGAACCTACAATTAAGCTGTCTGTCGGTTGTCCCATCTTCTGTGGGTCGTGATTACGTATACCAGATTAGGTGTTAAGGTGAAAGACGCATGCACCTTCCGCCCTCTTTCGTTGTAGGAAAGGCTAGTTCGTAAGAGGTGGTCCTTCGGGGAAGTCCTTTGGTAGTGGTGAAAACGTTACGGACCGCAAGGATCGAGACCATCATGCTGTGAGTGGCCGTCCATGATTTGGTCAGCATTCGGCTTCCTCCCCGCATAACCCACACTCCTCTGTGTCCTTTCTTCCGTAAAAGAAACGTCCTGGGTGATAGCAACCCAACCTGATGCTGTCATCTGTTGGTATGACAGAGAATCGGCGTTATATAGATTCCGGTTTACAGCCCCTGTATTGATGGAGCTTGACCCGGGGAGATGTCTTCCAAAATCCCTTCTCTCAGCTTACAATAATCCTGGTAGAGATGGAGAGCATTCCGAAATAACCGCGTGTTGGTAGATTCCATCGCTCTCCTATCCCTCCATACAATACCATCCCTTCCTTTCGTGCTGGGTCCAAGGCGCTGATGTCGTTCAGTAAGTGACATGCCAGTTAGTATGTCATCCATTTTCCTCGGGCCGAGCCACGACTGATGCTAAAGAAGTCCTTGATCCATACGCGGGGACGGTTTGGGTTGTCGGTCAAACTGTTCGTTTCGGTTCGTCGAGATGTGTGCCGTGTCAGCCCCCAAACGAAGGTAAACAGCCAAAACACACCACATCCCCATTATCACCTCTTTCCTCGCAACACTGTCCGCATATCGTTTCCCTGTGGCCGTTGGCATGCCAACCAGGCGTCGATCTTGGCCTTTGGCTTTCCTTCTCAGCCAACGCGTCGTAGTCCGCCTCTGCCTCTGCGTCCGCATCCACCATTGTGAACGAGTTTTCAGGACTCGAACTCGCCAAGGGGATATCTTGAGTTTGCGCTTCTTGTTCTCCGGTATGGGGATGTCGTTCTTGCTGATGAAAACTTGATGTCCATCCAGGACACTGCCTCATGCATACATAACATGTGCGCTGGCCGCATCCTTGGCAATCGGCGTACGAGTCCAGGTCGGCCTTCTTGCTCGGTTTTCGAAAGCAGATATGACAGCGGTCTAGACATTTAATCTTGGACAACAAAGCGTGTTGTTTCTGGTGGTGGGGGTGGGAAGCGGAAGTTGGAGAGTTGGACTTGGCTCGCATCCCGTGATGGCTGTCCTCTCGGTGGTGAACGTCATCGGACACGGACATGCGCTGTTTCTTGTTGATGGCAATGGGTATTATCTTGCGCAGGGTAGGCGGGTAGGGATGAAGTGCGGTGGGATTCGCGTAGGAAGATTTGTCGGCTAGGATGCCGCGTGTGGTGTCGAGGGCTGGGTGGGAGCTGGTGTAGAGGGAGGTCGGATTAGCAAGCTGGAGTGGCGATGGGTAGTTTGACGTGTAGTCCGCATACAATGGGATCTGGATGTTACCCGAAGTGTAGGAATTCTCGACATCATCTCGCCTCCTCTTCTTGGCCGAGGGGATCCTCTCGTGGGTGACGGAGGGCATGGCGCTCTCCCGGTGTTCGAACACGGCTTCTGTAATAAGTTGCAACGCGGTTGAGAGCGCGTGTGGATATGAGCAGACTTTTATCTAGTCAAATATTACAGAATGGAAATGTTGAATATTGCCATGCCAAACTTAAGCCAAGAAGGAAGGAATGATGGAGGGAAAGAGAATCGGTTGGGTGCAGGTCGAAGCTCGAGGTTGTGAAAAGTGGAGCAGAGGCGACGATGCGATTCCAGCCCTGCAGTGCAAGTGCGTTGTCGAGGTTCGCGGTACCTGTGGAAACGCGCTACAGTACCAAACAGTATACAAGGGTCATCGCTTAATTGGTCACTGAATTTGAACTTTTTCCCAGCGTCTTTCAATGAAGCAAAACGGAAATGAAACACCAATTGTACACTAGCGCATCATGGGTTGTAAGTGCATTCAACGGTCGTCAAGATGATTTACGATCTGTGTTTAGATGTTCACCCCTTCGCCAACTTGAGCAGGTGCCAGATCTCAGCCAGTCCTGATATGCCCAGGGACCTTCTGGATCCAACACGGCAAACCTCGTTCGCCAATGATTTCCAACGTTCGAAAGGCGTGTCGCCGTGCGCCGAGTAAGAGCCAAGATGATAGCCAAGACGCTCTTGGCTTCTAGAGTGACTTCGCTTTCAACGGCTCCCTTATTCCGGTCGGGAATCCCAGTCCGATGTCATTGTCCAAGACTCGGAGTTATCAGTCGGTGCTCGATGTCGTGATATGCCCCAGCAAATGGCATTCCGAATGCGATGCCCTGACAAGGGTGAGCGTGGCTGCGGAGAGACCCCAAGAGGGTGGGGGGCCGCACAGAAAAAGGGGCTAGGGGACAAAGTAAACAAACCTTATTTCAGCAGTCTGTCTTTAGGGTTGCAAAAAGACGACAGAGTTACTCCGGAGGTTACAATTCTTGTGCAGTTACCCCAGACCGAGGGCTTCATCGCCAACCGCGGGCAGGGTGTGTGGTGACAGAATGGCGAGGCATGATGGAGATGCAGTCATGTTCATCACGACAACCTTGCGAGAGGTTGGTCACTTGGATATCTGGTTCAGGGATAAGTGCACATCGTTGTTTCATGGCCCCGTCCTATTATCTTATCGCACTTAGGTTTAGCGGGATCCCGATAGCTGCTAATCCCGATAATCCCGTCGTCGGAAAGCGATCGGGAATCGGGACGGATATCCAGTTGTGCCAGTGTCGGTATCGACTTGTCGGGATACCAAGATGGGAGATGCAAATTGGCGGAAATGAATAATAATGAGCCACGTTGCCTTCTCTGCGATAGTGTTTGCGTATACACCGTAGGACAATAGGGTTAAAGCCTAATATTGGGATAAAAGATTGAGGATGCTAGGTATTTCACAAACACTCGGGCCGTTGCTGCCAGGCTCCTGGGCGCGTAAGCGCGCTGTGTTTGGAAGAATTCGCGAATTGATCATTGCTTGTTTCGATGTGCGTGCAGCGCAACTCACTGCACTCTGCCTGCAGTGACAGTCGTGCGTTGGTGCCAGCTGACCAGCAAGAGAATCGGTCAAAAACCACAGTCCAGATTGCAGCCACTGACCCCGACTGGTGGCGTCACGTGGGCAGGCTAGGCAGAAAGAAGCAGCCCCACCCGCCTGGCCGCTTATCGAACTTTCTCCTCATCCCTCCCGCGTCAACCCGTCCAGTTTCGCATCAGCCTCACTCATCTCTTTCGCCATTTCCACTTTGCACTTGAACACCACCACCACAACTCCAGCTTCGTCGCCTGAAACGCCGCCCCCCTTTGAACGTTCTACCCATCAACAACACTTAGTTTCCCCGAGTCGAACCCTACCAATATCGACATCGAGATATGAGTCGCGCCAACAAACTTGGCCCTGAAGTGAATCGGTGAGTCCTGACTCTGAGTCCCTTTGCGGTCACCCTGCTGCCCACTGGTGTCCTATCGCCCGCCTGCCCGCCCGTGGCCTGTACACACACCTTGCCTATACCTACAGCCACTTGGTCCTTGCCATCCCCCTACATTCCCTATACGACCCTCCATCAATTGCCCTCCTGTCCTACCCTACGTCAATGACTAACCCCTGGCATCTATACAACAGAGCTTTGTTCGTAAAGAATCTAAGGTACGCCATCGCCTGCCTCGCTGTCGTCAAGGTGATGGACATGTCATGGACTAACATGTCTCGACAGCTACAACGTAACTCCGGAGGAGCTCTTCGACCTCTTCGGAAAGTACGGACCTATCCGGTATGACATGCCGTCCCTGTCGATCATCATGTCGTCCTCCCACTGACACGTCGGACTATAGTCAAGTTCGCCAGGGCATTGCGAGCAACACAAAGGGCACTGCCTTCGTTGTCTATGAGGACGTAATGGATGCGAAGCAGGCGTGCGACAAGTTGAATGGTTACAACTTTCAGAACCGCTATCTTGTTGGTATGTGTTGTCTCTGACCTCAGATCGTCGCCATTGTGGGGGTTCGCTGACCGTTATGCAGTACTATACCATCAGCCCGACAAGATGAACAAGACAAAAGAGGACCTCGATGCCCGCAAGGAGAATCTAGAACGCATCAAGCGGCAACACGGTATCGATTGACAGTTAGACGGGCCTACGGACAGCCTCCGAATTCGACAACGATCGTCTGGAGGCCCGTCTTCTATGAATACTTCCTCCTCCAAGACCAGGGCGGCGCCGAGCACGACGGCTCCGAACACACCGGCTTCGAGTAGACCATCACCCCCGGCTGCTTCGAGCAGATCATCGCCGCCGGGACCGACCCCGACCCGAAAGAAGGACAGGTCGCCGTTGACCTTCCACGCGCGGAGCTCCATCCCTCACTTCGTGCGCAAGCTGCTTCCCACCGTGCCAGAGTGCGCCTAAACGACAAACCCCTGTTATCACAAATCGGATCCCCCAGTGTACGAATGACAACAGAAGAGTTTCACGAACGACGCGCAGTATCTCGTACACGCGGCCGGATTCGGCTCTGGCTATAGGCTTAGTGTTGCCTTTGCCATACTCCACTCATCACGAAGCCTCTTACCGAAACATCATACATCATCATTAAACTCGTTTTCTCACGGATCGATTTGTTATTTTTGCGCGGCTCCCTCATTGTTGTTGCGTTGGCATGGGGGAATCAAACGGGGTTATAGGTGTGATGGTTTGATGGACTTTTTTGCTTTTTAAACTCTTTTACGTTGGGCTCGAGCTGTAAAGCCCCTGGGCGCGCGCAATGCTTTAATGGCCGCTTTGCTGCTGGCCTTCCTTTGCTCCCCTGTTGTGTTTATCCTAGGGGAGGATTGCATTATGACTTTCCAACTACTGAACTGGCATTGGGATGCGGGAACAAGTGAATTGATGGCGACACAGAACCCTCACGGCGTAAGAAGCCGCGGGAGGAGATTGCGACGAGATAATTGCAAACTAGTCATTACCCATTGGTCACTGCATTTTGGAGTGTTGGCGTGGTCCCTTTGTTTGGTCAGACACTCGCTCAGAATTCACCTATTTCTTGCACCTCGGCGGTATTCGTCCTTGTCCGTGAACCTTGATAGATTTTCTCTGCGACACAAACAACAACACTCGGCACAATGATATCACATAACCAGATGTAAAATGGCGTCTGCTCGTCGGCTGGGTCTAAGTGACGCATATACATTTGATGTCGAAGCCTATGATGCTTCTTAGCCGCTAGGCGTTTGATATGGCATGGCGGTACATATGTCAACAGAGCATCTAAGCCACCTGCTTTCGCCACAGCCATCCAGCATGTGTGCGTTTTGCCTACGTCGGTGATATCAAACTGAACGATAAGCATTTTGTGGTATCACCCCTCCATAAGATCGAACACGAGATTTACAACGCGCAGTTGGCCGACTGGCACAACAGATTTATCCCAGTCAAGACACTCAATCTGCCATCCCAGGTCCCTCGTTTGCACCAGATGCTCGTATCACGACCCTTCCACAGCCATTCATCCCAACTCCTCAGTTCATATACATCTGCCATCCTGACGACGCCTAGAAAATCAGAATTGCGACTGACAGAGGCTGAAATGGCCAAAATGCCATCAAGTGTTTAGACGACGGGAAGCAAATAGCGGAGAGCGGAGCCGCCGCGCGTGCAATTAAGTTGTGGATCTTGAAACCCGTCCTCCAGTGGAGCCTTTCAGTTAAAGGCAAGTTGGAAGACTCCACTGTAAGGCCAAAGAGTGCGGGTGGCCAATGATAGGTCGAGGATGCGCCTACCTTAACAGAACAATGCTCCATCCAACTGGTACGGGACCTTGCTGTGCATCGCCTCCTGGACTAACTTCCATTGTAAGGGCAGGAACAGGCGGCCCCTCACCTCTCTTGGAGATCTTGGTTCTTGCTTGGTTGTTTCCAGTTTGACTCGATTCAGTCGAGTAAACCAAGGCTTTGTTGGCGGCTGTGATACGCGACATTTGTTGACTCTGACTCTGTCAATCTTTTCCATTTTCCCGGTTTGGAAATACACAAAACTTCACATGCGATTTGGAAAACGATAACATCAACTGACTCGAATGCGACTGAATGCGCTTGGCGTCATCTTCCTCCAACTCGACGTTTCAACGTTTCAAACAAGTGGAAAGCCTTGGATTCAACAAGCGAACGGCTGGAACTTGACAAGCCCACTTCTTTCGGACTTCGCACCGATACTCGTCAGGCAGTACCGTGACCTACAACCACCTTTCCACCATACAGAGTTGAACGAAAACCATCACCACGAGACGAGTCTACCTCAAGCCGCGTGAACCATCTGACCTTTGTACGACACACACCACACGTCACCGTATTCGAGTGCCCCTCTTCCTCTGTCTAGAACGAGTCTCTTGCGACGCCTCCCGACCCTTTCTTCTCTGTTGGGAGAAACCTGTCTCGGAAATATCCACGACCAACTTTATCTCCAACACACACACACACACCCAAAAGTGTTCAATGTTTTCTCCAGGAAACGGTGGTCCGCCTCTTCAACAACCGCCGCCTCCAGGACCCTTAGCGCCCGGTCCCGGTCCCCTCAGCGCAATCCCGCATTTATCTTTCTCACGATATCGGCGCAATGTTGATATCCGCCTTGACGCACCGGTTGTACAAGTAGCCCGCGGTACTCTTCCCTCTCACCACCGCGTGCGCATCGGCACCGTTGTTGGTGGTCTCCGTCGTCGCCTAGGTGGCGAGGCAGCTGCTGGTGTGGATACCCGTCCCGATTACTTTGTCGATCCTCGAGTAGGCAACGACGACCACGATACCGACGCAAAAGACACGGAACCACAACCATTCGAAACCTTTCCTCACGTCGTCAACCCACCTGCTCCGGCCGGCACCGTTATTTCAGTCACCATGACTCCCACATCTCAAGCGACGTCAACACCACAACCAACTTCCCCCACCTCCGCCTCCCCCATGTCTCAACAAACAGACAACAACACCGAATGCCGCCTCCTTGGCCCCTTCGCCATTCTAGTCCAAATCGCCCTCGGCTGCTTGGCTATATCTTCACTGGTCTACAAGCGTTGGCGCGAACGCCCCCAAAGACCGGTGAAGATCTGGTTCTTTGATGTGTCGAAACAAGTATTCGGGAGCGTGTTGGTGCATGCCGCCAACGTTTTCATGTCCATGTTGACAAGTGGGAAGTTTGAGATTAAAGTGTTGGATCCGGTGGCTGTGGCAGTGGGCACGAAGATGGTGAAGCGAGCTGTGGAATATGGGATATTGAATGCGAGAGGAGAAGACGAGTACACGCCCAATCCGTGCTCGTTCTATTTGTTGAACTTGGCTATCGATGTAAGTCTCCCCTTTACCTCCTTCAACCGTTGCTGTTACTAACCGGTGGGAAACAAAAAGACAACCCTCGGCATCCCAGTCCTCATCCTCATAGTCCGCCTCCTCTCCCGCGGCCTCACCTATACACCCCTAGGCCAACCTCCCGAATCCCTCCAATCCGGCAACTACACCCCCCTCCACTCCCCACCCGGAACCAAACCGCGCTGGGGCTGGTGGTTCAAGCAATCCATCATCTACTTCATCGGCCTTTTGGGCATGAAATTCTGCGTGCTCATCATCTTCATGGTCTTCCCCTGGATTTCTCGCGTCGGCGACTGGGCTCTCGGCTGGACCGAGGGGAATGAAAGACTGCAGATCGTTTTTGTCATGATGCTTTTCCCGCTTATCATGAATGCGCTGCAGTATTATATTATTGATTCTTATATCAAGAAGGAGGAGAAGATCCCGGAAGAGGGGGCCGAGAGTGAGGGGCTGGTTACGGGACGGGGTGATGCCGAGGCTGCGGGGGCGGAGGAAAGAAGGGGAAGTGTGTATGATGTCATTAGTGGGAGTGATGAGGGGGGCAACTCTGGGAGTGATAGTGATGGGGAGGAGTTGCCTAAGGACAAGGCCGCTGAAGTCGGTAAGAAGGGGGCTAAGACCAAGCCCAAAGTGAGGGAAGAGGAATATGATCCAGCGGTGGATGGAGATACCCCGACTGTCATCGGGAGTAGCTCTAGTGCGGTATCCGGTGTGAGCGGGAGTATCAGGGAGGAAAGGATTAAGGAGTCTGCGAGTCTGATTTCTCATGACTGAGGAGGGCACTGAGGGGGGCAAGTTGACGGACGGCTCATATTCCCACTCCCACCTTCTGTCTTGTGTTTTTTTTTTTTTTTTTTTTCTTTAGTTGGGCTCTTCTCCCCTTTTCCATCTTTCAAGAGCACAGTAATTCAGCGAGAGTACTCCCTGCAAGACGTGTAGGACGGGAAATCATCTTGTTCTAGTTTTTATCACTCATGCCTGTTAAGGAACTTATGGAGGAGGAAACAGCATCCATCAATCAGCATTATATACGTTCACTGGGTGGGAAGCCGGGTAGCATTAAGCGTTTCTTTTAAGTGGTTAGTATAAGGTAGCAAGCAAAAAGAGAAAAATGTTGGTTGGTGGGTTATTCAGAGCTTCATTCCTTTGTCCTTCCTCGTGCGTAGTGTCATATCCTTCCCCTTTTCTTGTTTCATAATTTTTTGGTGTGCTCCGACTTGATCGTGTTCGCCAGAGACTGAACAGAACAGGCTTACTTCCAAAGTTTTGGGTTATGTTCTCTTTCAATCCTCCTTCCTCTCTTCACACTCACTTCAACACCTAGTCTAAGTACCCGCCCGACCCAATAAGCACTCCTCAACCTTCCCTCAACGGTGTATCAAACTCCTATCGAACATGTCCCCAACACTTAGCAAAGTTATTTCGATGGTCACAAGGAAGCGCCTTCGAGAACGTTCTCAATGAGAAGTTAAATAACAATGGTATCCAAGACTATCCCCAACCTTAGTAGGCAAATACCAACCTAACCTACATAACGTACATCCACCCGAACAACAATAGCGATACATGACAAGAACAAAAAAGATGTGATATCGTAAGCTAACTAGAAAGACAAAAAATCGATAAAGAGCAAAACACGCTTGACCCGTTTCGCCTTCCCTACCCTCCCCTCCCCGTAAAACGATATGGTATATCAGATAGGTATGAAAAAAATGCAAAGCAGACAAGACAAACCGACAACCGACAAACAAGAAACCCCCATTAAGTGATTCATCCCCCCATCGTATTCGTACTTCCATCCTCATCATCTCTCTCTTTTCATAAGCTCCCTCTTCTCCTCATGCTCGCTCCTCTCATCCCCTACAGGCTTAACATACCCTTCCCACAATCACATCACCCCCTCCTATCTCTCCTTTCATCAAACACTCGCTAGGTACCCGGGCATCACCTCCCACCCCTCCCAAACTGTCCACCCCCAATAACCTGCCCCCCACTAACCCCCGCCCCAAACGGCAACTTGGGCACCGGCGGCACCACACTCGCTCTCTTTCCCACCCTCAACTCTTGTCCACCACCCCCACCACCAAACTTCTGATTAACGCTCTGCCTCACAATCATGGCGGCGGCAGCAGCAGCCGCCATCCTCTCCTTCTGTCTATGCCTCTCTTTCAAATAATTCGTCGCCTCGGGCCTCATGCGTAGAATACGCAGTATCATATCATCCGACGGATCTGCCTGCGCCTCTTTTCTTTTCTCCAGCTTCGCTTGACGCATGGTTCCTAGGTTGCGGGACATCATGATACTCTTCCCGCGACGGATGGTTCCCAAGGAGCCGAAGGCGCCGATGGCTGCTGCGCCTGTCATTCCGCCGGGAGGTGCGAGGCTGTTGTTATTTTGAGAAGAGTGAAGTTGGGGCGGGGCGGACATGCGGCTGCCTGCGCCCGCCGCGGCGGCAGTAGCCTGTTGCTGCTCGCGCGCGCGCTGGGCGTTGGCGGCTGCCATGCGCTCCGAAGTGCGGATGAGGTTCTCGGTGGAGTCGAAGTAGAAGAAGTTGAGCGAGGCGAGCTCGTGCCACTTAGGCGACTTGAGCACGTCCGAAGGCACGCCGAGGACTTCGCCCGTGTGGGCGTCCTTGGCGTTGAAAAAGTTGAAGAGGAGCTCGAGCCAGCGGTAGACAATGTCCATCTCGGCTTGGGTGAGGGGTTTCTGGGTGGAGGGTTTGTCGGATAAGGGGGGAACGAGGAGGTTTTCGATGGCCATGAGGACTTCTTTCCAGAGACGCTTCATGACGGCTACCATGGTGGCGTCGGTGAGGGTTTGTTTCATGATGGCGAAGTTGTCGTCGAAGTAGGTGAAGAGCGGTTGGAGAGTGTTTTCGACATCTTGGGGGGTCACCGTGGGTGCGGTGGATTGACGCTTCTTCCAGAGGTTGGCCATAGAGGCGGCGATGCCTTGGCTGAGGAGGCTCTTGAGGGTGTCGCGGGAGAGCGAGTGGTTGATGTGGGAAGTAAGCTGAAGTTGTTAGTATGGCTGCTGATGACAGGGTGAAGAGACGTTAGACTTACCTTGTCAGTGATCTTGCGAACCATGTCACGCTCAGTTCTCTTCAAGTGCCTGAAGGCCTTGCCAAAGTGGAACTGGATATCATCACGCTCGCCCTCCATGCTCACACGCAGCAACAGTCTTCCCTGGGTATCAAGATCAAGCCAGAACTCTCTGGGAAGATAGTCGCTAAAGTGCACGGGGTCAAGCTTCAATGAGGTACGCCCGACGAAATCATGGTCACCAAAGGTATCATAGTCCCAAATGGTGGCGATGATGTTGAGAGGACCCGATACGGTAATATCGATCGACTCGTCCCACCTCGGGTTGAGGTTCCTCATGATGATTCTCGTTTTGGCCAGACGCTTTTGGTACTCGTCACACAGAACCACGTACGGATCACTATACCCACCGGGGTCGCATGCTTTCAAGTCCTCGGCCTCTACGATCTTGATCGTGAACACATACTTGCCTGCTTTCCTAACCATGGGCTTGATGCCTTCGACCCGGCGGATAGCCTCGGCGCAGCCGTCTACGTTCATGGTCTTTTCTAGCTTATCCAGCGCTTGCATGGCATATTCAATGTTGTTGAGTTTGACAAAGGACTGACCTCAAATTAGCCTACAGTCACAGAAGAACTCACATGTGTGGTACATACCTGTGGGTAGAATTGGAAAGGCTCGACCTTCTCCTTCGAGTTCCACGCATCCTTGGCGTACTGAAGGAACCGATCTTGCGCCGACCTGCCCGCAGCTGCCTCTTGAGGAGTTTGACGGTCCATCTCTTTGGCGAAATGTAGCTCCACAATCTCGCAATAACGACCGATGCCTGCTGAGAAGGCTTTGGCCAGTGCAGTCATGAATTTGGCATGGTGAAGCTCGTCATCCCAGTCAAGCTGGTGAACCTGGTTCACGGTCTGGTTGAACAGCGTAAAAGTGTCGATGATGGAGACACTGTGGCGGTCCTCGTCGGTCGGGATATCGTCGGGATCGTTCGTTCTGACCTGGAAGGTGTCCTGCTTGATCGCTTGTTCCACGAAGTCGGTCATTCTGGCTTCGGCATTCCTAATCCATCGCCAGACGAACTCTTCGAGGAGGCTTTCGATATGGAAGGCAAAAGGCTTTCCAGGTAGAGACTCTGCGTGCATCTTTCTGATTTCGACAAGCTCCTTGTAGAGGTCGAAGCCGTCCTGAACATCGATTTGGCCTTCCTCACCGCGGTTCTTGCTCATATCCAGGACACGCTTGATGAACTCATGTGCATCTTCCTCGAAGCTGGGGAAAATGGTCTCGACCAAGACCTTGAATGGACTAGCACCCATGATTTCGGGGTTCTTGCGATATCGCTTCTTAATCTTCTCTGCAAGACCGACAACAGCCTGACCGAGCTTAACGACATGAGCAAAGTTCCAGTCTTCCATGTTGGAAGGAATATTGGCATCCAGGAAACCTCGGTAAACTTCGGCGGCTTTTTGACGCAGTCCGCTTTCGAGATTCTGGGTATACTCGGCCATTTCGTCTGGGCGTTCGGTAAATGTAGGGTCGTTATGGACGTGATTTGTGAGTACCGACATTACAACACCGACTGATGGTGGGCTCGGCTGGTAGCACTGAATCAACAGTGTGTAGAGTTCACGTAACAAAGCGTCATGGAGATCCTTTATGGCTTGCTGATAGCCCGCGAAATCCGTCATTGTCCATCGACCTGGCTCAACATCAAAAAGCGTGGCGCCAAACATGTTGATCGGGGGCGGTTTCTTGGGCTCCGGCTGAGGTTCCTTGACAAAGTCGAGGCAAGCGTCAAGCTGCATTGTTGAGATTTCCTGGTCGAGGAGCTTTCGTACGGCAACCTCCACGAGCGTAACGTGGCACATAAACTGGGGAATGCGCCATCTAATAGCCAACTCTGTCAAAAAATCGATGGACTCCTCTGAGAATGGGAACTCCTCAGAGTGCAGCTGGTCGTAAGACATGACATATTGTAGAATAGTCTTGTAAACCGGCCGTGGATCCACTGGGATAAAGGTAAAACTCGGCTCGTCCACACTTCGAATGCTGGAATTATCGTCAAGAGACATGGCGCTGAAGCCAGACGACGGATCAAACCCAAAGTTGCCCGAGCTGCGGTTCGTAACCATCTTGCTCAAGTCGGAAAATGCCTGATCCTCCGAATAAAGCGACATGGGCCGTAGTGGGAGGGGCTTATCAGGGCCCCCGCCGGTCTTGAGATCTGGACGAATACTGAGAATTTCGGCAAAGATTTGGGCCAGTTGCTGGGTCTCGATCCTCTTCCAGTCCTCAAATGCCTCGTCCACGTCAAAGTCCAGTTTTCGCAAAGTGCCCGCCATGTTTGCCGACAATCTGAATTGGTAGTTTTTGAAGTCCTTTAGGGCCGCCTCTTCGGTCCATGTGGTCATGTTTCTGTCGATGTCATTCTGAACCTGCGAGTTGGGCAACCCAAAGATCTTGGCAACAAACAGGACCATGGGCATATCCTTAATCTCGTAGCTCAGGGGCACCTCGACCTCAACAAACGTTGAACTTTCTTGGCCCTTGTCCAAGGACAGATTCTGGTCGTTCGTCAAGAGCTTGTTCTCGAGTGTGTTCAAGCGGGCCAGAAGATCATCGCGGTCGCTGCCAATGTCCTTGATAACGCTGGAAATCAGCCGGACAAACATGGCCAGATGTCTGTCGACAAGTGACTTCCAGTGATAGTCGTCGGGAGGCTTTCCAGCACTATGGAACTTGATGGCGGACGAGTAGAAGATCAGGACTAGCGGTTCGACTTTGCGGTCCTTGTCAATGGACTTTTGGAAGTCCCTTTGAGTGAAAGCGGTGTATGCCACACCAAAGGTGCGCTTGACGGCGGCGTCATTGTATCCGGGCAGTCTCTCGGTGCCTTGTAGAACGGCGGTCATGCGCTTTTCTAGTTGGCCACGGAAATCACGCGGCAGCTTCATGGAAGACGAGGAGCCGGAAGGACCAAAGTCCTTCATGAGGTCGCTCACACTGGAGCTATGCGATCGGTGGACGGGCCTCGGGGCGGCGACATATTCCTTCCGCTTCTTCCGTGGCTGTAAAAGGTAGTTGAGGAAGGCGACGCGGAGGGCAAACGAGTAGGCCTCATCGTAGCTAACGGCGACCTGTCGGGGCTTGGAGGACTGAATGCGACTGTTGCGTCGTTCCTCGTCGCTGGTAACGCTACGGACGCTCTGGATGCTTTCAGTCCTCCGGTTCGAGGCGTACGAGTGTCGCGAAGACCCCGACATGCTGGAGAAGTGTGTTGGGTGCGCTGGCGACTGTTGCGCTGGTGGGTTGGTGGTCTGTCGAACAGTTCACGAAGGAGGAAGTCGTCGTGTCGTCAGTCGGTGGTCTCGATTCAAGGGAGTCCCTTCATGGTTCGATCGACTTTGCTCTTTTTTGGTTGGGCGCGTATTCGGTAGCTTGGAGATGCGGACGGACAGCGATGATGTCGATCGGGTGGGTTTCCCCCTTATTGATTCACACGGTCTGGGGGAGGCAAGAAGGAGGCAAGTAGACAAGACGAGATGTTCGGTAGTTGGAAGACAGCGAGCTGTATGAGCCGACGGCAGTGGTGCAGTGTCAGTGGTGCAAGGCGAGTGGTCTCGTGGTCGTTGGTCGGCGTCTAAAAGCAAGATCAAAATGTTGTTCTGTTGGATAAGGGACCTCGACCCGGGGACGGGACCTGGAGAGGAACCTAAGGAGTCGGCTCCTCTCCCTATCGCAAGTGCACAGTGACCGCCCGGTGAGAAGGTGTCCAGCCCATGTCAGTTTGTTAGTGCAGCGGTTCGTAGCTGACTGGCCGGAGTGATCCCTTCCTTCCTGCAATTTGCTCGGGTACCTTTACGTAGCGCCTGGAGGGTAAAAACGTCATATATGCCCGTGCACTCTTCCCTGCAAGAACCCCTAGAGCTAAGAAAACATGGGAAACTGCCCCTGTGTTGTCATGATGTTTTGTTTTCTTTCTTTCTTTCTCTAAATGATAAGCTGACGGATGACGCCGAGATTTCTGTGCTTCTGTGCTTCTTCAGCTGGTTTTACTCGTAAAAGCTTGGCTGAACCTCGAGCATGTTCTAGCATGTCTGGCAGAGCTGGAATCATTCCATTCTGCAACTTCTCTAACAACAAACCCGCAAGGTTCGCTATTCGACAAAGGGCGAGATTAAAGACAACAAACAGACCACTCCGTCGGATATACCAGCACATGAAAACTCCGGCCACTCCAAAATCATAGGGGCTGTGGCTGAGGCTCATTGATTTAAAATATCGACTTCGCCTGCCTTTTACCATGTCAAACACCTTGCTTACTTCTCACAGGTTCACCATGACAAAGAGTGGCAGAGCAGAACAGAAGAGGACGACGGGAGTCCACTTTGACGCATGCTAAGAACCCCAGGACCCTTCCAATGATGGCATCTTCTAGTGGCCCTACTATAGAATGCGGCATGCAAGAAACTGTCTTCCCTGCCCGCATATTCGATCTCCCCTGAACACGAGGCAACGGAACTCGGCGCCTCGTATCAACGGAGGAGAATCAAAACCGCGCGGGGTCCAGGTGGAATAGAAAAGTCTCGGTCATGGCACACGAAACCATTCCAGCTCGCTGGGTGTGGCAGAGCTGCTTATCAGCCATGCGAGCCATGTTTGAGGCGTTTGTCTATTTTGCTCTTTGTCTTGGTCATCCATTGTCTATATGTGGTAACCAAGATGGTGTCTATAAGTTTGGTATTATTGCTTTGGGAATCTGGGGAGGGAGCGTGACATCATCACCAACCACGGTCAAGACGGTCTAGATGATCATGGTCCTCTGGCCCACCAAGGTGCCAAATGAGTGAGAGCCGAAAGGGATATAACACATGTTGAGGACCAACTGCCTCGAGTTGGGAGTTTTGAAGTCCGACAAGTTCAAGATCTGCGGCGGTCTATACCGAATGCGCCGCACACTTATAATCTCGTTTCCACGTTGGCTTCGGTTGGTTGTTGAAGGACTTGCCACCGACCATCAATATCATATACGGCCTTTTGAGACAATGTGACTGGATGGCAGTTGGGAGGGCCGGAACACTGACTCCAGGCACGCTTCGCCAGGGACGGGTGATGCCAAAGGGGCTATCACGAGCTCGAAAGGAACACAAGCTCCTCTTTTTTGTCTTTGCCAGATGACCCATCTGCTCGGCGCTTGCGTGGTTCGAGGCGCACTGCATATTCAGAGCTGGCCATTCGTTAGAAAAAAAGGACAGACTTTGATAAATCGGAAATCAAAGAGTCTTGGAGTGTCCAGTCAAAAGAAGAAAAGACACATTCTAACCGTTGGATAACTCGGGCGTGTTGGTTGCACGACATGGACATCATCTCGTTTTCCCCTTGACACTTGCTCCACTCTAGAGACTCGAAGCAATCGCAGGCTCGCAGCATTGCAGCAACAACCTGAACCCTTAACAACCTCCAGGGCAGTGTGGAGTTTCACGTCTGCTCTGCGCGCAATCCACCTGCCCCTGGCAGTGGAGAGAGCAGCTCTTGGCCGTCAGGGTTGTTGGTCGATTTGGTTGCCAAGCCCTCCAAAAGTCTCCCCAAAGACTCGGTGACTTGAGTTCCATCATTCCAGTCGAACCCCGCCGTGTGCCGCAAGTGGAAGCGCATCAGACATCCGGAACCGCTGGAGAGCCGCCTGGCCGTTAACGTCCATTGTCCGATTAGATTGCAGTCGACGGGCGTCCAGACTCGCATATCCACCACTGACCGGCTCTTTCCATTGTGTGCCTGTCTTGTAAGTTGTCCCTTACTTGGGTTGCCGAACAAGGTAAAAAAGAAGGGCAAGGAACCTGACCCGACCACCTTGAAGAAAGATCGACGACAACTTCCTGCGATTCTGCCTCACCTTGCTGGGTCCCGTAACCGCGACCGTTGTTTCTTCAGCACCTGGTACCTCTACCGCTCGAGACTCCTTCTCCCTCCCGTGTGTCCTGTCCCGTCCGGGGCGTCGTTCCAGCGGGCAGCAGCAGCATCCAATATCAACCATACCAACCATTGCCAAACAAAACCCACACAGTCCGGCTAGCGCAGTTTGGCAGTATCGGAGGACGGACTAGCGCAGTCTGGAAAGTCCACCCGCCTGGGCCCGCCTGCACACCACTGTCCATCCAGCATCCACTGCGCCGCGCGCGAACCGACCTTCTGCGAGACTGCGAGAGAGACAACAGCGAGAGAGACGACGGATTATCTCGGCCAACTCATCGCGTCCGGCAACCTCAGTCCCTCCCCCAAATCTTGATGTTTTGCATTTTGCTGCCGCATTCTGCACTATCGCGCTGTCGAGATGGGTCAGGTCAGCAGCACGCCCGACGAGGGCACACCCGTCTATCTTAGAGACCAGAATCGATGTATGTTGTTGCAACTCCCTTACACCTCCTCTCGTTATGTCATGTCATGTCAGATCCTCTGCGCCAGCACGAACACACAATTGCGACACACGAAATGAGAGCGAGCTTCGAATCCCTTCCTTCGGCCGTGAACGCGGCCGTCCCTGGATGTCCCGGCTGGCTGGCCTCGTGGCTGTCCCGCCCGCCGTCCGACCCCCGCCCCGGCCATGCTGGCTGACACAAAGTCTCACGATTCACCGAGATCGAACCCGAGCATCGCACTCGATCTGGATCTGGCGTTTCTCCAGCTGTTGAATTAGTGCTGACCTGCCCTTCTTCTGTCTGACAGTATCCATCTCTTCACTCGTCATCTCTAGCCCGCGAAAGCGCACCTCGATCAACATTGTTCCCAATGCATTCCCAGCTACACGAGCATCAGTATCTCGCTCCATAGGCGAGAACACCCCGATAGAGTTTGTTCAGGTGCGCAATGCCTCCCCAAGCGTGGGCTTCATACCCTCGGCCCTTCTCCAAGCTGACAGGAAGCCTCTCTCCAGGATACCGAGTCCGCCGGTCCTGGCTGCCCTCCGACCTTCTTACTCAAGCTCACAAACGACGACGAGCTCGTCTTTACCTTTACCTTCGTCGTACGCCAAACACATCAAGTGGTTCAGAATGCTGCCGGCGCCCTTGAGACACACGGTCTAACCGATACACAAATCAATGGTCTTACCTTTGTCTACGGCTCCACCCCCCGCGAGGTTGAGAACCTCCTTACACGCGAGTTCGAGGCCGACCCGAATCTTCACAAGAACGCAAACGTTGAGCTAGTCGGTGTTTATGCGACAGACGGTAGCCCCTCGGTATCGTTCGAGTGGACTTGGAAATGGAAGCCACCTAAGCCCACAGAAGACAAGGGCGGGGGCTGGAGGAACTTCTGCAGCGTTTGTGTTCCCCCGCTGGTGGTGTTGTCTGGACATCTGCTGAAACCTTGCTTAGTTCGTCGAGTACGATCCTCGTGCGCACAAACTGCACACCCTCGCTAGCTTTTCCTTCTTTGTAACGAGCAGTACGTGCCTGCCTCAACCCCCTTTACCCCCTTTTCGCCTACAAGATCTAACGAATTTCAAGGCTACTCGCCATGGCTTAGTCAGCCTAGTTCGCCATCCCCTCCCCTTCTCAGCGTTCCCCCGAAAGGCAGAGCGGTCTCGGTACAGTCCTTGGGTCCTGGAATCGACAGCACATTGGAGCAGGATGAAATCTTCTTGGCATCCCCGAATCTGCCCATGATTGATCAAGGCCCTAGCCTTCTCCCGCCCGGTCTTCAATCGCCTCAGCCGCCGCAAACCGCTAGAGAGCCCATCAAGGTGGATGTGCCATGTCCGCGACCCGGCGAGGATGTGTCGGTATCTGACGACGGGCCGGTCTTCCGAGCCACGATGAAGGCCCTGGAACAAAAGACAGGTAACATGAGAATGCAGATGAAGCGACTTATCAAGCGGGCCGAGCAAGTATACGCCGCGCAAACGGAAGCCAACGACGCCTTTTTGCATTTCATGGATGCTTTGAGGGAGGTCTCGTCGACAAACGCCAACGCGGTCCAGCCCGCCATTGAGCATTACTTCGACAAGATTGCCCGAGAAATTTTGATGTTCGAGCGACAAAACACCCACAACCTTCAGAAGATCGTAATCGACCCTATGAATAAGCTATACCAGTTGGATATCAAGCAAGCCGAAGCCAAGAAGCGTGACTTTGAGGAGGAGAGCAAGGACTTTTACGCCTATGTCAGTCGCTACTTGGGCCAGCGACACGACTCTGTCAAGGCGAAACAGAGTGACTCGAAATACCAGACGAAGCGCAAGAACTTTGAGCTCAAGCGCTTCGACTATTCGTCCTTCATGCAGGATCTTTCTGGAGGCCGCAAAGAGCAGGAAATTCTTTCCCATCTCACAAAGTACGCTGACGCTCAGGCAAAGGCTTTCCTGACCACAGCCAAGAAGGTCGAGGGGCTTCTCCCGCAGCTTGAGGCGCTGTCGACAGAAGTTCAAGAGGCGGACAAGACGTATCAGTATCAACGACGGGAGAGAGAAGAAAAGAGACGGTTGTTGGAGAAGGGCAACCTTGCTTATGCCGAGCCAGAGCCTCCTGGTACATCGTCTGGGCCAAGCCCTTCAACTGGCCAAAACGGAACTGCGTCCTACGGAGAGTCCGATTTGGGTCGCGCTGACAGTACAGGATCACAGCTTCGGTCGGCCGTCACACCAGGGATAGTACAACCACCACAAATTCCCGATTTGTCCAGGTCGCCGGGGAGCCTTATTGGGCTCCCACCTCCTGTGGGTAGCCCGCAACAAAATGCCAAGTTTCGGGGTATTCGGGATCTGGAAGAGAAAGATCCTAGCCAGTTGGCGGCGGACAAGGACATGACACAGAGGAAGGAGGGACTTTTGTGGGCTCTCAACCGGCCAGGGGGACATGTTGACCCCCGAGCTCTCAACAAGCAAGGCTGGCACAAGTGAGTAGTCTGGTTAATATCTGTATGAACGGGTGAACTAACGCTGTGCAGGTTTTGGATCGTGCTTGACCAGGGCAAGCTTTCTGAATACAGTAATTGGAAGCAGAGACTAGACTTGCATATGGATCCGATCGACCTGCGCTTGGCCTCCGTACGAGAGGCTCGAAATGCAGAGCGTCGGTTCTGTTTTGAAGTTATTACACCACAGTTCAAACGCGTATATCAAGCAACATCTGAAGAAGATATGAATAGCTGGATTATGGCTATCAACAACGCATTACAGAGCGCGGTGGAAGGGCGCGGTCTGAAGGACATGAAGCCGCCACCATCGTCTACAAGCCACTGGGATTTCGACAGGAGAGACATAGCATCAGTATTGACGGGCAAGAGCTCGTCCATTAACCACCATCATCACCATTTCCATGGCCACAGCAACCAGAATCTGAGCCTGATACCTTCTAGGAGGACGACTGTTGGTGCTCGCCCTAGCACAGCTCGTGCACCCAGCTTTGACGAGAGCCCAGATAGGCTGCTCCAGATGATGCGGGAGAACGACCAAGGCAACTCGTGGTGTGCAGACTGTGGCTCCAGCAACAAGGTCGAATGGGTGTCACTCAATCTGGCGATTATCGTTTGCATCGAGTGCAGTGGTATCCACCGATCTCTTGGCACACACATCAGCAAAGTCCGGTCACTCACTCTGGACACCACATCGTTTACGCCGGACATTATTGAGCTTTTGATGCTCGTTGGAAACCGGGTGTCCAACATGGTGTATGAGGCACGCCTGGACCCTCAACAGAAGCTCGTACCACAAGCCTCGCGGGAGCAACGACTTCGGTTCATCACCGCCAAATATGTCGACCGCGCATTCGTCGAGCCAATATCCGCTACCTTGTCTCGGTATCCAACTGCCGAAGAGACCCTCCTAGCAGCCATCAAGAAGAACGAGATCCAACAAGTCATCTACGCCCTAGCGCTCAAAGCCAACCCCAATATAACGGACAAATCTAGGGGTACACACGCCGTATATTTGGCACTGGCCGCCGCTGACCCGGCCCCTCCCTCACCCAACCCCATGACGCCCTCCCCCTCCCCAGGTACCCCCGGGTCCTCCACCACGGGACCTGATAAACAGGTCCCATTCCCTGTCGCCGAACTCTTAATCCAAAACGGGGCCGAAATCCCCGTCGCACCACCCATGTTTCCCCTCAGTCACGCCGCACAAACTTACCTCGAAATCAAGCGCGGTCGTCGCGCCCTCGTCGAATCCATCGGAACATCGGCGGTGACCGGTTACGGCTCTTCGTACGATGGTGTTAGCGCGCTTTCTTCCGCTTCTGGTGGCGGGTCTTCTAGCGCTGCTAATCTCAGCGATATTAAGCTACAGAAGGAGAAGGAAGCGAGGCTGCAGAAGAGGGTGAGTGCGGGCGGAAGGTTGGCTAAGACGCCCATTCCGGAGCGGTAGAATGCGTTCGGATTGGGGTATAGCAGGATGGCGGTTCATGGAATCAAGGATACGTTAAGAGCAGGCGTGAGGGGAAGAAGCGTCAGCAGTGTAAGTTGGAATAATGGGGTTGAAAGCCCGTCGATGAGACAGAGGGGAAGTATGAGAAGGAAAATAAGTAATGGGTTGAATGGGCTGGGATGGGGCTATGACGGGAGTGATAGCAGCGGGGCAGGGGGTAGTGAGGATGGTAATAATGGGTCACAACTAGTATCAACACCAAAGCGAATTGGGAGCATGGGGAGTCTGGCTACGGCGGAAAGGAGTTTGGCGGCGGGTACAGGTGGCGACGGCCGCCATGGGAGAAGCAATGGCGGCTTCTTGGGAACAATGGCGTGCGAAGTGCAGCCGTTGTTGTTGGGATCATTGGATTTGACACTGAGGAACCTTAGAGTTGGACTTGGAGAAGGACTGGGAGGCGTGGGACTTGGAGGAGTGGCATCAGCAGCAGCAGGTGGTGGGAGATCGAGTCGGAGGGCGTCGATGCAGTATCAATCTTGGTGATGCCTTGTCGGCTGTCCACCGTTGGTCTCAGCTTGCCTGCTTGTCTCTCTCTCTGCCCTTCGAGTCCCGGCCTGGGTCCATTTTTGTCTAGTCAAGAAGACCAAGTTCTGATCATCAACGAACTAAGGGATAAGGTTTGGGTTAGTGGCGGTGCTTTTTGGCCCCCCTCTTGTTTTCTTTTCTATAATATGTATATGTCTCCTCTCCTGTCGTCATCATGTCATGTTTACTGGGCCTCTTTTTGTTCAATGGGGGTTTTGTGTTGTTTCTCCTTTTGGCGTATTGTCATCACCTACATCAACATGAGCAACGCTTTATTGGGCATGATGGTTAATGTTTTTGCTGAGAGCTATATAAAAATAATGTTTTGCTCGTTCGCAGTTTTCTGGCCATCGTAAGGAGTCTCGGGGTGTTGGGTAAAGATGGTCATTCGATGTAATGAAAGACGGGAAAGGGGAAACACATAATAATCATGCATTGTAAGTAACTCAAAATCAACAGGCATAAGTTGGATACAAGTATAAGTAAAGCAAGCCCATCCCATCAACAAGAGTCAATGATCATCGTCACCCTCAAAGTTTACCATACATACTACCTAGACTGCGTATTCAACCTTCCCATGCCCAACCCTAACCCTCCCTCATCTCATCCAAACACACCTCGATCTCAAGTTTCAGCTCCAATGGAAATCAGGGGCAACAACAAAGCGCAGCAGGGGACTGGTGGATGCTGCTGGTCAGCCCCTGCAGAACGAAACGACCCCGCCCCGAAACTGTGGGTCTCGTCGCACCCCTCCACATGTTTGAAGCTTGTCCTTGTGATCTTTGGAGCTCTGGACTCGCTGACTCGGTTGTAAGAGGACACGGGATGAATGTCTGTTAAGGTTCAGTTGATATTGGGTGTTTATTGTCCGGAAAGCGGCCGTGTTAGAACAGGTGAAGATGTTGTTAGCTGTCATCTTTATAGAGCATATGTACTTTCTATCTGTACGTATGTAAGAGCGAGCCGTAGGTAGCACATCGTGTACCGCATTGGTGGGGATGATTGGTGCAAGCAGGTACATTTGGATGTTCCTTCCCCAAATGCAACAGTGGTGTGTAACCAGGAAGGTACCGACACGTTGACCGCCTCGCGCCCCGCTCTAATTTACCTTGTCCTCGTCCATTAACATTGCGACGAACAACAATTGAGAAGTGATCTGAAGTTTGGGTGTTTATATAGTTGGCGATCTCCCCCAGCTTTCAACTTTCCAGGGTTTACTTGTCCTCTTTTTCCACGTCGAAACACCCAAACCACAACCATAACCACCATCACAATGGCTGCCGCTGTCCCCATCACTTATCCTCCTCTCGAGGAGCGCCCGCTCAAGAACACCATCTGCTTGTTCGATGTCGATGGCACCCTTACTCCTGCGCGACTGGTACGTTTTGTTTGCCTTGCTGAAGCTCCTTGAGTCCTGCCCTGCTGTCCTTCCTGAGAACAGCTGGTGATAGCTTCACCTAACCCCCCCCCCCCCCCCTCTTACCTATACCAAGCATCGCATCAGCTAACACCCCCAACCCCCAGACCGTCGCCCCCGAAATGCTGACCCTCCTCTCCAACCTCCGCCAAAAATGCGCCATCGGCTTCGTCGGCGGCTCCGACCTAGTCAAGCAGCAAGAACAGCTCGGCTCCTCCTCGGTCGACGTCACCACCCTCTTCGACTTCTGCTTTGCCGAGAACGGATTGACGGCCTACAAGCTCGGCCAGCCCCTGCCCTCCAACAGCTTCATCAAGTGGATCGGCGAGGACCAGTACAAGGAGCTGGTCCGCTGGATTCTGCACTACATTGCCGATTTGGACATCCCCATCAAGCGCGGCACGTTCATCGAGTACAGGAATGGCATGATTAACGTCAGCCCGATTGGCCGTAATGCGAGCACCGCGGAGAGAAACGAGTTTGAGAAGTTTGATAAGGAGGCGGGAGTGAGGAAGGAGATGGTGGAGAAGTTGAGGGAGAGGTTTGGGCATTTGGGTTTGACGTATGTGTTCCCTTTTCTTCCCTTTATGTGGTGTCTGTCCACTGCGCTCGGCCTTTTTTTCTTTTCCTCGCTTCGCTCGATATGTCGCCTTTCCCACAATGGCACAGTAGCTAACAGAGACAAAAACGCAAAACAGCTTCTCCATCGGCGGCCAAATCTCCTTCGACGTCTTCCCCACCGGCTGGGACAAGACCTACTGCCTGCAGCACCTCGAGAACGAGGCCAAGAAGGCCAACGGTATTGAGTACACTACCATCCACTTCTTTGGCGACAAGACCTTCAAGGGCGGCAACGATTACGAGATTTACGAGGATCCTAGGACTATTGGTCACTCGGTTACCGGACCGCAGGACACGGCGGCTGAGTTGAGGAAGCTTTTTGACCTTTAAGTTGGGGTCAGGGGCTGCCGAGGGATGAGGAGACAATGACGGAATAAGTTAAAACCTACATAGGGATGAAGATAATTGGTAATGATGATTTGAAGACAACGGACCTTGAAGAGTTCGGCATGATAGATATGTCGGGATGATCTGGTTGTGCTGTTCGTGAAAGCGACTTACATCTTTCTTGAGCTTGCTTGTTACAAGGCACAGAGTTCTTCTTATTGCTATTTCCCTCTTTCTGCTTCCCAAATTACCTCCTGAGTAACATTTCGACACCAAGCTGATAAGCAAAAATACAACCAGTCGCGAATCAAGGGAGGTATCCTACCAAGAAAATTCATTTCCATCAATCCTGTCCGCCAAACTCACCTCCCAATGCACCACTACCTGTAAACGTTCCCGTCCCTCTTCCGCCCCCACTCCCACTCTCACTCTCATTCTTAGCACCCGCAATCAGCTCATCAGTAGCAGCCGTGATTGCAGAAGGAGACGGTTCAAAGTCACCCCTTCCAGTATCACGACCACTTGCTCTAGTACCGCCGAAATCATGAACAGTAGACTGGCCGGTGGTGTTCGGATCAGTCGTCTGCTCCCAACAGTTAGGCAGGTTAGCTCAGAGAACGCTCAAACGGACGGGGCAATAGCGGGAACGTACCAGAGGGTTGTTGGAGGTGTAGTCTTCTCCTGCTCCTGCTCCTGCTCCTACTCCAAGTCCAGATCCGGCGCCAAGGTCCTTGAACGACGAGGACTTTCCACTTGTGTATTCCTCTCTTTGGGTGCCGTTACTGTTATCTTGTTCTTGCCCGGAATCATGTCGGCAAGCACAGCCTTTGCTGTTGCTGCCGTCTGACTTCTGGTTCTGGTTCTGGTTCTGGTTCTGATTCTGACATTGACACTGACACTGACAGGAATCTTCGCCGGAGTCTTTACTGGCTTTGCAACCTTTGCAATTAGAGCAGTCGCCGGAGCCGGTTTTGGCGCAGCAGGATTCTTCTGTTGTGGTACCAGTCCCGGTGCTGGTGGAACAACCACACCCGCTCTTCTCCTTTTCGTTCATATCGATAACACCCTCCTCATGTCCACCACCACCACCACTCTTAACCTCCTTCTCACGCCCACTACCACTCTCAACCCCCTGCCCACCACCCTCACCCCTACCACCGCCCAAATCTTCATCCTTCAGATTAACCGGCAATAATCCCCCATCCACACTCACACCAACAGACCCAGACCCAGACCCAGACCCAGAACCGGATAACGACCCTGGAATCAACCCGCTCACCAGCCCCCCCGCAAAATCTTGAGCATTAAACTTCCCTCCACTACCCTTATAGGCAGAAGCGGCGGCACTCGCTGCCTGCTCGAGTTCCTCGCGCGCTTGGGAGGAGTTACCCTGGCGGTAGTCGTCGTAGGCGCGGGCGGCTTGGGAAGAGGCTTGGGTCCAGTCTTTGTTTTGGTCGTTTTCTGTGGTGGATTTGTCTTGGGTTTTGGACGACGAGGAAGTGAGTTCCGAGAGGGTGTCTTTGAGGGAGGTGGTGAAGGAGGGCATCTTGTCTTTGTTATTGTTTTTATGGCAGCAGGTGAGAGGGGAGGGAGAGTATAGATTTGAGGTCTGATGATGGGCGCGAAAAATGAACAACGGAGGGGAAGAAGGAGGAAGTTGGTAGTAGGTAGTTGACTGGAGGTAAGTGTTGGAAGGACGGCTGTTGATGTTTTGTTGGAAATAGGAATGATCAACAAGCAGGAATCTTCTTCAGGTTGGTCTAGCTATGTTCAACCACCGGTGATAGCCACTAGCTTTATAACTCTATCCATCTCCCATCGGCAACCATTCCGAGCAACTCATTGTGTACGAAAAACATATCATCCTGAATTCCTGATCTTGTCTCCGTGTCACATCAAGGTACCTTAATCAAGTCTTGCCATACCCTTCCACCAAGTCCATACGAGCCCACACGAGCCCAACGAGTCGACCAGGCAAAGCTTATTTCAAACTGGTACAACATGTCCACACCATAAGGTCCCGGTCAGCGGGCAGCGGGCGCCTGAAATCAAGAGTTAAGTTCGTTTGAGAACGTCATGCTCGTGACTCCTCATCGGAGACATCATCGAGACAGCATCATTGAGATGATTGCACAAAAACAGGAAACAGGAAACGTGAGGCAGTCTGGATGTTGAACTTCAAGAAGATACCTGTGATTTGTATGTTACCGAGGTTCCGACTGAGGAAATATTGTGCGATGGTACGTGCAACTCCTGGTTGGGTATAAATAAGAGCCTGAAGCGTAACTTGACGGTGGGCTTGCGCTAATCTGAAGTTGCAGCGAGGATTTGATCGATCTAGTACAGTCCACAGTAAACAGTCGACAGGTAAGTAAGGAAGAAGGTGAAGAGAGATGTGGAGAGTTTCAGATGGGATAGGAATAAAATATAGATAGGATATAGATAGGATATAGGGGGTAAAGAAAGGGTAAAGAAAGGGTGAAGAAAGAAGTGAAGAAAGAAGTAAAGGGAAAAGAGATAAGTGAAGAGTGAGATATCAAGAGAAAAAAGAAGGGTTCATCCCAAGTTCTATTGTAGTTCCAGACAGGTTCGGTAGGGACGTCGAGCACAGCTGCCAAAGCCACGCCTCTATAGTGCCAGCGCCCTCCCAGTAACCCTCTCTCCTTCATAAAGATAGGTAGTTAAGTATTCCATTCCTTGTAATGACAGCACTAGAAACCAAGAAGTTCGTGTCCGTGGTAAGGTGTCCCCTTGTAGTTCAGCTCACGACCCCGATAAAGATACCTTCATTCATACTTCCATCTCCTCGTAAAAGCCAACTGTCATCCCTGACAACAAAACCCGATGCTAACCCTCTCAGACCCCATTTCATATCATCGGAAAAAACAATTGAGCTTTATAATGATTCCGTACCATACCATTTGCTTCAAATTCCTACCAGTATTTGTACCATACGCTTCACCCAGACCAAAAAAACAGAAAAGAATAACCACCCACCTACCCATACATCCATAACATCAGTCCTTTACACGACTTGATTCATTTCGATTTTTCAGACCAGACCAGAACAACAACAACAACTTTCCCACCCACCCAAAGACCAAGGGTATCAACATCGCATCACTCTCACATCTCACCCATCGCTCATCCTGAACATGTTTCCATCCAACAGGGTTTCATCCATTCCTTCACTCACTCACTCCCCACCACCCTCCTCAACAACAGCGTTCGCATCCCTCTTTATGTACAACTCCGTCAACTCCTCGCTCTTTTCGATCACCAGTCCGCGCTCGTTGGCAAGATGCAGCAAGCAAATGAAGCAGTAACTGGTGGAGATGTCGTCCATGGCCGTTTTCGGGTAGACTTTTTGCAGGGAGTTCATGACTTCCGTGAACTTGAGAGTGGGCGGTTCTGCTGAGCCTTCCTTTGGAGGCTCTGATGAGCCCGGTTGCGCGGATGGGGTTGTTAGAGGGGGTGATATGAGAGAATCTTCTGGGTTTGTCTGTTATGGGGAGAGTTATGTTAGTGAGGGAACTCGATGGGACGAAAGGAGTAAAAGAAATAAGAGAAAAGAGAAAGGACTTACTACCCCATCCAACATCTCCAACCCCATCCCCCGCCAAATCTCCTCCTTCAGCCTCCTCACATCCACCTTTTTCGCCCGTCTCGCATACTGCACATACTCGGGCCTGACTCTCCTCGATTGCGTAACCAGCATCGTGCCAAACGCCAAATCGGCCGGGTTCGTAACCGTCAACCCATTAAACGCGCCCGTCATGCCCACGTCCATCGTCAATCCTGCTGTTCCTTCTTTTCCGGCAGCACCATCTCCTTGCGTACCACCGGGGCCAGGAGAGAAATGATCCCGTGCATCGGCAAAAACTTCCTCGTCCATGTCTTCGTCATCATCATCGTCTCCGCCGTTGGCAAACGGCAGACCGTCGTCTTGGAAGAAATTCGCGTCGTAGTCACCCTGCGGTAGATGTTCATCTTGGGAGAGACCTTGGTTGAGCGGAGCCTTTTGTTGGGCCCAGAAGGCCTCGTCCATGGCGCCCTCGGGGACTTGGTCTGGATTTTGATTGTCGGCATTGGAACGACCGAAGGCGCGCTGCTTGCGGCCGAGACGGGCCTTGGGCTTAAGGAAGAGGTTGAGCAGCTGCTTGGAGCTGAAGTGCTTGTCGTCCGGCAGCAGGTTGCGCGACTTGGACTTCCAGTCCTTTTTGGGGAGCGAGATGGCCGAGTTGGTAGTGGCTTGGTTGTGCAGGACGTCGTGAAGGGTGCGGTCCATGGGGGTGAAGAAGTCGATCTCGAAGGCTTGCTTTTCCTTGCGCTGGCGTTGCGGTTCTCCCGTTTGTGGCTTGTTGACGTCCTTGATCTTGCGGATGCGCCAGTGCTCGGCACTGGACCAGTTCTTTTGCAGGGCTTGGTCGAAGTAGCTGAGGATGTCCTCGTGCAGGCGGTCGGTCTTTTGGGCGTTGGTCATGTTGACCATGCCGAAATCGCCCTTGTCTTGGTCGAGCATTTCGAGGTCGCCGTCGACTCCGTCACCATCGTCACCACCTTCGCCTTCTCCTAGGTCTAGACCGGCGTCGAAGACACGCATCATTTGTGGCTCGATGGCTGCTTCGCGGGCCCAGGCTTCACCACCCTCACCGAAGGCTACGTCAACGTCTCCTCCCAGGTCGAATGCGCCCAGCGCGTCGTCATCGTCAAAGCCGAGCGGGTTCTCGTCGTCGATAATGAAGCCGGATTTGTTGCCGAGGCCAGGAGTTTTGGCTCTATCTTGCTCCTGGCGCCAGTCCTCGGGCGCTCTGAGGAAGGGAATATCGAGGGATCCGGAGGGGTCACCAAGGATGAAAGTCTTGAGTGACGGGCACACGTCCATCTCGTCCAGTCGTCCAAGATCGGGAAAGAACCTAGCACCAAGGCTGTCAATGTCGATCTCTACATCATCCTCCTCCTCCTCTTGTTGTTGTTGGGTTCGGGTCTGGCTCATTTCGGGCTGACCGTCGATTTCCATGGCATCGATTTCCATGGCGTCCGGGTCGGCATCTTGGTCGTTCTCCTCGGCGGTCTTTTGATTGCGTGAGTCGAGAGTGTCGTTGGCGTCGTCGCTGCTGTCAAAGACAATACGACCCTGCGAATCTATCATCAGGTGGTTCAAGAGTAGACCCTTAGCGCCTCCCTCGTCGAAGTCTGCTGATGCCTTTTTGAACAGCGGGTCTACTGAGAATTCGAGTTCGAACTTTTTGAGCTGTAGTGATGCGAAGGACGGTGCGAGGGTGGCTTCGGATGATCGTTGAGTCTGCAATTGTCAGTATTATTTGGCTTGTAACAGAGACTCGGGCAACCAACCTTCTTTCTTGGCTTCTTCCGCACATTGCCATTCTCGTCCACTTCCTCCTCTTCATCATCATCACCACCCTCCTCGCCATCTCTATCCCTCTTCTTGCTGTCGCGACTATCGGCCAAACCACTGAGCAGCTTTCCGGTTTCCGTCGCAACACTGTCGACTCTGCTGGTATAAATCTTGACACAGCCATCCAACGTACAACTGGCCTTCTGAAAATTGACACCGTCTCCCTCCTTGAGCAGCGACATATCATGAAAGTAGTCGATCAGCGCAAAGTTCCACGAGTTGGCGGCATTGATCTTGTTGTCAGTCGCCATCTTCATCCACTCCTCGAAGTTGGCCAGGATGGGGACGCGCTTCATTGGGGTGACGACGGAGCCGCCCACGACCGGTCTATCATCGCCGTCGAGGATGGAAAAGTTCTCCTTGCCGGAGATGCGGCGACGCGGGGTGCGCGGGCCGTTGGAGGCCGGAGTGTTGCCATTGTCGTCGATTACGCTGCGCGCGGGGGTTGCGGTTGCGGTCGCGGCGAGCTTGAGCTGGTTGATCTGGGCCTCGTGGAGGGCTTTGCGTCCTCGCGATCGTTTTTCCTTTTCTTGGGCGTCGTCGTTTAGTGGGATTCTGGTCGGGACGGGAACTTTTGTCAGTTAAACGGAAAAAGAGGGCGACGCGACGAGAGTTTCAATTCGCAATTCGCAATTCGCAATCCAAAGAAAAAAACGTACTTGAGGCCTGGAGATTTGAGCGGCGATTGCACAGCAGGACCCCTGCTCAGGCTCCGTCGCGGACCTGTGCTGAGGCGAGGCATCTTGTCGATGGTGATGAAGCTATCGCGAACAAGATGTGAACCTCGACGTCTTTTCCAAGGCCAGGCCGCTGTCAAGTTGGAGTTTCAGTGGTGTTTGTTTACTTTGACCCGCCCGTAACCACGAGTGCCAATGCTGGGTAGCGCGGACACTGGACGGACAGGCCTGGCAGGATCCACGTTTCAGCGGGCTGGTGACGGGTGGCGGCACGTGCTGAGGCCTAACAGCGGGGTGAAGGGAGTCTGGGGTGCTTGGCGTGGATGATAAGGGCGTATTTAGCTCCCCTGAAATCGGGCTCTGAAGTGTTCAGAGCCGGTTTTTAAGAGCCCTATTTAGGAATACTCTGAAATTTTTAGTGCTGAAATCCCCACTAAAAAGCGACTCTGAAATTTCTTGCCCCACATTGTTGAAATGGCCAATGAAATCGCGTACATTGACTAAAATTCAAATTGACTAATTTTAAACTACTTAAAATTGAAAGGGCTACTAAAATAGCCTTTTAAAAGTACTTTTATATATTTTCAACCGCTACGTAACTACCCTTATTATTAACGAAAATTAATAAAATTAAATACTATAACTGCTAGTACTTTAATATAACGCCGCTAGGTATTATATCACCATCGTATACGTATAATATAAACAGTCATAATATTTTTTTATATTAATTTAATACTATAAACCCGCTGTACCCCTATAAACGTTAATAGAAATAATTAATTAATAATATACGAACTCTTCTATAAATATCTGGGCTACTTCTAATCGTTATTGAGGATAATGTTAGTTACTTTCTATAAGTTAATAACGTAATTTAGTAAATATACTACTTTATCCGGCTCGAAGAGGACGACGATATACGAAAAGGTATTAATTTTTCTTTTTATTATAATGTAGAGTTTAACTTTTCGTATAACCGTATATACCCTCGGTTTTAATTTAGAAATAATATACCAATTAATAATCTTTATTAGCAACTATCGTATAGAGTACTTACTTTAATACTAAAATATTCTATAAAGTTTTTAATACCTATTTTATATTAATATAAAGGAAGGTTAATGTGACGGCTGGCACCACCAGTCGTCATGGATTCCATTCACGGGTAGCTTCCATTCACGGGTTTGGTTCAGATGGTTCAGGTTCTGGGCTTGGCCTGGCTCCTTCCCAGAGTTCAGGGTATAAAACCCAGTCCTTCTCATCTAGCCTTCCCTTTTGGGGTTTCCTTCTTTCCTCAACTTCTTGTCTTTAGTCCAAGTTAGCCATTAGGGTAGTACAGTCCTTGCACCCGTACCCATCCCTGGCCACGCGTGACAGTTAAACTCCTTCCTTTAGCTACCCTATATGAAATTAAATCTAACTTTAAATTCTTCCTATATTTCTATGAGGTATAAGGAACTTTCAATAGCTCGCACTTCGATATAAAAGTACTATATAAGGAATAAAAACTTTAGTATAACTATAAGGGAAGTATTTTTATAAACGTTTTACTAATTTATAACTTCTTTAGTAAAATCGTATATATATAGCTTAATTAGGAAGGGTTAGCTAACGATATAAGGGTATTAAATTATATATATACTAATAGTTTTAATATCTCTAAGGGATAGGTTTATTTAACTAACGCGGGCTATAGTAATAATTCTAGACTCTTCGTACTGTATTGTAGCGTACGTTATTACTTAAAAGAGATAAAATATACCAACTTAAAATTAATAACCTATTAGGAATTATACAATCTTTGATACTTTTAAATTCGGATTATTATCGAAAAGACGATCGGTCGGTTAAAGGGGACGTTTAAGATCTATTATATATTACTAATTTTTAACCTTGTTATATAAATAAAAGTAATATATATAATTGCTACATTATTAAATTAAATTTTAAATTATAGTAGGTATAACGTTAAAGTAGAAGAGATAAATTATAATATTATAGATTTCGCGGCCTATTAAATTATAAAAGAGAGGGTAAGCTTCTTACCTTCGATAGCGATAGTAGATTAGGAGAGGATTAGAGGGATGAATAGTTAAATAAATCTTTATTATGACTATATTATAAAAGGATATAGTAAAATTATTGTAAGGAGTTTATAAGAAGGGGGGAAATATAAAGTAATTGAATAAGAGGAAGGTTATAAAGAAGAAGGGAGAATTTAAAAGTAAATATGTACTTCTAGTACTAGCCGCCTAAATTACTCTTTAAATTATTTAAATTAAGTAGAATTATATTTATCGAATTATAAATTCAAATTATTCGATTATACTTTAAAATACAACCTTCTTAAGAAATTAGTACTTCGAATATAAAGTTTAAAAAATTTAAATTTGAAATATAACGATATATTTAATATATTAATCGATATTAACACTATTTGTATATTCTTGGCAGCCTGTACCCTTTACTAAAGGTATTTATAGAATCCTTTATATTATTTACAAAAGTACTCTAAAATTAACATAAAATAAATGTATTAATTCGATTTAATCTAGCGATTATAACGCTACTTTTTTTATATATATACGAATTTTTTTAGTATTAGTATTTTATTATATAATAAAAGTAAAAAAAAAAAATCCGGAGTAAATTCCACTTCTTATTCCTTTCCGTTTATAGGAACCCTATAATCTTTTTCGAAGACTTTAACCGCCTTTATAAGGTATAAGTACGACGGCGTGGGGTATTTAGTACTCTTACCGACTAGGGTATCCGCTAGATATATAAAGCTTTTAATAATAATTTTGCCATTATTCTTCTTCTTTTTTCTTTTGGGATTAGAAATAAAGGTAGCCCTCTTCTTACTATTATATATATAAGCTGGTATTGCGAATTCTCCTTCTATATCCTTATTAAAAGATTCATATAGCGTAGCTATAGAGGGACGCTCATTATAGTTAAATAGGGTACTTAATATTAGTACTTTACTTTTACTAGTACTTTAATCGTTAGCGAAAGCCTTTTCTATTAATTTTTTATAAAGTAATTCCTTATTACGGAACCATATATAATTTTTATAACTCTACGAATATAATTAAGTAAATTATTAATTAAACTAAATATAGTATAGGAATAAATATTAATTTTAAAAAACGTATTTTAAATAAAATCCTTTATAGTATATATACTATTTTTATACTTAAAATTAAATTATTTTACTACGCTAGCGAAGGCTTATTATAAATACTACTTACATTTAAAGTAGTCTACTTTATTACGTATTTATATAATATCGAATTTAATACTATATTTATTACGGAGAATTTTAATAATTAAATTGTATACTACTTCCTTATAACCGCCTTAATTAGTAAGACCATCATTAACTATACCTTCAATATAATACATATGGTTACCTCCTAAGTATCGGTCTATTATTATAACCTCTTCTTTTTTTTACTAGTTGCAGTCACTTAGTTGGCGGTTTAGTTAGCAGTTTGGTCAGCTATCTAACTAACTATTATATAGCTAGCAGTCTAGTTAATAGTTTAATTAAATTGTATAGATGAGGGTGCTATAGATAAGAGAAGTGTATGGCTAGTATTAGTTATTTTGGGTATAATAACAATGGTGTGTATAATTTATTGTTATATTGATTTATAGACCTATAAATATAAAATTTTAGAATTTGGGGATTCTAGTGCGCTAAACAGGACTTTAAAAGTCCGTTCTGAATAGGAATAGGGTGGAGCTCAAAATCTCGGCATTTACCATCAAAATATGGTTTAGGACGGTCCGTGCTGTTCCTTTGAAAAGTACTTCAGAAAACCTACTGCAGAGCCCGATTTCAGGGGAGCTAAACGCTCAGGTATAGCGGTATATAGTACATCTGTACAAGGGACATGCGGCAGCCGTTGGGCGATCATATAGACGGGAGCCCCCCCCTTGTGCCCTTCTTCTTTCTCTTTGATGATTTCCAAACTTAAAAGTTTCAATCTACAACTTGAGATTGGCGATGGGTAATGGTTTGGTTTGGACTTGTTTGGGAAATTGTGTTGATCCTACCTCCTCGAGCTCCTCTTCTTTATGCAGTTCACACCTTGGATGCTGACCTTGTGTGTGGGGTTGGAATGTTGAAACTCCGATAGAGTCTGAACTCTCGAGTCACGATGGCCGCTACAGAAAGGGTGAAGTACCTACAGGTGGCTATGGGCTACCTCTTGACTTCTTTGTGATCAAGACGACGCATTTCATCCATCACCTTCCACTTGCCACACACTCACAGCCTCTTCTAGTCTCAAGTCTAGATGGTTTAGTTGTTACTTGACAGGCCTCCCGCGACTATCATGAAGTTCCTGTTGGTTACCCGCGTGGAGCTTGCGTATGTCTCTGTAGGCATCTGTATTCCAAGGACTTCAGCGTCTCGATGTCCAACCGGGTTGCACATTGGGCTGCAGACGCTATAACTTGGCAATATCTTTGCCTCTAGTCTAGCTCCTCTTGTCCAACTCACTTCCTCCCAACCGACGGGAACCTAATCACATCTTTCCTACCGAATACCGTATTCTTCCTGAATCATCCATCCCCAACATGAATCCAATGCCATGAAGGGGCGCATGGATACCTCGACGCACTATACGGAAATATGTCAGTCCTAATAAGACCTTCTGGCCACCCGAAATCACCTTGCGACGATGATCTCATTCCGCCTACATAACACACAGAAATCCCACCCACGCCAATCCGACATCCTCCCGTCAACTACACAGCACGGCCACAGTATACTTTGCCGTTGTATACATACATACTACTTTTAACCATATCCTTTTTTTCTGCTGGCCAGATCTCTCTTTTTTGCGACCATCGGTTACATATCTACCTTGCGATTACAATTGCGATTGCGACCCTACGATAACCGCCATCCGATTGTCATCTTGGCGACACTTGGTCAACACCAGCACATCTCGGCCCAAACAATATTCCTCACGCGATGCCATGATCAGAGGTCCAGCATGTCGCTGTATCGCCAAAAACGGAGCCCCTTCAGCTCCCGACCGTTTATCGTGTCAACGCTCCTCATAACCTGTCTAGCAACCTATGCCCTCGTCCTCCGACCCTTCGCGACATCACGGTTGTTGCGCCAACCCGGAGAATATCAACAACAACAAAATGTTGCGCGAATCCTCGCAAGAGGTCACCACAAACACGAACCAACCGCCCCCGTCGATTGTCGCCATGTTCACTTGGCCCAAGACCAATGCGCCTTCATATTGGCCCACTGCGAAGACGAGGAAGCCGGCCTGATTCATTACCTGAGCTTCTACTACTGCACACTACCCGGTGCGAAACCCGTCGCCTTCGTCATCCTGACCGCATGGCTGGGCCTCCTATTTACCACCATCGGCATTGCCGCCAGCGACTTCTTCAGCATCAACCTCAGCACCATCTCGAGCGTCCTGGGTCTAAGCGAGAACCTTGCGGGCGTCACCTTCCTCGCATTGGGCAATGGCTCCCCGGATGTCTTTAGCACCTTTGCCGCCATGGGTTCCAACAGTGGGAGCATGGCGGTGGGTGAACTGATCGGTGCTGCTGGTTTTATCACTGCCGTGGTCGCCGGCTCTATGGGCTTGGTTCGCGAGTTCAAGGTCCAAAAACGAACATTCGTACGAGATATCGTTTATTTCATCATTGCCATCAGCTTTACCATGCTGTTCCTTTTGGATCAGGAGCTGCATCTGTGGGAGGCCAATGCCATGGTTGGCTGCTATGTCGCATATGTCATCCTGGTGTTTGCCTGGCAGTGGTTCACAGACAGGAGGAGAAAGACGAGACAAGGAGAAGCTGCTGCCCGTACTCATTATCATGGCTCTGCGCCCGAGCCATCAGAAGAGTTGGAGCCATACTGGGATGATCCAGACGACGATGAGGCAGCTTCTGTGAATACTCGGCCGCGCACTGCCCAGACCGACATCAGCGCTCTCGAACGTGGGCCTAGGATCGAGGTTGAGGGACAGGGAGTAGTTGCATCTACACCAAGCGAGGAAGAAGAAGATGAACAACGCGATCTGCATGTGGCCGCAGAGATGACTAGCAGCATGCGCGTCAACCGTCCCCGCTGGGGCCGAAGCAACACCACCATCACTCCTATCAGACCCAGTCTTGTCGGTGCTTTGGAATTCCGGTCGATATTGTCGTCAATACAAAAGGAAAGAAACGTACAGGGCGGCTACTTCCGTGGACACCGACGGGGACATTCCGACTACTTTTCAAATCAGCCATCACTACCTTTGATCCCCGAGGATCAGCTGTACCGGGGACGTCAATACACTCTCGATACTCTGCCGACCCTCTCAACCATCGTGTCAGGTAGGGACCGCGCCTTATCATCCGGACATTCGCCCCTTAACCTGGACAATTCCGGTTTACCAGCTATCCAAAGCGGTTCAGAGACGGGGGACACAAGCCCGCTACTAGCACCAGGGCCTCTACGTCCCAATGAGAGTCCCAATTTGCGTCCAGATACTAGGGGTAGCTCGACCACCCGAACCGTTGACGGCAGGCTTGCGCCTCCTCTTGATACCGGAGGTGTCAATCAAGGGCTGCTTCAGCATCAGTGGAGGAAAACGCCCAGGACACTAGGTCTACACCTCCAAATTCCCGAGAGTACCGGCTCCAGCAACCGGGCATCGCCCACTCTCTCGCCTTTCCCCATGTTCTCCGAGTCTCCCACCATGCTGACTCCCCAACAACTACCCGAATCGGCCTTTGTCTTTCCTACACCGTCCGAGAGAAGACGTTCCTCCATCGCCATCTTCGGCGGTTATGAAGAAGAAGAGGAACCCCTCAAGTATTGGCCCTACTCGATCCTCCCACCACCACACATCTTCTTCGGCACCCTCTTCCCAACCCTCCAAGGCTGGTCCGAAAAGTCGTGGTGGGACAAACTCGTCAGCTTGATCTCGGCTCCCTCGGTCTTCGTCCTCGCCATCACTCTCCCCGTGGTAGAAACCGAGTCCGAGCAAGACGATGACGACGAAGTCGAAGGGCCCGCTGAGTCCCCGGCCACCCACCTAATCCACGGCCACGGACAACCAGGGCACATGGCCGTCCCCGTCTCTATGGAGTCAAGCGCACACATCCGCCCCGAAACCGAGTGGCAGGAGTTCCGCCGTCGTACACGTTCGGCCTCTAACAGATCTCCCATGCGCTCACCTATGCGCTCGCCTCTCCACTCTCCGCTGACAGCTTCACCATCCTTCGTAACACTAGCCTCCCCGCGGACCAGGTTGAACTCGGAAGCCAGAGCGCACACGAACGGGCACACCAACCTCGGCGCGCAAGTCCAACAAGCGATGAAACTCAATCCTCACCAGCGCTATGGCCACAGTCGTCACGGGTCCCAACCGACCATCATCGAGGAAGATGAACACGGCGCCATTACCAACACGGGAGCCACTACCTTGGCCGACAACCACAACGACACAAACGACAACGAAAACGAAGAAAAAGCCTCCGAAGAAGGCTGGAACCGCTGGCTCATTTCCCTCCAGCTTTTCACCGGCCCCCTCTTCGTAGTCCTAATCATCTGGGTCAACACAATGGACGATCTCCCATCCCCCGGCCGCACTCTGTTAAAAATGACACTCTACAGCTTAATCTTCTCTCTCTCCTGCCTCGGCATCTTGTTGCTCACCACCTCCGCCGACAAAAAACCAAAGTACCACTTCCTGCTCTGTTTCCTGGGATTCGTGATTAGTATCGCCTGGATCTCAACAATAGCAAACGAAGTGGTGGGCATCCTAAAAGCTGTCGGCGTGATCTTGGGCATCAGCGAGGCGATTCTGGGACTGACGATTTTTGCCGTCGGGAACTCGCTGGGGGATTTGGTGGCTGATGTTACTGTTGCTAGGTTGGGCTGGCCTGTTATGGCTTTGTGAGTTACTCCCTCCCTTTTCTTTCCCTCTTGATCTTGATCTTGAAAATATCGTATCTCGGAAACAGTTACAGTTACTAACCCCACTCCCCAAAACAGAGCAGCCTGCTTCGGCGGCCCCATGCTCAACATTCTTCTTGGTATCGGTCTAGGAGGGGCCTGGATGATTGTGTCTAGCGCCAACAAGCACCACGCCAAGCACCCCGAGCTGCCGTTCAAGTACAAGCCTTACAAGCTGCAAGTGGGCGGGACGCTGATGATTTCGGCGGTTACGGTGCTGGTGACGCTGGTGTCGTTGTTGATCCTGGTGCCCAGCAACGGGTGGGTGATGAATAAACGCATTGGCTGGACGTTGATTGGGATATGGACTGTGGGCACGGTGTTTAATTTGGTCGTGGAGACGACGGGGGTTTGGACTGATGTTAGGTAGTGAGGGGGGGTAAAGGGGGAGGGAGGACAGAAAAGGGAAGGGAGGAGGAAGGGAGGGAGGAAGTACCTAGCGATGATATTGACTTTATTCTTGATGATTCATGACGTGATTGGAGCTGAGGGGTATGTATAGTGCTACGTATTGAGCGACAAGCTCTCTCGTGCATGTGTTCGTCTTGGTATATATTGATGTCCTCCACCTCGATGGGTTTCCAGCAGCCGGTTTGTTTGTCTTCTTGCCGCGCCGCATGTTGGTCGTTGGCTCCAAACTAGGAGTAGGTCACGGACTGACCACATATTTCCGACGACAAGTGATCTCTGTGAAGCAATGCACTAGCTTCGACGAGACAGAGTGATACAAGGAAAGGGGAAAGGAAGGGTTGTACAGCAAACGGACACCTCAAACTCTTTATCTGTACTCTTGTCAAGTAGGGTCGGTCGGGTACGAAACACTACAAATTTCTCAGAAAAGGCTTCCTGTTCCTGATCACAGAGCTGTTGTCGTTCTTGTTGGATTTCTTTCTCCATGAACGGAGTTTGGATCAAAGCAAGCAATCAAACGGCCAGCCACTCCTGAGTCACTTGGCGATTGTGTCACACCTCGACCTAGAACAAAAATATGGCTCATGCACACACACCAACTTACGGATACATATATATCTCCCGGCGGTCCGCTCCTCAGCCTGGCTTTACCAACCCAGAGATTCCCCTCCCATCCATCGGGCATCTTCACCTTACTCTCGTCCTTAGACCTACCTGTCAGTGTTTTACTGACCGCCGCCCAAGGAAGATAAAAGAGACAGCGCCACTGACTGGGGAGTTGAGAAACAACTAAGAAAACCAGAAGACAGACACAAAGGAAAGGAAATGTGTCACGAATTCCGAACCCGCTACGCCCCTCTGCTCCCACACCAAAACCGTCCTCACCCGCTGCGGACTACTCCCCTGTCAAGCATGGCCTGGAGTTTATGAGCGAGTGGAGGGGGTATCTTGCAAGGCGCCTTGGTGTCGGTATAATAACTCTCCTCGTCCTCGTTCGGGATCTTCTTCTCGTTCACGATCTTCTCCGGGAATAAATTCAGTGAACGCGACTACTACCTGTAGGGAATCAACTAGACATAAAGAAGATACACCTGACAGGGGAGGAGGAGGTAACAGAGAAATCATTGCTCCTGGTCAGCATCAGCCTTCTGTGTTAAGGTTCGAATCTGGAGGGAGTAGTGGAGGAGGAGGAGATAACAGCAGATTGCGGACGAGGTTGACGGAAGAGCCTACGGAAGAGCCTGGAAGAGGAGGGGGAGGACCTAGAAGACCTGGGATTCCTGGGGGGCGATGATGATTCGAGTTCGAGTTCGAGTGATGATGAGAACCATAACCATGGGAGTGGTGGGAACTCAGTCAGGAGTGGGAAGATGTAGGTAGGGTGTAAACCTAGCAAGCACATGCTCGAAACGACGCAAGTTAATAAGTGCCAGGGAGGGAGGGTTCGCAAGATCAGTCCAGCATCGACCTATATAGAGGAGGGAGGTTACACTTTCTGAGAACTGAAGCATTAGTGAGCGAATTATAGTGATCGTTTTGCATTTTCAACAAGTTTTCGAGCGAACTGCACACACAGGAGTCAACACTATGCATACATTGGATATCTTGGTAAGGTCGGGTGAATCTCACTGCAGGATCGTGACACTCACTCCTCGTTTCCTCGTTCCTTCCCAACTAACTAACTTGAAGTCTTGAGCTGCTGCTGCTGCTGATCCTTCCAGAGAGACGGGAGGCTAGGGGACTCTCTCTCTCTCTCTCTCTCTCTCTCTCTCTCTCTCTCTCTCTCTCTCTCTCTCTCTCTCTCTCTCTCTTTCTTTCTTCTTTGCGTTATGACAAAATGTTTTTCAACTTCAACTTCCCTTTAAAAGTTCTCTTCAGTTTCTTCCACTTTTAGCCAAATCACCCCATCCATCCATCCATCCATCCATCCATCCATCCATCCATCCATCTTCACTTCTTCTGAATTGGTTCGCGTTCTTCTTTTACCACTCACACTCTTCCTGAAGGGGGAAGAAAGTCAGATCATGTCAGGTCCTTCGTTACCCTTGCAGTGATGATCAAGTTCCATTCATGCCTTGTCTTGTGGTGATCATGAGTTACTTGAGTGAAATGTAGGTAGACTTGAGGTTGTTTGTTGTGTGAGTTGACAAAAGATCATCATCATCATAATGTTCTGCCCTCTACTACTATATATACGTGGTTTCCGCTTGTCTCTATCTACTGTGTATTGCCTCTGTAAGGTACTCAATCGTCAGGGTTAGGATTACCCAGTGACCGTGACCATGCCATTGATTGCCATTATGAAGTCAGAGAAGGGGATTCAAGTCAAATCCTGAACAGGCGACGGAGGTATCGGTTGTAATCTTTCACTGGTCAGAAAGGTTGATACGCTCGTCAACTCGTATTACGTGACCTGTAACGAGGTCATTCAGTTTATTACACTCGGGAAACCCAAAACCAAGGGCCCATATCATGATATTCAAATAACTGACGACCGTCCGTCAGCTAGTCAGCTTTTACGGCGTACTATGTCTTGTTTTTTTATCTAGCCGTTTTAACCAACCCGGCTTCCGGTTTTTAGATCCTTCCCTTTCCCCAACCGGGGGAAACTCCGATCCAATCGTCCCCTGTCCCTGTCCCTTCTTCCCCTTACGTAACTCCTTCAATGCGTCCGGCGATCAACGATCTCGCCTGCTTTCAACAGGGCACTCATTCCATCGAGATTAGGGCCCTGAGGTCCTCCCCCCTGTTTCCTCTCTTGGTGTTGTTGTTGTTGTGGTTGTTGTTGGTGGTGATGTTGAAATTGTTGTTGCTGATACTGATGTTGTACCGGACCAGCGCCCATCTGTTGGGGTGGTGGTGGTGGCGGGATTCCATACACAGCACTAGGAGCAGCAGCATTCGTTACAACAGAGGGCGCGTGCGCAAGCGATAGAGCCCTATGGTAGCCTACGACGGCTTCGTCAGCTGCTTCTCTAGATAACGAAGGTAGCTTTCTCCACGGCATACCATTCGTCATGGGCAGGCTAGCAAGCGCCGGCGGCTGCCCTGCAGGCTGCTGCTGATGTTGCGGCTGCTTTTGATGCACAGGCAAGGGACCCGTGGGGTATGGGTGGTGCGGTTGGCCTGCCTCGTAGGAGTGGGAGGAGCTTGACGAGAGCAAAGCCTGTATCGGCAATGGGCCGTCAGTAGGGGTCCTTGGATAGCCATAAGACGAGGCCGTGGAGGCCGAGGATATGCTACCCGCTGAGGACTGCTCCTTCTTCAACGCAGGCGGATATCTCCGATCGCCGCCAACCAAGCCAGGTGGGGGACCAGGGCTATTGGTGAGACTTCCTCTTGGGAAATAGCTGCTGGGATCGTTCGTTTGTTGTGGCCCGCCGGGTAAAGATCTATGGCTATCAAAGACATCGGAGAAGGATGGTAGATTCTGTTGAGACTGGGGTGTGCTTAGCGGCTGTTCCTGACGATGTTCATCTGGTCGGGCAGTCTCTGTTCGGCTCGGTAATGGGTAGTTCCTCGCACTAATGTTGAAAGCAGTGGGTGATCGTTGTTCTGGAGACCGTCGGTCCGCGTGGGCTGTACGTGGCGAGTGCATGGAATCGTCATGATACGACCCCGGGCTCAGTGCCGCCGAGTGATGAGAATCCGTGGTAGAGACAATGGAACTTATCCTCTGTTCCCTGGATGGTGGTGGTTCGCTTCCGTGAAGACTGTCACTACCACCACTGTCACTCCGACATGTCCTGGTGGGCGTGGCAGCAGCGCTACTGGGACCACCAGATTCCGAGAGCTTCACTCGCTTTGACGAGTCCTTGTCTGTGCCATGTGTTAGACTCTGACTGACCCAGTCGAATAGAAGTCATTGATCAGACGAGGACGTCGCATCATACGTACCTTGAGATGGGAGAGAATGCTTCGTCTTGAAGTCCGCCAAGTACTGCATGTACTTTTGGTATTGAGGCGTCTTCTTATATTCGGAAAGTTCAGCGTGATACTTTTCCTTGTAAGCCTGCGCTTTGGACTCATAAGGCTCCTTCTCAGCCGGCGTCAAGTTTTGCCAGTTCTCGCCAACTAACTTGGCAATCTCGGTGAATGAGAGGTTACGGCCCTTGAGGTCCTCGCGCATCTCTTGAAAGGGGTAAACGTGTTAGTTGCCTTCCTGACGCGGGACAGACGCTTTCCAGTAGGTGACTTACTGTTGGAAAAAAGCACATAGGCTGACGGAGGTCTTTCCGGCGCATTTTCGTCCGCCTTTGGGTGTCTGCGATACTTCCTCTTGGTAACAATGACAGTCCCAGGTTCTCGTAGCTCGAGCTTTGGTGGCTCAGCACGAGGTACAACCTCTGGTGGCCTGGAATCTTCTATACTGGGCTGTGCCAAGGGAGCCAATGAAGCTTCTGGCGCAAGCCCTCGGTAATTTGCTATCCTCCTCTGGAGTTTCTGTTGGTTCGTGTCAGCAGTCGTGCCATATTGTACCACGGATCTTGTAGTACGCGGCGGTAAAATGATTGCTTACCCGTCTATGACCTAATTTCACGCCTAGGACATCACTGATGAACCAGGTGTGTTAGTCAAACTTCCATCATTTTGCCCGTGGAAGTCCAAACAAAATGCTTACAGGTCGGATTCCGTGATATCGAGAATAGTCTCCCATGTGTCGAAACCCTGCTCAACAAACGCATCGAGATACTGACTGATCCCTAACTCCCCAAAGATTGCTGCTAATTGTTGCGCCATCGAGTCCAATTGGTGTGATTTGTGATGCGCGGTGCACCGACGAGTCGAAGTTCCCAAAAAAAAATCCCTGCACCGAAGCTCAACGAGAGCTTCTTCCAAAAGTAATTGATGGTATCAATGCCTGGTTGCCACAAAACCAACTATTCCCCAGGTGCATAGGTGAACTCGGAAGATCGGATAAGGTCGTCGTTAGGTTGCCAAGCGACAAGAGATCTGGTTTCGACTGCAGTGCCGAATTCGTGTGGATGGATCGCTGTGGTGGGTATGGCGTGAGCTCTCGAATCAGAGCGAAAACAAACCGCAACCAAGGCCGTGAAGGATTGAAACAGGGCTGGGCTTTTTGATGAAGCTTTTGAGAGGGAGAGCAAGAGTAATTAATGGCGGTGATGGCGTCCTTGGAGGATCGGAGGTAAATCGTCTTGGTATATTGGGCGGAGTATTACAGTCCTCTGATCATGACGAAAGCCAGACAATGTGCACCGAGGGGCTGCAAGTAGGGTGCTGAAAATGGCAGGTTTATCTGTAACAAGAGTCTCGGTCAATGGTAAAGTCCAGTACGCGATCCAGATTATGACATGGGAATTCTTGGAGCCATGACCCATTGGGGTGGGGTGAGGGCAGAGATCTCGATGACAACCCCAGCACAGAAGACAGGTAAGGAAGTCTTCGCGTGGTACGACATCGGCACAGGCATGGGTTCGGCTCTGATACAGCTACCGGGCGAGAGGGCATTGGGAGGTACATACTTGTACCAGTCGCCTAAGTACCTAGCGGGGCAGCCACAGGCGAGGAGCAAATGGTGTGAGATGGAGCTTATTCCAGCTCTTTTCAAGCTTTCTCGCGTCGCCGGTGGAGGAGTGAGTGGACGGTGAAGCTCAGGACTTTGCAGAACGGCTGACCTGTGGAGGTTCGCTTGGGGGGCCTTTTAAGAAGATGGAGCTTCCAGCTGTCTAAAGAGATCTCTATCAGCATGGATCGACGTCGGCGGCAAATCAGTGTAAACGGCGAGTGGACAATCGGGTCAACTTTGAACATTGGCGAGTTTTGTGGGTGAAAGCACGCCAACCACGACCACAACCGCAAACTGCCTAGACTCTCTTGACCAGACTTCCTCAACGTTCGGGCGGCGTGATGCCACCCTCAATGCGCAAAAGGATGGTAAGTGCTCTTTGGGAGTTGCTTTCCGACGTCTTGAGATGATGTGTCTCCCACTTCTTTTCCCCAGAGCAGCCTTGGTCCCGTCTTCCGTTCGGGTAACCAGAACCCAAGCTCGCAAAAAGCCCCTGAGCAGCCAACTGAACGGGGGAACCTCGCCCCCATGCACTACATTGGGGATTATTGGGAAATCCAAAGAGGCAAGAGATCTGCTGTTTGACACTGTGTGCAAATCCAACGCCAAGTGGACGGAGAATGGGTATCACAAGATACATGTACCATACGTTGAGCCACCAAGGCTTTTTCTTCGCCTAGGTGAGTTTGTCTGTACTGTATCCGGAGACATAGACTGTCGTCACGGTAACGGCGCCTATCTCCAGACCATGCGCATGTTGGGGTGAATATGGATAAAGTCAGGGGGGAAGGCTGCCGCCGTACAAGGCAGCTACATTCGGAAGCGTCTGCGGTATGTAGACGCACAGGGGAAAGGAGCAGGAGCAGGACAGAGTGGTATGTATAACATGACGATGATGCCGTGGTGCATTCCCACCAACTCCAAAGCGCAATTGGAGATGGATTTGTTTGTTTCTTGGCTGTGTGAAACCCGCGGGAGTGAACAAGCGAGGGGAAGGGGGAAAAAGTGTTCAGGTTGAATAGCAAAAGGGGAGGGGGGAGGGGGGCCGTGGCAGCATCCTACCTTGTTCTTGAGTTGAGTTGACGTTGTGAGATGTCTTTGATCTCTCTCTTGGGTAACCGTGACCGAAACCGTGGATTGTCGTCCGGATGGTTGTTGGCCTATTTATCCCTGAGTGATAGTCGTGGTGGCCGCAAGGTTCAATGTTGTTTGATATCTCGATGCGAGGTGGTAGCAGCAAGTGATGTGCTGAGAGTTGAGGTAAGTCGGAGGTTCGAGATGGGGAAGGAGGAGCAAGTCTCGAAAAGAAAAAAAAAGAATCTTGTTTCACAGGAATCTTGAATTGACAAGTCCAACTTGCAGAGACAAGGTTGACAAGGAAGGGACAAAAGGGCAAAGGCAAGTACCGAGAGGGTTGGAGCTGCATAAACAGAGTGTTCGAGGCTCTTGAAGCCAGATGCAGATGCCAGGGCGTAGCGGTGGTGCGGCAGGAGCAGGGCAAGGTGGGCGGCCAGGCAGGCACAGGGGAAAGGGAAGGAGTGGGATTTTGTAAGAACTGAACTGGAAAGCGCCCGTTGACAGGTACCTGGTACCAGGTACAAGCCTGTGGGTTCTGGGTTGCCCATGGGCAATGGGCGAGTCTACAGTACGTACAACTAAAAGAGTACCGTCTCTCCCGTCTATCGTGGGCACCAATCCGTGCAATCCCCAACCCCGAAACATGGAGCTCCAGCCGGCGATTCCAATCGACTCCTGGGGACGGGACCTGGGACTCCTCCCGCTGCCTCGCGTATATAGCACCGACAAAATATCGTGATTAAAAGACTGGAATGGAAGACCCTGCTGACCCGGGATGGCATTCGGAGCAGAGCCAGGTGGGCAAAGTACACGGTACCTGACTGCTGGGTCGACTTTTCCACAGTAGAATCGGGGACTCTTTTGGGAAGATGGAACTCGTGGCGGCTCCGCTTTCCTCGCTCCCGGTTGCTCAACTCGTGCTCGTGGCGGGTCTAGAGCCTTTCCCTTTTCGAGTTGCGAGGGGGGGAGGGACCCGGCGGGTTCTTTCCTCTCTGTCGTGATTCCACCTGTTTGCTGCTGCTATTGTTTCAGTGCAGTCAGTCGGGTCGTATGAGAGAAAATTCCATCTCGAGATCATTATCGGATTTGCGAATGTCGATCCAGGGCAACCGTCGGGTTTGCCTCTCAGCTCCATTGCCTGGCCTGGACCTGGCACACAGTGTACCGAGTACCCGTTGGACGTCAGGATAGCCGCAAAGGGAATCGCAGGACCTCGGACTTGGTACGTACTATTAGATGTTAGTGCGCGCCTGTAGCGGAACCGAAACTCCAAAAAAGACTGGGCGAAGGTCCCCTGATGGGGCTCAATTTTTAGTGCTTGCAGTTCAGCTGCTAACGTGCACTCACGCCTGGGTCTGCGGGTCTCTTCACCAGATTGGAGTTAAGGAATTCCAGCTGGTTGTTAGCGGTGGGCATCACTGACGGCGTCAAGGGCGTCTCTGTCAGGGCAGTGCAGGACAGCCAATATCACGAGGCTGTGGTCGTATCAGATATGTCACTGGGGCCACCTCGTCTGCTTGATGATGGACTGATCTTCGGTTGGGCGGATGGTAATTCTGGATGTAGATACGCCCCAGGAAATATTCAACGTCAAACCAACACCAAGACGATGACGGTGAGAGGCGTATCTGAAGGTCAGCAATGTAGGACAGGCCGGAGACGGACATCGTTCCACAGATGCCAACCCTCGGGTGCGCGTGTACAATGCAAACGACTCCGTATTTGATGCCCCGGTTTATTTCCCATCTAACTTCATCGGCTGGGATGTCCTTTTGTTTTTATTAATTTCATGATGATTTCATGCTGCTAGTTGATAGTCGTCTAGCTTTGTTCTAGGATGACCCGTCGATATAACGGTCGAATATCTCGATCACCATTCGTGGTTTCGTCATTAAGCTTGCCGCTACCGAAACGGGGGGGGATGTAAGTAGTAGTCGGTACGAGGATCGCAAAGTGATGGTGACTGGTGAGGGAGACATCGCGATCCTGAAAACTGGAATCCGATCACGATTCTTCCATCCAGGCTGGTGTCCGGATGGGCAATTGTCCAATATTGGCCTCTTACAAGCCATGGAAATATCGAGATTCCCGTCCCACCATGTCCTGTGACTGGCTCAGCCGCCATGGGGGGGAAATGTTGGGAAGGGGAGTCGGACAGTCGCCCGGATGTCACCCGGACACAGTGAGGTACCGGGTCTGGCGGTGCCGCCGTCGTGCCTGGACTGCCTGCCGTGCAGTGACCTCTCAACTGTACGCTGCAGTGGGCAGCCGGGGCGGTGGGCAGTGAAAACCGTGGGCGCCCGAGCAGAATGCTTTCAAGGGCCATAGAGGTACGGGAGCCTCCGAGTCCAGTATCCCTGTCGGAGCTTGGAGAGCCAAGAGGGTCCCTGTCAGTCAAGGGCTGCCCTGACGCTCAAGCCGAGTTCCAATAAGAAACCTCCGGCTTTTTTACTGTTCGCCTATGGGATCCAGTCCTTCCAGGGCGCGAATGCCATCAAGCTCGGAATGAAACATCTTGAGGACGGGCAGGTCTGACTGCCGCAAAAGACCCGACAACAGACATCAGAAAAAAAAAGATGCGCAAAGCCTAGCAAGGAAAGTCAGGACGAGAAAGGCTGTGATGGGCGGAGTGGGAAAACCCAAGCGGGAAACAGTGGCCAAGAAGAGGATCTCGATCGTTATCGAACACCATAGGTACACATGGAAAACGTACGATTATGATGGTCTCGACGGGGCCAACCAGCCAATCAACGCGCCCCTATCCACCTCTTTTTCCCCAAAGTGGCCTGAAATTCCGTGGCCTGCACGGGCGACGCGGCATCGAATTCCCCGTGACCGTTAAGATATCAAAATGTTCGCTTCGAAGGTCTCCTTTTTCTTTGTCTTTTTTTTTCTTCCCAGAAGCCGAATTGGCATCCTGTCAACGCGGTTCCCGGTTGTCCCTGTTGCAATTGACATTGTCCTCTTGTCGATGCCAACAACCTCGGGCTCGCTTGGCAACATCTGTGTTCTAAGCCGCATGGCATGCATGGTCAACGACCGCCATCCTCGATACGGGCTTTGGCCGTGTCAAATAGTTTCCGAGCTTTTTTCCCCTTTCTCTTTCCACATCCACACACATTGTCAAGTCTGCAATTTTGCATGCCGTCAGACATGGCACATGTGCCTGTTTCTAATAACAGTCTCAATTTCTGACTTCATTCACAATCGATCGATTGCGGGCCGTCGTCTCGGATGGGATGCGCTGCTTCTGCCCTGTGTAGCACGCAAGCCAGTTAGCCAGCAGGTACCGGTACGTAGGGGGGCACCAGATTGTCTTATCCGACCGTGTTTGTACCCTGATCGGCGTTCTGTACGGGGAGACGGGGATTCTGGCGCCTTGTTGCGAGTTCAGAACCCTTTTTGCTGCTACTGGCGTTGTCCTGCGAGTGAGACAGGAAGCGGGGAGTCGGAATGGTTCATGGGTTCGAAGTTGAAGGTCTCACACGCTTGTTACCCGCTGGACGTCATCCTGCACAGCGCGCTGCGCTGCGCTGCACCACTGGCGCTGCTGCTTGCCCGCCATGCCGCTGCCATCTCGTTGATTTCCCCTGTCAAGGCAAGTCAGGGTCCCCTGCCCCGTGTGAATGGCCCAATGGCACACTCGGGTCTCCGACGTGCATCGCTGGATTTATGAATCGACGTTTTGCCTGGCGATCGAGCACTCTGCTGAAGGCTCGAATCGAACACCACCCCACCATTTCATCTGCTCACTGGTCGTTAATGGTCACGGTCTCATTTGAAGCCCACGATGTTTGGGGTCTCACCATGGTTTCCCATCCGAATATCTGCTCGTCTGCTCGGCTGCCACAGGTTCCGCATGCCCATGAGCCTGCCGATGACCAATTGATTATAGAGACGATGCTATTCTTTCTTCTTCTTTGATTGCTCTCTCATTCCTCTCATCCGTCGGCTTCGCTTGATTTTGGGTTTTGAGATGTCGACTCAAAGCCAATGAGACACGTTCGCTAATTCAGAGGCACACTCACCTTCCCCGGTGTACACAGTATCCCTTTAACGGTGCAAATTTATCGTTTTTAGCGTCCCCCACAAGATACCAGTGAAACTTGTTGACGTGGCCTGTCAGCTAAGCACTTCGCTCACAGCACTAGTAAATGCTACCAAGGCTGGGGCGCTTGAGGTATCTGCCACGCCAAGATGTAGACAGGGACCGCTAAAAAAGAGGAGCCGCCGATTGGCCAATTTGCACCGTTAAAGAGATACGCTGCCACCAGCAACGGACCTTTTACACTAGCTGAGACTAGGTACCAAGAAACATCATGTAATTGCACGGGATGCCAGTTCTGTTCGGTGTCGGATAGAACATGATATTGGCAATCTGTTATCGAGCAAGCGTGGACCATGTTTCGGCCAGTCTTTTCGAGAGCTGAACGAGCTCGGCTTCATCCAGGGCAAATTAGCGGTCGACGTCTCGCAACTCACAGAGACATCAAATCGATCAGCCCAGGATGTACTCAGCTAGATTGCCGTCGTCGTCCCATGGGTCGGTGGGCAGCTCCCCCGCCGCGCCGCGCCGGAGCTGGTGCCGGGCTGATATAGGAACCGACGTCTTTAGCGATCCTCGGCCGGTACCTGTACGGTAAGCATTCTTTCAAGCTTTTTGTTTCAAGACGGTTCCGGATTGCACCACCGAAGCCATCTGGGCCATCCACTTGGATATCTGTCCGCCGGACATCCACCTCCCTCTCCGGATTTACCGATATGGTTCTCGGTTTGCTGCCGCTATGTAGAAGCAATCCGACGCAGTGGTTCAGCTGTACAGCGGTGCCGTCGTCTATGGGCCCCAGGCCCCCAGGCCCCCATCCTGTGGCCCGTCGGCGCTGCTGCTAGCTTTCCGTCCAGATGGTGCAGGTCGGTAGGTAACCGTTGATGCGATGGGGATGGTGATGAAGTCACAAGGAGGTGGTGATGTGATGGCGGTGGTTTCTGTCGTCGACTCGTCGGACGCGCGCGTCAGGTCTAAGTTCTTGGATGGATCATGGGAAAGTCTAGAACGTGGCCGCCCCATGGCCAGGATCTGGCAGGCAGCGGCAGGCCAAGCGAATCTGGTAAAGTGGCATTTTGTGGCCCGTACGGCGAGCGGACCGAGCGTGTGGCTTTTTCTCAATCTTGCATCCCACTTCCATTCCACTTTGTGGGGACTCGACAACCCACGACAACCCACGACACGCTAGCAATTACATGAACCACCACGACACCACTCGACCACCACTCCTCGTTGCTGGAATGGGGACCGATTGTGGCTATGATCAAGCAAAGCCAGGAAGACCCAGCACCGCACCAGCTTGTCGATGCCACGTCCATGCCACGGTTACCAATTCAGGACGTGGCCCGAGGTCAGGCGGAGGTCAGGTCGCTGGCTCCCCAAAATTACCCCAAATTCTTACTCCGGCCCACCCGATCGCCCTCGCCGACCGGAGAAGCTCCTATCTTCCGTCTTCCTTCCAGAAGCCTTGTCTTGTTCGGCTTCGGCGAGCCGAGACAAATGGTGATCGTCGCAGCTGTCTGTACGACATGATACCTCTAGCTATACGCCAACAAGTTGAATATCGAAAGCTAGACAAGCAACAAATACGACGTGGAAAAGAGACGAGTTAGTATCGGCGTTTCACCACTGGTGAATTACCGCTTTTTCTCTGTCGATTCGCTTCTTCGCTCTCGTCCAGCGAGAATCTCCGTAGCACCCCCTCGGCCCCGTAGCCTCGTCGCATGCACACATCGTACGACGTCCATCATCAGCCGCCGGGGGGAGGGGAGTGAATGGGGAAACGATTATCCAGACGATAAACTTCATGTACCTGCCAACGCCCGGGCAAAAACCCAAGTACCAGAGACTTTTGGCAACTTCTCTTCCCATCGCTGCATCAATCTCACCACAAACCGATATGAAATTAACTCGGGCAAAAAGTCCCCTTTTGGGCGCGTGATGAAAGCCGAATAATACCGCCAAGTCTCATTCAAGTCGGATTTATCCCCATACTATTTTGGCCAATTATGTGGTTTGCTGGGCTGCATGGCCCGTGTGTTCCACACATGTCCCTGTTACTACCTAGCTACTAGCAACCGAACCACGTTTACTACCATCAGCTACGGTACTGAACAACGAGTCTGGAACAGTGGCTAAATAGCAGGTAACGATAACTTCACCATCTCTAACCGTCCCGCCGGCTACTGCGTGCTGTGCTGTAAGTGCATACTAGCCCGTTGTCCGATTTGCTGCTTGACTCTTCTGGAAGGCATGTGCCAAGAGCTGACCGAGGAACCAGCAAAGGAAGCACCGGAATAAAGTCCAAAACGTCCCAAGTACTGTCTACAAGTTGCCATGGCCCACGGCCCACGGGAACATCGTAAAGTGGGCTTTTGTGGGCTTTTGCGGATTTCCCGAAACCAGTGGCCGTTCCTTGCACGTACTGCCGCGCGGTAATATGTAAGTTACGCGTATGTAATTACGGTAACAAAACGCAGGGCGAGACACACGACACCTGCAAGGCGCTGTCGGGTGTCGAGCATGCCACTGCGTCTCCGATCATCACCAAAACACCCGACAACCTACATACCTACGCTACTGTAGCAACTCCATCAACGAAATGACACGAGAAGAGACCAACAACATGTTCGCCGGAAAGGATACCGAAGAGTCTCCAGTGATGGTATCTGCCGCGCTTGGAGACCACTTTGCTCAGGTGAGGAATTCCATCTTCGCCCCCCATCTCCATGTCCATCTCGGGCCATACCCCGCCATGCCTCTCATCTACAGTGGGCTTCTTCCCCTGTTGTTAGAGACGACATCACCGCACCTCATTCTGTCCCGTCTCGATGCTTGTAGGGACACCATACCACATCAACATCCCGACAACACAGTAAACAAAACATCGAATCTCAGATGATCTCTGTTTGAGATTCAGCCCTATCTCCGTCTCGACATTGTCTTGATCTCCCATTCGTATATTTATATCACAACCTCACTGATGTCCTGCATGCTCTTGCTGACCACTTGCTCGGTATCGTGTTCGTCGTTCTAGGCCCTCAAAGACCTGGCTAGGTATGGCATGTCTCATCCATCTTTACCATTCCTACATACCAACATCCCCATGGGCCATGGTGGCAACGTCGGCATTCCGAACGGACAAGCGGCCCAAACGGAAGCCCTTGTTGACCGCCATCTCATCTCACATCTGTCCCTTCGTTTGGCGTCCCTTTCTGTTGGGTTTGGATGCGTGACAGCGTCTCGGATCCCCCATGCCCCCCATCATTTTCTCGCCCCTGTTGCTGTCCGCCTCGCATATGCCAAAATGCCCCCCTGGATTTGCAGGAATAGCGATGCGTATAGGGGACCAGCAGAGGCGCGGTTGATCATCTCCGGGGAAATCCAGGATCTCATGCTCCCAAGGCCAAGGGTCAAAAGTGACAGCTGGACGACGTTCCAGAGCCTTGAACGTGCCGTGCTTCGGACAGGCCGTCTAGCAGAATCAATAGCGGCCGCAAGTGTCTCCGTTGGCTTTCAAACCCGCATTAGGCACGGCGGAAAAGCAGATTTCACCATCACTGATTTAATGCCCGAGTGGCAACGGAAAGCACTCCCCACCCGTCACAACCACATCACACAAGTTCATGCAAGCGCATTGGGACATGAAGGCCTAGAACCTTATACCCAGCACTTGACCCTGAGAAAATCCCTTCTTTCGCGGTAACTGGTACCAAGGACGGAGTACCCCGTCGGTACCACGTGAAAGTGAGCGAGTTTCATCTCGAGAACTTCAATCTTGAGTCGAGCCTCGAATTCGCAAGGCGCCGATTCCGATAGTGTGTCGTCTTTACCCCGGCCCCATTCCGGTCCGGTCAGTCCGGGAAGTGCCCATCCGCACGGTACCGTATCACCATTCACCACCACCACCACATCCTCCGTCCATGTACCTACTACGCAGTATACACGACCACCCACACACACCCTTTTCTTCTTTCCCATCCAACCCCCGGTCCATACCCCAGAGTGCCATCTCATCTGTCTTCCCGACAACTGCACATCTAGCAGCAATCCTTGCCTCACATCCCGCCGCTATTATGTCGGCATCAGCCCATAGCTGCTTGGGGGTGTATTAGGTTGTCACTGTGTAGCATTGTTTCGTCCGTCTTTCTTGCGCGATCCCCCTTCCCCCGTCGGCACTCCCTCCGATCTATCGCTATCCTATGATATGTCCCCGACGGTCTTCGGACTTTGTTCCGGTCCGCAATATTCTTGGGCACGGGACACTATGGGATTGGGCTTTGATATGTGCTGGCTTTACATGGGCAAAAGTTTTGCCACCATCGTCACCTCTCAAACTCCATCCGCATCTCCATCTGGCATCTCTCCGATCCTTCTCGGGAGCCGGAAGGGGAGGATGAAAAAAATGGCATGATTTTGGGATGAGCTGGTCAGGGGTTACAGCCTCAAAGTGGATGATGGGACATGGACATGGACAACAAACATCTCAACTCCACACATGAGCATGGTTTCTTTTTGTTTTTTCTTGTCGTTTTTTGCCTCCTCCAGCTGTCAAGCATCGTGATCACACTCGCTCGGTATTCATCACACTACACTACCTACACTTCATACCTTGTCATCCCCATTTCAGTCGTAGCCGCAGGCGGCCGGACGGACGTTTGATCTATCTACCGAGTCCTGATCTTGACTGGTTCACATACGAGCATACGAGCTTATACGGAGTCGTCGATGTCGTGTTGTTCAAACCCCCAACTTCAAACTTGCCTGACTCGAGCACTCGTGACGAATTACTGATTCGGGAATGACTTTGCGAAACTAACTAACCTGCTCGCAAAAACACAGAGGCGAACAAACAGCCACGACTCTCGAAGCTAGTCTGACTAGACTGGAGAACACCCTTGATCAACTGTTGGCTTCCATGGAGGCGGAGGAGGAGGACAGCAAAGAGGAGGTCGTCGAGGGTCAGAACCACGGCCAGGGCCAGGATAGCCAAGCCAACGGTGACGGCAAGGGTCAACAAGATCAGAGCAAGGGCAAGGATGAGAAGTGAAAGCAAAGCCACAAAGAGCCTCGGACGCAGATGTGGACGTGGATGTGGACGGGAGCTGCTTCCGTTGCTGTCTTGGTGAAGTTGTCTTCCGCTGGGCCGGAGGAGGAGGTGAAGCTTCGATGGCTGGGACTGGGGACTAGGAACTAGGGACTAGGGGCAGACAAAAGAGGAGGAGCTCTCTCCGGTAGGAAGTAGGATGGCTACAAGAGCTGGCTGGGGAAGAGCTTACGCGGCAAGAGGATAGACATACTGGTCAAAGAGGTTGGAATCTACCTAGAAAGGGGCTGTAGAGACACTCGGACAAGAGAATTGTTTGGGCGGATGATGATGCATAATGGAGACATTCACTACACTACAGACTATAGACTACCTAGGTTAACGATGATGTATTGGTTGACGTATGTCTATAGGGCGCTTCCTGAAGTGATTATTAGTTCGTTCGGTCTTGATCATTCAGCCTCTGTCTAGTTCCTGTTCAACGTCTCGGTCAACGATCGGTCAGTGTTCGGTCGCCGGGATAGAGTGGGGGTGTAAGCGAGTGGAATCAGGAACGAGTGGGATAAGGGGGAGGCGAATTTTCGAAGATGGGAATTTGCAAACCGGAATGAATGGGTGGAGGAGTTGAGTTGGACTATTTCGATTGTGATTCGGTTCCGTTGCCTCGGTACCTTTGGTGTAGAGGGAGGTTGCGGTGAAGGCTCGTGTCATAGAGGGAGGGTGTACTTGGTTTCTTTGGTAGATATGGGTACGTAGTCTGGATAGTTCCTTCATCATGAACGGTTATCATCGTTGCTTTATACCCGTTATTCCCATTTGACATGTGGTATTGTAGTGTAGGCCAAGAGGCTCATCGTAGATCATTGCGTTGAGGCTCATTCATGCATGGTTCGGAGATAAGATCGTCGATCGTTTCGTTTCGTTGGAGACTTACTTCTCTTTCAATTGCAAACTCGGTGATGTTGACCGAGGTTGAACAGATGGTTGGGTTAGTATAAACTCGCGCAAGTACTACACGGCGGGCGAGTGTTGAAATTCAGGACGGAGTAATGCAAGCCGCCGGCGTGGTAAATCTGAGAGTAAATAAATGAGGTAGGTCATTCTGGGTTATGGTATCTGGATGGAGTAACAGGAAATAAAACTCTTCTTCGATTATTTGTTCGCGAATTTTACATGTTAGTACCATGTTCAATATTTCCCACACATTTTACTGTTTCGATACTTATGCTCGTGATATGAACCGCACTGGATGGAGGCTTTCATCGCGGTCAACAGACTGAAGGTTTTTCCATGGAATGCAATGCAGGCATTTCAGTGGTGGGAAGGAACGATGAGTGACGAAGTTGTGAAGATAGTCAGAAAGGAAGGAACGGGCACTGCAGCAAAAGGAGGAAAAAGATGGACATAATGGAAGGAAGGAACGAGTTGTATGTCGACGAGGAGAGATTGTCTGCACAAGGTTGGGAAGGGGCAATGGGACTGACTGGCTTAAACTCTGGCATCCCGTCTCGTCTGTCTCATTGGCAATCTGTTTGTTCTTCCTGTCAATAATGTCTGATACAGACAGTTCTTATCCATTCTACCCGATTCTACTTAAGTCATCCATCCCCGAGAAAAAAGAGATTCAAAGTTGCAAAAAGCTCAGCCGCCTATATATAACCCCGGGTCCGAATCGAACCCGTGGCCGGCAAGCGGCCTACGAAAACTGTACCACCAGTACCGCGCGCACTGAGCAACGTTTTCTAGCTCCCGCACACCTACCATACCGCTCGGCCACGCACGAGGCGGACGGGTAGGTACGGGAGTTATTGGAAGGTCCGAGCTGTGGGTGTATACAATGTCCAGGTCCAAGGTCCTGACGTTCAGTCACATCTGTCTGTTCGTTTAGGCTGCACGCACGAAATGGTGGACAATCAATCACCAGCTATTTCTCCTTCCTCGAAACTGTGCCTACACTACACCCTCTATCTAGGCCACCCACCCTCTCCCAAGCCTGTGTTTATCTACCTCCCTCCACTGACTGACCTCTCTCCTTAGAATGACTTCGCGGTATTTCGTTGTATCCTTCCCCTTCCCCTTCCCAACATCTTCCTCTACGTAACGCCCTCGAACCATCTCACCAGGGCACCCACCCCTTTGTTGGTGGTAAGTGAGAGCAAGCAAGCAAGCAAGTGTTTCTCCCAGTAGGTTACTGAAGGAGTCAAAGACATGGAAGAAGAGAACTGAAAAAGATGAAACGGGGATTAGGGGAAGGGAGCAAGCACTCAAGGAGAGGAAGAAAGAAAGAGTAGGTGCATCTAGATGTAGGTAGCCAAATGGGAATGCCCGTGAAAGAGTTCGGAAAGCGGAGTGAGGGAGGAACGGGCAGTTCACCTGATGTTACAGAAGGTAAGTAGGGTTGCGTAAGTAAAAATGGTGAGTCCTCAACTAACTCGTGTCAGGTTCGTATTGATGGCAACTGTTTCGTCTAACGTATCCTCCGAATTTATGGCAACAGTGAATAGTATGGACTTTTCAGTAAAGAGATCACTCAAATTATATGCTAGGTAAATGTTCATTGGCACTCTTGGTTTACCAGTAGTAGAGTAGTGTACTCTAAGTATTATGGCGACTGAGATTTTGCCCTTTTTTTATACCTTCCATGTCAGCTATGGTTGGGAATGGTTGTGGGAGTGTTGTCCGTACCTATTTTTTTCACTCTGTTTTTCCTTGCTTTTGAATGAGGTTTCCAGGTTATTTATTGCCCAAAAATACGGTAGGTAGTTTTGGTCGCAGGTGTAGTGAATTCCACTTCACACGGCATCTGTAGGCAGAGGACGGAGGTAGGGACACGAAGACTGGGGGGAATGTCATGATCACTGATTAATGCCCACCTCACCTGTGCATCGGACATGGAAAGATGAGTCTGGTCTGGAGAGAACGGATCGAATTAGTACTACCCAGTTCTGGAAGAGAAACAACTTCCACTCTCCTCCCATAATGTATGTCCCTGTGCACCGAAGGGGCATCCCCAGTCCCACCTACATAGGTCAGAGATATCTTCCACTTGACACACATTGTATGCCTACTAACCATCATCTCGACGTGAAGCTAATATAAGACAAGAAGGCAACAAAACATCTTTTACAGAATCAAGTTTCACACGTCATCGATCGAGTGTCCTCATATCTACACTAGGTAACTTCGAACATATGATAGGTAAGAAGCACTCTGTCTCTCGCAACCGACTAGGTAGTCTCACGCAACACGTCAGATATTCCTACAAGTATGGCTCCTCAAATCTTGATGATCTATGTAAGGTAGTCACACACCTCCCAATTTGCAGAGCAGATTTATACTTCTCAATGTATTTGCTTATGCCTCAGTCTCGGGTCTACATAGTATGTAGGAGGTTACCTCTACCAACCACGACCCTCCCTCCTTGCTTTGAGGTCAGTCAGGTCGCTTCTCATCCCACCGAGTTTACCGAGTTACCGACCAGTTCTTATGTACAAGGTAGGTACGGTAGGTTCCCCCGCTTCTCCGAGAGCTCACAGCTAAAGCTTCGCTTGCGGCGTCCGTCGGACCGCACCCTGTTCCCTGTGTGGGTAGGTAGGCCATGTAACCTTAACGTGACTTGCTTGACGGAGACTTGACTCCATCATTCCATCGCGCAATTCGTATACGTAACATGGGATATCTGGTAAGGTAGGTATAGCCTCGTTTTTCTCTTCTTTTTTCCTCTTTGTCTTTTCGGAGCATAGAATATGTTTTCAGCAGCAGCGTAGCTTTGTCGAGGCAAGCGAGGCTGTTAAGGATTGATACCAGAGAGATAGGAGTGTCCATGTCCCTGGTGTCAAAATATATACCTCTGGGGTACGGAACTGTTCGCTAATACCAGCACACACCAACCACTGTAGCTGCAATT